TGATCATTTGTTTAAAGACCAGCCATGAGGGATATCAGTGATGAGTCCTTGTTATAGACCAGAAGATCAGAGAAATCAGAATCCACCACATTTTGGCTTTGTCTGCCATATGGGTTGCAGTGAATGTCATCTTGTACATATCAGCCAGAAAATAAGAGGTGAACACCTAGAAGTATTGGTCACAGTCAACCAAGAAACAATCAATATTATCTGATGCCCCCTTAAAGAGGCAGAGTTCAGATACAAGGATCAGTTTGATGTTAAGAATTTAGGCCCCTGCATCAAGGGTGGACATCAGGTTTGGCCATTCTCTGGCAGGCAGTCCCAACCATCTATTCAGGGGTCCTAGGAAGGAATGAAGAGAACCATCATTGGCAATAGGACTTCCCAGTGGAGGAACTGTCTTCTGCATGATTCAATCATTCCTGATGGTCCAGCCTTGAGTGAGCACAACAGGATTATCTTCTATTAGAATAGGCTTTTCAGGCATATTACTGCCTTCAGCTTCATCTGGTGGCAGCTGTCCAGCATATAGTTTTCAAACTGGGTACCTCTATGGATTTGGGTATTTTGGCTTTTCCTGAGAAAGCCATGATATTATGCTGCTGCTGGATGAAAAATTGTTTCCTCAGGATGATGTGATCTCTGTCAATGGTGATAGATACTGGTCTTCTTCTTCTTCTGGTAGCACCAGGGGCATTCCTGATGCCAGTGGTGATCCTTCCTTGCTGAGAATCAGCCAAGGGATTCACTATTTTCTCAGGTACTGGCCCTCTCTGTTTTGCCAGTCCTCCCACTCCTCATCCACAAGCCTGGTCCAATGATTACTTGCAGAGAGGATGCTTCCCTTCTCTTCTATTTCTCCATCCTCTCTCAGGCCAATATAGACCTTGGGGGTTGTTGGAGTCCTTCCAATATGGGATCCCCCAGATGGGCAAATCTCAGACCCTCTCAGTCTTGGCATTATACTGCCACTCCCTTTTTCTTTTGATATGTTCAGCATAGTTTCAGAATTCATTATAGAAGTCCAGGTTGAGGAAAAGAGTGGTGAGCTTCTTATGCAAGAACCCATGAAGGGTTCAATTGCTGATCTGGGGTACTGGTGGTATCCAGATATTGTGAATCCAGTCAACAGCAGAGTCATCACTGGACAGGGAGCTGCTACTCTCTGACTTGTTGGGGGATAATGGTCCATCTGGACTGCTTTCTCCATCCTCTGTGATGTCATCCCATCAGTCAGCTGCATAAGGGTCATCCTTAGGATCTTCATTCCATTCAGTACCTAGAGACCACTTCTATCTCTGAGCTGGCAGGGGTCCCCAACTTTTTGCATTTATAACTGATGATCATTCATTGGTATTTCAATCCTGATTGTCCTCTGAGTTGTCCCAGCAATCTGGGGCATAGGGGTCATCTTCAGGATTTTCATCCCACTCTGTGCCTGGAAGCCATTTTCAGTGCTCCCTGACTCTTGGGGCAGGGCCCCATTCTGCTGGTTGGCCAATTCTGGCTAACTGTCAGTGCTCTTTATCAAGCTCATCTCTCCACTGTCGACTGAGCTCACCCTCCTCTTCTTCCTCCAGCTCGTTGGTAGAGTCAGAGTTGAAGGTCAGGAGGTATAGAGAACAGAGGTGGGACTCTTCCTTCTTTTGGAGAGGACTTGATTGGTCTATGCTTTTAGACCCCTCTCTGAGTCTGAGTTTGTTAGTTCAGGTTTCAGCAAAGAGGCTGTCAATGAGTTGATGGATGATATCATCCTGAGTTTGATAATCCTTGACTATCTTAGTTGTTAAGATTTCTAGAAGAACGGTCAGCAATTCAATTGAGGAAGGGGGTGCTTTGGAGTTGATAAAGCTGTTGATAGATAGCATAGAGTTCCCTATCTTGTAGATCAAGAGAAGGTTGATAGAAAGCATTCAGTTCTTTTAGCCTTTGTTAGGCTTGAAGAAGGAAAGCTAAAAGCTTCAAGCTAATTATTAAGCCCAAATTCCACATGACTATCAACACATGATAAACAGTTTAGAACCTCGCACTTCAGATTAGACTGACTGAGTTCACTGATGTGTTAATAGAGTTGTGTAGTCAAGGCATTGCAAGTGGCTCAAGATAAGATAGTAGAGAATAAACTTTAGCTCAAAGCTGAGGTATTACAGTGAGAGCTAGGCTACTTAAATACTGTTCTGTTATCTAATTCTAAATAAATGTTCACAAAAGATGTGATCTATTGTAGAGCTGTTACTGCTGTGGTTACCAAGCTCTCCACAAAAGCTATTGTCTTGCTGTTGTGCTGTTACTGCTGTGCTGCAGTTTGAGGACAAAAAAAGCATTGTCTCTCTCTTCACAGCACACAGCAGCATGATAAGACCATGACCGACTAGGCTGCTGACTAAGCCTTCCCACAGTCCTAAGTGCTGGTCTAGGCACTCTGACTAAGCGAAGATAGGGGTTATTTCCAAGGAAAAAGAAAAGAAAATAGGAAAAATCATAACAAGTTCAGAAGGTGCAGTTAAGGGGATGCCCTTTGTCAAATGAATGTGGCTGGAGACATTCATGCATTTGATGCATGGGATTGGTGTGTCAGGTCTGGGTCTTCAAAACTGTAGCTCAAAGGTTTCCAGTGTCTCAAATGATTGCCATTGAAGATCAGAGCAGGTATCAGTGCTGCACCTCTTCTCCAGGATATTTTTCAGACATATCTCCAGAGATGGTTTTGGGTATAGTTTCTTCCATAGGCTGGAAGGACTGTCAGGCAGAGAGAGAGATGTCATGGAGGAGGAGATTGAGGATAACATTTCATAGAATATATTGGATGTGCTGAAATTGTTGATAATAATAGATGGCCAAAACAGTGATTAATTGACATCCATGATACAGCTGTATGATCACTAATAATTCTAACAATGTTCTGATAATTGAAGCAAGGAATTCAAAGAACTCATAGTCAAAATTCAGATCTGATGAGTTGATCAAGGGGAGTATTCAGTTTCTTAGCACAATTAGACTTGAGAAAGAGAAGCTAGAAGCTTTGAGCTAATTGTTAAGCCTAAATGACATATGACCTAAACACATAATAAACTGACACTGTCTCACACTTCAGACAATGATGTCAGAGTTCACTTGATGTGTTATGTGGCTTTATATTGCAAGGCCTTTAGATTAGCTCAAAATAAGATAGTGGAGAATAAAACTTTAGCTCAAAGCTGAAAATACTATAGTGAGAGCTACACTACTTATATACCAGTCATCATCTGTTCTATAGATATAACTACCTAATTGTGCATCCTGGCATTATAAAGCATTTTATCCAGTGTTATTAAGCTACCTACAAAAGGGTATTATCTGTTATTGAGCAGTTACCATTGTATCAAAGGACAATGACTAACTAGGCATTGTTGTGATGACTAAGTCTGTCCCATGGTCCTAAGTGCTGATCTAAGCACTCTGACTAAGCAAAATAGAGGTCAATCCCTCAAATAAAAGATAAAAATAAGAAAAAATAAGAAAAAATTATAACAAGAGGGTAATGTCACAATTTACTTCTAAATCATGATCTGCTGATGCTTATCAATCCTGACCAAAAATCTGACTTTATAAGGATGATAATATTATGATGACATCATAACTATATTTTACTTATTGGTATACAATAGACAGCTGGAAACAATGCAACAATAGTTGCTGTCCTATACCTTAGTTATAATAAGAACTGTGGCATACAGAAAACTCACTATAGCAATAGCATAGCAGAACAACAATGACAAACAAAAGCAAGAGCACAGTCATTGTCACCCAAACAATAAGTAGAGAACATGGAAATCAGACAATAGTTGTCTGTAGGGCAAAGGGCTTGTATTTAAGACAGTAGCATACATCATTATATCTCAGTCTCAAGCTAAGGTTCCAAACACCTACTACACTCTCTGACTATCTAGTGCAAATACTCTTACCACAATGGTAGACTATCTCTATCTGTTGGGATTTTGCTGGAAAGTTCTAGAAAGGGCAATTCAGCATCATGCCAAGAGTTGATGAGTAAGCTTGAGAGAAAGAGAAAGGTGTAGTAAATTCTAGATAAAAGTCTGGAGAGTATAAATACAAACTCTATAGGAGCTGTAGAATAACAAGGTCATACCATCTGGCCTTACCAGCCTGGAGTCCACTCTGCACAACACTAAGGATTTCCAACACTATCAGCCTCATCCACTTATACCTCTAACACACATCATCATTGCCTATCTCATCATCCTTATCATACTCTTATACCAACAATGAACTCAGAATCAGAACCCAGGATCAGACTCTGGCAGTAGCAGTGCCAATTATTTGTGAGTGTTTGGTAGAAGCATAACAGTCATCTCACTATACATAGGTGCATAAAAGAAGATATCAATGTGGTATGCCTCTCTAATGATGATCAGCAGAAGCTCAATAAGAAGTGAGCTTATAGAGCTGACTAAAGACTAATGAACTGACAGTGAGTGCTTGAAGTCATTATAGGTGATTCTGAGGAGCAAAAAAATATTTTCCAATCTTTGGTATTTCTGAGCCATATTCCAATAGCTTTGCTTCAAGGTCATGTAATGCCTCATAGATTGACTCAGCACAAAGTACATTCTCAGAATGCATTTACCACATCATTAGCCTGGTAAGGTGATACTCAGACTGACTGAGCTCACACTTAGAATGAAAATTCTTGAGAGAAATCAGATGAAAAACCATGGGTGGATATAAGTGTTGTGATAATTGAGAGTCAGACTCATTATTGACTGATCTGTTTGAAAGATCACGTGCCTGAACAGCAACCGACTCGTCGATCATTAGATTGGCATTCGGCGACTCAGTCATTGGATGACCTGCCACCATGCAACAGCACTGTTAATGCTCTTTGATCGTCTCTTGAATTCGGAGATTTTGTATCATATTTGTTGTCCCGATTTTCCTCCGTGACTAAAGTCAAGACAATAGCTCTGGAACAAGCTCATGACAACCCATATGTGAAAGCGCAATAGTATTGATACAATTCTTATTCATATTTACTTCTGGATACCCCACTCGAACATTTCGTTACTTTTCCCGTCTCTTTCATTGACCAGTAGTCTCGAACATTCCTGTCCTGCGACAGGAAGACGAAGCATCTGATTTCCGCCTTCGAGGGGAAATGGAACTTGCGCAGGGATAAGCCCTGCCTGTAATAAAGCTGTTCCCTGATCCCACCAAATGTGTTCTATCAACGAATCAGTGGAAGATTAATCTACAGTCCTACATAGACGCTAACCGTGGTATAGTCGGTCGCCGCGTACGTTCACGACGCCCAGCATGGGAATCTCTAGCTTTTTCCCTGTCGGAGGAACAGCAGGTAGAAGCCAATCAATGGTCTTGTCATGGGTGCATTTGAAGATGAATTCCTCTATGAACAGAAGATAAGCGATATAAGTCGGTGCCAACGATAGAAGTACACGCACCAACAATGCGATCAGGACCGACGGTTCGCGAAACGGTTTCAAGGTCAGTATCGGCCGGGTTACTTACGCGGCCGGATAAGCTGAAGATGATAGGCTTGGGGGAGATTACCTACGCAAAGATGAAATGATCTCGATAAAACGCGGTCAAATTCTGCCGGCCAATACCGCCAGTCATCTGTAATATGCGTAGGGAATCAGCATATGATACAATACATGAAAACACCTTACAGTGGGTACATGGTTGACGTAGGGCTCTTGCTATAATCAATAACATTCAAATCGTCCCCTGGAAGCGGCTAAATAAACAACATACCACCATTGTTCCCATAGTTTGGGACACACTTCGGATTTCGAACTCGAAATACACATGCTCATCCCAAATTGCCTCGATATCGAAATAGGGCCCGCCAATACGCTTCCTGAGAAAGACGACGTTTCGTGTATGCACAATAGAAGCGAATGTTGGTTTGTAACCCTCAGCTTGGGGCAGAACAAAGTATGGAGATGGAGTCGTGTATTTGTAGACTGAAGTGGACGCCGTGGCTTCAGGTGCTTCATGTGATGATGGTACGTGGAATGTTATGGGAATGGTAGACGTCACTTCCACTGCAGCACCAAATGAGACAATACATGAAATGCGCGTATCCGTAGATATTGCGTCAAGAACTCTGGGAAGTATATCAGGATAGTAGACTGAAAGGTAACAACATCAGTAAGAAAATAATTCGAAAACGAAACATGTTCCTACGCACTAGTAACAGCAAACTTGTCCCTAATGTCAAGTTCTTTCAGATTCAGCAGGGCATCTACACCCTTTGCTAGACTTTCTTCGATAGACCAGCCCAAAGCAGATGGAGTGACCCCAACAACAGCGAAACCTTCTTCTGCCCATTTTTGCACCGGTTCCGGATCCAGTGTCTTATCAACTTCGGTACTGATTTCGAATGCTGACACCGGAGGTAAGAAAATAATCATCCCGGGGCCTGTTCCGCGACGAGTCAAAGGCGGTTGAAGAACCGCATTCTCGCTCAAGGTAACGAGCGGGGCCCAAGGCAGGGGAGTAAACTTTTCATTGGGTGAGTCGGGATCGTAAAATGCAGGTTTTGCCATGGCGTTGGACTGGCGAAGTAGACGTTATCAGAATATTTTTCCTATCCAAAAGGCCTGTAACCTTTGCAAGATAAGTATCCTGGATGCCTGAACTTTCATAAAATAGGTTGATAGGGACGGAAGTAAGATAGGAAACGGAACGGCCGTTCGGATCCGTGTGATCCGTCCGAAAATCCGATCCTTCGCTACGTGCTCGTCGATGGCCCTTCGCCTGAATAAAATGGACGTGCGTTGGTGTACGAAATTTTGGACACTATTAGATCACCTATGTCGAAATACGTCCGGGAGTCGCAACATAAGGATCTCCTTATAGCAAAACCGACGCGTCGCTTCGACTGTCCGCCGGCTTTCAATTTATGTCAAAGCAGCAATAGGTCCTCTGAGCGTTCTGGCCTTCTTGCTGCTATAATACTTAGAAAGTGTCATGCGAAATAGGGCGGTTTTTGTTCCAAGACAAAGTACAAGACAGTTGGCGTAATAAAACAAGGTCATGTCATGTTTTGAGCTTAAAAGTAGGCGTCGTAAGACATCCTAATCATTTTGGATCAACGGCGGCGCCATCACGGATATCCAAGAAATCTACACGTTTTGTCAAAAAATGTTAAAAGATCTTAATATTGAACAGGTCCATTCGTCTCCCGGAGTAAATGGAGGTATGTGAGGACCTTGGTCCTTTCACAATATTTGAGCTGAATGAGTTCGCATAGCAACCACGGACTTTGTGGTGGCGAAGTCAAAGCTTGAAAGAAGACAATGCCACCCTTGTCTTAGACAAAGTTGACTCGGAAGTGTTCGCCCCTTGTTCATTGGATATATAAAGAGCGCTCTCCTTTCGTCGATCTACAACGCTAGCACTCTCCCCTATCACACCACGTCATTTACCTTCGAAAATACACCAGTATGGCAGACATCGAACAAGGACTTACCTCCAGTGGCACGAACCATATTAACACTCTCCCGAGTGAACTACTCGCCGAGATCTTTGCGTACGGCACTACAACCCTACGATATGAGCATCCATATCATATTATCATCCTCGGTAGGGTGTGCTGGTGGTGGCACGCCGTAACGCTAGACTTTCCTACCCTCTGGTCGAAAGTCTACATCCCTGTCAACGGATGTTGGATCAAGCGACCACGCTATCAAGGGATCGCAATTGATGAACAATGGTCCTCGAAATTGCAGAATACAGTGGAGCTCTACCTGACGAGGTCAAAGACGTGCACCATTTCGATCAACTTCGTCGAATCTTTCTCACCCAGAAACTGGGGATGGGAGTATACGTTTTGGCAACTGTCCTTTGACAAAATGGCAGGGTTGCTCCGCAAGCACATGCACAGATGCTACGAGCTTCATGCTTTCGTCGACAAATGCCCGCGGGTATACGATTTCCTCTCCGAGGCAGACTTGAAATTGCCATTGCTTGAGAGCCTTACACTCCCGAAACTCCTGGATCTCCCCTTTGTCCGATCCGCGACGAAACTCCGTACGATACGAACCGAATTCGTCGAAAAGGACCTCAAAGAATCAGCGGTCGAGAATGTGGAACTTGCAACCTGGACGCCTGGGGAAAATCTCATGTCCTTTCCCAAAGCCAAGGCCGTTACGCTGCTCCCACCGTCAAGTTCGAGAAATTGGTCGCACACAGGAGTAATTGCGGCGACCGGCCGGATGTTCTGCAGTGACTTAGTCTCCAGTTTGACGGTCGCAGGCACCAGAGATACGATGGTAAAAATTGAAGAGATACTCTGTGAAGTTGAGTTTCCGAACCTTGAAATATTAAAACTCGTCCACTTTGATTGCACGGGACCCCCTTTACGCTTGAAATCCATATACAGGCCGCTAAAGGGGACTTCGACAATGAAGCAGCTTGTGTTTCAGGGGTTTGCTATCCGTTTGCCGGACATGCTGGACATACTCAGGATGGTTCCGCGCTTGACGTGTCTGAGTATCTACGACTCGCCATTCCCGCTCTTCGGACCGTACAGGCCAGTTTCCAACGCGCTTTTGGGAGCGTTGGCAGACACGAAAATAGTTCCCGATTTGGAGAGGCTCAATATCTTCTGGCGACACGATCTCGACATAGATGATAGTCTGATCAAACGTTTGCTCGACACGCGACGAGATCGTCTTATTGATGTTGTAGCACGCCAATACCGCATAACACCACATATAGCGTGCCCCCATATCAAATGCGCAGCAAGCCATGAGACATAGAGCAAAGAAATAGTTTGTAGGGTCGCGAGTAGAAATCAGTGCCGGACAGCTTTTAGTTTCTTTTGAAAACAATGTTCTCCCAGTGAGCTCGATTTTCCTAGAGAATAGAAACTGCGGTGCTTTTTCCAGCTCAGAGAATGTGTGGAAATCGTAGGTCACCAGGCCAGTCTTGACTTGTGCAGCGGGGATGCTTGTCGGGCCGGGGACCGACAGATTTTGAATTGATCGACCGGCCCTCAAGCGCCTGATTACCCTCTCCGGGACGTCGGTCCATCGAGTTCTTTTTAACATGCCATCTCAGATTCGTCCGTTAATTGCTTACAGGTTACACAACTTCAATATCGATATAACGTCCTTTTTTTTTCCTTTCAGAATCTCGGATTGTGCTTCATCTGACCCTCCTTTCCGTGCAAAAATTCTTCAAAACAATTCACGCAGAATGTTTTCTTTTCAGTCTTCTCAAGATCAGTGGATACTGTGACTGGTGGCCTCATGCACCGTCACTAGTCATCAGTTATATCGTTACAGCCGCATTGCTATTAGCTCCCTGTTCGTGGGAGTTTATACGGATACATTTCAACGTCTGCATGTGGCCAATCAGGGGGGATGATGTTGTCATCTGAGCCCGATTTTGAGGCCGGTAGTACGTCGAATCCGGGGGAGTATACCGCCGCAGCAGCTGTATTTTCTGAAAATAGGGCCTATGGTGTTCCCCTCGGCGTGGTGCAGCTAAAGTCATATTTGGACTTCCATCAAATCCTCCTGGAGGGTTACCTGTGAACTTTAAGTTTGTGGGTTTTCTTGGGCTACCACCGGACCGTTACACTCATGAAAATGTCTAGCAGCACCTTCAGCAGGTTGGCCGAGGCCCGACTACAGTACTCGCAAGTACCGCCTCCAGCTTAAGAATGTTTGGTACGATACTTACATGATTCATGGAATAGGCTGTTTTTCTGTGACTAGCGGCCCCTGTATATATGATAAGGAACGGATGACGGATCGAGGGAACGGAGATCGGCTACAAAATCTGATCATCTTGGACGTGTTCCTTATCGACATCCATTCTCAATGTCCTATGGCGGAACCGCGTATGTCGTCGAGGCCGATACAGAGTTGTTTTCAATGTAAGTTCGTCTTGTTGTCTTGTTCATAATGTTGCTAACGCACTCTAGGCCGCAAGCGTAAGATAAAATGTCCGTGGCAATTTTCCAGTCAGATCATCAGGGGTTTTACTGACGCTAAACAGGCAATAGGGCGTACCCCTGTGCTCCATGTATGTTACGAGGAGAGGGCGGTCAATGCAGGGAGGTAGACCGGAGCATCGTTGCGTATGCATCTCAAATACTCTCTTATGCTCCCTCTAACTACCCACTGCACAGGTCAGGCAAGACTACTGTAGAAACGCTCGACGACGTCCTGGGACGGTTAGCTGTTCTCGAACAGACAGTGTCGAAGCTTGTCTCCTCTGGTGACCATGGGAAGGAAAAAGAAAAAGTAAAGGACAAGGAGAAAGTGCGCTCAGCTATTCGGTCTTCGTTTGGTGTTACTTCGACGGACGAAGACGTTGCGATGATGCTGGAAGACTTTGCTATGGGACACCGCGTGAATCGTAGCAGAGCCACGCAAGATTTTGACGTGACGAACAACAACGAAGATCCGTATACGTCTGCTAGCCCCTCCAGTGGACACCCTTTGCTCCTTCTACTGGATCCTGGTGTCAATGCAATAGCGAGGTTATTATCGATGCTTCCAGACGAATTGAGGAGCCGCACGTTGGTGCAGTTTTATGTGCGTGTATTCCATGCTCTAAGTCTCTGCGGTTCACCTACTCTGCTAGTTCGAGAGATTGGAATGGTATTCAAAAGTTTTACACGCACCCACGTTTATTAGTGAGGTACGTATTGTCTCCTCTAGCTGAATTATCCGCTGATGTATCTTGCAGCTGAATATCCTCCTAATGCAAAAATCCAACGAAAGCGTGGGAATGGTTCGCGTCTCATTTCTTGGGGTGTATTTCATGATATTATGTCTATCACTGCACCTGATAGAACCGTATGTTTGCGAGCGCATTGGCTTTGACCTTTCTACCGCGTCGGAATTATCGAAACGGATGTACTCTGCTGCGCAAGCATGTTTGCATTACGACGACTTCTTAGGAGCACACTCCTTGGAGCACCTGCAGTGTATCTTGTACGTATCACTTTATCATATCTTCCAAATCCAGCTCATGGATTCAATGCACCAGGCTTATGGGCGTGTATCAACAAAATCTAGACGAAGCTGAGTAAGTGGTCTCAGCTTCACGTAAAGTACTCTAGCCTGACGGGTGGAATCGATAGTACGCATTGGGCGTTACTAGGGTCTGCCATCAAGGTTCGTGAAATTCACATGTAGAATACGAGGGCTAATCATTTCATTAGATAGCCCAGAACCTTGGTATGTCTCGGTTAGGCTCTGAATCTGACGAGCGGACATACAGCGCGACATGGAGATCTCTAATCAAGCGGGAGACAGCACGTAGAGTATGGTGGAATCTTGTGCGTCTCATTTACTTCCTTCTTTGATTTTCTCACAGCGATCAGATATTCAACGACTGGTCGCATGCCGCCGCGCATAATGGTACATATTCCATACACCCTTCGCAAAACCATACAGGGTGGCCGGCCAATGTGAATGACGGGGATCTCGTTGACGATGGTCGACTGCTACTTTGCCGACCTATGGAAGAATACACAGAAATGACGTTCTCACTTACACGTCTACGGTTTGTAGGTCTGTATCGGGAGATCGTGGATGAGATGCAGGCGCCAACGGGTTATAGTTTTGTTGGAGAGATGGATAAGCGGCTGGAAGAAATGGTGGAAGGCGTGCCCAGGCATTTCATAACCGACGACAACAGCCTGGCGATTGACGATGGGGTGAAAGGGCTCGAGCTGACGTTGTGTTTGATCATGGGTGAGACGAGGCGGTTGAGGCTGCATAGACCGTATCTATTCAGAGGGTATAAAGACCGCAAATATGTGCGTAAACGCATCCTTATATGCGTATATCTCTGTCTTACTGTCTATGAAGGTGAAATCTCGTGAACAATGCATAGCATCCGCCCAAGCAATATTGGACCATCTTAAATCCGACGACGAGCAATCCGCTATCCTCCTCAAGTGGTGGATTGTGCTGTTCTATGGTTTCGCTGCCGCGGTGGTTTTGTTCATTGACCTGTGCCATCAGAAAGCGGCTGACGATGGACAGAGTCTGGATCAGCGGAGGGCAGAGCTTCGGCAGGTGCTAGATCTTTTCAAGACTGCAGAACATATATCCGTGGTCTCGAGGAATGCTATTGCGTTATTGGAGGGATTATTGAGTGAAGTTTCCTTCTTTGCTCTGCTTCTTCCTGCTGTTGATCGATTCCCTTTCTAGCTGCCGAACCGGACCTCCCATCAAAGCCTTCAAGGAAACGGGGGCGGGATAAGATAGATGACGAGAGCGAGGGAGAACCGTTCGAGCGCATTGTCAAGCGGATGATCATCGATGCATCGAAAAACTCAAGCAGTCCGGGGTCTGTGTCCGGTTCCAGTTCTAAGTCGAGTACATCCCCCACAGCGATCATGGCGCCGTTCCATATTCCTCGTCCAAGTTACAAACTGTATCCCGACGTCATGCTAGATGGACCAGGTTTGGGATTTGGGGAGACGACGATGGCAGAGCTTGCGGGCTTACTGTATTCATCAGATTATGGATGGTCGATGGACGGATTTGGTGTACATTATCAGTAGGGCATGTATTTATTTATTTTTTTGAGTAGTATATAATATTTGGGCTCATGTGTCGAAACAAATATCTAGTTATAGGTACCATTCTATGGGTCGATGGCGTAGCTGGTTATCGCATCTGTCTAACACACAGAAGGTCCTCAGTTCGAACCTGGGTCGACTCATTGATGGCGGTCCGATAATTCTTTTCCCTAGATAGTTACCAAGTACCCCCACTGCTGAGTCACGAGTGCTACGGGGTAGTTTTGCGCCGCGAAACCCGAAGGTAAGTTACTAATTTTTACCGGACCCCCCCCAGAGGGGTGTTTGGATACGCTAGCTTACCTATCGGTCATTTTGAAGAACTAGGAAGGATTGGTGGGTGGGGATAGATTCTTGGCGATGAAGGCGGCTGGTTCCATGTTGGAAGGCAGGCAGTACGCCAGCTTCTAACCAAGCATGATACAGCGTCAGGGTCGAATACGCCTGCCCGGGACAGCGTGTTAAGACAGACAGTGTTGAATGGTCCGGCATCAACTTAAACGTCCTAGACCTTCTTCCGGCAGTTCATTCTCTTGTACCTCTCGATGTCGTTTCGATGTGTTTAGCGGCTTCCTCGACCTGCTCTTCATTCGTGATATCTAGCTGGAGTCTGCCAACGTATTCAATGCTATTATCTTGAAGACTTATAGACATGCGCACGGAACCAGTGATCCCGGAACGCCTGTAATGGATACAGCGGCTTTCTCTAGGACGTCTAGCCTTCGACCAGTTTGCAGCAAAAGCCTTCGCGATACTCAGTCCTCTTCAATGATGCTTAAATGATGAGCTTGACGTGAGAAGAAGCAACGCGTACTCACATTCCGGTTCCGCCTCCAGTGACGAGGCCAACAAGCGACATTGTAGTAGCAACGCTGAGATCTGCCATATTCTGGGAGTGTGGTGTTGGGCGGCCATACGCCGTGTGTTATAGCTTTTATTATGCCTGCGAGAGATCTTCATGCCACCAAATAAGTTCGTTCTCTCAAATCTAAATGAGGTGAAGAATCGAATGCATTCTACAAGAAAAAGCATCTATAGGTGGACTAACGGGAGGCCCAACCGGTCCCCAGTCATCTTCAAGTCCTCACGAGACAGTGAGAACCATCGCCTTCTCACAAACTGCTATGCTCCTCAAGATATCAGCGCCCTATAGGTCTTTTAGAGTCCGGAACAACATCAGGATCAACAATGTGCTGATACTCGGCTGGAAGAAGAGTACCCCTTGGCGTGAGCTCCGCCTTCATCCAATCAAACATACCATCGCACTCCCACCCACCCGTCCTCAGCCCCTCCTTGAGGAACCCAAGAAGCACAGGTAGTCAGGCTTCTGTGCATACTCGAGGGCATGAGCGTACGCCATGAAATCGCACAGTGCCTTCGGAGACCGAGAAAGCAACTCCGTCATCGCACCGTTCGACGGCGTCTTCATCTCGCCTATCCGCTTCAGCTTGGCTTCCACATTTGGCGCGAAGATACCTTTCCAAGGCAGTCGTCCATGGGGAAGTTCAAAGATTACATGACCGAGCGATACGATGTCGTCCCGTCGACTGGCCTCTAACAAGCTCGAGTCAAACGACCGGCCAAAAAAACAGATGCGATATAACAAAGTCCTCCACCAACACCAAGATGTGACCAATGACTCGAATACCGCCAGGTCCCACAGAACCCTCGACCTGTGCGAAGCGGGATATGTTCCCCCTTGACAGAATCGACATACATCTTTGCCAGGCCAAAGTCAAAAGCGTAAATAATGGACGCATTCTCAGTGGCGCGTCCCAACCACGAAATTCTGCGGTTTGATATCGCGAAGTATGATGCCACGCGAGTGGGCATATTCGATGAAATCTAGCTATAAAACTCCTTGAATGTAGACAGTAAAAAAGAAAGATAGGACAGGCAGGGCACACACCATCTAGATACCGATCATTAGCAGCGATTTGAGCGTAAGTGTCCCTCGACAGGCCAGGCGGAGGTTCGCAAGCGTCGGACCAAGGCATTCCATGACTATTACGTCCGTCTCGCCATACGTCCCGCTCCAGTGGATAAACGGGATGACCGGGCTACCGGCCAGTTGCCTGTAAACCTTGGCCTCGTATGGCACTATGCCTTTTGACGTACTAGATATGACGGCCTTGACCACCGCACGATCGTTGGTGAGCCAGTTGACAGCCCGACTAACAGTAACTGTGACGTGTACTAAGCACGCTGTACAGAAGGACCAAGTCAAAAGTGCAAGCTCACCGTTATCACTCCCCGGCAATCACTCGGTCAAGCTGGTACATGTCGCAAACCCGAGGGTTCTGTACCATCTCATTCTTGTCGGCAGCAGCGCTCCGTGTCCACTTGTCTTGGGGTGCTGACCGTGCTCGGGAGATCAGATCAGCCAAACACGCCATCATCGTGGACTTGACTGTATACGCCTCGGACAAAGCGTCGACCTCTGGGTCACATCAGGTCGGACTAAAAGCGCCGTGGCCATCCTCATGGCCGTTGCAGGCTCCGAAGCACTCATAGAAGATGAAGACACGACCAACACTTGCTCTGGAGGGACTGCGCGAGACAGAGCTGCCACCTGCTGAATCTGTGTTACGCAGGGGCCAAACAAACCTGATGGGTTGGCGGGTAGCGGGTTAATGATGGTGAGCGAGAGGTTCTCCAGGGAGGGTCGGATGTACTCTTCGAATGTCTCAGCGTCAAGGATGAAATATCCAAATACATCAAGCCCATGATCCTTGAGGTTTGACAGACAAGTATGACTTGCAGGATCCAACGGGGGTCGCAAGAGTAGCTGGATAGCAGCTTCAGCGTTGATATCAGATTGGCCAGCCTCTCTGAGCAAGGTACAGACAGCCGGCGGAGAACGTCTGCATAGGTACCACCTCGAGCTTGGTATTCGAGTGCGTGCAGCTCATAAAGACGGCGTGTCATCTTGCTGGTCTTCGGCGGATCGAAAGCCAGCTCGAGAGGAAAATAAAAGGAGTCAAAGGGAGCACAAGGCTTCTCGCGCGAGATAATGAACAGACCGCGCCCTCCTTATCGCGGAGATCCTTATGAGTATACTTTGTAAACAGAATATATATGCAGCTGTATGAATTATTATGCTCAACTAGCAGTCACATGACAAAAAAAATTGGATCGAAACCTAAGACGGTGATGGCAGGCCTGAGAATGACCACTTAAAGGGATAAATCGGTTTGTATATCCAAATAAAAATGTACACGATACATAAATCAGGCTATCCTCGATACGTCAATATCCGTGCTTTCGCTCAGCGCACGACTAGATCGCACGGCGTTCATACCGCCAAACGCCCCATGTCCAGGAGAAGACGATCGGCTCTCAGTGTTCCGCACTTGCATAGTGGATGCAACCGGACTCCGAGGCAAGACTGCTGCGTCCTGACTAGTACGCTTTTCAGATCGGTGTCCTCGATTGGGCGTCGGAGCTCGTGACGGGTTACCAGTACCGTCCGGTGTTTGATGTATCACATGAGGGGATTCTTCTTCGTACATACTGTAAGCAGGAGGGTTTATGCGCTGTCTCGATGCACTTTCAGGGTTGGTCGCAGAATGATCAGCGATTGGGTCAACGGAAGATATCGAAGGTCGTTGATAGTGGGTGTGTAAATCCGTACCTCCCTCGCCTTTCCTGTCGACCGTGTACGAGGGTGATGCTGTCATCAAAGGGGTAGCAGTGAATGGGTGAATGATATCCTCTGGATTCATAATCATTGGTGGAGGGGACATTAACTGGCGTGTCGGAGAAGTGGGTGGAGACATGAAAGCAGAAGAGCCGTGGATGGAGCCGAAATATGAAGGTGTGGTCCCTTCTCCAGAGTGTGAAAGTATAGTGTGAGTCGCCTGGGTAAGCGAGCTCGAAGGACGTTGACCTGCGGAATCGCTATAGAGTATTGCAGGACCATTCTTTTGCGTTAGATCAGATTGGGAGCGGAAATGTCCTGGTCGAATCTCCAGGATTTTAGGTGCACGATGTCGACGATGACGTCGGAAAAGGAAGAAGGCAACTACAGCTGCACCGGCTACCACGGTAACGCCCCCAACAACTCCCCCCACAATAGCGCCCACCAGTCTCGAAGAACCGGAGCCGTTACTGGTGTCATTTGAGGGACCACTCAAGTCGGCATGTCCTAGGAGGGAGATGAACACTATCCCCTTGATGACATATCGCCAACTCACCTTCCAAAGATAGATTCTTCGCCTCGGTCGTGTCAAATTCGCCATTGTTCCAAATCGAGGCTACGTTCACCACGGTAAGCTTTCTAGCTCGAAACAATGTAGGGTATACTCACGATTTTGTGCAGCCCAGTAAGGAATCGAAGCAGCTGTCGGAAGAGTATAATCCTTATCATAAGGGAAGAAACTGCAATACATACTGAGCACACATTTAGATTACTATAATAATAGACTCACGTTGTATTGGACAAGTCATCTCCACAATTCGCCTTGTAAGCGGCCCAGCTAAAACGTAGCCTTAAGATAGTGCGTAAAAGAACATGCGGTGAACACACCCCCAGCTAGCATGACTACCGGCTTGGCACGCTGTACAAGCACCGAAAAGGTTGTATGCAGCCCAGGAACTATTATGCAGAAATTTTTAGAGTTCATAAATTCCCTGTATAATGGCGAGCGAACCATGAACAAGGCGTCACTGAGATAGCCCCATCTCCTGGCCGATCATAATGTGTATCATTACTCAAAGCCCATACATAATATGCTGTTCAGCCAAAGCTGTGAGCGGACAAGAAAGTCAATCACGAAGCAGATGCTCACTATCCGTAAGACAAGAAGCCATAACGTATGCAACCAGTGAACAAGGATTTAGCTCTTCTGCATTGTCAGCCCAAGTAAAGTCGCTCGTGCATGTTGCATTCGTCTGGGGACCCCGCGGCATGAGCGCCGCTGATGAGAAAGAGCTAGTAAGCACCCCAAGGCCGTACAATGAAGCACTGAGTAGTCGTCGGAAGAGCATGACAATAGCTAGTGGACGCACTTCCGATGAGGAGAGGAGCGACGGGACGTACAAAGTGGGGGAAGACAAGCAAGAAAGGAAGCAGGACGGCGATGTATGAAGATCTCAGCTGATGGATGGTAACTCGGGCCTAATCAAGCGGCGTCTGATTACATCGAAAAACAGCTATCAGCGAGAATAGCTGTGTCATGCGCAGCCTTGCTGTAGAATGTGTACCCGTGATGTTGAGTCACTAGTATTCGACTTCGTGGTGCATGTTGAAACGGTAAATGAAAGACACACCGAGTATCGCACCAGTGGCGGATCGTACATTTTGAATTTAGGATGACGTTGTCGTGTGTATGTATTTAAGGAACAAGAACGTTCTTCGGAGCCGCTCCAGATAAACCCTAGTATTTCGAGCGATATTTCAACCCTCTGAGAGCCTGGGACCCTGACTCCACAATTAAAGCTGCAAACCACCATGGTTCCGAGCCTTCACAGTCACTAAACTGAGTAATGGTAGAACAGTCAAAAGATCATCTCGGCCGCGAACGCATTCCGAGGAAGGACGATTCTTCGCGGGCCAATTTTGGCCCTGATTATGTTTGGCAGGAATAAGCGCGTTCAGGTAACCTCGCTGAGAGAGTGCGGTGTAAATCGCCCCGAAATGAAGCTAGATTATACAGCATTCGAGAATACAGCAGATAAATTATCGAAGAAATCTAGCTTACACTTCTACAAGTGCTGTCAGGCTGTCGTCCGAGGCCTCTTCGCTAAGGAGCCTGGTTCGGCCCTGTTTTTACGCTTCGTTGCAAGGAAGTGAAGGTAGGCTAGGCTATATTTGGGCACTGGTGCAGGCGCTACATTTGTTGGCGGAGCAGCGAACCAAAGAACTTCGTCGGTTTCTAGATCGCGGTCAAAGTGTTTAGCTGTGCGAACACAACATTTAATGAGTAATCCATTCAAGCTGTCAGTACATCATCACGTACTGGTTTCTGGAGGAAGTTTTTCCTGCCGGGCGTTGTTTCCCAATGTCAGTCCAGAATTAAATAGAATCGAACGATCCACGGCTGTTGTCGCATTCGATGCCGTAGTAGATATGGGAATGATATGTGTCACTCTGCTGCTGGGAATGATAGAACCACTAATAAGGCCTCCTGATGCCTTGGCCCCGTTCTTTCCCTTACTAAGGAAGGGACTAGGAAGTCGACGCGGAGAAACAATTCTCTCAAAAGGATAGATAGGCACCAATTCACGGGATTCCTCCGGCATGCATGAGCTCCAGTCTTTTACCTTAACAAACGCACGACTACCGTTGTTGTATCGAGATTCGCATACGTATAACGGGATACCGGGATACCAGTAGGGAGCTCTGGGTCGCCCGCGAAAATTGTCGACGGCATATTGGCATGCTATCTTTTCTAGTATATCTTCGAGCGGATGCTCAGCGAAGTGACCTCCAAGGAAACCATCAGATGTAACCGAGAATGAAAAAAACGTGTTCATACTTGTCTTGAATACTTCCCCTTCTAAGAACGTCCGATCAGAAGTGTGATGGGTCTGGTGATCTTTTACAGCAAGGAAGAACATAACAAAAGATAGAAAAATACCTGTTCGGGTCTGAAGAACCAGCAAACGGTTATGCCATGCTGACCTTTCCGTGATCTAAGCATCAAAGTCAGGATAAGGTCATCAACTGAATATCGATTATCAAGCATGCCTTTCTTCAGCAACCCAGCATTTATGCACCTGTCCAATGGTAGGGAGACTTGGATAATCAGGATTGCTAAGGTGTACCCAGTCACCGGCCTTAATGGTCCAGCCCTTGTAATGATGCCGATCCACAAAGTTCCTGCCTTTGGTGGGAATATGGTCACTGGTTACACCTGTACCAGAAGCAGGTCCGGATGCACCGGGTCCGGCACGTAGCGAGGCAAAGTTTGTTGGTGAGGAATAAGGCGGACCGTGTGGTGGCGCTTTTGAGGTCAACGCTTGATACAATCTCTGGAAAACGATGAGTCCTTCTCGCAGCCGAGATAAAACTTCGCTGACTTGGAGAAGAAGAACGTGGCCATAAGCATCGGAACCGGGATCATGCCACCTTCTTGCTTTAGCGAAAAGTTGCATGAATTCGACGTCGAAGTCTTTTGGAGTGGAATAATCTTTTGCGCGAGCGCGACTCTAAGCGCCATTCAACTGATGAAAAAAAGAACTGGACAGACACCAACCTCAATAGACTTCAGAGAGAGTGGCATCTGCAAGAAATCAACGATATCTTAACATAAGAGAAGAGAAGAAACCCAAACATTTAGCGACAGATATGTTATCTCAGCGCGTTCTGGCACGGATTCCAAGACGAAAGCATATCGATTACCTCTGGATATGATGAGCCAAAAATAAGCGACCAAACACTTGACGTACATCACATCTTTGTGGCTCTTGATAGCGTGGACTAAATCCAGGTAAGAAATCTGTACCGCTGGTGATTAAAAAATAGCCGACCAGAAGACAAGCGAAACCGTCACCTTGATATTCCCCATCCAGCCTTCCTCTGAGAATCCGGGCCATCTGGGCAAGCTCTTATCCAAATGACGGATAACTTCCTCACTTGCAGCATCTCTCTCTGTGGGTACATGCGCTTGAAGGTCTGCCACACTACCGACATCTATCTCTTCCTCGGAAGATGACGGCTCAGGGGATGGTTGGCCATTGGAAGTATTCTGATTGGCGGAGGCATCATTTGCTGGTATAGCTGTAGGAATGATCGGAGTATTTTTGGTAGAGACCACTGCTGCCTGCGCTGTTAGGGGAGAAGAAGCGGGAGGTTTTTCGGGGGGAGGCGATGGTTCTTCTTCTTCCACCTTGTGGACTTTCTGGGCAGATCTCGGCGGCGGGGACGTTCGAGGAGGGGGCAAGACCGTTCGTTTCTTCCACTCAGTCTCCAAAAGACGCTAGGACTTCGATGAACATGGGCAGGGACAATAATCGCACAAAATTAACGCACTTTTAATGTTTCAGCATCCATGGCAATCTGACTACCCGCTTCGTTGTAATAGAGCGCGTTCCAGAAGACGAGGGACAAATCCGCATACGCGTCTAGGGCTGCTCTATACCGATTCTTTTCTAATGTCGTACGTATGCTATTGATACACCGAGGATCTGGAATAATCTGCAACAATGAAGGGGACGACCACGAACGAAGAAAGAGCATACCTCGTAATATTCTGGCCATTCCTTTGGATCGACGAGGCTCATGAACATGGCTGAGAGAAGTCGCCTTCCTTTGGGCACGGTGGCAGTAGTGATGGCATTTACAACCTCCTCAATGGCCTGTTTTTGCGCAGCGGACAAGGGCATCCTACTGGTACCGCGTCGCGGTCACCGAGTCGGGATTTTGAGATTAGTAGCAATTAAAATAATTGCCTGGGTACACCGGGTTAGTTGTATATTCGTAGCGCTGCTGCTGCTCGTAGGAAGAAGAGAACGGCGGACGTAATTTGACTTTATTGGAGAAATTCTTGATGGTGGGCGCGAAGGAAGAATCGCTGGATTAGATAATCGTGACCAAGCTTGTCTCTGATGCTGCAACCAAACAAAGACCCCGATCACAAAAGTTTCGGGGCTTTTCGATCACTTCTTGATCTCCCACCGTGACGGCATATTGTTGGTAAATGAGACATACCAATCGATCTTTTGTCTTTCGACATCATGCAAAATGAATCCGGGAACATATGTGTACGTGAAGGCTTATTTTGTTTTATTCTCAACCGAATGGCTATACACAGGACATGAACATTGCGTCACTAAAACGAGCAGCGCGAAATGGTTCAATACCCGCGATGAAAGAACTTGCCACCAGGGCAATGCAAAAAAATCATTTGCTAGCTCAGGTTTTCCCCCTTGTCCAACAACGTCTTTCAGACGTACCTACACGGGACGAAGCATCCACTCAGATGGCACTCATTTGCTTTGATTCTCTAATTTACGGTCTCGAGAATGATCTCATCGGTAATTCAGCCGCCCTTCTCCTACCTCTCTGGCACTCTATTCATCCATGGTTATCCTTCTTCGTCACACAATACCATCTGGACCTTACTGAATCGGCCGTCGACGACCACGAAGCCCTGCTGAAGTCGGCTAAGCTGGTGTATCTCTTTTCCCGGATACCAGAGGTGTTGTCATTGTTGACTTCCGTTCCTCGCTTGGTTGGCTGCATATTCAAAATGTCCCTCATCGCAGCTTCGGTAGATTATGACTCGGACATCTTTATATCTACTTCAAAAACCATCACCCTGGTCACTGCTGCTGCAGACCAGTTAGACCAGGGCTGGCAGGTCGACGTTTCCCATGTCTTGACATCAGAAGCACCCGCCAACCTCGCGCTCTGCATAGTTCAGCGGCTCATAGAACTCGTGGAAAAACCCCAAATTCTCTATCCCGATCTCATCGCCCGCTTAGAAACCATGCTCATCTGCTCAGGAAACGATGGCAAACTACGTCTCCAGTTTTTTTCGAAGAAATCGGTGGCATGGGTGACGTTTGTCATGGGACGATTGACCCGTACGCGAAACCTTGAACCTATCAATTTGCCTCAGGCCCGGCGGGCCATGTATCTGTCCGTCATGTATCTGAAGAAGAACTTGAGATGCGGGTTTACGTGGGTTTCGGATGCCCTAGACAAAGGGATACTGCAGTCCATCGTGAAGGCACAGCCGTACCTCGCCTATGAGCATCAGTGTCGTACTGATGCCTTCACAATGGAGTCCATGATCGTGGAAATCCTAGATACGATCAGCCTGCTGGCGATTTACAGGAGCGTATTGCACCGCGCTCGTACGTCACTGAGGAGGGCGGAAGCGATGGAGGATGTGGAAAATTTCCGGGGAGTAGTGAGAGACGCCTGGGTGAGGTTGAAAGATAAGGTGGACTACTTGTGGAATCTGCGACCGATTTATTTTATGGCTCGCGGTGGGCGGACAAGTTGTATGAATGACGACGTATGTTCAGCCTATCCCAGCGCATAGTTTGATCTAGCTAATGGCTTGATAGTGCATCACCAGACGACAGGGGGACACATCTTCCAGAATATACGACATGCGATGTTCCGGATGCCAATATGCCTATTACTGCTCTCACCAATGCGCTAAGTCGGGATGGAGAGATGGACATCGAGCGCAGTGTCTTGAACTACGTCGGCAATTTCGAGGTGGGCTGACCCCTCCTGCAAATTACCGTCAGCGCTGAAATATTCTTTGCATGATAGAAGGACACCCCCGCCTCATGTCACCCAACGAGGATGAGTGGTTCATCGTCGTTGGCCAGAGTGAGGTTTATCGTACATTGGACGGAAAAGAGACTGTCGATGCTCTGCGGAGTGCCTACCATGACGCTCATCCTTCGGTGCCAAACCACTCTGTGTTGACATTCATCGACTACACTGTTCTTCCCGGGCCGAAGATCGAGGTCATGAGTTTGCAAGACTTTGTGAGCACTCGAGATATGGGCTACTACCACTGGGAGAGGTATCGAGATTTGGCAATTGAAAGGAACGGGTTCTTGTTGGGAATTACAATACCGGATCGGGATTTGCATCCATATAATTGCCTCGCTTTGTCTCGGGAGCATTGATTTATTAGTTGTATGTGTGATGCCGGACGCCTCTTTGTATCCACTAGTACGCAGCTGCCGTTGTATTTGTACTCATACGTCTACCTGACATGCATTCAATCTTGTAGTAGCTATTTTACAGAACATGATTGAATTTTTGAAGATGATCAGAGGATAAGCGAGGTTGACGGATCTGTATGCCCCCAGATAGACTTTCCGGAGGCCGACACAGCGGGGAAAAATGAACCACCTTGCCGAGATCCGACGAACCATCGGCTTTACCCGCTACTAACAACGATGACTCGGACGACCATGACATCTAGGCTCGCTTCATTACGGAGGACAGCAAGGACAACGACTTCTCAGACCGTAGAATTGACGTTCGAGGTCAGGGCTGCTCTGCGTTCCCTGTGCTTTGTTTTAAAGTCGTCTGGCAACTCCGAGTCCTTGTTCAATGGATACGTCATTACTCCCGTGTCTATGTCTAAAGGAGCGACTTCGGTTTTTTCTTAAAAATGAAAATCGAAATCTCGACTTCTGTTCTAGCTCGACGTTTTAAAGACTCCAGGTGCGCTCTAAAAGATCTGAGCTCTGAAGTTTGTCTACGCTCCTATGCGATGGCGACATCTTCCACAAACAAACATAAAATACCAAGGCTCGTCTAAATTATCTATGTTCAAGGGATCCTGACATGCTTGATATATTCTTTTCATTCGACGTGCATGAAGCAGCGATCAATACGCATCAAACAACTTCTTGGGTCATACTCAGGTATCTTACAAGAGCGCTCAGACGTTTAAGATGGATATAACTGCGTTCTAGGATTCTATTGATCATCCTACAGCCTCCAAAAACTCATACCATTCCTGTGTCTGTCACAATTGAGAAAAAAGAAGCACAAGAGTAAAGAAAAACCCACCCCGAGCCTCATCGCCGTCGAACCCGACCGCGGCTGTTTCTAGGAACTATGTAGGGCAACCTGCTCGGTTCTTCGAGGTTGAATATGAACGAGCCAAACCTCCGCTTTGCGTAACGGATAATTATCGGATCCATGGGAAACTCTCCTTGAAACGACTCTGGCGGCATCCATCTATCTCTTTGATTCACTATCTTCTCTGCAAGCTCCTGTAACGCAGTATGTACTATTGCCAACTGTTCTGCACCGAGGTCTCCTTCTGTCGTCGGAAAGCATAGACTGAGAGCCCTGTATGTGAAGGACCTTATGGTAACCGAATGGAAACACTTAGTACACGAATATCAAGGTGTGGCTGGAAATACCTCTGTACCTTATCAGGTCGTCGCGGGCAGTATCATTAGAAGAGCTACTCATCTTCAACGCAAGAAATACGATTGCTTGGATTCTTCGTTTGTACACAGACGCCGTCGTCATACGACTGCCTCGCCTTTCTCCTCGGGTATTGGGTGAGATAGCCTCGCGCTGAAGGTCACGAGCAGCTCCCACGGCGCTCGCTTGCATCAATCAGGGCTCTTGATATGCGACGCAACGTTCCAGACAGCAAGCATTCAAGCCTTGAGGCATGACACATCTCATTCCACAAGTGCGATCTGAACAGCGAAGATTTACCGTCCAGGGAAATGCGCTTGGCTCCAATCTTCATGGCTCGTCTGTTTGAAATTCACCCTTAATAATATGTATACATGCCTCAGTCGTAAGCAACCGCTTCTGATACTGGAGTATTTATTAAGTGTTTAATATCATTACGAGGCTCTACGAGAAGTGATGAAAATCGCGTATTATAAGTTGAGATCTAGTGTTGTTTTCCACCTGAGGATAGCTTAGCCGACATCACCCTTCAAACCTGATACCAATTAGCGTCCCAAAGTAACTTAGCGATGAAAATGAGACTTACTCCGCCACGCCAATAAAATCCCCAGATCCACGATCCTGAGCAAAGTACACTTTCCCACCTTTCTTTGAAGTTATGCGATCCAAGACGCCGTTCTTGTAGTGAAAACTGAATTTTCTTCCTGTATGCTCTTTGATCGATTGATCCCAAGCCGCTGGAGATAACCTTTCCCGTTCATCGGGGGCCATCGCCTGGGTAACGTTTTCTGCTATGTCCTCTGCAACTTCTCGAAATGCTGTCTGGATGCCCGGAGAAACCGTGGCAAAATCTGCGGTGCCATAATACAACTTGAACGCACGGTACTGCAGGGACCTATAATGAACGTCGGTGGTAGTTAATAAGAGAGATTAACATTATGGCGCGAAGGAGATTTACAGTCGTAGAGCCTCCAAGGAAGGATTGACAAAATGCAGCTTATCGATGTCGGAGGCGTTCATCGTAGAGACGGAATGGTAGAAATTTTCTTGATATGCTATAAGGGATTGATTTTTGCGGCTGTGCGGTCGCTCTAGGTCTCAATTCAGAGTTTCCCGATCTTTGTCTTTTGAACGACGATTGGATGCTGAGACGCCTGGGTGGGGCGATCTGGTCGAGAGTGTTGAAGTAAGGCAAAGTGTGGTGCCTGGCGTTTAACTCATGTACAGGAGGATAACATGCGGTATCCCACGTTTTGTCATCATTGCGAGGCACACCAGCAGGCGTCCATATTCAAAGTCTTACAGCACGACCAATAATAGATGCCGTCGTTTGCCTGTCTAAGAGAAGACCAGGTGTGGATAGCGACAGCCGAGAAGACATCAGGCATATTATGTTGGGCAGGAAACCAGATGCCGCAGCCAGCACAGAGTACTGTAGCACAATCAGCGGAATCCACTTTTCCGTGAAAATGATGCTTTGCAAAGAGTTCGTTGGATGTTGATACAGGCCATAAGTACAGTTTACATCGAAGAGCATTGAGAAACTATGCTACGTACCTCACACTGAATCGGCGATTAGCCTTTCCGGAACTTCAACATATCCTCTCCAGCATTCCACGAATGCGGCCAGCTCGGCGCCCTCAACGACGCGATGGTCAGCGCTCCAGCTTACCCCAACCTTCAGCCTCCTTTCTCCTTTTCCGTCTCCGACATCCACATCCCATATCCATTTCGCTCTCCCAATAGCGACAATCGCAACGCCGCTTCCAGGTACAAGCACTGGCGCGGCAAACTCCCCGGTACCAACGGCCCCAACATTAGACACGGTCAACGTTCCACCTCCTTTGGGCATCTCCTTAGGTGTGAGTCCACACGGAACTTGTCTGCCTAGATGGGAAAGACGCTTAAGAGTTGACGCGAGGCCATACATGTTATACGTATCGACGCTATGCAGTGTAGGCGTGTACAAACCCGTCGGGGTAGAAAGGGCGATGCTAACGTCGGCATGTGGGCGTACTGTCAGGGTGGGTTTCGCGCCTGGATCAGACGTGCCGGGTGTTATGGAGGAACGGAAAAGTGGCCATTCGAGCATTGATTTTGAAAGTGTCTTAAGAAGGACAGGAAGGTACGTCAGGTGTGTATATTGTTGAGAAGGCGCAACTTGGGGCAGAGAAGGTGCTGGATAGACAGCAGACGGAGAAACTGTCAACGGTGACGGGAGTGAAGAGGGCGAAGGTTTGTAATGCTCAGGTATATGCGCGTTCAATATCGGTAAAAGGTTGTATAAGGCCGTAAGATCGAGAGTTGTTGAGTACCCAAAATGTGGTATTTCTAGACTCTGTCGAGAGCGTAAACGTATTGTCGGGAATCAAGGATTTTTATTTTTCTTACCTTCACCATAGCTTTCCACATGCCATATCGAGTACGGCCGAGTTCCACAATGGCGTCCTGGCCAGGAAGACTTTGCGATGGTGATGCAGAGGCCTGCTCCGAGAGATATCGCTCAATGTCGTTCTTCTCAACTCTGCCATCTCGTCCACTGCCTGGAGAGACCTGAGCTAGTTTGATACCTTTCTGTCGGGCGTAATGTCGAACGGAAGGAGTGGCCAAAAAATTGTCGGCCTTTGGTGCAGGATGGCTTGGATCTAATGGGTGTGGTCGTGGCGTCATAGCGGTCTCCGCGTCTGGACACGACTCTGGAGAGGATTCGGCTGCAGGTTGTACTGGCGTTTCCTTTTTGACGGCGTCCGGGGAGTCCGTTTCTTCTTCCACCTCCACCTCTATCAAACACAGCCCAGTTCCCACTTTCGCGACTTCTCCTTCCTGAACTAAAAGCTGGGTAACGACACCGTCGTAAGGACTGGTGATCTCTACGCTGGCTTTGTCACTTTGCACCTCGCAGAGTGCATCGAATGCTTGCACCGTAGACTTTGGTTCAACGCTCCTACAAAATCAAACTGGTAAGGTAGAACAAATATCGCCCTGGCATTTCGGACGGAACATCACCAACCATTTGATGACCTCACATTCCGTGATTCCTTCACCAATATCTGCTAGCTTGAATTGCTTTATGGACTTCTTGGATGCCAAAGTTGCAGGGGAACTATGGAAACAAGAGAAGAAAATGGGCCGTCGCATTGCCAGGCGAAAAGAGCGGGACAACATGGCGGTACGGAGCCAAGCTGGACCCCACGGGGAAGAACATATTTGGAAACTAGATCTCCTATTTAGTTTTATCTCGTAATGCTTCCGTTTCTGGGACATGCCGTGAGTGCCGAACTCTTCGACTCTACTCTCTACAAGCTTTCTGCGTTTGTCTCTCAAAGTTAGGCGTATTTTCTACTGGATCTATTGAGTATACTCACGCTCCCTTTCAAAGGAAAACGGTCACATTACAGATATGATCGTACACATTTTCTCTTTGCCAAACCATCTACTATGTGACAGCGGAGGTTACCAAACGTGCACCATTCAGACAGTCGACAACGTCCGCTATTCTACTAGCTTTTCGTAAAGCGTGCCGAGATATGCTTACGTCTATCTATGAAAGACGCCGTTGAACTTGGGTTCCGGCATAAGCCAGCCAATGGACCTTGCAAAGGCCCTCCAGATCATGAATTCCTTTCGGAGCCGCTGTCGTCGTTTCAAGGACTCGTTCACCGTAAATGTGGCAGTATTCGATCAGACTCAGAATGATCTTGATACCGAGCTGTGAGGCTCATTTAACTATCATGTGTTCCTACGTGCGTTGCAGTACGTGCCCGGGTTCGGATCTCGTGCGACTTTAATCGATGATCTTCCTGCCCTCTTTTCTACCATGAAGCTCCGTTATCAGTAAACTGTGGAGGGACTTAATGCCCTTGAACAACGTCTTGTGGGATTTCAGAAATACTTTGGTGACTTGAAAATGACAAGGAATTGATGCTAGCCATGAAATACATTCACCCAATTCTTCACGGCAACCAAACTTCCGATTACTCTTTCCTTTCGTCATTGCAGGTTGCCTATGCCAGTCTCCTAAAGCAATACATGACTGTCGGTCGTAGTATGATGGCAGTGTACGTGATTTTCTCTATGCTTTTGTCAAAAGCACTGATTTGATTGAGCTAGTTATAACAAGACAAGATCTCAGGTTAGATCAATTCTACACACGGCGTTGACACTCTCAGACAGTGACCAGCGCCTCAGTGCTGCCGGTGAGATTATCGACCATGTCCTGATGTTAGACCTATGCGACGTATCAACACTGGCTACCGCGGAGGAACTCGTCACTCTTTTCAGTGTCTTTGCCATTAATGTAGAACATGAAATGGACTTTTTGGTGAATGTTCTCAATAATGTTCATCCAGTCCGTCCTTCGTTGGAAATTTTCCGGAAATCTCATAGTTGACGACCATTCTCTCGACACAGGACATGGAAATCAAGTCTCGTCTCGTCCCGGCAGCTACAGAAATGGGGAAATACGCTTCGCTGGGGTCGGCGGTAACCGGTTTTGTGGGCGTAGTGGCAGGTACAGCACTTGAAGCCAGTGTAACTTTCACTGTGACAAGTGGCGCTTTTGCTGTCGCTGGGGCTGTGGGCGGTGCAGCCCGGTAAATAATGGATTTCGAATTTCTTGTGACGCTATGCTAACTTCATCCATCTGTAGCCTCGGCAACTGTGGATCCTGATAATACGGACGAGATTCGAAATGCAGTAGGTCAACTCGAAGCACGCATCCTTTGTGGCGTTGTTGCGTGGCAAAAGTTATCTGCGCTCTTCAAACGCCTTATAGAAGGAATCCCGCCACCCGATGCAGGAGCCTTCATTAAAGCATACAAGAAGCATGTGAGTTCTTATATCCATACTGTTCATAAACTTTCAGCGTACTCAAACAATCTTCAGTTCTGGGATGGCCATGATGCCTTTCGTGATTTCGTCGGGAGAGAAATCATCAATATGCCCGTCTATCGGGAGGTTAAAGCAGGTTTCCCCAGTCTTCATTATTACCTGCAACCCGCCATGCTGTTTCGTTCTCTCGCGACTACACTCTTTTTTGTCGTCTCTTGGCGCAGGGTGAATATGGAAGACACTAGCAGGTAAATCCGATCCACACTCGTGGATTCTGATTCATTCCTACACTTCATATAATGACGATGGCTGGACTCAACCTCAAACCGCATGGATAGCAGGAGCAAATGGGCAAGGTTACGCGAAATGCGAGACTTATTCACCTGCAGAGCGCGAAATCTGGGCAGAGGTGCGCCATAACCTGTGTGTATTCCTACATATTGGATATAACTGATCGCGCTTTAGTACGTCGAAGGGTTCTCAAGTTCATTGCGACGCCGAAATCGCAATGAGTGGCTCCGAGCCATGCGCAATATCGTCCTCGAAATGGGATCCCAGCAACAAGCCGATGCCAGGCGACACCTCGGGGATGATCATTGGGAGGCAATGGTGCTGCTCGACATACCGCGCTGGTACTGGCACTTGTGGGATTTGGCCCCCGTTGAAGTCTCATCGCCGGTAATTCACGATTTCTCCAAAATCTGAGCGAAGAAGCTCATGCTGACTTCCAGTGCAATGCATGTCGCGCGTCTAAACACCTTGTCATTACACTCCCAACGCCGCCGCCAATGAGTGCCGGGAATGCCATCTCCAAGGGAAAACCTGCTTGCTGGGCAATAGCCAAGGGGCGAACAAGAAGCGGACCCGCGCTGACTCCGTCGAAGAAGACGAGGACTTCGACCCTATTACTGACCCGAAGGTAAAACGGGAAGGAGACAATCAGAAGAAACGCAAAGTGGATTCGGAAGCGGACAAGTGGGACTCGAACTTCGTCAAGCGCCTCGAGCTTCAGCTGGAGGTAAGGGAACGACAGGTTGCTGGTCTCTTGGAAGAAAACAATAGGGTCAAGCAATGCTACGATGAATCAAGGAATAATATTATACTGCTACGACGAGAGATTTCACAGCAGAAACTTCGTGCAGGTGAATTGGAAAGTAAAGTCAAGCACGCAGAAGAATTGGGTGGGATAAAGCCTCCCCGGAGCAGGAACTGGAGGTGTTGAGGTCAAAACTGAGGGCCGAGCATCAGAAGTACAAACGGATCAAAGAGAAGAGCGACGCATTTACTGACGCTTTGCAGAATTGGCTCAGACAGTAACTAAAGGTAATGGATTGTCGAAGGGACTATAGAATACACGTGATGGAAGCCTCTGAAGTGCGCGTTCACTAATGTAAAACTCCCACCCTTAAGGGTATTTGAGAGCCTAAATGTGCTTTGCCCTTCACAACGGGTACAACGCCTGGTGATCCGGGGAAATGTTGGATCTCTACACCTCCCTCGGGTAAACTGAATTCGAAGTGCAGAAGCAGATTGGCTAGGACTGTTTGCAATTGCATGACTCTGCATTCCGCTGATCAGTTAGACTGAAGCAAAGCTGGAAAGAGGAGGTACATACGCGAAACGCCATCTACGAGAGAAGAAGATCAGCAAGAAAATGAAGTGAATCACAGCAGCCAATTACCCGATACATGAACGAGATCCAGAGCCTGAGGGTCGTTTTAGTGGTGGAGAAGGTTCGCTGGGGTGTTAACTCACTAAATGTCATCCTGGCATTCCGCCAAGTAAGTAAGCGTCGAGATTGCGCACAAATAGCCAAAGTCTCACTCACAGATTAGCATACACACCCAGTGACCCAGGAAGAGTCTTGTCGAAAAATCGAGCCGGGTTCCACTCTTCTGCGTCGTCTCCCCAGAGACATGGAAGACTAGGAATGGTTTGCGTCAAATTTGTACTATCGATGTAGGAAGAGCATACCGATTATATAAATAAACTGAACAAAAAAGTGTCTGTCCCTTGGGTATGGCAAGTGTCTTCCCTTCGGAAAGAGGTAGGACATCATCGTGAGGAGCGGTACGTGTCAAGGAAGGAGCCATTGGGTGTATACGGAGAGTCTCCTATCAGTAGAGGTGAATGAGGGCATTCGAAATAGCTAAGCCTACTACTCACTTTGATAGCTGCGTTCAAAAACGGCATAGAGTCGTAGTCGTTTGATTGTTTGAGCTCTGCACGAATTATAGACTGATACTCTGGATGTACCGCCAGTTCGTATAATATCCAAGCCATACTGGTGCTCGACGTCTCGTGCCCTGCAACCACAAAGGTCCTGGAACGAGAGCAAAATCAGGTAATAAAGAACAAAGAAAGAGATATTACAAACATCAGCTGCGCCTCGACTTCGTCATCCTGCATTTTGCCTTCTGAACGTGCTCTTGCTAGAGTCGCAATCATGTTAATAGATGCATGTGTCGTTGGGACCAATGTTCTGACCTAGAACGTTGACGATATCTCTGTCGCCGTCTGACACCTGCACCTCGTTATTCCGAACCATGACTTCTCGGGCAACTTTCTTAGCCACGTTTCCTGAGCTGGCAAGTAGACGAATCTCTCGAGTAGAGATCAAGCGTAGAAACCATAACACCCAATACGGAAGCATTCGTATCAGGGCTATGAAGATGAGCTCTGATGCCGTCGTATTGACTTGCGAGGCAGTGCTGGACCGGGATGTTAGATATGATAGTCATGGAACGACTTTTCTTACAAAAGATGCTTCATCGCACGCTCCAACTCGGATTCCTGACCATCGAGCGCACGGAAATCGTATCGGAAAGAGGCTTTCGAATGTTAGGTCAACTAGTTGGAGAAAACCATGGATGGCACTTACCTAACCCAATTATATCCAGAGAAACCTTGCCTGTCCAATCAACAGCATTGACGGTATCATCTGAGCCAGTCAGAGATCTTTGGATATCATTCACGAGCTATAGTTTCCACTAGCATCCGAACATTGCTGCACGTCTATGAACAGATTAACCTACCTTGTCGCTGCATTGCTGAAAGATGACCTGATATTTTCGGAGCTGCGCAGAAGGGAACGCCGGATTCAATATCTTGCGTTGGCGGTGATGATTGTCATCTGAGTGCATTAGGTGTGACTTTGTACACAAGCCTAGTCGAAATAAACACTCACTGTCAACGGTGACAAGTCCCTTGCCAATGATGAGATCTATGAGGAAAAGCGTGTCCTTCGACTTTGGGTAAGGTCGTGATGGGTGGAAAACGTGTTCGAGAGCCTTTGGGTCACACACTACCAAGACGGATTGCTAGCCAATTATTGGCTTAATTGTGACCATAACAAAGGCAGAGAGCTTGCTCACCCCCAAACAACCCGCAATACGATAAACGGTACCATATTCCCTGCACCATTTCATTTCGAGATCACCAGCATTATCTTGACCGCGGAGGACGCCCTCGTGGCCTCGTAGTATCGTGCATGAGCCCATGTTTATCCTGATGACGATCGCTTACCTAGCCAGAAAGAGGCCGATGGTGGTCCCTTGACGTGCTTGACTGACGGTCGTTTGAACCACCAATGAAGCAGAGACGCCAGGAGGAGCGATGCGATGATAAGGAATAATGTGGGCATGAGAAGAAAGGACTCTGACTCTGAGGGTTAACGATATCTTTCGGATTTTAAGATGCTCCCAGAGTCCGGCGATTGAACAAAGGTTTGCAAACAAGGAGATCTCCTCGAGCTAAATCGAGTTTATATTGTCCATGATGGCATTCCGCAAGACAGGCTGAATAGCAACCGTCCCGCCCTGGTGAAATTCTGTATCTGGCTACGATTTTGATGCAGTCCCACTGGAAGAGAAGTGGCGTCAGCCACTTTAAGACAGTTCAAGAGATCTGTATTGAACATGTAGTCAGTAACCAGTTCGGTAGAATGATTACTTGACTTAACCGATCAAAGCGTCCGTTCTCATGTTCTCAAAGTTGTGCTAGATGTGGAGCTTCAAGACCTGTTCCACATATGGCTTCAACTAATACTGACTTCTCCGTGGGCTAGTCTGATTCAGGTGGGATCTGCTCGAGAATATAAAAGGGTAAATAGGAACGAATCTAAGAACTTTCCTGCGCAGTGCCTTTTGGATATATGATAACAAACATACCGCCGCCGTACGCCATGCGGTTAGGACCCGATGATTCCTCCGAGCTTCGCGGGAAGACGTGACAAAGGTTCTTCGCAGAAGAGTGTGTGTATACCTGGGGAAACGGATGAGCATCAAATCATTAAACCGACATACGGGTCCAATTCACCTTCTCCTCGCACTGCGAATATTTCTTTTGAGTTTTGAGTGTCCCCCAGAACTTCGACACCCACTCGCAGGATATTTTTTATGAGGATAAGGCTGGACACCATGTTCGCACTGATGACTGTCGTGACAAATCTCTTGGTTCCTCGCAAGTCGACACGGGTGGCTTGGGAAAACGCTAGTATCCTGCGGCTCCTCCAAGCTGTTACAGCCTACAAGACTTTCTGATACCCAAGTTCCACCGTCGCAGCATGTCCTATTCAAATTTAAGCTATGGCAAAGTACGGCAAGACTCACCTGATAGTATCTTCCAGCTCCGTATTTATATCCCAGGTCCCTTAAAGCACGACATGGATAGGTCAAAATTTTCATGTTCTTTACAGTAAGCCTGCATGGCGAAGAGATACCTATTTCAAGCTAGGCGGAGGTATTTCAATGAGGGTGCCTTCACCCCCGATGATTTTCCTCTCGTTGGGCAGAAGCGCCATTGATAACGTATATTGGCTTGCTTGTGGGTCGCTGGTGCCAGTGTCGATGCTTGAAGCATAAGAATCAGGAGGCACCACTTCGGTCATGGTGGTAAAGAGTGATAAAGCATTGTCAATATTGAGGCTCGCCCAATGTTGATCTCCGGCCACCATCTCTTTACCGCTGCCACGGCCATTTTGATCTCCGATCCTTTTCTCATCTCTAAATCAATGTTCGAATTGCTATACCAGATATCGAATACCCAAAGGACTCGTTACGAAAGTTCAGAAAGGTATGGCAGCCGCGTGGATATCGATATCGTTACCGAGCTGCGACTAACCCATTTGTTTTTGGCGTCAAAGGGGCACCCAAAAATTCTAACGTGGCAGGAGATCCCAACGGTGACCTCGACGCGATAGGTCAACAGGAATAGCACGACAACGGACGCGTGCTAGCGCTCAGATCGAACGTAGCTCTTCATGGCCGTCTACAGCTACAAGACGGACGACAGCAAAATGAGATAGAAGGCGAGGATAGCCGTCCTGATCAAAATAAAAAACCAGTCCAGATTCGCACCTCTCAGGTGACGAGTAGGTCAGGTTCTTGGCTGAGTACCGTAACCCCAACCCAGCATGGATCTTTAGCATGCTTATTGGAGCAGGTATTACCCGTGTTCTTTGCCGCTCGCGATACCCCGTCAATCCTGCCTGTCCACGCTCTCTATTCACACCAGAATTCGTCCGGTTCGTCTGGGCAGCTGCTTCCGGTTTCAGTCACAAGCAGTTCACCCACGTCAGAAGCCTACCCTAGTATCTATGGATCGGCGATATCCCTCTCTGACCTATCTATCTCTACAAATGATTCTCTGTTGATGCATTCGCTTCCATACCAGCCGAATCTGAACCCAGCCAACTAATCGGAACAATTGTCGAGCTGGGACATGCATTGAGATGGTTCCATTCAAGAAGCACCCCGCGCCGTCTCTCTAAACATGACCGCATCCGTCCTTTCCCGTTTTCCCATCTAATCTGCCACCTACAGACTTGATGGTTCCCAATGCCGATACTTTCTCTGACATCACTTCCTCTGAGTGCTTCGTGACCATTGGGCATGGCCCTAGTACCTCAGAGGATAACCCTGACGGTCGTGCACCCCACTCCTCTCAGCTAGACCCTGCGCTGGTGCGATCGAAGGTCGTTGATGGCTTGGGTCATGATGATCACAATCATGGCCAAGCTTTGGAGTTACATATCACTGCTTCTAGCGACTCAAGCACCTCTCAGGACGTCGATGATGACATATTCCTATACACCTTCGCCCGGCAGAGCCTCCCTGACGACAGTTCCGGTGGAGGGTCTACATTGATGACATCGAGCATCTCTCTGTTACCCATGGACGAGGTTCTATTTCCCCGGAGGCTCACCTAACTTTACCAGAGGCAGGTTTGAATTGTCTTCGCATACTGTCAGTAACTAAATCCCATTTGATAGAAGAAAATTCCTAGAGAGATGAATGATTTTTAAGGCACGTTGGTTGTCTGGATACATAAGAAGACTAGAGAAGGCAAGTTCACTGTTTGCGGTGTAAGAATGTCCAGCTCCTGTATGTCGGTAATCGCGTGAGGGTGTATAGTGAGACTTTAAGTTCCAATTTTCATCAACATCCCCTGCAAGTACCTCGCGTTTTGAGATTTGATTGCGGCGGTCAGTCTGATCCACCACAGATATCATCACGAAAGACAGTCAGAATTTGCGAATCACTTGAAGAGACTGAACTGTAGAATGTACAAAGAGAAATGGTAGGTGATCTAAAAACACGAAGTTGACGATATAGTTCAGATCAGCAGCTCTCATCATTGATGAACCAAGCACCTGAGAGGGTGGCGAAAGTCACTTCTCTCACGAAAGGCTCGCGCAGTCGCTGACAGGCGTATAGGCTTGGTCGATTGCGAAAACCTCTAGCTATAATACATGTACTGGCTTATATATATATATGGTGGGAATAACAAATACGGGCTAAACCGGGGAGATGGGGGAAAGAGGGAAAAACGTCAGGTAAAAGTATCGGGCCGTGGAACGACTCGTAACATACGCCCTCCTGGCCAACGAAGTTGGACAATACGGTAGCGTGGTATGTATCCCTTTTTTTTCAATGAAACGTAAGGTAAGCAAAGAAAATTGTTGATGGAATAAAGTAAACATCACAAGACTAATTTTCTCCATTCTGCATAGCAGCATCTCTTTCCTTGCCGTTCACCTCGACGTCAACATCACCCTCCGCGTCGTCTTCTCCATCGCTGATGTTAGATGTGCCCTGGATAAACTCCAATGGACAGTCAGAGCCCGAGTCCGAGATACAAACTTGTTGAGCATGGCATTGATCTTCAGTCTCCTTGTGCTGATGCTTGGAGTCCAGGTCCGAGTCCGAGTCCGAGAGGAAATCCAGCAACTCATCACAGTCCTCCCATAGGATTCCTGCCCATTTGTCTTTTTGTCTCTGGATGGCCCTCTCCTTGGCCCTTTCCTGTCTGAGGAAGAGGGTATGACCAAGGTACTGATTATCATTATACTTGCATTCTGGAATGATGACATATCCAGGGATTTGGATAGTTTTGGGGTTGAAGAGGATAGGCATGTCAACCTTGAGATTGTGAGCAGTGGGGGTGGGATCATCAAGGTGAGTGAGATGGTATTCACCTGAAGAGTTGTCCCACTCAGCAAACTTGTCCTCAGCATCACCTGCATTGTATGAAGCCATGATGATGGAGTACCCAATGGGCTCATGATGAACCTGGCAACAAGCTCAAATGCCTCCAGCTCTGTGGGTGTGTCAAAGGTGATTGTTATGCTCAATACACTGGAGCATCAGAATAGCAGGGACATCAGCAATGAGGCCTCCAAGCAAATTGGAGCCAGGAGCCTTCTGTCCAAAGCCCCTTTCAAATCTCTGGTCTAATTCATTTATCACAAGGATGTTGAGAGGTTCAGTGTTCAGGAGGCTTCTGGCTTCAATTTGCTTGGAGGCCTCATTGCTGATGTTCCTGCTATCCTGATGCTCCAGTGTATTGAGCATAACAATCACTTTTGACACATCCATAGAGCTGGAGGCATTTGAGCTTGTTGCCAGATTCATTATGAGCCCATTGGGTATTCTATCATTATGGCTTTATACAATGCAGGTGATGCTGAGGACAAGTTTGCTGAGTGGGACAACTCCTTGGGTGAATACTATCTCACTCACCTTAATGATTCCACTCCCACTGCTCACAATCTCAAGATTGACATGCCTATCCTCTTCAACTCCAGAACCATCTAAATCTCTAGATATGTCATTATTCCAAAATGTGAGTATAACAATAATTGATACTTCAGTCATACCCTCTTTCTCAGACAGAAAAGGGCCAAGGAGAGGGCCATCCAGAGATAAAAAGACAAATGAGCAGGAATCCTATAGGAGGACTATGACAAGTTGCTGGATTTCCTCTTGGACTCAGACTCAGACTTAGACTTGGACTTAGGCTCTGACTATCTATTGGAGTTTATCCAGAGTGCATCTAACATTGATGATGGAGAAGATGACATGGAGGGTGATGTTGATGTCAAAGTGAATGGCAAGAAAAGAGATGCTGCTATACAGAATGGAGAAAATTAGTCTTGTGATGTTTACTTTATTCTATCAACAATTTTCTCTGCTTATCTTATATTTTATTAAAAAAAAGGGATACATATCATGCTACTGTATTGTCTAACTTCATTGGCCAGAAGAGCATATGTTACAAGTCATTCCATGGCCTGATACTTTTATCTGATATTTTTCTCTCTTTCCCTTGTCTCTCTGATTTAGCTCATATTTGTTATTTCCACTATATATATAAGCCAGTACACATATTGTAGCTAGAGGTTTTTACAATTGACCAAGCTTATATGTCTGTCAGTGACTGTGTGAGCCTTTCATGAGAGAAGTGACTTTTGCCACCCTCTCATATATTATTTGACTTCACTGTGTTATTGTGAGGACAATTTCTAGCTATATGTCCCACTTCTTCACATCTAAAGCACTTATTTGCAGTGACAAGTTCTGCCTTCTTGCTTTCTGATAGTTTATTTCCAGAGCTAGAATTTGTGGTAGACTTGCTTTCACTATTGTGCCCTCTATTCAATGGTTTATTACCTCTGGAAGATGATGAGGGTTGATTGTAGCTTGATGACTGATTATACAAGTTAGATCCTCTCTTGTGGAGTCTATTCTTTTCATGAGAATATCCTTTCAAATAACTGTTATCAGACTTATATTTCTTAGATGTATGCTCACTATTTCTATGGTTATTGCTGTTTCCAGAACTTCTCTGTGATAGCTTCTTTTTCTTGGTACTTTGAGATGTAGATTTAAGATCAGCCATTTCAATGAGTTTAGCCTCTTTAACAATATGGCACCAGCTATAAACCTCCTTATTGAGCTTTGCTCAATAGAGTCCATGCTGCATCTTTCTACAGAATCTATCTCAAAGCTTAATAATATGCTCATGCTTGCTAGTCATGCTAACAAAGCCATATAAGATTTCCAGCTTGTAAACATATTCTAAAACAGTGCAATCATTCTGGTAGCACTTCTTTATTTTATCCTGTTGCTGACTTCAATAATTTGAAGAGCAGCACAAATTAAAAATTTCTCACAAGAAGTCTATCAATGTCTATTCTGCATGGTTCTTCAAAACCTTCTAAATGAAGAAAGATAATGCCTTTCTCTTCAGATAATGTGATGCCAGAAATACTTGTTCATCTTTTGGAACCCAACCTTTTTTGCAGAATTGAGTCAATTCCATTATAAAGCAATGGAATTTTTCACCATCAGCTGTACCATCATATGATGTAAGAGGTATTGGTTGAATTAATCTTTTGTAGTGATGTTTTGACTTCTGTGCTTATGCTGATGGGAACCATGCCTTCTAGTATGATGATGATAGTGTCAATGTTTATAATTGGATAGCTTAGAGCTATCTGATGCATCTGACTCATCACTTGCATCACTGCTACTTGAGCTCAATGAGCTTGAACCAGTGCTTGAGGAACCATTGTCTGATGGAGAAGATCCTGAATAATTAAAGTCTCAATCTGAGTCAGACTCATTACTGGGAGTAGACTCTGACAATTCAGAGCTAGAGAAACTAGCATGGTGCTTATGCTTCTGTTTCTCAAGTTTTTTCTTATTGAGTTTCTTCTTGTGCTCAGGTGAGACCTTTCACTTCTTCTTTGATTTGCTAACATCTAACATATCAGCCAAGAAGCTATCAGGTGGTAGCTGATCCACAGGATGAGTAGACTCATGTCAGCTATTTGAAGGTGCCTTTGAGTGTTCTTGTATAATGTTTTTCATTCTATGATTGGTCAATGATCTGACAGTCTTTCATTTTGAAGATTTTGCACTTGTCTTAGAGAGTGTCTTTTTTGGTTGAGGCTTTGCCTCCAAATCTGACTCAGAACCTTCATCTGATGTTTCTTCTACTTTAAGAGCATCATAGCAGCCTGTTTTGTAAACTTTTGTCTTTGGTTTTAATCTCTGAGGTCCTTCTTTCTGTTTGTTATGCTTAGAAGACTTTTCAACAGTCATAAAATCATCTTCAACCTCTGGATGAGCCTCCAAATGGGACACATCACCTTTAGGGACTTTTTGATTGATGTCCAGAGCCTGATTCCACATTTCAAGAGCCTCACATTGTGCCTTGACATCTAATTCAGTGCTATCAATCTCCTGATTGTGGTCAACAAATTTTCCTTTAGCAATGTAAGAGCTGGGTCCAGATGTAGCTGTCAGAGTCTGAGATACAGTAGGTTGCTTTCAGCCCTTGTCTTTCATCAGCTTGTTCTGACATTTGGCAAGCATTTCTTGCTGTGCAGTTGTCAAATTTCATTCAGCCACATCAATGGTAGAAAGCTGTTCTTTCATGAGCTTTCTTCTTTTGTGTAGTCTCCTAAAATGAACTTCATGTTTCCCCAGATTATCAAGACTCTGAGTACAGCAAAGCCTCACAGGTCTTGCCATTCTATTGGATTCTTCTGCATCTGTACTATGGGATGCTTTCTCAAAGGTAGAAGATATAGATGATTCATAATCATTTCCATTATCTATATCACTACAGGATGAATCATTATCTGAAACTTCTGTGGTCAAATTTCCCTTGAAACTGACATCCTCTGATTTCTCTGAGTGATTTGAATCCTCTTCCTCTGCTTGTGCATGGGCAAGAGAAAGGTTTCTCAGCACTGTAGCACCAGATGCTGGAACACAGCTCACAGCCAGAGCAGGGATAGCATCCTGAGCACTTGCAGTGCTAGAATCTGCCACATTTTTAGTATCAAAGTCTGTTGGTGACAACTCATCTGATAACTGAGATAAAGGACTGTCCATCCCTGGTGTAGCTGGCACAACAGTGGTGTTACAATGGCTGCACAAAGGGTAATGCAACATCCTAAGGAACCAAGAAGTAAAGAGAAAATTAGATATTGGTGTCAAAGTCAGAATGTCCTCAGGTGATCAAGCCATAGGGGATCCAGATATTGACAAAGAGAGATATAGAGTTTAGAGAGAAAAGCACAGATGAGAGAGAGAAAAAGGTAAAATCAAAGATTAAGCCAATGGAGCTGTCAAAAATATGAGAGGGTGGCAAAAGTCACTTCTCTCACGAAAGGCTCGCACAGTCACTGACAGGTGTATAGGCTTGGTTGATTGTGAAAACCTCTAGCTACAATACGTGTACTGGCTTATATATATATGGTGGGAATAACAAACATGGGCTAAACCGGGGAGATGGGGGAAAGAGGGAAAAACGTCAGGTAAAAGTATCGGGCCATGGAATGACTCGTAACAGCACCCCATACGCCACCGAAAACACCCTAGATGGCGAGCTTCGGCAATCCCTCACGAACCATACAGTACCAATGTCGCTTACCCTGTAGTCACAGCTATCTGGCTGATCGAAATGACGCCCATCATAGTCCGCGGGGGTAGTAGAACACATCTCTCGCCAATTATCCCGTGGTGGCTGGTGATTCCCCATATGAGCTTCGATACGCTACAGCGACATTAGCCTAGTTGATGCATCAACACAGATGGACATACACGGCGCATCGAACCTTTCGCAACACATCCCTGCAGAACCTGTCAAATCGCCGATTATCGATGAATCGAAAGCAGATCGCACCTTATCCTGGAAATTCTCCCACAGCGTCTTACAGCTCGGCTCGTTGGACCCGACCGTCCAATGACCGTAAAATCGACGTTTCATAAGCACCTAAAGGAAGATCAGACAACACGGATTTCTGGATACAATGCTGGACCCACCGAATGATCCCTGTCGACAGTGCAATACCCTGGCTTTTCAAAATCGATGCCGTGAATGGTAATCTCCTTCTCCTTGCACCAACGCAAGCCATGTTCGCCTCTAGGTACGCCCATCAGCTGAGCAGAGTACTCGCGGGTGCCATAGCGGAGACATCGTTTTGACGGAGTTATGTCAGCCCATGCGAGACCATCGTGTATGAGCTGATGTCTCTTCTTCGCGGATTCGGCGCGGAGGTGAAGAACGAGTAGGAACATGCAGATTGTGAAGATTACTATGGCTCTAAGCGCTCTCCTTTAAATATTAATCAGATTTTATAAAATAGAGCGGTGGGGACACGTACTTGGAAGACAGTTTCGAGACATAGGTCCTAAGCTAGCTATTAGTTATTGAAGTATCGACAATGAATAATTAATTCACAAGGTGGGTGGATTAGAAAGAGCTACTGAATTGGGGTTGGCTGTAAAAAAGAGAAATATAAGCCAGCGCCATCAAACGAAAGAGCAGTAGCTACCGGAATACAAAGGGCCTCCACTCTCATTCGCGTTAGTCTCTGCAAGCTCAATGTCTCTGCTGGCATAAGGAGGCGGCGGGGCCACTTCAGAAGTAGAAGAAGTTGTGTTTGAGTTCGTTGGTGATGGTATATGTGACGGCTGCACGTCGTCGACATCGTCCTCCATGATCTCAGTTATGCTGATACATTTGATGTGCCGCCGGTCCGAGAATTGATTCAAGTTTATCGGCAATCAAAGGTTTTTTTATTCACTACTCCAATGGAGCCTCGTTAAGCGCGCATCAGGATCCCGTTAGATGAAGTCGAACCAAGTCCATCTGTTACCAGTTGACTGAACCGCCTCTCAATTGCCCTTGATCAATCACGGTTTGAAACGTCCCCGTCGTACGGACATCTTCCTGCACCATACGATGGACTCTGGCACTCTGCGACGTTCCCGGGAGTTCTGGTTAGAGGAGGGCGATGTCGTCCTCAAGGCAGAATCCACTCTATTTCGCGTCACCCGTGGCATTCTCGTCTACCACTCTCCAGTTCTACTCCAGATGATTCTGCAGGGCAGCCCCGATGCCGCGTCCGAAACGGTGATTAGTGGCTGCAGAGTCATTAAGGTGGACGATTCTGCCGTGGATTGGCGCCATTTTTTGAAAGCCATACATGATCCTTCGTATGTGACTATTCTTAATTTCTATTGGTCTGTGACTTAGTGTTGTCGTCAAGTACAGGTACTACGACCCAAGCAGGGAAACCTCCTTTGCTACCATCGCGGGCATCCTGCGTCTGAGCACCAAATACCAAGTGCAGACATTGCAGAAAACCGCGGTGGAACATCTCCAGCGTATCTTTCCGACAACTATCGACGAGTGGGACCGACGTGCAGATAGTGACACCATACAAAAATTCAAAGGTCGAACGATAGCGATTATTAACCTCGCGCAAGAAACGAATCACCAAATTTTGCTGCCTTCGGCTATGGCGTACTCGTGGGCGATCGGTCTTGACGGCCTTCTTGACGGCCTTCCGTCATATGACGGCAGCCATGTGGAATTGGATTGGGATACAAAGCGGAAATGCATTCGTGCTCGAGATAAGCTCATGCAGGCGGTACGAGGAAGACTACTGAATTTCATACTAGGCAAGGGGGCGGGGAGGTGCGTCACCAAGGCCAAGTGCGACGAGGGAAGATTGTTGTCGCTGAGGATATGGGAAAAGTTCTTCGAAGAGTCAGTGATACCGACACCATTCCGATTCATGGTGAATTGGACAGATCTGTCGACAAGGCTCTGTGAGCATTGCATCGCTGATGGGATGAACAACTTCTTGACGGCGAGGTGGCTGCTGTGGGATGAGCTGCCTTCGTACTTTGATCTCCCTAGCTGGGATGTTTTACGGCGAAGAGAAGAAGACGATTGAAGGCGAGGCGGTGCAGCCTCCTCGAAAACAGTTTTTCAGTTTCTAGAATATGTATTTTTATTGTTGGATTGAAACCTCTTTGGCATACACAATTATTTAACACAAGGAAAGTATATTAATATGGTATCGAAGTCTTGTCATTCAACATTACAACCAACCCGCATCTGCCAGCAAACAGCGAATATGTCGATTGTCGGGTTTGATTTCACCATTTAGTGGTGCAAAATACTTGCGTAGTTTGTCACTGAACACGACCGGATAGAACAGTCCCTCTTTCTGATTGATGGACAGCAACGGTCAGAAGAGATGAAACGGCAGTGGTGAATTGACCGACCTCTCGGGTTTCGCCTTTGCGCGTTGTTTGACCGGACACTCTGCCCGCATGCCAGTTGCCACCAGCTGTTCTGATCCATACACGATCGCCAGCCTGGAAAGATCCGTCCATAAAAATGATATATATCGCAGGATCGCAACGCCACTTACTTGGAACATATATGGCCAAGGCTCGTCCAGGTCGGAGGGCTGGGGCTCATTTGGGTCGTTCTCGCTGTCGGAGCCACTGTTCCACGCATCGAGTTCCTCCGGAGTAACAGCACGGAGTTTCTGGGAAATGACTTGGACTGGGTTGCGCTGCTTCCGCGTTTGGCGGCGTGCTTGTGCGTTAGACGTCATATTGTACGATGTTACGTGGAGGAATACAGAGGGGGGGGACGATGGAGTGAGGTAAAAACTCAGTGATTTGTGGGGGACGGGTTATTGATGAGGTGGGCTAAGTGAAGGGCCCTTTATATATTGCATACAGCAAAGGCTCCATTGTTCAGAGACGGCGCTAACGTAACATCATTTGGCCACAAAAAGAACAACGTCTTGGTCTTTTTTGCCAAAAGAAGAACGGAAACTTTGTCCATCTGACGTTTGCCTTGTCTCATTATTCATGTCAAAGAAGGCCGAGAATGGTAATCGATCCAGATAGTTCTTCAATTATACAGATACAGGTCGTCGGTGCCACGACGGGTCCTTGAGGTCGCACACGTGGAGAACAGTAGGCAACCAGTCGCCAATCAGTAGAACCGCAGGGGTAATGCTGTGACAAAACACTGCCACGGGCCATGGGATGTGTGAGAATCCATTATTTTTGACACCGACGAAAGAAAGGCCCGTTCGGTTGAACAAAGAAACATAATAAACGGCCCAGAGGAACAAAAGATAAGATACGCAACTTGAATGTGACCTTAACCTTTTTCCGGAAGCTTCAGCTCATAACAAAACAAAACACGACCTGCCTCCCGCCCTCACGACCATTCAAGGACCTTGGATTTATACCCTTTACGATGGCTAACGCGAGCAGTCTTGACGTGCGCTGACATTTGGCTCCCTGCGAATATTTCTCATCCTCTCCCAGCGTGCTATCGAAATTGTTCAAAAGGCCGTTGACGAAGATGTAAAGCAAAACTATAATGAAGCATACAAACAATACTCGAACTCTCTGGATTATTTCATGTTAGCTTTGAAGTGTGCGTTCCAGTGCTATTTTGTACAGGGAACTGCTGACGTCTCCCGTATGAAGATGAAAAAAACGAAAAGTCAAAGCAACTGATTAAGACCAAGATTCATGAATATCTAGCTCGTGCCGAGACCCTCAAACAGCATTTGGTGTCCCAGAATGAATCGCGTTCGAGGAGTGCAGTGGGTGTGAACGGGGCCGGAGGTGGCATTGGTGGAGCAGGAAAGAAGTGAGCTTCCACCACAGTAACTTCTTCGACTGCGAGCTCATTTCATGCATTTTAGGAAAGATGGCGAAGACGATGACCAGGATCCCGAGACCAAGAAACTGCGGGCAGGGCTGGCGAGCGCGATCTTGTCTGAGAAGCCGAATGTCAAGTGGGACGATGTTGCAGGTCTTGAAGGTGCTAAGGCTTCACTCAAGGAGGCCGTCATCTTGCCTATCAAGTTTCCACATCTATTTACCGGAAAGCGTACACCATGGAAGGGTATATTGCTATATGGACCACCAGGGACGGGAAAGTCTTACCTCGCAAAGGCCGTTGCTACGGAAGCCAAGAGCACATTCTATAGCGTTAGCTCCAGTGATCTAGTCAGCAAATGGCAAGGTGACTCCGAGAGGTGAGTATACGTATTCATGTCTCCGACGTCCCATTCATGTTCCATCTGCAGGCTGGTGAAACAATTGTTCGAATTAGCGCGTGAATCCAAACCCTCAATCATCTTTATTGATGAAATAGACTCTTTAGCGGGCTCACGTAATGAGGGTGAATCGGAGGGCTCCAGGAGGATAAAGACCGAGTTTCTGGTGCAGATGAACGGTGTCGGGCATGATGATACGGGTGTACTGGTTCTGGGCGCAACAAACATTCCATGGCAACTGGACAATGCCATCAAACGGCGATTCGAGAAGCGGATATATATACCCCTCCCTGGTCCTGAAGCACGGCGGCATATGTTCCAACTTCATGTGGGTTCAACACCTTGTCAGTTGGTGGCCAAGGACTACCGGCAATTAGCAGATCAGACCGAGGGCTACTCCGGCTCCGATATAGCGATCGTCGTACGAGACGCCCTCATGCAGCCTGTCCGAAAGGTTATATCGGCGACACACTTTAAGCGGGTTGCTGACCCTGCTTCGGAGAGTGGCGAGCTTTCCAAATGGACACCTTGTTCACCTGGAGATCCTGATGCTGTTGAAAAGACGTGGTCAGACATTGATTCCGACGAGCTATTAGAACCTCCGCTGCGGTTGAATGACTTTTTGAGGTCATTGGCTACTGTGCGGCCGACCGTCACTGAGGCGGATATCCGGCGGCATGAGCAGTGGACGAAGGAATCAGGTATGTTTTGTCCTCGTGTATTTCAGGGTCGCGAACTAACTTTCCGATACCAGGTAATGACGGTGCATAGATCTAAATCATTAATGAACTTGTGTAATCTGACCGGGTGTAATATTATGGTCTTGATGTGTATCTTAAGGTCCGTGGCTACGACTTGGATGAACCGTTGACATGACTATGTTTGGCAATGGACGGAAGCAACGAGCGCATGCGTGTGCATGGAATGGGGTGCATTAGCGAAGCATTGTTGACAGGTGTCTTCATGTGGCCTTAACATGTCAATAAGCGCCCACAAGCTCACATGATCGGACCTATCGTGCGTGTGCTTTTGTTCCTTGTATATTAACAAACACAACCTTCTACCTTTCCAGCTGGACTGCAAATTCCTGTGGTATCTTTGCCACTCGACAGTATTAGGTGAGGTAATTTAAAAAGTCTTTGGCTGGCGTCAACTTACGGGCATTGCTTTATGCTGACAGTATGTTCCATCACTTGTGCACGCGTTCATGTACACCCAAGAGTCCCGGTAAAGAACGACTGCAGGTATCTACGATACCCGGTTTCGTTCAGTGAGTGTCAAGAGACTCGAAAAGTACTGTTGAGCCACTGACCGTTTTATCAGTACTGCAGCGTATGCGATATACCTTTTTCTTTTCGACACAGAGACTAGCTCTCCGCCTAGCATCCTGAGACGACAATGGGAAGAACTACCCACTTCGACAACCGACACCTTCCGCTTGGTTGCGAAGGCCATTTTTGATACCGGTGATTCACAAAATCTCGGTTTTCGGTCCGAACAGATACGCGCAGCGATATGTCATCTTTTCAGTGACCGGGCGGAGACCTTGCTGTCCAAGTCCTTGAAACGGGAGGAAAGATTAGCACGCTTTGTCGAGTTGGGCAGTCAACTTGCAATTGGTTTGTTCGATTGGCCTCTTGCCTTTTCGATGGATTAACTGCTTGATGCAGATTTACCGAAAGGCATGCGTGGCTCTTCGTTGGTGACTCGGACTGTGAAGTAAGCGCCCCGGCTCTGCTTTTAAAAACGGTGCCTGACATACATCCCTTCGCCAGACGCGGCAGGCCCAAGAAGATACCGTCGGACACGATAAGCCAATCAAACACTCATCAGATGCGCAAACGAGCCAGAGATGAGTCGCCGGACCCCTGCATCCCTTGGGTAGCCTCGCGGAGGAACAGTATCGTTGATGCGCAAGCTGCGGATTCAAAAATGAATTCAGCGGGAGACCATGACCTCCCTACCTGGGCCACCTTGACTTTTGATGCTACTTCGATGTTGCCGAGGAAACGTCAGCACATGGACTGTGAATACGTGTATGAGACGGGGAAACACGTGGAACAAATTACATGACTTTATTATACTATACTAGGAATAATGTTAATCATTTGGACAGAACGCTCATGGTACTCTCTGCATATAGGTCATGTTTGTACATCTAGCCGGACAGCAGCAATGTCAACCTTTTACCTTGCGGGGAGGTAGGATTACACGACATGAAGGACGCCGGGTAGATAATGCATGTTTGGTACACTAGCATTTTAGTATAACGTTCTGAAGAATCGAGTCCTCTTCTCAGATGGATCCGCAAAATCGAACCACAGCGCTCATTGGGTCCACGGAAGCCTGATGTTCTAGAAACATTGAGCTCTGCACCAGAGTCAGCATGCAAACGCTAGCAAAGAATTCTGCTCCGACACTGAAAAATATTACATACAAATATTGGCAGTTACTATAAGGAACCCAGTAAGCAGTGCAGGCGGCTACTCTATAATTCAATTCTAACTCTTTGGTTTAGCTCTTTCCATGGCGACGCTCAGATCCAAGATTCTTTGATACGGCTTCTCCATCGTGCCTATCTTTAAAGTCACCTTGTGACGTGGGTCAAGCGGTTTTGTATCCCCACGAATCAGTACCGCTTTGGCCCAGAATTCAATGCAAATCCTTGTCGTTCTCGGTAGGAGGACAGAAAGTGTGTAGCTCGCGTCGAGACCTTGACTTGTTCCCTCGATAAAACCCCATCCAGCCGCAGAACTATACAGGCCGCTCCCGTAAATATACGTTTCTGTTCTTTGACGAACAGGCTCTTCGCCTGACCAATTGCTCCAGCTACCAGGTTCGATTGCATCATCTGGAGAGGCGGGAATAGTGTCTGCAGCACTTGTCGGGGCGAGCTCGAGGACGTTCAGTGGTGAATGCCCTTCCTTCCCGTTATCCCGGCCAAATATGACTCGGAATATCGCCGATTCGAAGCGAGCTCTCTGTGTGGGATCAGGCATGAAATGAAGGCCGAAGAAGATTTTGTTGGGATCCTCGGTTTCGGAATTCCACATAGTGATTGTGAAGTCGGAGATCCCTTGATTTGCTCGTCCAATCTGCAAGCCGTTGGATTCTGGTGTTGGCTGGAACACGCAGCCACTCTCCGTATCGAGGAATGGTTTGCATCTCCCAAGCAATGTGGCGAGATTTCCCCTACGATCTTCATAGATTCCGGTACACGTAGTTCCCTCTCTGTTGACTTAAAATCAATAAAAGCTAGCGCTTTCAGCCAACGAACGCACTCAATTAGCGTTTCAACTGTCTTATGAGGTGTCATCGCTGCCGAAAGCCAAGTCTGTCGATGATCATCAGAGGATATACTGCGATATCGTCAATATGCCTACCTTGAAGGCCTCTACTTTGCATGGTCCAGTTGCAGCTACCTTCTCACCACAGCGAAAGACGAAGATCATCGGAAACTGTGACACACGATCAGGCTTTACATCCTGGAAGAACCTGCATACGAACCGTCTTGATATCCAATTCTTTCATAAGGTCCTTATATTACTGGGTAAGCCAATTCTGAACGACGTATATGAGTCTCACCTCTTGTTCTAAGAGGTCAAGCTCGCAAAACTTGACCTCTTTGTACTCAACTAAACGGGCGATCTTTTTGAATATTGGTTCCATTTTCTTGCAATGTGAGCACCATTGCTGATGGAAGAATACGACTGTGTGCTGTCGAGCTGAGATCTGCCGGCATGGTCAGTGGAATCGGAGCCCTCTGTGGTTGGTTCGCATACCGTTTTCCGAAGCTCTTGAGCGTCGTGGAGGTGCGTCACGAATGCCATCTGAATTTGATTCGAGTATGGTGGAGGTATCGTTTTATGCCGTGATCCGCACAGTATCTGGACAAGTCGTAATCCTTGGAATGCTTATGCACGCCAAGCTTGATTCACATCGAACCCCTCTCAGACTGAATCAGTTTCAAAATTCGTATCAGACTCTAGATCAACGCCCAGCACTCACGAGCTATCCGCCGCAATGTTTAATATCATGGTCCGTACTGCAACAGAGACCATTTTTTAAACCATAAACCAATTTAGGTCTGGAAACACAAACAGCGATCGGTGAGTGTTAACTGAGGACAAAGGCGAGACAGGTATTACTTTCCTTCAATCCTGGACTTTATAGGCCTCGATAGGAATCCGAAGCAGCCTGCCTTACAAGTTTGTTACTTCTATGAATTTCAGAAAGTTACCCAAGTCGGGTATGAAAAAGACAGCAGTTGGGATGGAAAAAAATGGCCGGTTCTCAAGAAAGTAGCCGGGAAGTAGCCGTATAGACACTATATGTTTTAGGTCCATCGAAGATTCAATCCAAGGATACAACTGAAATGGCGGCACTTCATTGAGAAAAAAGGGGTAAAAATAAGTTCTATGGACCAACAAGACAAGTATTTGTCTAGTTCTTATGATGAACGCATCAAAAATGAAGACGGGCGCGGCAGAACAGTGGTAGGTACATGAGAGGCGGCGTGAGTGAAAGAAGATGCCTCGGAAACTAATAGGTCCAAATAGAGATTAAGATGGATGGCATTGCCAAATGCGTTTATCAAAGGTTTAGAAACACAATTTAGATTTAGAAGAGGGGGTCGGAGGGGTCGTCTAGACTAAAATCTAGACGAGGGTGCTCATCCAATTCATTATATCGCTCGGCATCTCTGATTTAGTTTAGGTTTCTAAATGCTGCGGGAAGTCACCCCTATGTTGATGGATATCTTTTATTGGGCACTAATTATTTGAAGCGCTAATCATTTGAAGATTCGTCAGTATACAGTATACAGGTAATTTTACTTTACTTATATATCCGTTGCCCTAACTGTGGCATAGCCTGGGAAACGTGATCAGAGGCAGTGCCGGCCAACTTCACAGCTGACACGTTTTCCTTCTGCTCTCATGCCCGCCGTTATACAACTTGACAGAAAAAGCGACTTCAATGATCTCGTTTGTTCTTTGGTTCTTCTGGTTGATTTTATAACTGACAAGACTTCATAGATATCCAAACATGCAGACGTCGTTGTTTTGTTTTTCACAAATTCGTGCTACCACTGCCATCTCATGAGGCCCAACTATGAATACGTCGCTGGACTTGCAATGTTCAATACGTTGACTTTTGGAGGGGTGCCATGTAATGTGAATGACTGGGACGTACGTTTTTCAAGTTCACCATTTCATTTTTTGATCATTTCCTGAGGCCTTTTGTTAGTCTGAGGCCCAGACAGAGTTCGGGATAAACTGTGTATGTGAATCAGTTCTTATCATTGAGAATTTCATTGACGTGCACACAGTATCCTATGATACAAATTTACAGAAATGGGGAGCTATTTGGGTTTATGAAAGGAAGCCATGATAATAAAGAGTTGGAAGTTCGTGGTTTCATCACAGCGCGGACATGGTTGCATCTAATCAATGACTTTGATAGGGTTGGCTAAAGACATACCTCACGCTTTCACGGTTAGCACGACGTATTTTGCAATCCATTATTATGATTGACTCTTCCCTGTAACCCAGATCATCCCTGGGTTCTGAGCAAGGTATTCTGAAGGCACTTTCGTTGCCTCTCATGGACATGGCTGTGTCAAGGGCACGGGGAAAGGTACACACGAATTTCATGCAATTAGACACCTTCTCACTCACCTCACTCAACATGTAGGATCCTGTGCTAGATATTTCCCTGTGGACAGGCATACAGTTTGAACAATTCGTTAGTTCTTGTTTCTTTGCTCCCGTTGTATGTGTATTGATGGCTTTGAAGATTAACCAACACAAACTCGTCGTTGTTGGGTTGCACTCCACCAACACATGACAGGCCAGGATGACATTTTGCCTCGAGCGTTGCGCCAAGTCTTTAATATTCAAAGACATACACTTTCTTCATGTTGATTGTGGTACAGAGTGGGTGGGTGCCTCCAAGTCAGTTTCTGATACAATTATCACTAAAAATTCTTTTAGTCAGATTCTGCAGAGATCCTGCGCGAACTGCTATGGCTTCGTTTTGTGAGATATACATTTTTGGAAGCATCATCCGTAAATACTCATGCTGAGGCTTCTCCATAGAGACCAGTGATGTGGATGTTCCGAGATGGGAAGCTGTTTTCGAAACTTACCGAGGTGATCGAAGGCGCGACATTTACAGTGGGTGGTCATTCTCTTGCATAAAAAAGGTTAACTAACAAGCCGCCCACAGAACTGGCTGAGTGATTGTCTTTCAGCGAGCGCGTAAGTCACTTTCCCCTTTCCTTGTAATCTGACTAGACGTACTGCTTCCAGTATCGCGGACTCTGCACCACACCCGACTGAAAGCGAACCCTCTGAGGATGCTGGTGGCGAAGAAGCAGAGCATACTGATTATGAAGAAGAATCAATATGCACTCATCTCGCTACCATCAGAAATTCTGATGTGCACAACTGTCACAGCGTAAGAGATTTTTTCCTCTGAAAGGATATTCATACTCATGGACCGTAGGAACATGTTACAGAAATCACATCACTTGAGGAATTCAATGCTCAGGTAAGTAGTGGCTTTGCATCCTCTCGCTCTGTGAATGAACGTTTCTTAGATATCTTCAGACATTGTCTCAGTCTGCGTCTTCTACGACGGTCATGACCACTATACGCAGGCCATGACTCTCGTGCTTCTTTATATTGCATGCTTGCCCTCGTACGACCATGTGAAATTTTCCAAGGTTGATTGTGTGCAACATCCAGACGTTGCTCAAGAAGTATGCGTCGAGAAGGTATGACCCGTTTGTAAAGATACAGGAACTGGTTGATTTATGGAATATTAGAGTCTTTGCCCTCACACTATGGTCTTTCGTGATGACAGGCAGTTAGCGGAAAGGTATGGTGCCGTGGATTCCGCCGAGTTTGAGGTGAGACCATTGTGATCAATCTTTACTGGTCCTCACCGGCAGTTAGGATTGGCTCTGGCCTTTCTTATCAGGAAAACACATCGATGATAGCCGAGAAGCTCTACAGTGTAATGCCCCATCTATCTTGAAGTGCGCAATGTTTGCTAGATACGAGAAGGAAGGCTGACTTTCGAATTTAGTGTAATTTTAACCGCCGAGCCGGAAGAAATGGACCAGCAGCCATTCTCTGACACGACGGTCCCTGCTGTTCAGACAACACCTTTGTCAAGTGTTGTACGTAGTTTCACAAATACCTCACATACCCACAGAACTCATGCCCTTTCCAGTCAACGATAACTCTTCCTATCAATAGCGTGCGATGTGAGGGCCGACATCTAGAGAGACCATATCGACATCGATGGATGAATTGGCCTCATAAACGAAGATCCTTCCATGATCCGGAGTACAACTGTTACTTTATCTCTTCCGATAATGATGACCATGGCTTAGAGATTGGACACACTAACGAGGGAGACTCACACTTCAATATAACGCTTATGCAGGGTTCTGACACGGACCCCGGCAAGGTCACATTCAGTGTAGAATTTGGTTCAGATCCTACGGTGAAGGCCCGATTTGAATCTGCGGTCATTCGTATTGAGTTTGGTTACGACGGCGATGTCGATGGACGGTCATTTCCTTTGAGGATAAAAGATATACATCCGAAGGACGATAAGGGACAGGCAGCTCGTGTTCGAGGACAGGGTATACACAGTTCTAGTGCTCAGTGGACATTTGTGGAAGACGTAGGTGAGGCTGGACAGCAAGGACTGGACCCACATTACGAGCTGTTTGCTACACTTCCAACTACGCAGCAGATTATATGGATCAAATGTTGGGGCAGGGCGATATTGAAGCAGAAAGATGGGTTTGGATGGGGAAATGAAGTGATTTTGGAGTTGGGGTCGAAGGAAGAGCCGTACAGGAGGAACATTGATCTACTAGGCTGGCAGGCACTCATGAAGTGATAGAACACTTGTACAAGTTCCTCTTTGTTTTTCTATTTTCCTGTTTAATTTTGGATAATTTTTCGTGGGCACCCGAACAAGCAGCGCCAAGCAACGCGTCCTAAATGACTGACAATGTGACCACGTGCCTTCCCTCCTCTTCCCCCCTCTTCCGGATTGCCTACAAATTGTCTCCATCCTTTCTTATCCTGTCCTTTGAAAAGCTACGAAAATGACGAAAACATACATTATGAACAGTCTTATCGAAAAGGTTGGTATTACCTGCTCCGAAGATTTGTCTTTGTTCATTTGTTCTGCAGATGCAGTCGCCTGACCAGGATTTCCGGTGAGCAGTCAATCAATAGCTCAGATATGCTGCGCCTTTCTCATCTCGGATGCAGGTTCATGGGTCTCAACGATCTCATGACGGAAATCAGGCAAGATCCAAGTAGTTTCACGGGAGATGAACAGATGGAGACCAAAGTGCTCAATCAGGTGCTTGCCCTTGTTGAAGACAAGATTTCCGAAGTCAAGAATCAAGCCGTGAAATGGTGTGTAACAACAATTTACGAGGGAATATCCTAACAATGTATCAGTCTGGGCCAACTGATCAAGATTATCCGGGAGCCCCAGCTAGAAATTGTGGTCGACCAGCTTATCGAGTTCTCGGGTGGCAAGGATGATGAACTCAGAGATATCTCGGCGCTGGCCCTTAAGACCATCACTGCAGAACTTCCGTCCGATGGAAAGGTCGCCGTCACAGCTTGTGCCAAACTGACGCCTAAGCTGTTAGGGCAGTTACAAAATGTGTGTTTTTTTATTGCTTTTGAAGCGTAGCTGATACTTTTATCAGAAGAGTACGCCTTCCGAAGCACTTGTCGAAACCTTGTCGATTCTCTCCATTCTCATTGTCAGGTTCCCGTCGCATCTGACGAGTGCTACCGCCGATACTCAGCCACTAAGGGTCATCGCGCCACTCTTGGTGCATACGCGTCCCGTCGTTCGCAAGCGGGCTATAATCACACTGTCTCAATTCATCCCGCTATCCCAACCACAACTATTCACAGAGCTGCTCCAGACGAATGTATTTCCTCACCTCGTTCCCAATGCTAACATCGAGAAGCAAAAGACGACTGTCCAGCTAGTCGCTGCTGTGGCACGGCACTCCCCATTACAAATAACGCCCGTACTAGGCGACATTGTGGGCGGGATTTTGAAAGCAGTGCAAAGGGATGACGACGAATTGCGGGAAGGTTGTTTGCAGGTGAGTTTCCCATGAAAAGGTAACTTATTACAACCAATATAATTCGTATCAGGCTTTGGAAGCAATCGTTTTGCGGTGTCCCAACGAAGCAACGCCTTATCTGAGCTCTTTCATTCAGATCGGCACTCAGTACATCAAATACGACCCGAATTATGCCGAGGACAATGATGACGAGGACATGGCTGACCCCGACGAGGATGATGAGGATGAAGATGTTGGTGACGAGTGAGTTTTAAACACATACATCTTGACACCTAGCTGATTGCCATAGATACGAGGATGATGAGGATCAGTCGTATAAGATTCGACGGTCCTCTACCAAGCTCTTGTCCGCTCTAATCACCACTCGTCCCGAACTTTTGACCGCCATGTACAAAGATGTCTCTCCAGTCCTAATTTCACGGTTTGGAGACCGAGAAGACACCGTCAAGCTTGAGGTCTGGGCCACTTATGCCATTCTTCTCAACCAGACCGCTGTCTATGGAGGCTTCAGCAAGGAAGACAACGCTGCTCGCGGGAAGCGCAAGCGTGATGCGGAAACCATGGATGTAGAAGAGGGCCCGTACATTCTGCTGAAAGCCCAGGTCCCGCCGCTTTCGAAAGCTCTCTTGAATCAGATCAAGTCCCCCAAGACACCAGCCGCCACTCTACAAGCTGGATTCGGACTTCTACATTCCCTTCTTGACGTTCTACCCGGTTCTCTGTCTAGTCAAGTGCCGCTTATCATAACGACTTCAAAATCGGTCCTTTCACAGTCCCTCACCAGCTCTACAGCTACCCTACATCTCACATGCTTGTCTTTCCTTGCTTTGTTTTTTGGGACACATTCCCCGGCCATCTTCTCTGGTTCTCTGTCGTCACTGACGCCTATTCTTCTGAAGCTTTTAGGCGAAAGGCATCCCCGAGTGTCATCCGAAACGTTCCGCGTGTTTTCGTCGTTGCTCAACTCTCTAAAACCCGTCAAAGATGTCGATTGGACAGAACCTTTGCACAACGAAGCCGTCAAAAGACTGGGCAGTCATGACACTGACGCTGAGGTTCGCGCTTGTGCCGAAGACTGTATCGCTGATCTGTGGATCTGCGCAACGACCGTGGTCCAGAGCAAGGACCAGAAGGAATGGGAAGCCATTTGCCGGACAACGGGAAAGACTGAGGGCGGCGTCAAGGTCATCATCAAGGTAGCAAGAGAAGTTCGCGTTGGTGACAACTGGGTGAATGGTTGTCTAGAGTGGTTGATTGGCCTGCTAAGGAAGAGTGGCCGGTCAGGAAAGACTGAACTATTCACAGCTTTGGATGTTCTAATCACAAGGTGTGCTCGTATTCAAATTTGGGTTTCCTGGATTACAAGCCATACTTTTCAGCTACACCGATGGCATACCTCCACGTCTCGCACCTTCTCTCATCAGTCAAATTAAAAGCTATATCTCGACTGCCGATATTTCCCTTCTGTCGCAAGCGCTCAACACGCTTTCGATCCTGCTTCAGATCACACCTGCGACGTCTTTCCCAGAGATTGAAGAATCTCTTCTGTCTGAGATCTACCTTATCTCGTATTCACCATTGGTTTCTGGTGCGGCGCTTGATTCACTTCTGAACTTCTATTCCACATTGGTGCAGGCTGACAATCAGATTGCCGCCCATGTCGTGCCCAATCTGGTCTTGAATGTGGAGAAGGCGCCGAAATCAGAGACGTCTCCTTCTAATGTCGCCAAGTGTGTGGCACAAGTTGTCAAGAGTCAACACGGTATTGCTGCCGGTGTAATTGCCGAATATTCGAAACATTTGAAAGTTGGTCGGTGTTTTTTTCCGCGACATTTGTGTACTGAAACTTCTGTCGTAAGCAAACCTCCAAGGCAAAACCATCTCTGGTGGTTTTGAGCTTGCTCATCGTAGGAGAACTCGGCCGGTTTATGTGCGCTCTTCTATTTTATGTTTACATTTTTCGAACGAATCTTCTGGTTAGTGACATGTCGCCGCAAAGCGAAATTTTCAGCCATGCAATTGAGCTCTTCTCTTCTGATCAAGAGGACCTTCGGGCGGCTGCGGCCTTCGCTGCTGGTGAGTCATCTATGCAATGAATGTGAGAGTCCTCTAAAGAAGATCTTCCAGGCAACATTGCCATTGGCAACCTGCATCTGTTCTTGCCGGCTGTCATTAAGATGGTCGAGAGTGATCCGAAGAAGCGACTGCTATCTCTTCATGCGTTGAAAGAAGTGGTCACACATAGTTCTCAAAGTCAGCTAGAAGGCGTCTCGGACTTGCTATGGGTGCCTCTATTCGAGAACTCGGAGAACTCCGAAGAGACCACGCGAAATGTCGCAGCAGCCTGTCTTGGTAAATTGGCGATCACCCATCCATCGAGATATTTGCCTCAGCTTCATGTGCGAATTTTTTTTTAATATGCGTCATGAAGATTTTTGTCGACGCTTTGTTGACAGGCCCGGATTCAAGACCAAAATCCTGCTACCCGTGCAACAGTCGTGTCTGCTATCCGTTATACCTTTGCAGACTCGCCAGCTAGCTATGATGAGCTGTTATCGCCTTACTTGGTCGACTTCTTATCCCTTATGTTAGACCAAGATCTAGTAAGCACGCCCCCCCTACCAATTCTCATCAGTGTTAATCGTTGCCTAGACCGTCAGACGTATAGCTTTGTCTGCCCTCAACTCGGCCGCTCGTACTAAACCCCATCTTGTCCGAGATCATTTGGCCGCCCTTCTGTCTAGTCTTTACAAAGAGACCATGCTTAACCCAGAACTCGTTCGGACAGTGCAAATGGGTCCTTGGACGCACAAAGTCGATGATGGTCTCGAGACCCGTAAAACGGCGTATGAGACTATGTATACCTTGGTACGCTTCTTACCGCCAATGATGCGTGTATAGTTAATCATATTTCTCGCATAGCTGGACACATGCCTTACCAAGATCGACCTCCATGAATTTCTGGGCCGAGTCATCCCAGGTCTCTCGGACGAATCAGATGAGATCAAGGTCATTTCGCACATGATGCTTTTCAGACTCGCGCAGGTAGCTCCTGCAGCTGTGTCGCAGAGGCTTGACGAAGCTGCGCCACCTCTCGAAAAGACAATGAAGGGCGCAACTGTCACCAAGGACACTGTCAAGCAGGATCTCGAGCGCGCGGCGGAGCTGCAAAGAAGCGCGTTACGGGCTGTCGGCGCTCTGACCAAGATCGGAGCGGGTGTTTCTCCCAAGTTTGATAACCTTGTCGAGGAATTGAAGAAGAACTCGTCATTCAGTGTTGAGTTGAAGGAGTTGGGAGGACAGTAATGGATGAAATTGATGGAGATGCTGCAATGTGTATTTTTTCCCTCAGTAATGTGCTCAACTCCGTTTGTAACTACTTGCTTCCTGGACAGATCCTTTTAGTTATCACTAGCATTGCTTTTCTCTCCAGATTGTGTATCACTACAAGAAAAACGTGAACTGATGCAGGATCGGGAGTCTCTAGAAGTGTATGATGGAACCGGGCGATAAATATATAGCAGACCCATACCCATTGGTCCCAAGCTGTTGGAATTGTACCCCGAAAAGTTGTATTGGTATTGCTGACGTCGGCAGAACCAGACGTTCTCAATGAATCTCGCAGCGTACTCGCAAGCAATATGCAACATAAGTAGAATCGGTCACGGATCGTCTATCGCGCCCTCGGCCCTTCTAGGGGTGTATCAATGGAGATACTAACACGACATTCGTGGTATATTAAGCTTACCCTTCTTCGATACATCGAGCGTTCTGCTTATCTTCTGGTACACTAAGAGCCTGTTGGGACTACGCAGTGATAATGAGGCTACTGTTCTAAAGACGAAGATAATGGTTGTAAGTTAGTGTTACAGATTTCTTGCGCTCCTATAGCGGCTTCTTGTCATTTCAAGTCATGTCAGAAAGCAAATGCTGGCAAATCGATCAATGACGCGAGCACCAGGTTATATAGAGCACCCCTCCTGGTCGGGGTAGCTCAAGGGGAGGGTAGTATTGACAATGATAGCTGAGAGAACGGTAGCGCAGAGGTCTGAGCTTCAAGTTCAGCATGACAACCTGCAGCGGCTTTACGAGTCAAATACCAACAAACGTGAGAAACAAACACATCAGCAAGCCATATAGCAGCTATCTAGGAAAACCAACACAAACCTGTAGAGAGGCTCACGCTCGATTAAGCTTAGAGCTATGACTCTCACCTATTCATGGACGACATCTTCGGCGACCATCATGGCCCTGCCTCGATGGCTACCACCCCTAACCCTTGCGGTGAACGTCTATCCGCTATCCTCGTACACGTCGGTGACCTCAACAGATGCGAATCAACAGCAAAGCACCACATTTCCATTAGAAAATCAAAAGAAGGGTATACTGGCTCCATTCTCATGAATAGATTGAGATATTCTGCAGCTTTCTATGCGCAATTGGTGACCTGGTCGTAATTGAAGACGCACCATGTCCCGCCATGGTCTAAGCAAACAATCGTAGGACTAGAAAACCATCCTCACCACCGACCTCTGTCTCTCTCAGAACGAAAGAAGGTTCCTGATCCCATTTACCCAATCCGAGAGGATCCACACATCATAGCGGTGCTAATGCCGAAAGACTTAGACGTTTCATGAAGTCCTTCTTTAACATACGAAAAGAAAACGGATGCAGGAACTATGCTCCTCTAGTTTGCAGCGGTCCAGGCACAGAGAAAACGGATTTCTGCAGGATGGCGATCCGCAAATTCTTCGATAACGATACCGAAATCGGCGACGACGATCCATTCAAAATAGCATGTGCTTTCAGTACACATACAATTGTCGTTCCGCGATAGCCTGATTAGCGAAGAGACTGCTTGTCCAGAGGGGTCGCTTTATTTACGAATCATATACGAAATATTCAAGGGCTCTACTCCCTTTCAACGCCAATACCCAAGATCGCGCGAGTTTCTACTGGCTTTTGTGTCTGCTCCGTTTTCCCCTGCCAGTCTCCTTTCCTTGTCGGATCTACAATAATTTTTGATGGCACGATTAGCCCTACCAGACGCCACAATCCTATTCTTCATCTTGATGAAATAGAAGGAATATTCCAAGGACCAAACAAGAAGAAGGGTATGGCCTATTTCTAAGGGATCCTTGACAGCTTTGAGGACTTCAATCAATAGCGCTCTGACGTCGTCTTTTGCACCTTTCTTGGGCATTGGGTCGGCCATCGTGGCAGCTATCGATACCTGGAGATACTGCCGCGGTTGTCCTTCTGTCATCAACCTCGACCCGATTACTCCGAAGGAATATTGCCAGGGGCTCAGTGACTTCTTATCAATGCAGATAAGGTATGGTCTTAGTAAGAGTTTACACATCGTCTTTCCAAACTTATCCTCATGAGGATAACAGAGCCTCCTCCATTCTCGACCACGGAAATAACGACAAGCGTATGGGAAACCTTGATGGATATCGAGGGCATCCCAATATTATTCATTTCTCTTCTGCATGTGCCGTCTCGAGAAGCCATAAAAGACTCATCTCTCTCTACGAGCACAATCCTCAAAGCCCTTCATGCACGTATCACGGTTCCAAATATCCATCCTTCTTGGGTTGTAAGTGATGACGCCGACCTCAGTAAAGTGGGATTCTCATTCCGAGTGTAACTACTACAGTCTAATGACATGAACGAAAGATTTGGCGTTACGCTGTCACTACCTATCTCGCCCTACGCAAGGCTAGACGGGTCGAGTGGAAGATTCCCCTACGTTTTCTGAACTGGAACGTGATGGGAAGGTGGTGTTGTGTCGTTTGCCATACTATGTCCCAGGCGCAGGCGATGACCGCGTCACCTTCCCGTTTATCTTTCTCAAGAGCGTTCTCCCGGGGGGAACAACTAAACATCATACTGACTGAGGATTATGGTCCTCTATACGCATAGCCTCATTGATCTGAGCGGGCCAATCAATGACTCCCTCGAACGGCTCGAAACTAAACCGCAGGATATGGTCGACAAGTGTCGTCGACTCAGAAAGAACGGATGTTTGGGATGGAAGATTTCCCTCGGTACGCGGGGTTGGGATTGAACTTTGAGCTTACCTTTGGTCGATGCTGGCCGGCTGCTCCTCATTGATAAGAGTAGAATGGCTGTGGAAGGAGGCCTCAGGGCGTCGCTGATTGAAAGAGACCACAGAAAAGCCACTGCGACATGGCTCCAGGCTGGAACGAGAGCATGCCATTTCATTGTCTTGGCCGATGGAAGGTTTGTTGGGAACCTTTCCGCTAACGTCAAGAAGACGACTAGTGTTGTTGATCGGACAACGATGGATATGTTCTTTGGCAAAATAATGGCTGCCAGACTATCAGCGGTTTTCGACTTTCAAGCGCTGAAGCGATAGTGTCTAGCTGCAGGTGCTCACTGAGGTCGTACACCTGCAACGGCCAGTCATTAGTCGGCGCCCTGGTGTCGAGTCATTCTCAGGGCCTCCTGGGCAAGAGCTATCATCGGTGTATTGTGCACATCAGAGTGTTCAAACCGGTGAGAATGACATACTGTACAAAGACCTGTTCGAAACTTGCTCATTCCGCAAAATAATTCATTTCTCAAGTCCACGCAAAGTTTTCCTCCGCTGTAAGGAACTGAGATGTGATGGCAAAACGTTTTTGAAGGACGAACCGGAGGACTCAGCAAGAACATTACGGTATCTGTTCAACCTCAAATGATGATTTTTTGATCACTGCGCCGACCAGCCATGTCAAACGCAACATCGACACCTAGAATGAGCAGCAGACCGGGTCTTGAAAACTCACACCGAGTGATGAGATAGGACCAGAGTACAAGGAATCTATTTTCAGTACAAGAATTTGCCCTTTAAACACGTATGGATCTTCAACGTTACAGCAAGCTCAGACGCGCCACACCTAGTCTCTCGCTTATTCATGACAAATCGAACCCGGCACCGGAAGTGATCGCCCGAAGGAGCTTGTCTTTCAGCACCTTCTCGCTCTGGTACCTCGGTAGCTGTTGCACAAAGGTCACCGACATGTGTATAACCAAAAGGCAAACGGCATACCTTCAGTAGATTGAAGCACGTACTCGCCGTAGGCAAACGATGCTCATCACTTCCAGAGTCACGGATACCAAACTTGGGCACAAGCTCCTTGAAACCCCTACGAACCGCCCGATTGTAAGGACATTCCTAGGAAGGCTAGACGCGGAGGACTCACAGTAACGGAGGCCGGCTACAGCTTGTTACGAACCTCAACAGGGCGCGCCGCTGATCTTGATCAAACGTTTCCACGACCTACACGCACTACGTCAACGGCACATTTCGAAACACGGAAGAAAAATAACAGCGCACCTTCCAGAAAGCGACGATCGTGGGCTCGTTGTTATCATAAAGCCCGCCGTAATTCGTATTTTCCCTGAGATCCTCCAGATCTATGGGAGAGTTCACACCGCCAATTAAGATTTGGACTTCTTGCTGGTTAAACATCCTAAACTTGGGAATCAGGACCAGCGTAACAAAAGGCGCAAGGAAGCCTTACCTTAGCCACTTGGGGTCAATGGTCTCAGAAAGACCCTCAAAGAAGGCTTCACTCTGGAGTTTGATCTGTTTGCTGAGGCGATAATGCGAGACTAGGTAGATATACTGCAGTCGGTTCTCTTTGGTGACAGCTATCGTACTACCATTAGGGACCAAATCAATAGTCTTCGTCACACCAAACTCTGAATACATGGTTAGTCAAACGTTGCCACCGCCATTGCAGAAATTCACCCTCGATGGCAACTGTGAAGTTGAGCGATAGGTCTTCCGGGTTGCCGGTATAGTGCTTGAGAAACATAAGTCCACTGTATAATTCGGGGTCAAGAGATGTAAGATCGTCAAGAAGATTCTGTCTTCCAAGCCACTGCAATATATATGAACATTCAAGGCTTCCGTGACAGAATCAACACCTACCTTTGCGAGGAAGAACCCAGCAAATGCCACGTCTACCAAGATACCCTCATATATAGCTTTACCCAATATCCTCCCAATAAAGCGATACCAACTGAGGCTGTGACCTGCGAACGAAGATGGGTTGTGTGAACCCAAAACATGATAACCTGTTTGAGCTCACCTTCTTTGGCGTATCCATGTGGGTTTGGGTACAATTCGTGGTTGTCGTTGGCTAACCACAGCCCTCGGTCTGTGTCAAAGACCTCCTTGCAAAGGGACGTAAAAAATTCCTTGAACACCCCTCCTCCATCAATACCAGCCCTACATTCGGGTTGACATTAGCCTGATTCCGACATCACCTTGACAAATCAACATACTCAGCTTCCCCAAACTTATCTATGAATGTGATTTGCACGTGGCCTTTCAAGTCCGCGTCTCCAAGCTTGTCGAATCCATCTTCTGAAATGTGGTCTCGTCGAATACTGACGATCGTCCGGTTGTATCTCAAAGAGTGCAAGTCATCACCATGCTTGCGCAAATCGTTAAGCACAAAGTGGCGGAAGATCGACACCCGTACTTCAAATGGAATAGCGAAAGGGATGTTGTTAAGGACACCCAGTCGAGGTGACATTTGCGCCATTTGCCGCTTCGTAGGGGCCGGGCCATCAGAGAGCGCTTGTTCTTCATATCTAGAACAAAATGAGCACCAATATTTTAGGTCCCTAATAAGTGAACATACATCGCAGCATCAATAAAGCCGTTCATATCAATCTGAGAACTGACAAGCCAATGTTCAGGGGAAACGAAAGGTTTGCGAGAGCTGGGAAATTTCTTGAGCATACAGAAATTGGGAATCGACTGTCAGCAACTTACTCCCGGGAGTGAATTGCTAACAAGCAATTTGTAACCTTCTGCCTCGCGCCTTCCCACGTACACCGAACGTCCGGGGACACCATCTCTTTTTGCAACCCTGTCTGATCATCCCGCCAATACAGCGTAAACGCTATATTCAATAACTGGCGACTAAATGATGTCAAATCATCCAGCGTTAGGGGATTTCTTGTGCCTGATGCATCGAAGAACTCGTCATCGCCCATCGTCAGTAACGCTTGAGTGTACAGATCCACCAACAACAGCAACGAAGGCCAAGCTCCTGCATGTGCTGGATCCATGACAGCGCCTGGGTTCTCGTCCTTACCTATTGGTAACGATCGAACGCGACCCCGATACAACTCTCTCAAAAAGCCAGTCCCGGTCGACGTCAGTACAGCGGTAAGGACAGTGTCGCGTTTTGCTGGCCACACGCTCGTCAAAGAAAGGATGAAGGTTATGATAGATGAGCGACAGTTGGCGATGATCGAGCTGAGGTGCTGAGGAGACGGAAGAGTCTGCAAGCGCTTTGCGGTGCGAGGGTCTAAGGTAGGAAGAGGGACAGCATTGAAATCTGTCACTACCGACACTACTGTATGATGATCCTCATCATCGGAGTCCCCATGGGACCAACTACTGGTACTCGCCGCCGGTGGATCCAGTGCATTGACAGGCAATGAGTTTAGAACAGCTGTTAGAAGCGACAAGTAAGAAGGGAGTACCGACTGCAGTATTGCATAGCGAGGAGGGGTAAATGCAAGAAGGTTGGCAACAAGATTGACTTTAAACTCTGTGCCTTTTGTACAAATGACGGAGACATGAGGTTCAAGAAGTGGCAGCTGGGCAAAAGGGAGAGTCGAGGAGAAGTGTGTTAGGGATGGAATGGGCATTCGGTTAGGGAGGAGAGAAATGGTCAAGATATCGGAAAACAGTCCTATTAGTGCTTGGAGATATTCTGGTGAGAGCGGGGAGAATATCGTGAAGGATACGGTCAGCAAGGGAACCAAGAGAGGTAGCTGTGGTGAATCCTTCGACCCCACGCTAAAAGCCAGGACAGATCTAGATAATAATTCGTACCCGCGATGCGATAACAGATATCGCATCACCTCCGTGGATATTGACGACTGAGTCAGCATCGTGAGGACCTTGAGGTGCGAATACGCATTTGACGACCTGTATCAGATGGCATCAGTATTGAGCGACCGATAACCAAGTCAATGGCGGAGCTATCCAGCATTTCAACACTTTGGGGGGTTGGGTAGAGGGAGAAAATAATGGACTTACTGTGGCACAGTGGCTATTGAGCGCAGCAAATGAAGGCTTAGCTGCCTCACAAGCACCACCCAGCTTTGATTCTTGGATGACATGCAGAAACTATCTTCAACGCCGTTAGGTGACGAAACAGTGAAGCGGCGCTACTGAGTCACCCACCTTGGTTCTGCGACAGCATCGCGTTCGACCATATTCCTAGGGCTTCCTCGTCCTGCCCAATAAGCACAAGGCATCGTAGGCCAGTAATGCTCATCACATCGCTCTCAAAGGTCGTTCTCATCTGATTTCGCACCAATCTCGCCTCCCGGATGCCTCTCCACCATGCTTGCAGAATCACCGCGTTTTCGTGTTTTCGTTTCTGCTCATTGCGTTGGTTTCTCCGCTGTTTGGCCTGATCTATGATAGCCGCTTGTGTTGATGCAGACGATGCCCCACCAAGGTTGATGTTTCGTCGTCGTTCGTCACCGAAGAGAGGGAGCATGATATCTGCAGAACAGTTAATGGGATATCGTCAGTGCAAGGTGAGGAAGGCATACAAAGACTATTAGTAAGTCATGGGGGTAGAGAAAAGGAAAGTTTTGGATGGTGAATGCTGGTGAAGTCTGTGACGCGTATTGGGCCTCCGGATGCACGGGCCGATGTGGGAAACCCGGCAGCGCTGCCGCTGACTGAGAACTGACCTTTGCGCCTACCTCGACTTCAAAAACGGAGCGCTGTGTTCACATCACTTGAGCCCTAACAAAAACTGCCTCAACTTAATTTGTTGTTGATATTATCCTTGAAAACCTCTTAGGCTTGACATTCGTTCCTACTCTTCTTGCGACAGAATATCACCCTCCACTCCACTTAGTTCGCCTCCTCATTAGCCTTCTACCATTGAATTTCCTCACTCTTGGAGCGTTCCCTCATTGCTGCGGTCTCTTCCTAGAAATTTGACGAGCCTCTAGATTACTTCAAGTCTCCTAGTACCAATGCCGCTTCTTTATTCATCGTGGAATCTCAGAGGGCCAAACACCTCTCTGTTGTCAACGTTAACTGGAACAGGAAGTATATATACATTACATCCCATTTATCCTCATGCTTCAGCTCAACTGCCTCCATGTGTTAATCTCTGTCTCTTCGAATCAACTGGCGAGCGTCCAGATGACGATTTGCTGCTACCGATCTATAGTACCCGAGCGTACCATTCCTATATCATGGTATACACGGCTTCTCCCAGAGCTCCTTCAAACAATCCCTCGTGTTTGTGAATTTAGAATAGCAAACTGGCGGAGATGGCCATGCGACAGATCCGCAGCTTGTCTAGCGCATCAATACCTAGATAAACAGGAAATCTCCTTGATTAAATTGGTGGCCCCTGTGGAATGGATACCACCCGCTTGATTGTTACCGTCTTGATGCTGAGTCTTCAAACTCTATTCTTCTATGAATATTTTCATCCTTATCTCAATTGTGGACACCTTCAATTCTGTCAGGTAGACATTACTTTCATACATCTGTGTGCTTATAACATATGGGTGCCATCCTCTGTGGTGATGTCTTTCTCAGCAATCGTTGAGTTGACGCGAAGGCGTCAAGAGAAATCCCAGCGTTTGGATGAGAAGCACTGCGTGACATCTCTAGAATTCCTTTCATGGTATTCCAGGGCGAATCACGAACTGCTTCCAGATGATCAGTGTGCCTGCCACTGGCGGAAGCAGTACAATTCTTGTAAGACCTTAGTCTCTGGGTAGTTTGCCCATTAGCGTCTCTCTCATATGTATACCAAACTAAACTTATCCTAGTAATCTCCGGAGATTTTTCTAGAGATAACTTGCCTGTTTTTGACGAGATAGATCCAGCTTATATTCAATTATACGTATAATCCAGGGTAACACATGAAACCTAGGTTTCGATACACCAAGGATAATTAGTAACTTACTAGTAACTTAGCCCCTTCGCTTGAAAGGTTTTCGTTGAGCTAACTTACCTGTCTTGTGACTATACATGGGCAGTATTTGGAAAGCAAAAGTATGCATATATTTTGCTTTCCTGAGACATTAACGAGATGTATAAGAACACGAAGGCGAATCGAGAAAAAAATCGGCCAGACACCAGTCATGTGATTTGGCACGTGATAAGGCAAGTAACGGTAAATTAACCCTCTCCTTCCTCTTCCGTCAGGGATCGGCATAAAAAAAATTTGACCCCTGCAGATTTCGTGCGTACTGAAAATAAAACCCTACCAGCCACGAAGCAGTACGCCGAAGGGGAGTCGAACCCCTACCGCTTGCTAATCTCATGGAAGGCAAGCATGATAACCGTTTCACCATCGGCGTATACAATTAAGCTGAATAGTATAAATAATATATGAGAAGAGTTTAACTTCCGTAAACCATGCAAGCTCCAATATATCCTCACACCAGCACAACAACTCAAATACAAGTTAAGTACCTTGCTAAACGTGAATGCTATTTATGCACATTTTCTCAAAGTGCGAAATGATTTTCTAACGCGCTGCTGACATCCGTATATCATAATAAATTTAATGACGGGAATTTCCATGTTGCGGTGGCTTCGATGCAAAATCACGATCGTTCCCACCAATTGTATTGACTCGGGCTTTCTGAGAACTTGTAGGAAGCCTCGACGTGGTCGATCCCTGAGACTGCCGTATACAGGGATCTAGCACGTCCCGAACGTTTCCACGAAAAGGGTTGTGTGGGTGGCGGCACGCTAGACAAAGAAAGACACGTAGCTAGGACCAAACACTGTCAGATTCTTGGCTGGCATGCATGTCTCTCCACGGGAGAAGCCTGTTGAACAAAATCCTTTCATATTGGCAATATTCGGGGATTGACCTGAAGAATCTGCCGCAAGTCTATTCCGGTCTTGTTGTCGGGTTTGCGTGCTCGCCGAAGAGAAGATGAGAAACCTCGTGTTGCTTGAGCGGCTCCCCCCCCCCATAAAACACTGCAGTGCGGGAAGGTCAATCAATCGAATGTCCCCAGCGGAAAAAAATTCGAATGCAGCTAGATCGTCCACGTCGATGGATACACTTCCTTGCATGCATTTGTCTGCCACACGACGAGGTTCCGCCGTGTTGTCGTGCGGTTTCTCTTCGCGTCCTTTGCGCTAGACACGGAACGGAATTGGATGTTGCGGGACGTTCCCCATCGTAAAAGCAGTAGACGGATTGCCGTTGGGTGCAGTGACAAAATCCAACGAGACTGAATACAAAGGCAGAAATGACTTGGAGCGCGAAACAGATATTAGAGCCAGATCTACGGCCAGAGTCCTAGTGGCGGGCACAAAATGCTGCGGTCATGGGAAAAATATAGGGCCGCGTTTTTAAAGTCAGCTCGTAGCTCGGATATTTTGGTGGATGTATTAGGCCTTGAGGGATCCACGAACGTTGCTCACGATAGACTAGTGACCGGAATCAAAGATAGGGAATGTAAAAAATCGCCGCAGTTATTCTTGATTACGATAAATTTGCAATCTATGGGCCGACATGTGGCGAAAATAGTGCACGAAAGCGGCGCAGCACCAGTCGGTAGCGGGATTGCGAGGTGGGTCAGTGTCGGCGTGAATGTAGGTAGAGAGAGTATACTGTAATATTGCGGGGCGCGAACTTCGGCCGATGAGGTACCGATAATTCCGAATTCATCACACTACCATGTCGCTGGCACTCTTCTGCAACTTTCTTCTTGCTTCCTACGTTCACCAGTGCCCACCGCTGTGGCCTGCGTCTGTCACCAGATAAAGAACAGGTACACCAGGTACTATGAGTCATTAATCAGGACTAGGCTCGATTCCGGTCTACTACCTCCCAGCCTCAGTTAACTCGAGTACAACGTCTGAATGTCCCGGTGAGCAAGCACTTGGCAAGAAGGTATGTATGTTGACCCCCAACAACCGTCTCCCCAGATCACTGATGACGTCAAGTGTTGCAGAGGCCGCTGGTCGGCTTTTCGCCTATCTGGAGCTGGAGAACCTCTTTGAGTAAGGCATGTATCTTGGCCAAACCTTTAGCGCCATGATCCCCGCAAATGCCCCCAAGCTCGGGGCAATCAAATTGATGGGTGAACCTACATATTTGGACTTGCGATATCGAACGACGCTTCATGAGTCCTTCTCTGGCACCTCTTTCGCGTGTGAACGCTGGATTCCAGGATTCTGGGGCTACGAACACAGAGTTCAATACGACTGACTGTGTGTAAGTTGAACCCTCTTCTTGTGCTGTTGGTGGTCTCTGATTCGTGTCTATGAATAGACAGTTACCTGCACCTGTATGTACGGTGGCGTTACGGGGACATATGAGGTCAGAGTGATGAATATATTTGATTGATACCTCCGGGATCACAGCTCCATTAATATCATTTTCGTAGATTCATCCCAATGCGAGAATGCATGAATGTGTCCGCGTCTCCCGTTCAGGACCGCATCGCAGGAATCAGCGTGGACCTGCTGGACCTCATGTCGAGCCTCAGACCTGAATTGGGAAACGCCTTGATGCCCACCGACTCGGGTGAGACTCGACGGACCTTCTCGTGATGAGTCAGTCAGGGAAGGGCTCGCCTCTGGTGCTGGCATCTATGTTGAACAAGTTAGGCTGATGGATCCGATGCCAGGGAAAACAAGAGACAAACGGAGAGCGCACACGCTCCATGGAGGCAATAGTCTCGGATGTTCCCTTCCGGTCGTCGCGTTATTTTCGCCATTTGGTCGAGCAAGTCGGTGCGCTGACCAACGTTCTTCAGATGATTGAGTACCAGGAAGAGAAGTACGTTCCACAAGCTTCCGGCGATCAGCAAACGCAACACGAACGAACACCGTCGTGTCCGTTTTCATATCCCTTGCTGAATCGGGAGGATACAGTGGGTCTCGAGGCAGTAGGAGGCGGCTTGTAGTGTCGTTATCAATATCATCGAATTTGATGGTATGGTCATGAGGCAAACTCTTGACTTGCTATCAGATATTCTCATTTCCATTTGTGATTTCTGTGTCAAAAATTGTTTCTTGTTTCGCTCTGCCTCAAGGCAGAAGAGACAGGGATAGAGGATGCTGCTTACGTCATCGACTGAAATAGTAAATTTCCGTCCTCCCTTTACTTTCTTTACCGCAAACCACCATCACCGCCAGCGACTGCAACGAGCTCCGTCGTCTTCGAACAGCGTCAAGGCTATTTTTTTTCTCGACGGCGAGAGGGGTCCTGCACCCGTTCACGCCGTCTCGTCGCATATTAACAGCCAGCTTCGCTCTGCCTTTACCCACCTACCCGCCCAGACGCCATGATATCGCTCTAGTTGAGCTCCACGACCAGCAGCCTTTTCCCATTTCATTAACAGTACTCCTCATTAACTCGCCCACCATTACTCCTACCACCACGGCCATTACAAGACCCAACCACCTCCTGGACTGCCTCGAACACATGATAGACCAGGACTCTTCATCGACAGAAACCACTCAGACGGACGGTGACGGCCCGGACAGTTCTGACAAACCTCATAATAAGCCCCCCATGCCCATGCCCAAGCTTGCCAACGGCGCTGCCGTCCACATTCCAATGCCGCCGCCAGAGACCGGAGCGTACGAGAAGCAGCCCGGTAACACCGTTATTACCCTTCAGCGGCTCGCTTCCGAAGTCAACCACATCAAACAAGCATCCGTAACCTCTTCCACCACCAGCGGATCAACCACTTCGTCACCAACCGGGTCAGAGTCAGACTGGGATAGTGTCCCCTCTACTCGCGCTCATAGCCGCGCGCCCAGCAGGGCGCCCAGCATGTCCGCCGGTGCTGACGCGAAGCCCCAGATGACACCAACACCCAACAAACTCGCCAATGGTGCAGCTAAAGCTACCCCTGCTCCCATCAACGGATCGGGTGCAACGCTGCGTGCCAAGGCACCCTCGGTTCACTCGCATGATGGCGGAGGGACCAAATTTACGCTCAAGGATCTGCTTGCTAATGGCCCCAAACTCGCCCGGAAGTCCTCCCAACGCTCAACAGGAGGCAGCAGCCGCAAGTCTGACGGAGACAGCGATGCGGGTGGACGGCAAGGCCCGCGGTCAACAGCGGGGGAGAGTACTGCTAGCCTGTCGCAAAAGTACGGCGTCTGCCAGAAAATTGCGATTGGCAAAGGTGCCACCTCCGTCGTCCGCCTCGCACATAAATGGGACAGGAGCGAGGAGAAGCTGTATGCCGTCAAGGTCAGTCGACTATCTTGCGTGTTGTGTTTTACTTTCTCATGTACTCTCCTAGGAGTTCCGAAAGCGCCGCAAGAACGAGACGGAGAAGGAGTACATCAAAAAACTCACAGCCGAGTTTTGTATATCGTCAACGTTGCATCACGTCAATATTGTGGAGACTGTCGACCTCGTCCAGGACGAGAGCCAGCACTGGTGTGAGGTGATGGAGTTTTGTCCCGGTGGCGATTTGTACGCTGCCATCAAAAAGGGCGGGATGTCACCTAGCGAGGTCGAGTGCTGTTTCAAACAGATTTTGAGCGGTGTGGCGTATCTGCACAGTCAAGGCGTGGCCCACAGGGACATCAAGCCTGAGAATCTCTTTTTCGATACGAAGGGGCATCTCAAGGTAACTTTCTTTTTTCATTTCTGCCTCAAATGACGTACACATGGTCTCATTCGCCTCTTAGATTGGTGACTACGGCGCCTCGACGGTGTACCGTCTACCATGGGAAACTACGATCCACATGTCGACGGGATTATGTGGAAGCGAACCATACATTGCTCCGGAGCAGTTCCTAGGCAAACGTAAGCCTTGCCACCCATTTGTTAATATTCTGGATATTTCTGACTAGCGCTGTTGGCCTTTTCCTATACTGGAAACCATTAAATAGCCTACGATGCCCGGCTCGTCGATATCTGGGCGTGTGGGGTGGTGTACTACTGCCTTCACTTTCAGGAGCTGCCTTGGCGTGCTGCCCAGCATAGTGACGCGATGTACTCTGCGTATGCTTCTGCTTGTACGGCTCCTACCGCGTTCCCTTCGACGATCAACAACCTCTCTCCACGAGCATGTCGAAGTGTGATCCGGATGATGCTGGAGCCGAATCCCAAGCAGAGGGCTCCGATTGAGGAGATTATGAAGCAGACCTGGGTGCAGGGAATTGAGGTGTGCCATACGGTGGAGAAGCCGAAGCATGTGCATGTGCATGCTCGAGCCTTGGCGCAAGCTCAGCTGCGGGAAGTGGTTTGAAGTTTCTTGTCGTTTTTGTTGTATGTTTTACGGTCGTTGTTTTTTTGTGGCTTTTCGCCCGTACCCTGTTTTCGCCCCCAAGTGGCGAGTTTTTTTTAATCCAAACTTATCCTTCTCTTACCATTGTAGTTCAATACGATCTATCTATAATTCTTTTTCTGATGCGCCACTTTCCGCCTCGATCGACGATCATGACCTCAAAAGCTCGTTGAAAGTGCTTGGCGCGGGGGTTTGTGGTACGACCTTTTTGCTTCCCTCTTGGTTTTTTTAATTTTATTTTAGAGTTTGAGGAAACGGGGTGCCGCTGTTCACTGTGACTCGCCGCTGGAGAGTGTTGGTTGGACAGGTGACCTTCATGGCTTGCTATGTGCTTATGACAATTTCGTAACTTGGGAAACTTGTGGCGTTTTCGTTGTTTTAAGAGAATAGGTAGTTCGAGGGTTTATTTTTGGTATTACTCCGGACCCGGAGGGGGGAGGCCCTATCTACCCGGGGGAACGCAATGGAGGGCCCCGAACTAACTGGATTGGGAGAGAGCAGTTGTTGTAGACTTTTGGATTATTATTACCTGCCGATAGATGAAAAGTAAACGTTTTCGATTCCGTGTTGGGTATGGGCTTCTATCACTATGCGCTGTTTGGACATCTGAAGAATGCCTTCTGATTCTTACCTAGGTTTTTGGAAAGTAGGTAGTACGGAGGATTTTCTTGCATGTAGGTAGGTTTTTTGGATCCTGCATTGAGGGGCTAAGAATTCGTGCTATTAGGTCAGAGGAATGGATCAGGAAGCGAGTTCTTTGGCTTAGGGTTAGATCCTTGAATCCGTCGGAGCTGAAGAGCGCTTTGTCTACGCTTCGACTGGTATAAGTATTCTCAGAACGATCAATTGTAACTGGTGACCCTTCTACCGTGCCAAGGACACTTGGTCGAGATTTGAGAACGGGGCCTTTTGAAAAATTTCTTCCCCCCCCCCCAAGTTCATCAAACACGCACCTGTGTTGAGCGCAGTATGGGACTAAGGGCCGTTTGCGTTTCCTATCACTGCGGCCACGCACACCTAGTTGATGAATTCTCGTCGATTTTAGGTAGCAGGGAGGAATTCGAATGAAGTTCTAATAGATGTAGACTTTTTTTTTTCCAAGCTTCAAAATTATCGGTGTTGGAGCGAGTGCCACGTGTGTAAGGAAACAGAGGTCAAAGAGTCGACACCTGGCTGGTGTTATATTTCTTCAGAACGTCAATTCTCCGCTTTTGGAATGTACCGGGCCATTCCACCATGCTTGCGCCGCGTTTCGATGCCATGGAGAGGGACTACGGAGACTCTCAGTCGAGATTTGAACGATGTGTTCCGCAGCGGGGGAATCATACAAAGACGCCGGACGTGTGGACCGTTTGAAAGATTCTCCCAAGGTTCCCTGCAGCTATCAAACACACACCTGCCTCGCCCTCCACCATGCGTGGGACTGAGAGTTCGCGTCACGGTTCGTATCATCGCAGCTGTTCCGATACGAAGCAAGACAAGAGTAAATGACATGCGATAAGGTCCCCCCTTGGCATTCTGTGCTTGTGAATAGCACTGAGTGATATGGGTAGTGCGTGATCCTCGTAGCTGTACCAGCCACTGCTTCGGTGATGGAGAGACCAATGATGTGTTGCCACGCGGCGATCATGTAAATTTCGAATTTCTAGGGTCTCGTCATCCACCGCTGTGGGGCGTGAGAGTCTCGCTCCGTCAAATCCCAAGCTGCGAAACTGAATACATGTAGGCAAAGGTCGGCCGTCGGTTGCCATCCTTCCTCCACCCACCTCCCGCTACACTTTGTCCGCGTTTGGCTCCGACATCCGCGCCTGATATGTACTGCGCGAACGTGGCCATCTCGATCAAATAAATATTCCGTTTTCCATCCATCCCTCATCACAGTCCTTTTTACACCTTCCCTACCCCGCCTACCTCCCTCCCTTACGTTCGTTCGCCCAACATGGATGGAACTGCCGACCCCAACATACAAGTCATGTTCCAGACGATCCTCTCTTTAATGGAGAAATCGGTAATGTTGTCTCCTCGTGCCCTCAGCTTGCGTCTGGCGACTGACTGGAACTGGGTGGGTGGTAGCAACAAGACGTGGCAGAGCTGAGGCAGGAATGCGCTGAGCTCCGCGCCGCGAATACGAGCCTGGAGCACCAGGTCCGGGAGGGATTGCAGGTGAGCGCGCTGGGGTGTGCCTCCCCGCACAGGACTCACACAATTCTCGCAGCACAATAACAACAATAACCACCGGTCGTCGGGGTTCATCACTCCCGTGCCCTCGAGCCCGCAACTCCGCTCGCGCTCCCCGTTCTTGTCACCCAGCACCCCCGTGTCGGTCCCCGCCTTCCCGTCGTCGCACGCGCACCACCCCTCCCCGCTCGGCGACAACGTGCTATCCTCGTTCCCGTTTGTGGTCTCTCGCGATATCCCAGGCTTCTACGTCGTTATCCCTGCTGGCGGCGCGGGCACCCGCCTCTGGCCGCTCTCCCGTGAGGGCCACCCAAAGTTCCTGCTTGATCTCACTCTCAAAGGCCGCTCGCTTATCCAGGCGACGTGGGACCGCCTTCTCCCACTTGCCTCGCCGTCTCGCACCACCATCGTCGCCGGCCCGAGCCATGTCAAGACGATCCACGAGCAGCTCCCGGATTTAGTTGCTGACAATCTGTTTTGTGAGCCTGGGCCAAAGGATTCTATGGCTGCCATCGGTCTCGCCGCAGCCATTCTCGCACACCGAGATCCTAATGCTGTAATTGGCTCCTTCGCTGCGGACCATATGATTTCAGGCGACGACGCGTTCCTTTCTGCTGTTGCAGAGGCTGTCGTCGTTGCCCAGAAGGATTACCTGGTGACAATCGGTATCGCCCCGTCCCATCCGTCCACAGGCTTCGGTTATATCCGCCTCGGCGACAAGCTCCCCATCGACGAGGCCCCCAACGCGCGTCTCGTGTCGAGTTTCAAGGAAAAGCCCGATGCCCGGACCGCCGCTGCATACATCGCGACGGGCAAGTACCGCTGGAACGCGGGCATGTTCGTCACAAAGGCTACATTCCTCCTTGAGCTGCTCAAGGAGTACAAGCCTGAGCTCCATGATGGCTTGCAGAAGATTGGCCAGGTGTGGGATAATGACAAGGAGCGCCAGAAGGTGCTGGAAGAGGTGTGGCCTGAGCTCGAGAAGATCCCTATTGATAATGCCGTGGCGGAGCCTGCTGCTGCTGAGGGGCGCGTTGCTGTTGTTCCTGCCACCTTTGGGTGGGATGACGTTGGTGATTTCTCGTCGTTGGCGGATCTTATTCCTGCGGAAGCAAATCAGCCTCGTGTATTGGGTGATAATAGTCTTGGTATGGTTCTCGTGCTGCTGTGCTAAATCTCATAGTAACTGACCCTTCTCCGTAGTTCTAACTGAGCAAGTCGCAGGAGGTATCGTCGTGCCAGGGTCCGGTCGACTCATCTCTTGTCTGGGCGTCGACGATCTGGTCATTGTCGACATGCCGGACACTCTCCTTGTCACTACTCGTGCGCGATCTCAAGAGGTCAAGCGACTTGTTAAGAAGGCCAAGGACGCTGGATGGAAACACCTTCTATGATTTAAGGAGTTTGTTGTTTACTGGACGCTGTCTTTTTTTTTGTTTTTCTCTCTGTGGACTTTTTTTTTTTCGGTGGGCATAATTATTCAAGTATAACCTAGTCTCGTAGTCTACGTATTCCCTCGTTAAAATGAACATTGTTCTCGCTGTTTCGATGAAATAATTGACAAGGTGGATGTCATCGTGAGCTACAGATTGCTTTGTCAACTCGGAATCACTCATTTCACATGACATGCCGTCGGCTAAACTCGGCATATCCCGACAAACTATACAGTTCCTCAATTGTGGCTGCTTACGTCACACTTGCCAGACAGCGACAGAAAGTGTACTAGCGCTCGCTACCGACCGACCCTCCTCAAGAAATCTCAAGGTGCGCAATCCATCCCCATACGCTGCCCGTCTAACCTGTCTCTTTATCCCCCCCAACAGACCAGGGAACCAAAAACATGGGTACGTTCTCCCCTCGTCCTCCATCCCTCCTTCCACATCTAACCCACCCACAGTCAACCTCCGTTCCCAAAAACGCCTCGCCGCCTCCGTCGCCGGCGTCGGCAAACGCAAAATCTGGCTCGACCCCGCCGAGCAAAGCGAAATCGGCAATGCCAACTCGCGCACGCACGTCAAAAAGCTGATCAAGGAAGGCCAGATCATCATCAAGCCCACGACTGTGCACTCGCGCGCGCGCACCCGCGAGCTGTTGGCTGCGAAGAGGAAGGGAAGACATACGGGGCCGGGAAAGAGGAAGGGTACGGCTGAAGCGAGGATGCCGAGTAAGGTGATGTGGATGAGAAGGCAGAGGGTGTTGAGGAGGTTGTTGAGGAAGTATAGGGAGGCGGGGAAGATTGATAAGCATTTGTGAGTGGTTTGTCTCTGAGTGGCGTGTCGTGTGTCGTCCTGATGGTGGATGGATGGATGGATAGGTACCATTCGCTCTACCAGAAGAGCAAGGGTAATGTCTTTAAGAATAAGCGTGTCCTTATGGAATACATCCACAAGGCCAAGGCTGAGAAGACCCGTACAAAGGTCCTTTCTGACCAGATGGAGGCTCGTCGTATCAAGAATAAGGTCCGCTTTTCCTTCGTGTTCACCAAGGACATGTGGCTCATTTTTTTTTTTCTTCCTCCAGGCTGCTCGGGAACGTCGTGCTGCGAGGATTTTGGAGAAGAGGCAGGGGATTTTGGCTGTTGAGCATGAGGCTCCTGTGCAGGAGTGAATGTTTCCTATATGATTTGTATGGTTCTGCTATGCCACAATGCGAACAAACCTCTCCATGCCTGTCCATAGATCTCCAGTTGAGGAGGTGATAAATTCCTTGACGATGCGAGCGCTCTGATGAACATAGACTTTCCATGTCTGTTTTCATGACCCTTTCGGAATTTCTTTCTTGGCTGACGACCAAGAATCGCAAACTTCTACTTCGTCGCCCAATAAGATCTGGTTTGCTATGAAAAGATGTTTTCTCCCCCCCCTCTTTCTTTGACTGATCTGTCTACTGCTTTCTGAAATATAGTTCTAGAAGTATATAACAGTTTCGGCCAAACTGGAATACTCAGTTACAGACATTTTTCTTTCATGGCAACGACGGCGTATCATACATCATCGTACCCCCAGCTCGATGGTGCAAAAATACCTACTCGGTCGCGATTTCTCTCGGGACAACAACACAATGTGATCTCCAGGACACTATATAGTGGGTGACGCTCCAGCCCGGAGGAAATCCTCAGAACGATCTGGAGATCATACTGCCTTATGAAAAAGTCTCTTTTTTGTGTCGAGTTCTTCACAGGTCAAGTATGAGCAAATTGAACCGGTACCCCCTGATAGGGACAGCGTATACCGATACCAAGAAGATAGGTCCTCAATCAAAGGATCAAGACGCGTCGTGGCCCTTGCGAGATGTGCGGGCAGGATCGTTTTCGTCTCCAGTCTGACATTTCCCGCCCCGCAGATATTCTGGTGTATCGAAACAGACTACCGCGGCGGGTCTGGGCAGTTACGACATTCTGCTTGCCCCCCCCCCAGTAGTACATAGCGCATGAACGGCACAAAAGAGGGCGTCATCGGGATACATTGAATTGACCGTCATGCGGTGTTCGGCCATTACAATTATGATGTCCATGTCATCGATATCACTTGTTTTGGTGGACTTGCTGGAAACGTGCGATTTTACCTCTTATTCAGATTGAGTGAAGCAGGTCATCGAAGTGCAGCCCGTCCACAGTGTTGGCGCTGTTCGCCAGAAGCCCCAGACGTACCGATTGCCCACATTGGCGTCGTCTCCAGTGGTTATCGTACGCCGGAATTTACTCTTGCCCTGGTCATGGCCAATGCAGCGCCGGTAAACACTCCTCGGCCCGTCCCGGAATACAGAGAGGGGGGGGGGGTGACGATTTCGCTTTGTAAGAAGGAGGGGAGGGGGATTAGAGCGTTGTATTGCAGTTCGCGGCCTTGCCAAAAGAAGGATTGGAAGATGAAGCATAAGAGGGGGCATAAGGGGGCTCGCAAGTGGGATGTTGAGCGTCCGAAGGAGGGTATTTTCAAGCTCACTAGCTAATAGCTTCCTGTTTGAGACGAAATGAAAACATTAGTATATATCTTGCAAAGATGTACATGTACATGTTCCGCGATGGCTTGGACAGCACGCCCGCTCATTGTCATCAGGCCCCGGGTCTGAATGAAAGATTAGAATCATGAACTCAGGAGCAGCCACAGTACTGACGATGCATTGTCTCCCGATTTCAACACGGGCGGCTCTTCAGTCCGCCTATCAAACTTAGCTCCGGTGGCTCCTCGCTCCGACCTGTGGGGGGGTGTCAGCAGGAACAGCTCAGCATGGAAATTATAATGTATCACTTACGCGATCCTAGCCGCGTCTTTCTGAGCCGCCTTGGTCAAAATACGAGGATCAATGTTGGAGTCCTTGATCTCGGGATGTTTGGCGGCGGCAACCTGAGCCTCGGCGGCCAGCGAACCCGGCGGAGGACGGTACCCGAGGGCTTTATGCTCCTCTGACATCAATTTACGCGCGTCGGCTTCACAGAATAAATGAATCAACAAACTGGAGGGAGATGAGACGGGCCTCCTCACCTAGTCCGATTCGATCCAGATCAATGTCGAATGAAATTTTTTTGGAGGGTGTGCTGCGTTCGCTTCTTAACCCGATACGGGCTGCGTCCTTGAGAGCTGCTTCGCGGAGTGAAGCGGTGTCGGGCGGTGAAGGGGATATGCCATCCGGATGCTTGGAAGCCGCGGCTTGGGCTTCTGAGGCCAGGGAACCGGGCGGTGGTCGGTATCCGAGAACTTTATGCTGCAGCGACATGATTTTTCGGGCCTCATCTTGTTGAAAGAACGTCGGTGAGAGTGTCGGTGGAGGGCCTTGATACTTACGTTTACCGACGGCGCTTAGATCAAGAGAGGACTCGGCTCTAAAGGCGTGGTTAGTTGGAACGAATATTTGTGGATATTCTGAGGGATACTTACGCGATATGCGTAGCGTCTAAGCTAATTTCCTGGGGTGTTGGAGATTCGTCAGTGGGAGCCATGGTGAGAACTAAGTCGACAATGGGACAAACGGGTTCGAGATAGATGAGGAAGCAAAAAAAAAAAAAGAAGATACGGAAGAGTACAAGGGGCTTTTATATTACTGCTCCATCGTGAGAAAGGACACTTGCATGGTCTGCGATGTGGAGCTTTGACGAAGTTGGAGGATCAATGATTTGCCACGTGGGCCTGACGAGAGCAGTCACGGGTCAAATAGACGCACAGATATTAGTAGAGAATGCAAAGGGGGGACATCAAGGACAAATCAAGAGGTACAAAACTGTGTAGAATGGAACGTCCGAACTTGTGGGTCCAAGTGGGAGGTCGTTACGATCGGAGTTCGAATGGTGGATATGGATTACATAAACGCTGCTGTGCCCTCCCATGCTTTGCTCCCCAGCAAGTGCTCTTCTAGCATTGTAGCAAGTGCGCTTCAGCACATCCGCTGGATGATTTCCTCATCGTTTCATTGCTGAAATTGTACTCAAACGCTGTTATCTGGATTTTCTAAAACAGATTTTATGGTGCACCGATTATGATTAGTACAGCTCTTGGCACAGGGCACTGATTTGAGTGTCCCAGAATTGTCGCGATAATTGAATGAATATGAAACTGCATCCCTGAATCAATACCACGAAAGTATGGCTTTTTCTCCTTGATTTACCGCGGGAAGGAAACTGATGTTACGATTTAGATCTGTCACACTAAACGTTCGAGCCCCAGCATTGATCAACAGTCGACTGCCAGAAGAAGCCCGCCATCATTGTTCTTGGCCGCTTCACCTCGGTGAACATTGTCCTAGTCCATCAACCCCATGATGAAGAGACCCATGACATTGTGGGAGTCTACCTGCGAAGTTCTCACCGAAGCTGGATGGATCCCTGTGCTCCCACCGCTCTTTCAGTGATGGCGGGACATTTCTCAAGAGTCACCGACGTTGCCGCCATCAGCATCCAATCAACGACTTCGAAGGGCGGTGCGCTTCCCGCATACGTTCACCATCACCTTGGTGATCATGGAAGACCAACTGATCTACGTCTTGCATGTAACGAGATCTATCAGGCTATAAGATATTACCTCCCATGCTGTTCCCTTCCAAGGACTATGTGACTATGCTCCCGATCCTGTAAGTCCCATTGTCCTCCTTCCCTGCTTCCGAAATCAAAGGATTTTTTTTGCAGGCTGGCTTTCCTATTCTTGACAGGCTCTATCAGTGCCTTCCAGATATCTGTACCTGGAACCGTCTACATTGATGCGCCCGTTAACGCTACGTGGACTCGTAGCGAGCGGGATCAAGGCGATTTCGTCTTTGCTTTGCGCTCTATTAGTATCCCCGGCAAAAGCAAAGTAATTTCAGATATTCCGAGAAACTTGTCGTCTGGTACGATAGAATTAAATTTTACCTACCCTGGGTGAGCTCTTGGTTGGGTATCGTCTCATAGCTGCCCTGATGACTCGCTGCGTGACCTTTCAGAGTCTACGTCGCGGAGATTCAGACTCCCAGCCCTGAATGTCTTGTAGTAGAAGCCAGCAACACTATGGTAGTGCCGTCAGCGGAAATAGGCGGGTATCCTATTATCCCATCCGGATCGGAGGCGCCTACCTCCCAACCTTCCGCAAGTTCAGGCCTGGCGGAAGGCACGACCACGTCAACTCTAAAGCCGCCGTATCACGCTCTTTCATCTACGTGCGTGGCAGTTCAAATGCCGGCTGTGCATCATTAACGATGTTGTTTAGCGCCTTGCCCACATTGAGTTCAAGCACTGCGGAATCTAGGTAAGAGACGGTGCCGTTCTGCCCGATGTCCTGCTGAGCTCACTGATATGGCGTGCAGTTCTTCGGCCTCAATACCCGTTGATAGTAACAGCGTGTCGTCCGTATTGGTAACTGGTTCTGTTTCAAGTCTAAGCTCCCACATCACGACTAGGCAAGTGACTGATACTTGTTCGATGTCCTACAACTCATTGATATGGGGTGCAGCTCTTCGACCCCAATATCTGTTGATAGTCACAGCCTAGCGTCGAGCGTCTTGTTCACGTCAGGGTTTGATCCTGTTCCCAGCCCGAGCGTACGCATCACGACATCTAGGTAAGAGATTTTAGTATCTTGTTCGACGAAGTGCAGCTCATTGGTCGGTGAACAGCTCCTCGGCTTCAATATTTGTTGATGGTCAGAGCACATCGTCTAGCCTCTCACCCGCATTGGAATCTGTTATTGTTCCAATTACAGCCACTGCGACGTCTAGGTAATATATTTTCACATCCTATCTGATGATCTGTAACCAGTTGATTCTGTAGCCCATCGCCCTCGATAACTATTAGCGGTTCACTGTAAGAGCCTTCTTTGATTGTTCATCGATGAAACTAACATGAGGATATGGACAACAGCAACGGCATTGGTATCGGCCATAATGGCTTACGTACGAAGTAAGCGCAGGATGATCTTGATGGGTTCTATGGGCTAAATACATACTAGGATCTTCTCAAGCATCTCTTCAGCAAAGTAAGCTGCTCATTTACTAACCTCTGGTCCTGCAAGTTCGTTGAACCTTGCGTAATGATAGATTGCTTTCCGCGGCGCCAACTTCTACCCTTACTATTGCTACTCCTGGCACGAGCATAGGCACCAGTGGCACCAGGTGAGACGCTCGTTAAAATATTTATTCGTGCGCGTTTCACTTAGCTTCGGTATAGCGATTTTACGTCAGGGACGCCGAGGAGTGCTACGAGCAGCCAGGTTACTGGTCCATCCAGGTAAGGATAACCATATATCTTTTCGTTTGGGCTAAACGAGAAATTAGCTCGACGACGGTAACGTCGGGACCAAGTAAGGAGGTGACAAGGTAACAACATGTCTACTTTCGTGGAGCATATGCTAATTGCCAAAGAAGCAACTTTCCAAGTCATTCTTTTGGTTTTGAACCTAGTTCAAGTGGGTAAGGAACGATCTATTTACCGATGTTCTTCAAGGTCTTGATACGCAGCTTTAGAGCTACCACAACAGTCCTTACCAATACTTCTTCAAGTATATATAACCCTCAATCCTCGTCTACTTCATCCTCAACATATATGGACGAACAACGCCTACCCAAAGTTCTCGGCGGTGTATTTGCGGCGATGTCTGTTTCACTCTTCATTATTGGTTTCGTCCTATATCGGCGCCATCAACGTCTGAAAGCCCGTGCTCATGATATGGAGACTCGCGGTAACCCCAGTCGACGTTCCGAAGGCGGACTGACTTTGACGAGAACTCTATCTCCACAATCATTCAACAATGCACATCTATCTTCACGTAGCTCTTCTATTAACTCCATAGACGAGGTCATGCGACCACTAAACCCAGCTGGCCATGAAACTACACCATCATCCTACACAGGTACGAGAACACATGAAAGCCACGAATCGAGTGCTTTGACGAGACAAGAATCATCAGATATCACCTCGGAATACTCTTACCATTCATTATCGAACCCATTCTTAGATTCCCCCGAAGGTTCGCCGCGACTTGAATTGCCTCTCTTTAATACAGCGGAGCAGGAGAGTCCTCCAGTCGGGCCACCGACAAGATCAGCAACGCAAAAATCGAACGGCACTGCCGACACGGGAACTTCCCGGAAGACGTCTAGACCAGAATCCTACTTCTTCATGTTCGTGGATGGGGTCATGCAACCATTGGACTCGCGCTCTGATCGGTACCGCAGTCTCGTACTGTCGTCTGAGTGCTCCTATCTTGTGCCCGATCAGATTGTGTTGCAGGAGCGCGCTGATGCCCTGCGTGAGGATATTGTCCAGTTGAAGAGAAAGATCTCTTCTCTACCATCGGATAGAGAGCAGAATGAGGAGCTCCTTGCGACGATACGCATGCGAGAGGAGGATGTGATGCGGATGGATAGAGAAATCGAGGAAGAGTGGAAGAAGCGCCGATCCTCTGATATTCTACGTTTTTCTATGGACGATGTAGATATGGACTATAGTAGGACTTCGCGTTGACGTATAACCACTGCAGTGGTATGGACAGTAAATGCAATGAGATATCTTGATTCATGCATATCCTTAAACCTAATGCAACATTCTTAAGAGGTTGAACAGTCCGCGTCGCTGTATACATATTTTATAATGGGGACCAGAAGAGGAGACATACACGATCTGCCTAAGGCCATTACACTCAAACAGGACAGGCAAACAGGATAGTTAACAGTAGCCACATGCACTGCGTGCAATTGTACATGTCCAGACTTACTTCCAGCGAATGAGAGTAGTCCTAGTAATATTGCGAAACCGGCATCGAAAATAACAGTGTTAACTGGTGTTTCCGTGTAGGTAGATCTAACCGTTTGATACATTATCATGCAACAGTGTGTTGGAGGATATCCGTATGTTTCATCTTATCTTACTCTTTGATCACTCGCTCTATTTGCCTTATATATACTTACACCTCCTGTCGTTTCCCGATCACCTATATAGTCCAGCCGTTCCTATCTGTATGCCTCAGTCGCTTCACCCACGTTGTGCCCGACTGAGATACTCACATGTATTCTTCTGTCAATACAGTGGTCGAGAAATATTTGACTTGTTACTCATAAATCAATCATGTTCGGATGAGCGATACAACTCACCGCTATCGAGGTTCAAGAATTTGCTCCAACTCAACTCACAAGATGTATCGAGGCCGATGGACTCTGATCTTGATGCAAAAAGTCGTAGTGTAAATCCGTGCTCGAGCAGTCGTATGGATTTGCGAAGTTTTTTGATATTCCACCCGGGTAGATGCTGCTGCAGGGCATGGTAGGCAGGTAGGTAACATGCTGCATTACACCAAACCAAACAAGTCGAAGTTGCGGCGCTTTCACCGGCCCGGTATTGAGCGGCAGCGTTCACTAGATCCCTTTACTACGGACTATCATGTTTTGAACCTCCCGGCTACATGTCGTGCTGTACCAATGTCAGCACAGCTGAAAATATGGTTTTCAGGCTGAGGCACATCTACATCTGTTCGGACTCCAAGGTGTTGGGATTTTGCTGGAAAGTTCTAGAAAGGGCAATCCGGCATCATGCTGAGAGTTGATGAGTAAGCCCGAGAGAAAGAGAAAGTTGTAGTAAATTCTAGATACAAGCCTGGAGAGTATAAATACGAGCTCTGTAGGAGCTGCAGAATAAGGAGTTTATACCTTCTGGCCTTACCAGCCTGGAGTCTACCCTGCGCATCACCGAGGATTTCCAACACAAGGAATTTCCAGTTACCGATCACTGTTAAGTAGACCACTGTATGATTCGACGTTGCGACAACTCTGACAAGAGGGTAGAAATGCTTGAATAATTCCTCCATCTACCCTCTCACAATAAAGATTAATCAGGGGTCTCGCTCAAATTCGAACGATGTTCGTATATGATCCCAACTTTTTAGGTACGGCACATCGTTTTGGATCGTTAATCGGAACAAAGAAACTGATGGAGAGGGCCAACAGTCGACCAACAGTACACAGTCTAAGACTTTGTGCCATGGCCAGCTAAGACCTTCGCTGTCGTGGTGAGCCTGTGATGTGTCCATTAGCATTTATTCGGGCCAAACAACTGTTTTAACTTGAATCAGTGGTTGACTATAATCCTCTGGATTATAGATTTTTCAATCCCCGCTGCCCGAACTTGGGCTGCTTGGACAGGTACGCCAGATAGTTGTTGCACCGATCCAGTTCTCGACTTGGCCTTCAGTATCCTTTACCGGACTTTTTGTTGGCTTTTCCCTTGTCACAGTTGTCTTTATTGTTCCCCTCTTAGGACGCGGCCACTTGTCTCGAGTCTATCGAACAAAAGGAATAACCCGTCGCAGCAAAACAAAGAAAAACCTTTCTGAGTGTTACCGCCTGATTGCTATCAGGTCAAAGCACGCGTCTATCGATATAAAACCCTATCTGGAAGGGAAGCAATACGGCAAATCCTGCACCCCAGTTACCCAAGCTCTATCGTCTACTCATATGATGCGGACGTCCACCGGCAAACACACACGCCGTACTTCGAAGCCAATCCTCCCACCTTGTCTCACATTAGTCCAGCCCAAATCCACCGTCAAATGGCGATGGTACACCCGTCGACTCCCCAAGCGGCCTCCCGTCCCATTCATCTTTCCACCTCCTGGTACCTCTACCAGGCGTCACCGCCATCATACCAGATGCGAGAGAAAAGCAACAAAAGAGAAATCAGACGATGATGACGATGACAACGACGAAATGGAAGTTCCACCAGTGCCGCCGGTAGTGTAAGCCCCCTTGAGACGCGGGCACGTTACTAGGGTGTGGAGCGAGTCCGTTGTGAGGATGCTCATGGGTTCGCTTGACGTACTTACTCCCCCTTCCTCGCCAGCTCCTGTCCGCGAGGATACGTCTGCACTAGGGCTATCGAGCTTCCCTGGATCATACTTTCCGCAAGTCGATGATGAAGCGAAGGTTTAAAAGGATCCCTTGCTTTTTTGCATGCTGGATTTCTCAAGCTCGTGATATGCAACTCCCTATGGACGTTCATTTATCTCTCAAGTTTCTTTCAAATTTCCGCTCATATTCCTTACAACCTTTCCTACTGCTTTCCCCCTCTATACCTTTATCAAGAAAACCGTTGTATTCAGTAGTACTCCCTATGAATTATGCGTTCATTGTCATCATGTGCAAGTGGCACACAATAGAAGATAATTACCGCTAACAGTCTGAATCGTGCCAAAGACAGTAACCTGTTTGCAACTTCTGTGGCAGCGTCGACGGGCTGGATGTATGAATGTCGATGCTCTCAGTTATCGTGGGCTAGTGTCGCTCGGCCATCTCTGAATTTGTAGAATTTTCCAAGGTCCCCATGAGCTCTTTATAAAGCATTCAAATGCTCCAGAATTTACGAGTTCGCACCCGCCGACGGCGCTTCTGTCATACAAAGCGACGAGAAGTGATTAGGAATGATGGACGGTTCGGATGAAAGCAGATCACCTATACGGGGGCATGCGGCTCCAAAGTCGCTTTCATTTTGGAAACGACTGATCAATCATGGCTTTAGTCTAGCTAATCTTGATTTCCATCTCGGTCTGGAATGTGAGAGAAGCCTTGAAAGAACGGAGCATGTTCGCTTTGGTTTATAAAGATTTTCCCGAGCGTTACACAAGCCAGAAGAATATCATCACAGGCCTAGATTCTATCGAAAGACGATGTTATTAAGGAATGGTCCGAATGCATCGCGGAAAAGATGAAAGAGAGGTAGGACATGAAGAGGCGACAGTGTACAATTCGTGCACATACAGTACATCAGATCGCAGTCTAGCCATTTCATGAGAAATGGTTTGAGCGAGGTCAGTACTTGGTTTATCAGGCGTGTCGACGTTGACGAGCGAGGAGCAAAAGTACGGATTTACTAGATAGATATATATCTGGTAGGGAATGAATTATGCCTTAGGTTTTCTGCGGATCATGAATAACTCACCAATGGAGTAGACTAAGGGACTAGTGGGCTATCAGTCAATTGGAGAGATATTTGACGCTGAGGATGGGCCTGTTGGTGCTCGTGCGCCGGCTCAGGCTGACTCAAAACAGGCTGCCAGCCTTGAGCGGTTGCGTTGTACGGGGGTGGATAGTTGGAACACTGAGCATTAAGTTCTGCTTCATGGTTCTCCTGCACTTGTTGTACGGCAAGTGTTTGGGCTTGAGCATTCCGAACGTACGTCTGTTGGAAGTCACGAATGCGATTTTGGCGCCAGCAGGAGAAGAATAGGATCAAGGCGAAAAGAGCAACTAGAGATGGCTGAAAGTCAGGATCCGTGCGTCGAGGATGAGAACAGTACATACAAAAACCGACTACTACACCGACTACTACTTGCACTACGGGGACGGAAGAGCCTGAGTCCGACTCGGAGCTGCAGCTCGTACTGGGTAGAGCTAAGTAGAAGCAAAGTAAGAAAACATAGATTACACTCACTCTGTGCATGTGTAGTCCGAGTCGGAGTCGCATATCGTACTGGGTAGAGCTAAGTAGAAGCAAAGTAAGAAAACATTGATTACACTGACGGACATGTGTAGGCGTTCACAGAAGAATATTGTATGAAGACAAAGACTAGAAGTAATAAGCTTCGTCTGCCAAACCAAAGCCTTGGTGCATGATTCATCAGCATGAGTGTAAGTAGCTCTGCGTCTGGGGGGGAGGGACAGACACAGTCAAAAATTATGGCTGGAATGCTCCATCTTATATATAAATTTGAAACGAGTAGTTCTCTGGAAGCATAGCAACCGGAAGACCAACCGGAAGGGCCTTATACATGGCTGACCATAGGACATAGATTCTATTACTGTAGGACGAGGGATTGGGTGGAAATACAGATACTTATCAATTGGTCCTCGTTATATAAATTTCAAGGTGGACATCGTGACATCGTCTCGTAAACCCTGATTCCACAATTCAATGGAGGAGGAAGATATTTATTCTGATTGATGTCCCTGAGAAGGAAACTAATCCACTAGTGATGTGCGGGCTTGGGCCCAAGCCGAGCCCTGTTTGGTGGTCTGAGCCTGCAAAAGCCGAGCCAGTTGAAAAACCGGCCGGCACATCACTACTAACCAGAGTCCGTACGACACAAACGCGCTACAGTGTTGAGATGAACGGTAATACTCCCGTTGCCCACCCGAATATCAGCAGGGAACCCTCGCAAACGCGCGGGTATACACCCGTTCCCAAGTCGGCAATGAAGCGAAAGTTTAAAAGGATCCCCTTGTTCTTTACATATTGGATTTCTCCGTGATAACGATTCACTTATCTTTCACCTCTCTTTAAATTTCTGCCCATCTTCGTTACAACCTTTCCTAGTACCTTGCAGGTCTCGAACAACATGAATACACTATGTAATTACGAGTCCATGTAGGTGCCGACTTCTGGTCTCCTTCACGAGTCAGAATGAAATCAATAGCATCCATCTTCTAATGTACTCTTTATCAATGGAAAATTACAATCCTACGGCACGCGAAAAAATTAAATCTTACAAATACCAAATTACTGGCAGAGATACTGAGGGTCCAAACAAGGCTGCTTGACATTCCTGTCCTCTGCAACCTTTTCCACCATGTCCCTCGTGAGCACAATTATATCTTTCGGACTCCCTTCCTCTACCTGAAGTCGCTTCACCAGCAATCCCACCTCATTCATAGCGAAAGCCGTATCGTCGACACGCAAGTTTGTCGCTTGAGCGATATCCTGCAGTGTGCACTCGAGCATAACATCCGTCGTTGCTCCTCCACTGGGTAGCAGCCTCGTCACAAACGTCCGAAGAGACGAGAACAATTCATCTAGGGACAGAGAATCAGACAAGGCGGAAGGAAGGAAGGAGTCATACCATCGACCGAGTTGAGCATCCCATTCGCATGAAGCTCTCCATCCCAGCCTATATGCTTCTTTTTCCGCTTCACCCCAATACCATCTTCAGATGCCTCTGTAGATGGAGACCGTAGGTCCGGAGGATGGCCTTTAGTTACGAGTTTCTTGGACCCGACAGGTATTACAGTCAACAGCCGTCTAAAATCAGATATAAGTAGACGCTACGGGGCAAAAGGAACCGCATACCTGAAAAATCTAACAAGGGTCGCAACCCAGTACGCTAGGTAACTTCTCAGACCCAAGTCTGACAGAGGCCGTTCAGGCGAACCAACCTTCCCATCACGACGAGACAGTTCATAGCCTGTAAAGGATCAATGACAGTTTTACGGATGAGGGAGCTGCATCTACTGAATTCAATCATCAGCATACCGAAGCCTTTGCGCTGCCAGGGCGGAAAAGTGATGATGCACGCCAGGTTGTAGTCATCAAATGAGATTTTTTCCTAGTCTGGGATATGAGCTTAGGACGCGGAGCATTAGCCCTGCTCACCTTGGAAAAGTATCCGATAACATGATCAGCATCTGATGTTCCCTCGGTAAGGATATAGAACATGACTATGAGCCTGTTATGAGCTATGACTGTGGTCGTGGGAGAAATCCACTCACAACTTTCGTTATCAAAGAAAATGGTCTTGGTGTCAATGAAGAGTTTTCCGAACAATGACAGATTCTGGCAGTACAGCTGCATGTGATGGTGAGCAACTGCATACGCATGAGCAAGTTCCATGTACCTTCGCAACGGCACCATCCACCTCCCAGATGGTATGCGCTCCACGCTGGTAGACTTTTCGGCCCGGTGGAAACGACATCGCACAATGTTTCTACAATCGAGTTGGGCGAAAACCCGCACTAAAGAAAAAATGTACACACATTGTGGTGCTCCCAAGTCATACCATCCGTCGTGTACTTGAAGCACATATCGCAGACATACAACACGGACTTTTCGAGCCCAGTGGCCCTGGCAGTGCCACGAGCGAAATCCACCGCTCTTCCCTGGGTCGGCAGCGTCGAACGTCGGACAATGTGAGTTCTCATATGGTCTATCGGAGGGTTTTGTTGAGTTTCTTGCTCGCCCGGTGGATCAGGTTTCTCGTTTGTCACGTAGGGCGAGAAGTACCTAGGTGCATGATAGGTGAATCAACAAGAGGTGCAAGAGAGTCCTCACCATGTCCTTATGACGTAGTCCCCAAACACGACCTTTTCGAAATTCCTCTGCTCTGTCATCCTTTCACGAATCTGGCTGTCCAGCTCTTCCTCGGTCACCGTCAGCGTAACAGGAGAGGCAGGCGTTTGCTCGCCAGCACGGTCGGACCCACCGTCATCATCGTCGCTTCTCTTTCTCTTCTTGGTCTGATTCTTTGTAGCGGGGTCGGGGACGCGCGTAACTCGATCTCCCGGTAGCCATTCGTCGAGCCGTTTGTCAGCGCCTACGTAGTGAACGTACACTTTTTCGTCATTTACCGAAAGGACATGGCCTCTTCCTGGAACAGGCGTAACCAATTGCCTTCGAGCATAAACGGAATACTCACGTTTGTCTCCATTCTCCTGAATGACATCGAACAGAGGCAAGTGCTCTTGTACCACCACATGGGGCATGTCCGGCGTTGAGCCCAGTCGAACGAAAATGCAGTACCCTTATAATTGGTTGGATGTCTAGGGCATACACACGACTTTCATAGCACTGTCTGCTAAGTAGTCGTCGTCGCCGTCGCGCTCAGTAACAGCAGTGTTAATTTGTCTGCTCGCGATAGCGATAGTTGGACCAAAATTTGATAAGCATATATTATTACACCCGATCCGGACAAAAAGCGGTTGCCGCATTACTACAGCAATCCGTGTACTACGGTCAGCCATGTATAGGTGGCTGTGCTCCAGACTACTCGTTTCGAATCTATATATAAGATGGAGCATATAATTTCTAGCTGTCTTTCGTCCACCCAAACGCAGAGCTCATGCTGATGAATCGTGCTCCCATGCTTGGCAGAAGATACTTATTACTTCTAGTCTTTGCCTTCATACAATGTTCTTCTGTGAACGGCTACTATGAAGCATGTACAGGGTGAGTGTAATGTTTTCTTACTTTGCTTCTAGTTATACCTCCACCTAGTATGACCTGTGACTCTTCCGGGCCTGACATCGGTCTAGCAATGGGTCTAGCTTTCGGGCTTTGTATGTACTGTTCTCATCCTCGACGCACGGATCCTGACTTTCAGCCATCTCTAGTTGCTCTTCTCGCCTCGGGCGTAGTCTTCGCCTGCTGGCGCCAAAATCGCATTCGTGACTTCCAACGGACGTACGTTCGGAATGCTCAAGCCCAAGCATTTGCCGTAAACAAGTGCAGGAGAACTATCAAGCAGAACTTGATGCTCAGCATTCCAACTATCCATCCCCGAACAACGCGACCACTCATGGCTGGCAGCCTGTTTTGAGTCCGCCTGAGCCGATGCACGAGCACCACCAGGCCCAACCTCAGCGTCAAATATATCCCTAATCGATTGATAGCCCACTAATCCCTTACTCTGCCCCATGTATGAGTTATTCATGATCCGTAGAAAACCTAAGGCGTAACTAACTCACTATCAGATATACATCTATTTAGTACACAAATGCTTTTGCTCCTAGTTCTCGCTCGCCCCATAAACCAGGAAAGTACTCACCTCGCTCAAATCATTTCTTCCTTATGAAAAGGCCAGACGGCGACCTGATGTACTGTATGTGAACGAGTTGTACACTGTCATCTCGGCCCCACCAGCGCTCGCTCACTCTCTTCCTATCCTATCTCTCTTTCACCTTTTCTGCGAGGCATCTGGATCATTTACCAATAACATCGCCCTTCGGTAGAATCCAGGTATGTTTGAAGATATTCTCCCGGTTTGTGTAACGCTGGGCAAACTAGAATGAACGTGTCCCGTCCTTTCAAGCCTCCAGGAATGAGAGAGAAGTCAAGGGTAGCTAGGCTAGGGCTATACAGTCGTCTCTGAACGTGCATCGAAAATGAAAGCGACTCTGGGGTAGCGTACCCGCGCAAACACAAGTGATCTGCTTTCGCCTGAACTGCTCATCATTAATATTCCAATCACTTCTTGCTGTTTCGTATGACAGAAGTAGGGTTTGGTGGATGTGGACTCGTACATGAATAAAGGTGCAAGATCGTAAATTCTGTAGCATCTGAATACATTATAGAGCTCGTGATAACTATCGGTGCATTGCGGTGAACTTGGAAAGTTCTACTAAGTTCGGAGACAACCGAGCGACATACTACTGAACACAACGGTCTTCTGACAAAAGCATTGAGGGAAAAGCAGTTGTAAGGAATATGAACGGATATTTAAGGAATGCATGTAAAAGGTAAATGAATGGCCACCCAGAGCTCCATATCACGATCTTGAGGAAGAACGAGGGATCTTTTGATCCTTCGCTTCTTCGCCGACTTGAGTAACGTACGATCCAAAGAAACTCGACGGCCCCGGTGCAGGCGTACCCTCGCGGACAGGAGCCGGAGAAGACGGAGGAGTAGGGACGTTCATCGACCCCATGAGCATTCTCATAACGGACTCGCTTCGCGCCCTAACGCGTCCGTGTCTCAAGGGGGCTTCTGCTACCGGAGGCACTGGTGGAACTTCCATTTCGTCGTTGTCGTCATCGTCATCGTCTGATTCCTTTTTTGTTGCTTTTCTCTTGTGTCTGGTACGACGGCGGCGACGCCTGGTAGGGGTATCAGGAGGTGGGAAGATGAATGGTAAGGGGGGCCGCTTGGGGAGTCGACGGGCGACTCTTCGAAATTTGACGGTGGCCTCGGGCTGGACTGGCGTGGTACAACTAGGTGTGCCCGAGACGCTTGGATTTGGGGCGCCGCGCGTGCGTCTGGACGTCCGGGTCATGCTGGGTAGACGCCGGTAGTGCTTGGTGCTTGGGTGACGGGGGAGCAGGATTTGCTGCATTACTTCCCTTCCAGACAAGTTTTTATATCGATGGACGCGTGCTTTGACCTGATAATAATCAAGTGGCAACCCCAATAAAGGCTTTTCTTTGTTCTGCTGCGAAGGTAGTCTGTCTTTTTTTGTTTGACGAATATGGTCAACCACTGGTTCAAGTTATTTTGTTCGGCCCGAAGATGATCGACACCTGTACTGTTGGTCCTCCCCATCAGTTGTTGTTCTCGATAACAGATCGAATTGTCGTACCCAAATTGGCGTCGTATAAGTACGGAGAGCGTCTAACTCGATAGTTCGAATTCGAGCCAAACCCCTAATTCATCATCGTTCATTTTTATTAGTAGTCATGACTCTTGAGCAAAAACGCATGGACATCCGTACTGGAGCTTTGGCGATAATTAAGATAATCAGTAGTGAATCATACCCAGCAGGGATGAGTCTCCCCTATAATTAATGGTATGCTCAACGATTGCTTGGGGAAGGAAGGAAGGAAGGAAGGAAGATTTAGCTAAGAGTCCAGTCTCAAATTTCGTATATGTAGCCTTCCGTTAGCCTAACATATGCAACGTCAAATCTCACCTAGAGCAAGAATCAATGTCTGTCTAAAGTTTCCAGGGCAGGAAAGAGTGCAACTTAGTATTCAAACGATCCTGGGTGTCGATCCGACCGGCCGAGAGCTTTCTACCATGAAAGTCGTCTTCCTCACTTTCTAGTGACTCGGATTGTTGCTGTATTATGGCGGCAGAAAAGAGAGGCGATAAGAGATGATTAAGATTGTGCTGGCAGAGAGCCGGAAGGCATGGTAGCGACAAGCAACCAAATCCGGTTTGAAAATTTGTTCCTACCATAAATGTACTTGATGTCTGTCTACCACCTTCCTCTTCATGACCGACCCGACAGCTCCAAAACGACGGATCGTGGTCCTCATATCCGGCTCAGGTATTGTATAGACCTGCACTGGAGGGCGACAGGCTGATCTTTGTGCAGGAACGAATCTCCAGGCTCTGATTGATGCTCAGAATACCCCGGTGTTACCTGATGTCGAGATATCTCTGGTGCTGTCGAATCGTAAGGCGGCTTATGGTCTGATGAGGGCCGCAGAGGCAAATCCACCAATACGGACAGCATATCTGGCTCTGCAGCCTTACCTCAAGTCCAACCCGGGCAAGACACGGGACGACTACGACGCTGAGGTCGGGAAGATCGTCCTCAAAGAGAAGCCTGACCTCGTCGTGCTCGCTGGCTGGATGCACGTGTTCGGTGGTGGATTCTTGGACTTGGTGTATGGTGTTAAATCCGTTGAGGGCGAGCAACCTGTATCGTTGCCGATCCCGGTGATCAACCTCCATCCTGCGCTGCCTGGAGAGTTCGATGGTACCCATGCAATTGAGCGGGCGTACGAGGCATTTGAGAGAGGAGAGATCACCCGTTCTGGTGTCATGGTGCATAGGGTCGTGAAGGATGTCGACCGGGGGGAGCCTTTGGTGGTGAGAGAGGTTGTTTTTAAGAAGGACGAGACCTTGGAAGCATTCGAGGAGCGCTTACATAAAGTCGAGTGGGAAATCCTTGTCAAGGCGGCCAAGAATGTATTGCATGAAGCAAATCGTAAGCCTCTGTTGCACCAATTCTTCTACGTACTTAGTACTATTCCTTGCAGAATCTAACAGCGAAAATTGAGAGGGCTCTAAGACCTCCGCAGAAATGTACTAACATGCATCCATTTGATGCTGTCGCCTACAATAATGTAGTCGCGGTTTGGATACCAGAATCCACTTTTTCGTTCTACCGTCTGCAAGTAGACAGACCATGCCTTCCCAAAAAAAAATTCGAGACTGGTGGCTGTACAGATTGTAAACAAGCGCAAAGAACGCGTCGAATTTGAAGCTGAGCAGGTCCGTTGAACCTTGTCCTTCTACTTTCACACTTGCCGCGACACCTGCCTCGCCGTGGACAGAATGTATGTACCTTCTTTTGCTCCGCCAGTGTACCCTAATGGCATGCGACAGAGATCCAGTCTACTGCTTCGTTCCGCCTCCAAAATGTCCGAACATTCTTCATGCGACACATACTCATTGGGCGAGGTACCTATCATTATACTTCTGATTCCTCATCTTGTCGACGCGTTTCACAGAGTTCAGTCCCTTGCCACCCTCGTATTGACTCACCACCTGCTCTGTCGCTTCATGATATAGAAGACTTTGACGACACGCCTTTTTCTGTACGTTTTCACTTTTGTGCCTGCTTGTTTTTGCCGACCACTTGCAGGAATCTTTCTCTGCGAGTGGCTGGATGGACGACAGTTGGAGCCGGGCGGATACAAGTTACAACATTGAGGTATGGAATCCTCCTTCAGCAGGTTTCTTCACTTACGGTGGACACAGCGTATTATGGATATCAAATCAGTCGTGCCAGAATGGGACGATGAAGAAGTTGACGTACGGCCTGAAGTTATCCCTCGCTCTATTGTTCTTCCCTCATGAGCTACAGGAGATCATGATCCTGTCACCGAAAGAATACCACCCCCTTCCTACTATACTGGAGGACGCCGATGAGCAGGGAAATGGTATGGGGGTGCGTTTTACTGGCCGTTTTCTTTTGTCCCGTCTTTGAGCAGTTCCATCAGGCGCCGTTGACTATCAACGACTTTGAGATCCTCAACGGGTATGCAGGTAATGTCTGCCGGCGCCGAAGTAGTGGAAAGATCTTCTCTTTCAAGCGCGTTACTCGACAGGCGGCGTCACCGCCTCGGCATACCGTGATTTTGGAGGCTGTGAACAGGTTATATGCGCCCTTTCTTGTCAAGATGCATTGGAGTTTTGTCGATAACGATTCGTTGTATATAATTCTTGTATGTCCCTCATTCTCAGCCGGAACTTATGTGTTCACCAGTTTCCAGGATAACGGACATGCAGGCGATCTGCTGACCTTCGTCTCTTCGCGAAAGCTGTTCGACCCAAAGCACATGCAGTTTTATGCATGCGAACTTGTTAGCTCCTCTTTCTCGCCTGCGTTTTGGTTTTCAATCTGACCATAGGCTGTAGGTTGAAGCATTGAGTAGCCTGGTTCCTGCTGGCATCATCCATCGAGCATTAAGGCCTGAAAATGTGATGATCGATGCTGAGGGCCATATCATGCTGACAGGATTTGACGACGCGGTAATGCTTGGGGAGGACTCTGATCTGACGTCACACTATTCTTGTTTTGAGTACAGGGCTCCGGAACTCCTATTAGGGTGGTCTCACGACTTCGCAGTAGATTGCTGGGGATTCGGGGCGTTGTTATACTTTATTTTGCTTGGACAGGTTCTTTTATTCCTATTTTGCTGCATTCCGCTAACATATTTACGATCTTGCATTAGCACGCATTCAGGAGAGATAAAGACGCCATTCATACGCCCATCGCGTTGGCTTTATTGGCAGTTCCAGCTTGCGATCTTATCTCCAAGGTGGTTTTTCCTTCGTTTCAATTTGGCCGTCTAACTTTTGTCTCCATAAGTGTCTAGAAAGAAATCCCGCCCTACGTCTTTCTATCCAAGAGATCAAAATGCATGACTATTTTGGCGACGTGTATGTTGTATCCTGTTAGTGTGTCGGCTCACGTTGATGTCGTGTTTCTTTTGGTGTAGTGACTGGTGTAGGGTTCAAGATAAACAGATTAGAGGCGAGTGTTTTGCTTAATTTCGTGCTCATGCTGATACCACATCAGTTCCTTCTGTCCCTCCGACTACCAAAACGGCCCAGCCTACTCTCTCGGAGACGCGTTTGTCCACTAACACCTCTGTTCACCATCAGGATTCTCTTTCGCCTTGTTCTTCTTCTCAGCCAAGTTCAACAATATCTGGATTCTGCCTTGACGCTAGGAATAATGTACAGAATCTACTTCCGCCTATATTTCGTATCTCTCCTTCGATGGACAAGCTTTTAGACACCGCCGCTATGTCATACCAAGACCAAAGTTCTTATGCTTCGCCTTCCAACACGCCTTTGTCAGATTCAAGTCCTCAAGAACGCATGGCTCTCTTTTGGCAGTCTCTAGACGAAGAGTCAAACTCTGGGTCGCGGAAGCTTTGCTGCCAACGGTCCTTCCCGATCATTAGCTCGCAGCGGTTTTCTCTCCTTCCTCCACTTATGTCAGTGCGGAACAAGCTCCGCAAGAAACTCTCCCGGATGTCAATCCGAAAGACTTACCAAGAACCGCTGGATCTTCCTTCCGGTATGGAGCAAATCGGTGAAGGGATCAGATTTACGTATACGCTGCCGGCCGCTGGTCTGTCGGAGGCATCGATATGCTCCACTGCGCCGAAGAGCTGTCATGCAGGGCTCGGGCTGGGGATTGGTGGGCTGCTGCGTGGGACGGGAACGAGAACGAGAGTGCAAGATGAGATGGGACGCGGCTCTGGAACTTCGGATGTCCCGCTGATGTCGTGGCAAGATTCTTCGCCGGTGTCTGATTCTGATGCTGGTTTGTTCACTCCGCCGGAGCTGTTTAAGGAGGTTGGGATGGAGATAAAGAATATGTCGTCTTTCCAGACTTTGCGGTTGGTTTCTCCTTCGACTAGTTTTGTTTCTCTGGGTTCGTATCCGTTTTGTCCTGATGTGGATGTGTGATGTTTTGTTTTGTTGTTCAATGATGAAATGTTCAAGCGAAATGTTATGTGCGATGTGCTGAGGCTACTATATCCGCGCACAGCTCTGGATGAAGATTACAACCATGATAAAATATTTCGTATTTGGAAGAGAAATGGGCGAGTCTAGGAGGTATAGGAGCGGGTAACATGTTGCTTGGTAGGTCTGGTTCGTTGAGATTAGTATTTGCCGGAGGGTGTCGAATGCAAAAGAGACTTGGGATTATATCTGGAAGACCAAGCAGGATTTCAAAAGGTGGGTCTGGAAAGTTGCCATTGTCTCAAACTACTTCGCGTAGTTTGGTATGTCGAAAACGAGGTTCCGAGGATTCACGCTCGTAACTGATCAGGAGAACAAGGTCGTAAAGGTTCAGAATTTCTGCGGATACCATTTGAAAGAGTCGCTGCCAGCAAAACAGCTTTTAAGCGTCGTGAGTCCAGAATAAATATCAGAGAGAGCTGGCAGAGAGAGAGGAAAACAATATTTAAATAATAGTTATTTACTTGATATAAACTCTTTTCGGCGGACCGTGTGCCGTGCACCTCTTTCCTCGAACGGCGAACATATCAAATCCGGACCATCATCTTGACATACTCATGCTTGCGATGTCAACCACAGGGCCCTTAGGATGGGAATCTGCGACGAGAGGCGAAACTTAGTTGGTGTTTCCCTTCCTTTCGAAGACTGAGAAGTCTGTTCCAGAAATCATACTTGAGTCTAGTCGGGTCTTGCTTGTATGATGCTTGTACACTTCTGTATCCTGGCGAATTCCTTTATAGTTGGTCAATCTAATGTATTATTCTCGTAGACCTCTCTCGTCTAAAGACTCCCGGGATGGCTTCTGTTCTCCCTCGAGACGAGTTTGCGGCTTGGTATAGCTTTGGTAAAGGCTGGGGCAATACCGACACCATATATGACATCAATTGGCCCTGGAAGCCTCTTACACCATTAAATGATCTGAGTCAGCCCATGTCCATCGGAATTAAGTACGAACAGTTTTTCTGACATCTATTGACATTAGTCCCTGCTGTGGCTCAGATGACGCATAAGCACCAGATATTATTGGGTGTGCATCGTAATTGAATGTGTACGTCGCTTGCCCTGCTGTATCTATATAATCTTTACTCAAAGAGTGTGATAGATCGCTGTCATGTAATGTGTAGTGGCGTTCTACGTCGGAATTACGGTGAGGGACTGTTGGGTGTCGTATTGTAGCGATCTTTGACAGATGGACGAAAGGGAACAATCGAGGATCTACACAGTGAATCCCCCGATGATGTTGTAGTCCAGTCATCTGCGTGTGACTTTATACATCTATAACCGTGGCTCGCAAGTAGTGCTGCCTGTAATCTCACGATCACAGTGTACATCATCTGCATTGTAATTATGTCTTCTCTTAAAACCCCAGGACCTCTACTAACTCCGCAATTCAATAGATCAGGGCGCATTCGAAGTTCCACTCGACGTCTACTGTGGTCGCGAGACTTATACCATAGAGACCAGCCTTATCACCTCGCTTCTTGTGGTTATTTGTGCAATGTGCAATTTATCCTGTGGCTGACATGTAGTCGATATGATTTTCATTTCATCTGGTGAGCGCCACCGTTGTACCTGCGGGAAACGTTCTAACCTGTCTCACAGTTGGCGACCTGGCTTTTAGGCGGTTTAGTGCCTCGCTAGATCCAACGCCCTACTGGTAACCTTGGGTTCCTGGGTGCTGGTAGCAACATTACACGTTGCGATGGGACAACGGTGGGAAGCGACTAACCATCCAATGCCATCACAGACGACAGAACTTTGTGGTGAAGACCACGAAATGGTTGTATTGAGGGCGTGTAATGCTGGTTTTTGCCAACTTGGAAGGTGTGCGAATGAACGTTCAGGAGCATAACTCTGATCGAGAAAAGAGACACGGCAAGTGGATAACTTTGACGGCCTTCCATGGTCGGTCCGCAGAGGCTAAAATCTCGCTTCAGTATGGAAAATGAGGCACAACCAATTAGGAGTTTCCCACAGTGCTTCCTTCCCATCACGTACCTTTTTCCATGGCGACTTCACTGGCACATTCGTTCTTTGTCTTCAACACACTCGTTGCCCTTCGGAATTTCAGATTATCTTGACTGTGTTTGCGAGTTCCTCTCGAGCTTGAAGTATCCCCTTCTTCGGACAAGAGATAATTTCCTCCGCAGACGAATAGGGACTTCGTTCTTGCTTCCCACACGGGCGCGTCGTTGCCTAGAAACGTGGTTATTGTTGCCAACTCTGAGCCTTGGCGCTTTCGAGGATGCCCGTCTTGTTCACACTCATTGTTTACCTTGGAGATGAAAGCAAAGCTGCGCCCTATAAAACTTCCACACGAGAATTCATGCTGTGTCAAACTAAGACTTCGACGATGCCAGTGACTATCTCGGGCCAGACCGGAGTCCTCAGTTTGACGTATCTCTTTCTGTACCGCCACAGGGCTTTCGGGGCAGCCAACGTACCCTATGATATCCTCGAATTCGAGAGGGTTAGTACACATAAACAATCCTCTAAGCCGTTTGAGTTTTACTAACCTAATTCAATAGTGCTGGAATACTGTTGAGCGTGTCCTTAACGGCAGAGTTATTGCCTACCGTAATGGCTACCCGTTAACGTTTGAAGACGTCGCTGCTTTTCTCAAGATAATAGGTATGGTATACGGCGGGCTCAAGACCCCAACCAATCTGTTTACATTGCTATGGTGAGCTCTGGAATACAGCGCTCGGTGGTCGCAATTGGCCTGGTGCACGTCCTCGGTGCGATCGTTGTACCAGTCGAAGAAACTGAATATTAGGTTTTTCCGTTGGCCGAGACATGCCAAGTCGGTCGTAGGCCACTGCGATGGATATCTGTATCATGCATGGGAGTGTGGCTCACGGTGGAAGCTCTTTCTGTCTCGCTTGCCCTCTGTACGCCTTCGGCCGCCGCAACCTGGTTCTTTGGACGAATATACGCTCTACTTTGACTTTCCGATTCGAGAGCTCTCTATTGACAGACGCGTCAATGTCATTGTGCTCCTAGAAATGTCGGTTTTTTGTGTTCCGATAATTTCCATGCGCTAAGAATTTCTAGGCACAATAACGCATCTCCCCGTCTGCATTTCTATGAGCTTAACAATGCCGAGTATTCGGGAAGCCTTAACGGCGCTGTGAAGCTAAGGCCGCATCATTCACTAGGATGTGCTTGGTCGTCATCCGGCGACATTACGCTGCGCGTTTTCGGGGCTGTTGTTGGCGTGTGCTGCTTCAAAGCCGGGCATACTTTCAAGTCGCCAATTGTGTTCTACGATTGGCAGATGAGTCGGACTGTTTATGTAAGCGATGTTTCCTCGATTGTCGTGAAGTGTTCCTGATTTTTTATTTGAACGCAGCCCCACTATTACCATGAACGTAAGGTCGACACCCTTCCTTCTAAGCCCATGTCCTTCCAGTTTTTATCTGTCGATGTTGCGGCTATCTTGGACAAGTTGGAAGTCGGTAACAGGAGTGATTACGTGTGGCATCCATATCTATTCGTCGTAACTCTCAAAGCATATGACGAGGTACAATGGAGTGGAGAAGCGTTACCTCGCTATGACTGCTACCATCTCGAGGCGGAGCTGCTAAACATCCGGGAATTTCTGCTAGAGTACAGGAACAGCAAAAACGATTACAAGTCGATTGTCGAAAAAGCGACATTCGTCCCTAATGTCGCTCTTCCGGTCGGTACAGTCGACCAAGGCGTCGATTTCAGGGAATATATGGCACCTGCGTTTTATTCTCATCCAGTCACCAGAGGTCGTTATCATGTCAAATCCCCTAAAGGTACTGCATGGAATGGGGACTTCTATGCCGATCCCCATCGACAGCCCATTGGTATAAAATTCTCGTTCTACAAATGGGCTAACCAACCAGACGTTGTGTTCGTCATAACTCGGAACGACCATGTCGGAGGCTCTAGCTTGCCTTTCTTTCCGCTCAGAGATCAGAAATGCAGGCAAGCGAAGGAGGGGATTGCTCACGTCATGAATGGGTCCAAGCTGCTTTCCGTGCACGCGTCTCGGGACGGATTTACCCTCCAAGATTTCACAGAGGATTGTACAAAGGTGATGCAACGTGAATCTCGTCAATGTCACGATGTCAATTACATCTGGCATGTGGAAACCAAGCCTGTGCAGGGTATCGTTGAAACCACGGTGAATCTTCGCGGCGACGTTGAGGCGGTGACGATGGAGCAGGATAATCTTGTTGTTATCAAGGTAAGTTGTATCTTGCTACTCGCCCCACGACGGCAACTGACTGGTGACCATAAGCCTAAGGTTAATACGTCCGAAGAACTTGCCTTTCACGACCCCCAAGTGGAATACGTGGCATGTGTCTATGAATTCCTATGATGGATGCTGGTTGGATGACTGCTTCTCGATGATATTTATAGCGACAACTTATGTCTTATCTCTCAGATTGTAATCGTATCTATTGCCTTCCCTACCATGGCGTATTTACTTGCTAAGACTAGGGTGAACAGTCTAAGAGAACATCCTGGAGCGGTATATATGGACCTACACGGCCCCACAACATGGGCTGCTGGAGGGCGCTCATAGCTGTCATCGCATTCATAAGCAAAAGGTTTCATTACCCAAGATGTTTCGTACCTACTACTAAGACTAACATACATATTAAAACAAAGAAGAATGCTTCGGATCTCTGGCGAAGCTGATTGACCACGCGGACTGAAGCGTTAAGCATTCAGTCCACCGGTCAAAGATTGATGAATTCAAAAAGATCTTAGAGGGTGCTTTATGGAGGTGCGCTAGCGCAGCAACTTGAACGTCAGTGCGATGCGCTATCGATCCGGGAACCGCACCAGTACTCGGACTCCCAATTGTCATCATCCGGGGCTTCGTAGTGGCGTCTGCAGGAACGTAGATATTTGAAAACTTGGCAGGGCCCAGGTCGACAATCATATCATGCCTGCTCCAATCTGAAGGGGGTGCAAGCCGTAGAAATTGGAGATCACCGCGCGGGTAAAAGGGGATCAGAAGCTGCCCGGCTGGGTCCTGCCCTTTGTTGGCGGCTACTATGGAATCCGGTCCCATCATTGGAATGGAACTCACAACGCTGAGCCGTGCTTGTTGTCAAACGCAGAGCCCTTCATCTTTCCATCGAACACAGGTTAGCATTTTAAATAAATCTGGGGGTAATGGGCAACAGGTGGTGTCAAATGTAGTCATATCACTAGGCGTCGAGAGGCCGTGTGCGACTTTACGCAAGCAATCCAGAGCGGCAAGATCACTGAAGACGCAGCAAGACGGGAGAGATAATGATTCATTGAAGAACGACGTTTACATCTTACGAGACGACCGTACGTACGCTCTACCCTCGACTCGGATCCTCCTTGATGTGGATTATCGTTGTTCGCCTGCCCTTGTTACTACCGTCATTGAATATGAAAGTCCAGTCATGATATTGAAAATGCAGAAATCACCATGTTTTGGATATCATCGCATTCGAGCTCACTACTTCCGAGCCCGAGAAAGAGAAAGAAAAAGGTCGAAAAGCGCAGTTTGTCGCCGTGTGAATGCTACGTGGCATGGAGCATCAGTGCTTCTAAATTGTCGGGTATAAGTAGTTTCATGGGAGAAGAGCGAAAATAAAGAATTCTGTAATTTTGAACCATCATTCCAATTTCGGCATCGGCGGCTATACAGACCCTGTTTTGCATCTTCTTCCCGGACCAGAACCGAAACAATTAGCGTGGTATAAAATGCAACGCATAAGAAGTAGAACCCTAGCAATCTCTGCATTATTTCATCCCCCCTTCTCCCCCTCACCAATATGAAGTTCTCTTCGTTCGCTGCCGCCACTGTCCTTTCCTCTGTCCTTGCTCTCGTTAATGCTGCTGTCCTGGACGTTTTTGTGCCGCAAATAACGTCTCCCACTGCTGGCGATACTTGGGTGGTTGGCTCAAATTACACGGTTACATGGTGAGATTCTTTCCGAGTTGTATCTGATTCGTTCCGCCGCTAAGACTTGTGATTTCAGGGATACTTCTGATGCGCCTGCTCAGATCACAAATGAACAAGGAGAAATATACTTGAGGAAAGGATCAAAAACTCAGAGTCGTACGTTTTGTTGTATTGGATCACTGCCCACTTGGAACCGACCTTACATACAGCTGCTCTTGCCTCTGGCTTCTCCATCCTTGATGGCGCCGTTAACGTGATAGTCCCAGAGACAACCACGGTTGGCGATGACTATTATGTTGTCCGTGAGTATTTCTCTTCCGAATGTCTGTCTTGTATCCCCATTAATGTTTTTTTTTTAGTGTTTGGTGATTCGGGCAATTGGAGTGGAGAATTCTCGATCAAAGCATGAGCGGCAAGTCGATATTGAAAAAACATTATTTCGCATATTCTGGGAAGAGACTTTCGGACCTTTTTACTATTCGTTCGTTTCATAAACCCCGGACGGACTGGGATATTGTAGCATTTTACTTACATATTTTGCCGTGTGTATACACACGCTCTAACGCTCCACTAACATGCAGCCATTATCCACTTTTTCACACGGAGGGACCTGAGGATTCTTGCCCTAGAAACGAGTGGGGTGATATCTGTCGAGTGAACGTCAGAAATTTGAGAGTCTATGAAAGTGGCTGCGCTGCGCCTTTGCCACACGGCAGCCGCACAAATGGAGCCAGACCCAAATTGACGTGACGGGACGGCGGCTGTGTGTACGCGCTGTCCCGCTCTACGATGACGTTTTTATACCGTCTTTGCAGCTGATCGTTGATAGAGGGGCATACAGAGAAAAGTAAAATCGCCACCAGCGGGAACAGTGTTCATTTGAAAAGCTGCTCTGCGTGCGGTCTGATTAAAAACGTTAGCGGTGAAGTTTCCCCGCGCCCTTGGTATTTCCTAATAGTAGATCCTGTACCACTAAAATAATTGATATCAGCGTGGTATGTTCGTAATGCGTACTTGATGTGAATTCACCATGTAAGACCCAAAAAGCCCGACCCTTGTAGAGAAGCCTTTCTTAACATGCCTTTCTTTCGAGGGTCCGTTGGCTTGTAGAGTGGAGTGTCCATGCACAGTTCATCGCTACCCGAAAACATCATCTCCGACAAATATCTTAAGGGGTGCTCCCCTTGTCCAGGCACAGCGTTTTCCAATCCTGGATAGTGAAGAGCAGTAGAACAATCTAGGAAATCGACATCGTAATCGATACGCATGGTTTCAAATGCTACGCTTTCCATGGCAATCCAGAGTCCTTCCAACGAGGGTAGGTTTTCTGCCATGCGAATGAGAGATTCCTGTGTGGAATAGAATTAGACGCCTGAGCCTAGCGAATGATAACGAGCTTACCACATCTCGAACACGGCTGGATATTCGCCGCTACATGTGTCCTTGGGAACTCGATGTCGTTGACCTCTTCTTCGTCGGTATCTCCTTCATTGCTCTCCTTTTCATTGTCATGCTCAGCATGAGTTCATAAACTCCATTAACAGAATGGATATGTGCGAAATAACAACTAAAATGCTCTCCAGACAAATTGAGCTGGCCTGAAGAGCAGTCCAGATATCGGGATACCTCCTCTGTCGTTGGTAATGAACGAAGTAGTGCTCCCTAATCGCAACTCCGTCAGAAAATGAAAATGCTTTATCAACCTATCATTGATGGTAACATCAAATGCATCCAAGACAAGGCGGCGAAGTCGAAGTGAAATATTGTCTGGTATTCCGGAAAGCAGTGTGTCTTAGAAGATTCGTTGGATATATTGAGTTCGATAAGGATTAGAAGCAAAGTATTATCACGGTTTATCGAATAAGACAACAACGAGAGCTTGCGTAAGTTCGTGACATACTGAGTGATAAACGGTCGGAGATCTGCCTGCTCGCTTGATGTGGAAAAGGAAAATTGTTCAAGCTTGCATGGTCAGCAGCAGAGTTAATAACGATGGGGAGAGCCCATTGTGGGTCTTCACGGCAAGCGTACATTCTGACTGCCAGTTAACCTTGAGACCAGTGCGAAAGGTACCACCACCCACATCAGAGGTTTCAAATGGCTTAAGGAAGCGATGGCATTTGGCAGCGCAATTTTTAATGCCTGTTGAAACGCGTCGGAAGGCAGAGTATGAGTCCAACATCCGTGACGAGGCTTCAGATCAAAGACGACGTATTCCTTTGCGTATACGTTGCGCCGTTCGCTCAATGACATTATCTTGAGATGACGGACGTGCGGGGGCGCAGCATGCGCATTGGACATAGCTTGAAGCATTTCGATTGTCTTCTGGTATCCCCGGCCAACGACGTCAATGACAATAAAAGAAAAGATAATCCGGGCTAACTCATCGTTCGTCATCTACAAGACGCTCAGACATTTTGGAGGCAATCGAGGTAGAGATGAAGATGGTTATCAGAACACAATGTTTTGTTCTTTGAGCCTTAGAAAGGTGCGTACACGGTTGCTAATTGCATCAAGAAGTACCGGTGGTAGCTTCAAGCCGGGTGGAGTTTTCAGTCAGAACATGGGTTAGGGTTCCTTGGAGGATGGAAAAAGTTGTCAGGTATTTCCGTGCAGATCCAAGAACTTATTTGGCTCTATTTATCCGACACCTTTGCTTGGCAATAGCAATCTTGAGAATAATGCCTGCCGCCTGTGACATTCGTTTCCAGCTCGGCGCGCTGATTCGTTTCGTTTACAGCCTAGGACTCGGTAACGAGCCAGAAGCTTTCCCCTCACTGCTTGGCTTACGCCACTGCCCCCAAGCTTCGCTGTTTTGTCTATCACGAATACTGTTTGCATTCTAAAAAAAATTGATGGATACGCAGACACGGAGAATGAGGTGCTGAATCTGTGAATACCCCAACCTATCACTTGCGGCTTTTCCAGCCACAATGTCTTCAAACCCCCTTTCCTTTCGTCGAAAGAACCTCGTTCTAGGGTCTGATGCTTCCCTTTCCAAACGTGACAGATTTGTACGCCAGATCTTCAGATCTTCTAACAAGGGCTCCAAGTTCCTAATACACTTTTCACTGCACATATAACACGCATGACGACCGAGATGCGGTACCCGGTGACACTACTAACAGCCAAGTTTTGGGGTTTAGATCCCTTACAGCACGTACGTCCATGGAGATGAACATTTCGTCGTGGTACTCGCACGTCCTGAATCATTTCAACACTACAATGAGGTCGCTTGTCGGATCACCTCACCTTGGCCAGGGTACGTCTTGTAGTTTGGATTCGTGATTTCGTTGGCGACGAGCGTCCCAATTTCTCAAAATGTACGGTAAAAAGGGAGGAGGAGTTCATGAAACACCAAACGGGCTTGTACGAGTACAAGCAGTACGTGACTGAAGGAAGGTGTTTACGACTTAACGATAACCGGGCTCCCCTGATATGGATGCGCGACGAACTGATAACAGATAACAGCTCGCTACGCGAGTTGCCGACAAACGCATAGCTATGCGGATACCCGTGTCCTTGCTGAAAGTATCGTGCAACTTGATTCGAGCGATCTGTAGAAGCATGAACGTCTATGTCCAGTGGCGCACCAAACTTCGCATAGTTGAAGCGACCCTCTGAGGCTGGTAAATTGGAAAAAATGGACTGCACTGGACGCCATCTACGGTGCGATTGACGGAGATGCACATAAGGAGCACCGTTCTTTTGCTTTGACGAAACCTTGAACTTCGCTCTGATCTCTCTGTAATTAGTGTGATGAGTAAAGGGCCACGGACAGCAGGCTCCAGACCTCGACGAAATTGCTATGTTCACGATTTGCGATCTCTTTGCCGCCTTCTTTAAAATTGCAGACTAGAGGATGGGACGCCTGAACATGCCATGCTGTACAGCTTTTGTAAATCATCCTTTAAGACATCATAACGTCCTGGAACAGAAGACTCACCCCGTCAATGGTTGGTCTTTTCGAGTCCATCGTGATCTAAAAATCCCTCTCTTAGTTTCAGTGGACTCTCCGTCATTCGTACGAGATCGATGCCTGAGAGCCACTGCGATGATGGATGAACAAAAAGTGGCGCTTACGATATCGCGGGCTCGTTTGCCCTAAGTATGACCCTACAGAGAAGTGATCTTTGTGGTCTGGTCTCCTTCATCTCCCTCCTCTTCGTCTTCGTACTTCTCTTGCTCTGGACCCCCGTCCCTAGCATGAAGAGTCCATGACACTACGTGAGGCCATTAGACCGAGTTACGGAGAAGTACCATCGTCGCCAGAGACAAGCGAAGATCGTTAGTGTTGTGAGAGAAGCAGCATGATTTATACCTGTCTTAGAAAGCAGCCGTTCCACAGACTTTGCATCTGACAGGGCGGAGGACTCTGAGCCAGATACTCCGTCAAGGAAGAGAGAAGGCGCCTGAAGACTTTTTAAAATATACCCTTTGTTCTGGCTGGGCCCCAGAAGATCAAGAATCGCGGCATGGCCTGTGTCACAGAGAACGAATCCGTTCCAGAGTTTACCCGAAGCCTCAAAACAAGCCAGCGAAGTCAGTCCGCGGGACAGCGACATGGACCCAAGGCGAGGTGGCAGAAATAATATTGTTAACGCATATTTCGGGAGTTTAGGCTGTTGTTGAGCATCACGAAGGTAGAAGCTGTGATATTCGTGCCCACAGGTTTAGCGATGGCATCTTTATGCTTCAGAAAGCGTGCGAAGGCGCTACTAGTAGTAAACGGCCGTCAACTTGCACTGTGTCAGCCTCTACACAAAGTTGCCACGGGCGAAAAAATCTGAAAGGCACTGTCAGTACATTCTAGCGAGTGATTTCAAAATTCACCTCGCCTGATAGAATCATAATATTGGAAGAACAGATGCATCGTGGCAACCGCGCTATCTCAGGGGCTATCTCCTCCCCCGGCTTCCGGGCCGAACGAGAGAGGCGGTGTCGCGTGGTGAAGTTGCCCCGGCTCCTTACTGCGTCTCTTCCATCTTATCGCTTTACTGTCGGAGGTTCAGAGCTGCAATATCCCAATAGTTCGACTTGGTTGCGAAATTTAGATTCGTGGAAGGATGTCATAGCCATGCTATATTTCCTTGTCTGTTATAGATGTACCTAGGAAAGAAAGGAGACGAAATCATGGTTATCTTCAACCTTCCCAAAGGACACAATGCAGCACGATACACGAAATACGCCTAAAAATTACACCTCTGGACGCTATGGCAATACTGCACTCGTAAGTTATGCAACTGACAGAGAAGTCACATCTCTGCATGGCGTCTGGATTGGCAGTAACGATCAGGAATCACCTAAAGACTTTCCTGGCTATTTGTGGACGTATCTATGCTGCGTGGCGAAAACAAGAAATTTGCCAAGGCGAAATGAATTGGTGATACTTTTAAAACTAAAATTATAAGGTATAGTGTTCTAGGAATCCATTTTGTCTACGCACAACGCGTAGATAGAAGACGTCGTCTCCCAAGCTAGGTGGCCACATCCTTTTGCTGTGGTACCTTCTCCTCGGGCACATTGTCTTGCGTCTCCTTGTTCTCCTTCTCTTTGGCATCTTCCAATTCAGGATATAAAAGATCCCATGTCGGGAGTGGGAGTCTTTTGGGCAAGGGCGAATTTCCGCGCCATGGCTTGGGTGACTGGGGGGAAGTCGGCGACTTTGGCGTCCGGGGAGTCATAGGCTTGGGCGTTTTGGGCGTTTTGGGTGATAAGGCCGCTATAGGCGACGGTGCTGGAGACGACGAGCCGCCGCGTTTAAAGATTGCAATGGGCGATGGTATCCCCTTCCTTTTGGGGGTGTTTTGGGACATCTTCTCCTCTGTGAGACGGACGCTATCGATGAGGGTTTTGAAGTTGACTTTGGGCTCTGCGAGAGTGGCCTTGATGAGTTGTTGCTAAGAACGGAATCAGGATGAAGTGGGTGGCATTGAGAAGGTAAGGACATACATGTTCAGTTGGGCTTCTCAATGCCTTGGCCATCAACGGAGGAAGAGGTCTATTAGACAAGACTCCAGGGCGGAGATGGAGCGTCGGGGGCTTTTTTGTACCTCGCGGGATGGTTTCCTTTTTTCTTGGTGAAAGATCTGAGGCAACACCTGGGATAAAACAGTTATCGGAAAGAGAAATGTCACCGAACCCTTCCAGAGTATGTTCATCATTCTCGTCTGGAATAGTGGGAACGGTGGATGAAGATGTCTCCTGTGTCAACGACGTAGTGGTACGCGACATGGTGCGAGATGCCAGAGGCGATAGTAGCCGCAACTGCAAAAGGCATGGGTCTTTTATCCTGAGCTCACCGGGAGCATCATCAGGGGCAAAGTTTAGCATGCATTGTCAACAATCGTTGTTCTGTTTATAGACAATGTCATCGCATGTTGTGCCACTGGAAAGGATGCGCTATCTCTTTCCCCAGTTTCAAACTCAGCACATCACGGAAAAGGTTTGTCCAGAAGGCCCTTGCCGCTTCAGCGTCGGCTTAAGTAGAACTCTGAGTTGCCCGTCAACGTGCTCCGTCTCATGGTAGGCGTGAAACTGGGGCACTCCTTCACCGACACATAACACCATCCACTGCTTTGCAAGAAGAGCGCGACGGTTGCATGCACACAACACCAAATTACTACGCATTATGATCGATCGGCTTCCATTATTAGCCCTTTCGAGCAGGTAAAAATCATTGATAGCGCGATACGCGTCTCACCGAAATGATTCATGATTCGAATAAATAGTCGAGCTTGGAAGATTCATTCCAGAGAAATTTTTGAGAAAGAACAACATGGACAAATATGAAGGACACCAATCACTGTCGGAGAGGGCCTCTATATAAAGGACATGAACAGTGCAAAATGAAAATACATTATCACTGCTTACATTCGCGTGAACTTACTTACCATACAAAAAAGCCTTAGTGATATCTCCCTGGAAACGTCCGATGTATGTCAGTAGCTCTTCGTCAGGAAGCATGGAGTGTTCTAGTGCTTGATTCAGCTGCGTTCTTAGCTACAATAGACAGAGGGTCAATAAACGAAGGGCCTTCGGCTTCCAGTGTCACAAGGAGCCGCTTACCCGTAATAAAGCCTTTCGTCTTATAGTAATCTGCGTACTTTCGCTCTCCTTTTCGTTACGTGCATGTAGATCAGAGAGGTTAGCAGAGACTCTTTTAGCCTCTGTGAGTACATCGCTTGGTAGGTCGGCAAGTCGAGCGAGTTCCAGTCCTAGATGATCACGAGGTTAACGGCTTCGTTGACAAGCCGACTTCTTTTGAACGTGCCATAATGCGACATGTCTTCAAGTGCACCATCGACGATCCTTGCGGGCTGCAGTTCAAGAACCGAAAAGTATGTAAAGCTTGTCCAACGTACTTGTATTGAAAAGTCATCCCAAAGTTGGACTCAGATGGACGCGGTTTCTGAAAGAGGTACTCGAATTGAAGCGAAATAAAGAACAAAGCAAGTCGCACCTGGACAGAGAGATGGAGACTGAAGGACGGATCAAGATTGGTAAGGAAAGGAGAAAGAGAAGACTCACTTTACTATGGAAGGCTTACGAGAAAGCGTGGTGCTCAGCTCGTTGAAGTGACTGGAAAAGAATATCAGCATGTCAGTAAGCAAGCAACCGAATATACGGTGGATTTTACGTCGCAAAGAAGACAAATGACTGCAAATTTAGGTTAGACGAGGTTCGTCTTTAAGATAAGGGAGACGACAACCTTGTGTTCTATCAAAGCCTCAGCAATAGCATGCGATATTCCTACGCCTTCTCTAGGTGAGGTCCCTCTCCCAAGCTCATCGATGAGGATGAGAGTTTTAGGAGTGGCCAGACCTGTGCGAGTGATATATATCATCTACTAACAATTCGCTAGCGAGACATACCGAGAATCATCGCAGAAGTCGCCATCTCACTAGCAAATGTACTGAGACTCTTCTCCATGTCATCGTCGTTTGACAGCCTAGTCAAAAGGGCGTTGTGTATCCTAATAGCAAATTGATGAACGTTAGCTTTATTAGAACTAATCGCTGATTCCCTCTTACCGAAAACTTGCGTACTCGGCCGGTACAAAACAACCACACATAGCCATCACAGTCAATAGTCCCACTTGACGTAGATAAGTACTTTTTCCTGAAGGATGTGGCCGTCAGATGAATACATCAATCAACATTGATATTTACCGGACATGCTGAAGAGGCTTTAATGTTAGTTGTTGCCTATAAAATGAACTATGCGTACTTCGGTCCCTGGATGATTTGAAAAGAGGAAGAATCATCGCAATACACATCGTTAGGTACGAGCGTGCCCATCATACGCAAAGTCTCGAGAATGGGATGTTTGCCCGCCTTGATAGCCAGTGTTCCTGTGAATTCTGGTCGAACTGGAGAGGTGGAATAAGGTGGGTGCCTTTGGAATTATTCCAGAATTACCATAGTTGCGCACTGGTAAGGGTCAAATAGGTAAGAAAATATGAGTATGAAAACGCTTGTACTTACTGATGGACACATGAGCGAATGACAGTAGCATATCCACCAGGGCAATCTTGCTCGCCATCTTCAGGGTGAGCTATCTAAGAGAACAGATGAACTAACCGCTTCGGAAGCTTTGTACAAGGCTCCTACGTCGACAAGAATTTCTGCAACGAGGTCCCGAATGATCCTGCATTCAGATGCTTTAGTACTTCTCGCAGTCATGAAATCCACGAATTTACTTGTCGCTCAAAATCAATGTCTCGTCCAATGCGTCTTTCATCCTTGCGTTCATCTTTTTCTATCAAAAAAGTGAGAAAAGGATGACACATCAAAAGGTTCATCTCTACCAACTCCATGGAGGAGAACTGCCACCTCCCCTTCTTCAGCGACACATTGATGAATCCCTTTGGCAATTCTTCAATCACATCAGACTTCTTCAACGAAAATACAAAACCAATATCTTGATAGACAAGAGTCAGTGGTAGATCGTACTGCTCCGACAAAGTGGCGTTTAGGGCATATATATCGCCAACGTTTTCCTTGTACGTCTCGCGGGCTACGTCGAGCAGCGGATTATAGTTTGCCTGACCAGAGCAACTCAGAATATACGTATGTATGATGTAAATGACGCTCAACCTTTACGGCGTAGACGCGAGCGTTGACAGCACCAATGCCATGCTGAACAAGACATTATTAGGGCGATTTGATTCTATAAATATGAAGAGAATGAACTTTGGAAGGTAAAGTATCCTCGTTTAAACTCTTGGTAATTAAATGGTCAATGTAAGCAATCCGTTCGTCGGAGGCCATCTGAGACCGTTTCCTTAGTCCGACTGTCAACATTCAAGATAAGAAGGAAAACAGGCACGTACTTCGCAGACAATTCGAAGCAAATGCGATTTACATCCTGCCAGAGCCTGCTGGAGCTGAGGAATACACTTGACGATATTCCGCAGATTCAGCATTTGCGACACACGGGTGGATGCTCCCTGGGCCGTGCTAGTGGGCTTCGTTTCAGATGAAGCGAGCTACCAACAGACATATTAGATTGATTCCCAATGATAAAAATGGAATCAATACAGAGGTTATCAGCTTGTCAAAATCCATTTTGTTCATTGGCTTCAGAGATGCCTTCACGTTTGTGAATGCATCTTCACTTTTAACAAACTCTGTGACTGGTGTTCGGTTACAGTTTGAGCGATGAGAGATGTCTACGTACCTTCGACAACATCTAGTCGTGCTTCAATGGCATTCTGCCCTAAAGACGTTGGTCAATTCCAAGCTTGTTCTATTAGCCAATAAGCATGCCGGTGATTGGAGACAGAAGATTGACGCGTAGTAAACGAGACGCCATGGCAGTGAAGGTATAGTTAACAGTTCTGCACGAGCTTCAGTTCGTCACAGACTCCGAAAGAACACTGACGTACCCAAACAGAGAATGGGTTGATTTCTTGTTCGAAATATTTCCCACCAATTCAAGATTCCTGATTGTTTCAGGATCGATCATCATAGTTCCATCGACGGGGACATAGCGAATGAGGAGGGACCCAGCAGCGAATCTGGTGTTCAGTTTGGCCTCAGCGTGCCTGAACAGGGCGGAGGTGGCGGATAGCGCAAAATATCTAGCGCGAATGTGTAGAACTTGAAAATGAAACGCATATATGCACTTACTTGTCGCGTACAGCCATGAGAGTACCTGCCCGCTCGTCGTCTTCTACACACAACTGGTCGATGAATTGCATCCCTGTACAACGAAATCAAACGATATGTCGGCCGGAGAAATCAAGAAACCCACCACTCAACTCGTTCCAATACTTTCTGCCCATGGGCTCCAGCGGCACGCTTGGAAACTCTTCACGTATAAACTCGACCAGAAGGGACGTAGCAGGTGCGCGCTTTCCCGAGGGCAGCAAAGACGCATCCGACGCCGACAGAAACGTGTCGGGCACAAGAATAAGACAAGGATTATGCAAATGCATCTGATGGAGGGTCTTGACATATGTCTGGCAGTCTGCAAGCTGGAAGGCGGAAGAGTTCGAGTGCTGGCAAAGGACATTGCTGGTGCAACTGACCTGTACGAGCATGACACGGCCAGTGTCCTTATCAAGTGCGGCCATTCCCACTTCGCGCGATATTCCCCTGCCCTCGAGAAGAGCAATCACGTAGCTAGCATCATGTCGGGTCGAGGCAGCGGTTTGAGGGGGTACAGTTGCTAGCCTTGATTGGACAGTCCACCGTCGGCTCTGTCCCGTTGTTGGACGGTGACAATACAGGTGGCTCATTGGACGCGCCGTGCTCGACCTCGACGCGGTTCCGGTCATGGGACGCGTCGTTGAATGCGCGAACACGGTGGAAAGAAGAAGAAAAGCGTCTATCCATTTTGGGCGACTGATGGAATAAACACTACGTCAGACCAGACGTCGAAGGGTGAGCAATACCCGCTTTCAGTCTGACACTGTATATGCATAAGCGATAACAAATGTATTGCGGATGAGGGGGGTTGATGGTGACCAGATACCAGACATTGTTATGGTCATCTACATATAAAATAAGACCAGACAACGGGCAGAGTATATCCAATGAATATCGGAATGTCATTAGGGCATATAATAGTCAAGCCCATCATAATATAGTCGTAGCCATCTATGCACACTGCATGCCGTAAAGTGAGTTGGGCGATGTCGCTGACGATGCGCGAGAAACGTACAGATTCCTTAAGGTATGAGACAAGGTCGTTCCTGTCTTTATCCTTCTTCAAACCAGCGAAGGCCATCTTGGTTCCAGGAATGTACTGTAACCGCGTAGTCAGTCAACGTAGCATCCCGCTTAGCAGGATACGAACCTTTTTGGGGTTTTCGAGGTATTCGAAGAGTGTCTGCTCATTCCACTCAACGCCTTTGTTCACGTTGGCGGCAGTGTACGAGTATCCATCCGCCTGTCCAGACTTGCGACCGAAAATTCTGCAAACGACAACGACGCTCGTAAATGTTGACGTTTTCGCGATCATTAAAGACGCACCCGTGCAAGTTGGGACCAACTTTGTGAGCCTCGCCGGCTGCAACAGTATGGCACTGAGCGCACCGTGTCTTGAAGAGACCAGCACCCTTGGAAACGTCACCTGCAACCCCGCGCTACGTCAGTTACCCGGTCTATGTCATTCATGGGAAGAACATACCAGGAGCAAAAGGCATCGTCGATAACGAATATAACGACAAAAAAGAAAGGAATATGCAACAGTGAAGAGGACGACGAGTCTGACACGAATGTGGTTTGGAATAAAGACAGCTGGAGAAAAGTTTTTGAAGTGAAGCGGGGATTATATAATGACCCGATTCCTGCCGTGACCAATCATTACCGGGTGATTTGGTGCCGGTGGAGATCACCGGAGACGAGTCATCCCGTTCCGCGGCACCCTTTTCCCGATGATCACCGCCAGTCACCGCCGCATCGTCAATCCGTGTTTTCTCCTAGTAATAGTATTTCTGTGTTGCTCTTTGACTATCTTAGCGCTTCGATTCTACCTCCTTTTTTTTCTTTCGCCATCCCCGAGGCACGAACTCAATGAGATGTTCCCCCACGCACTTGGTGTGTCGGTTCATCTTTCCCGAGTACGAACGGTGGGGTACCAGAGTAACTAATATATGGGCTTATCATCTGACTGGAACAAAACCGCGTATCATAATACTATTGCAGATGCTTACTCCCACACTGTGTATCCTTCCGTCTTTGCCTACAAGTTAGTTGCTGTCACAGGGGATGGCTTGTCGACAACCTGCAGTCCCTAAGGATCTCTGTTCCATCGGCGGTTTGACAATGGGTTTACAGGATGACTGAATGTAGAACATGCTCCTTCTGGTCTCTATGGCGATCAACACTGAAATGCAATAGAAATACTTAATTATCTCAACTGGTCAACTTGGTTAGCTGCAAGCAACGCTATCCTTCAACCTGCACATTTATGCAGCTCGGGATACTCTACATGGTGGAATACATATCGACATAACCGCATTCTTGAATCGCTGATCTCAATGGGAAATTAGAAACTATTCCCAAGAATTTACGGTCAAATGCATGCTATATGTACGTGGTTAATAAAAACTACATAGATTGCGGAAAAAATTATAGATCAATCAACAAGGCCTCCTGCCGCTCTTCTCTCTGCGCCACTCCTGTAGGTATTGACGGTTCGTACATCGAGAACGCCTGAGGAGCTGACGTAGGAGCAACTGGAAACTGGGGAAGAGATGGTGGTGTCGGCGCGTACCGTTGAGCTTGCTGGTGTGGTGCTTGCCGATAAGTAGTGTGGACGGTATTACTTCGTGACGGCAGCGGCTGAGGAGTAGGAACTGAATATGAAGAGACCGTGTTTTGTCGGGTCAAGGCGGGAGGTGTGTGTTGAGTCGGCGGCAAAGACTCCGGGGCTGACACAGGAGCCGCGTTAACCGGGGCAGGCGGAACCTGATATGTCGTTTGAATTTCCGGTGATGAATGTTTCTCAGGCAGGGGATATGTGCTATAAGAGATTGGCGGGGCTTCCTGTAGAGGAGACATAGGAACGGGTTCAGACTGGTACGTTTGTGAAATTGGAGAGGTGTTCTCGCCAGCTTGTAGAGGCGGTAAATATTGTTGAGACGATCCTACGTAGCTGTACTGCTGAGATGGTGCAGGGGTTGGCTGAGTGGGAACAGGAGCGGGAGCAAAATAAGACGATGGTGGTAGGGCTGATTGAGGTGAAGATACTGATGCGACTTGATACGGACTCTGCCATTGGGAATATCCATTTGTCAAAGGCTGGGACTGGCCATAGTTGGAAACGGGTTGTTCATACGCCTGTGAGGATCGCCAACGAGGATGGGCAACCTGTTCCGACAGTAATTGATCGTAAAGCTTAACAGCCTGTGACAGCTTGTCGTGCATATCCGCGAGCATTTCTGTACATGATGTCAGGGATCCAGCATATATATGGATTGATCGACGCACCTTCTTTCCGCCCTGCATCATCAAGACTCATTGCTAACTTAGGCCTCAAACTATTCGCCTTATCATACAACTCATTTACCGCAGGATATCTGGATATATCTCTCCCGTCTTGGCTTTGTACCTGTTCGATCGTTTGGCTGAAGGTTAAAATGGCATCCGACTCAAGAGGTTCGAGGTCATAGTTTGACAGTTTTGGAAGAGAAGGATGAGGGGGAACAACCCCAGGAGGATACGACTGAGAGTAGCCAGGACCTGAATATTCAGAAGAGGGGGCTTCTGAGCGCGGCGTTTCCACCGCAATAGGGGCGCTGGCTTTCGGAGCAGACGCTTCACGGAGGCTGGCTTCAATGGCAGCTTTCAAATCGGGATCATTTTCTTCATCGACAATGGACGGGCGGGGATGCGTAGTACGGTCGACGAGGGGAGGCTCTGAGTACTGCCAGGTGGGGGGAGAAGGAACATAACCTGGCCGAGAGGCGCCGTTCAACCCTGTTTCTTGAAGGGACAACTGGATGGCCCGCTGCAACTCCGCATCGGCAAGATCTCGTGCTGTACGATGACGGCTACCATGAAGGCTTGTAGAATGCCGATGGGTCTTGTTCCTAAAGTTAGGCGTCAAAAGATGTACCAGATGAGACAAAGTCAGACTCACGCCTTCTCGGCCTTCTTGTGTATCTTGGAATAACAACCATCGCATACGCGTACATCCTGAGCTATACCAAAATGAGGGAGAGGAATTGACTTCGAGGAACATTTCTGGTCAAAGACTTGGCCACAATTCCGGCAGTGGTGTTTGCGATTCGTGAACGTGAATGGGTCTCGACAACGCAGGCAGACATCAGAATCAATCCACTCTGGGGCTGTCTGGGTGTCAACCATGGCTGAATTGGTGACCGTAAGATCCTTAGGGGGGAAAGTAAATCCTGAAGAACGTCAATGGGTATACAATACGGGTTGCAGAAACTCTTGACCCACCTTCCATGTTCAAAGTCTTATACACCTGAGTAACATACAACAACGACGGCTTTCCTTCAAACGATACACTCCAATTCTGAATAAGCCTTAAGATGGTACCTTTGACATCAGCATTGAGCGCTGGCATTTTGAGTATTGAGACGAGGTTATCGATGAATTCTCTGGAAGCTACTTCCGTCAGGAAGTGGTCGCCACCATTCTTAATACAAATGTCGGTCAACTACAGGAGTGTCAGTCAGCAACACACGTACAATGGTAATTACGCACCCCCAGCGCTAACAGTTGAACATTAGGATTCTTGTGGTTCAGCCGCCGTTTCAGTGCGCGCATAGCGTCCTTCGCTGGGACAGACTTGGACCGTATCTGGTCGCATATCTCGAGATTGAGCGCAATATCTTCCGCCCCAGATGGCAGCAGCTCTGACGTCGCCTTGTCTGATGCACTGAGTCAAGGAGGGCGGCCATAGCAAAGAGGGGTGCTCACCTACGGCATCGTCAAGCTGAGACGTTCCCCAGAGCCAGCTACTAATCCCTGACATGATCTGAATGCGAAGGAAGGGTATAGAACTGGAAAGTGAATGTGGCTGCCAGTGTAGTCAGACGAGGATAAACATGCGTAAACACTGAGTCGCCGTTGGATTGGAGCGGAGCCGCAAACTTGGTCATCGTCTGGTTGGCTTTCAACCATCACTGCCACTGTCTGCGACGACGAGCTCTTGCCTGACGAACGCCGAACTCTTACCATTTGTGGGGAGAATAAGGCTATACTGCACGCTTTGCTCGTGGATACCACTTTTGTCTCATTTTTCTTTCCTTTTATTACCTTTTTAGCGGCATAGCTCTGCTCATCATCGGTCAAAAGGGCTCCCAAATTCCCCGCATCTTCCTCAAAATCTCTTGGAATCACCGTGTCGCATCTTAATTCGCCTTCCCCGACTATTTTATCGTCTTTTTCCGCCTTTTTAATCACTCTGCGGCCTCCGACGCCATCATGCTTGGTCACCAGTTCGCGTTTTCTTCTGCGCCCATCCGCAAGGTGAAGGAGGTTCAGTTTGGTATCCTATCGCCAGAGGAGATTGTATGTCTTTTCCTTGAGTTACTAGTTCCGGATGCTCACCTACTCGCCTCTCCAGAAAGCCTACTCTGTCGTCAAAATAGAACACCCCGATATCATCGACGAAGTCACCCACAAACCCAAAATTGGTGGATTGGTGGACCCGCGTATGGGTACAGTGGACCGCAATTTCAAGTGTCAGACGTGTGGTGAGGGGATGTCGGAGTGCCCGGGGCATTTTGGGCATATTGAATTGGCGAGGCCTGTCTTTCATCCTGGTGAGTGGCATAAGTATCTCTGTTGAGATTATTAAGCTTTTTTCTTTAGGATTTATCATAAAAGTGAAGAAGATCCTGGAGTGTATATGCATTAATTGTGGGAAACTGAAAGCCGATATCGTGAGTGGCCCCTTTTCCTCTACTCGTTTCGCACCCCACCACCCAATTTTCTGGGGGCTCTCGCCTTACCATGGTGAACCCCAAACCCGCACTTCGTGAGCGTCTTGACAATCGAGACCTTCACCTACCCGTGTTGCGGAGAGCGCGCGTTTTCGATCGCTTGATTGCCGCGTTCTTTATTGCATGCAACCGGTGTTGGGTGGACATGATGCTGCGTGGTGAAATGGGGGGCTGAACGAGCAGTGCGAAGAACGCGTGGTTGCGTTGGTTGGTTTGGCTTCTCCTCCCTCAGCTGTAACGCAGTATGAGTGATGTGTGTTTAGCCTGCACTTGTGACTCGATACACTGCCCCCTTGTTATATACTTTCCAGACAACCCTTTTATCCGATGTAGGCCACACGCTGACGTTTTGATTTGCATATCTTCCTGTAAAATCTTTCCTCAATTGTCGCACTTCACGCTATGTAAGTCTGACCCAGCGTTCGCCGACAAGATTCGACACATTCGGGACCCCAAGAAACGCATGGCAGTAGTCTGGGCACACTGTAAAACGAAGATGACTTGCGAACCCGATGACCCCAAGGATGAAGGAGCAGATATGGAGAATGAAGAGCCTAAAAAGGGTCATGGTGGATGCGGTCACGTTCAACCGTTGGTCAGAAAGGAAGGACTTAAACTCTTTGTCCAATATAAGAAGCCTAAGGACGATGACGACGTATGTACAGTGTATACAGTTAACTGCACGGAGCTGACGACATACCCCAGGAAATCAAGTCCATCCAGCCCGATAAGCGGGTATTCTCTCCTTCTGACGTCTACACGACGTTCAAGAAGATGTCCGATTCAGATCTGCATCTTATTGGCTTATCGGATGAATATGCTAGACCGGAATGGATGATCCTCACCGTTCTTCCAGTTCCGCCACCACCCGTGCGACCAAGTATCAGTGTCGATGGTGGTACAATTCGTAGCGAAGATGACTTAACCTACAAACTTGGTGAAATCATCAAAGCTTCTGCGAATGTACGACGATGTGAACAGGAGGGTGCCCCGGCTCATGTCACGACTGAGTTTGAGCAACTGCTCCAGGTTAGTATCCGGTCTTCCATGCAGGGTACATGATCTCATCAACTTCGCAGTATCATGTCGCAACTTATATGGACAATGACATCGCTGGTGTCCCTCAAAGTTTGCAGAAGTCAGGTCGTCCAGTGAAGGCCATACGTGCCCGACTAAAGGGAAAAGAAGGGCGGCTTCGTGGCAATCTGATGGGTAAACGTGTTGATTTTTCCGCACGTACTGTTATCACCGGCGATCCGAATCTCGAGCTTGATGAAGTTGGGGTTCCCAAGACCATCGCAATGAACCTGACTTTCCCTGAACGGGGTACGTCTTAAGAATAATATTTTCATGCGCCGATCGCTCATGAATATGTAGTAACCCCCTACAACATTGCTTACCTGCAGGAACTGGTTCGTAATGGGCCGCGGAATTACCCTGGGGCGAGATACGTGGTCCGAGATACCGGTGAACGTATAGATCTGCGGTACAACAAGCGAGCGGATGGTTTCCTGCAATATGGTTGGGTCGTCGAAAGGCATCTCAAGGATGGAGAGTGAGTCCTTGTCCTGTGACATTTTCAGCTCTTTCTAATTGCTTCATGGTAGTTATGTGCTGTTCAACCGTCAGCCTAGTCTTCACAAAATGAGTATGATGAGTCACAGGGTAAGATTAATGCCTTATTCCAGTAAGTTCTTCCCTCCTTCATTGCACACGCCTTACTGATGTTCATTTCCAGCGTTCCGTCTGAACCTATCTGTGTAAGTTGTGGCCTGGCCCACAGATGAATGATCTAATCATCGAGTGAAACAGCACCCCTCCCTACAACGCAGATTTCGATGGCGATGAAATGAATATGCAGTAAGTATCCCTGTCATGCTTTTGTGCTACGCGTACTAATGCGTGTATCCTAGCATTCCTCAAAGTGAGGAGACGCGAGCGGAGTTGAGTCAGATTGCGTCCGTTATCCGACAGGTGTGTTATATTCAAGGACCATCGTTTCATTGCTTTGCTCACATCTTTTCTTAGATCATCTCCCCCCAAGCCAATAAGCCCGTCATGGGTATCGTCCAGGACACTCTTTGTGGTATCCGGAAGTTTACTCTTCGTGATACTTTCTTGGATTGGAACCAGGTTCAAAATATCCTCCTCTGGGTTCCCGACTGGGATGGTACTGTTCCCACACCAGCCATCATCAAACCTAAACCCCTCTGGACCGGAAAACAGATTCTCAGTATGACGATCCCTCGCGGTATCAATATTCACAGATCACCAGATCTGAAGTCTTCCAACCCCGTGTTCGATGACGGTATGTTGATTGAAAACGGGGAGATCATTTTTGGCGTTGTCGAGAAGAAGACTGTTGGTGCCTCCCAGGGTGGTCTGGTCCACGTCGTCTTTCGTGAAAAGGGTCCTGAAGCGACTCGTCAGCTATTTACTGGGCTCCAAATGGTTGTCAACTTTTGGCTCTTCCATAACGGGTTCAGTATTGGTATTGGTGATACCATAGCCGATATGAAGACAATGTCGTACATCACGCAGACCATTGCTGACCGCAAAGCTCGCGTAACAGAGATCATCGAGGACGCCACCCACGATCGCCTGAAGCCGTCTCCCGGTATGACTATCCGAGAGTCATTCGAGAGTATGGTGGAGCGAGAGCTCAATCTCGCCCGTGACACATCTGGTCAATATGCCCAGAAGAACTTGAAGGAAGACAACAATGTCAAACAGATGGTGGTTGCCGGATCGAAGGGTTCGTTCATCAACATCTCGCAGATGTCTGTTTGTGTCGGACAACAGAGTGTGGAAGGTCGTCGTATCCCCTTCGGATTCCGCCATCGCACGTTGCCTCATTTCACCAAGGATGACTTCAGCCCCGAGGCACGAGGCTTTGTGGAGAACTCATATCTGCGCGGGCTGACGCCTCAAGAGTTCTTCTTTCACGCCATGGCTGGTCGAGAGGGTTTAATTGATACCGCCGTGAAGACCGCCGAGACTGGTTATATTCAGCGACGGTTAGTCAAGGCGCTCGAAGACGTTCAGGTCTGCTACGATGGAACTGTTCGGAACTCCCTCGGAGATTTGATTCAATTCGTTTATGGTGAGGATGGAATGGATGGTGCATTCATTGAGAAGCAGAGCATCGATACGTTTGGTCTCAATACCCGGGAGTTTGAGCACAACTATCGTGTGGATGTCACAGATCCAACAGGTGGCTTTTTGCCTGGGGTCCTGCAGGTCGGATTGGACGACAGTTCTCTAGAACTGCAAGCGAAATTGGATGAGGAATACCGGCAACTTGTAGATGACCGACGTATGCTTCGACAGTTCATTTTCCCACGCCTGGATCCGTCGGTACCCCAGTACCTTCCTGTCAACCTCCAACGAATTGTCCAAAACGCCAGTCAGATCTTCCATATCGATCGTCGGAAACCTAGCGACCTGGAACCCGCTTATATCATAGACTCCGTCAAGGAGCTCATACGCCGGCTTGTCGTTGTGCGCGGGGATGATGAGCTAAGTGTAGAAGCGCAAAATAATGCTTTGATGCGCTTCAGCATGCACCTTCGGGCTACTTTCGCCTCTCGGCGAGTGCTCGAGAAGTTCCATCTGAACCGCGAAGCATTCGAGTGGGCTTTGGGAGAGGTGGAGGCCAAATTCAATCTGTCTGTGGCCAACCCTGGTGAAATGTGTGGTACCCTTGCTGCACAGTCCATTGGAGAGCCGGCTACGCAGATGACGTTGAACACGTTCCACTACGCTGGTGTCTCCAGTAAGAACGTCACGCTTGGTGTACCCCGTCTGAAGGAAATCATCAACGTTGCGACCAACATTAAAACGCCATCACTTACCGTATTCCTGGAGCCTTCCATCGCCGCTGATCAGAAGGAAACGAAGAAAGTCCAGCAAGAACTTAGCTATACCTCTCTGAGGACGATTACAGCGGCCGTCGAGATTTGGTACGATCCAGATCCTAGTTCCACCATCATCGAGGAAGATTCAGTTTTCGTCGAATCTTTCTTTGCCATTCCCGATGAAGAAGTTGAATCGAAGCTGCATACTCAGTCACCCTGGCTGCTTCGGTTGGAACTCGATCGTGCTAAAATGATCGATCGCAACCTGAATATGTCCTACGTCGCCGGACGCATAAAGGAAAGCTTCAAAACGGACCTCTTCGTGATATGGAGTGAAGATAACTCCGAGAAGCTCATCATTCGTTGTCGTGTGATTGGTGATGCGGATAAGGATGAGGATGGGATGTCTGGGATCGAAGAGGATATATTCCTTCGGCAACTGGAGAACACAATGCTGAACTCTGTGAGCTTGCGGGGTGTCAAGGGCATCAACCGAGTCTTCCTTTCGCGGCATGATGCAGTTGAAGAAACGGATGATGGTAGTCTGGTCGTCCAGAAAGACAAGGAGTGGATTTTGGAGACGGATGGTGTCAACCTGAAGACTGTCATGTGCATCGACGGTGTCGACTTCACGCGGACATATTCGAACAGCTGCGTCGAGATCTTCAATGTTCTTGGCATAGAGGCGGCTCGTGCAGCGATCCTGAAAGAAATGCGTGGTGTCATCGAGTTCGACGGTTCCTACGTCAACTACCGCCATCTCGCCCTTCTTTGTGACTTGATGACTCATCGGGGTTCGCTTATGGCCATTACTCGTCATGGTATCAATCGCGCGGATACTGGTGCTTTGATGAGGTGTTCGTTCGAAGAAACCGTTGAAATTTTGATGGAGGCTGCAGCTGTTGGTGAGAAGGATGATTGCCACGGAATTGCAGAGAATGTCATGTTCGGCCAGATGGCACCGATGGGTACTGGCTCGTTCGATGTCGCGCTGGACATCGATATGCTGAAGGATGCTATCGTTGATCATCGTCTACCTGTACAGTCTATGCTGGCGGCGCATGTGGATGGTGGAATGACGCCTGGACAAGTCGCTATGACACCGTATGATTCGAACTCACCCATGTGGCAAGATGGCGTGTTCAAGGCTGACCAAGCTGCGTTCTCACCTTTGGCTGTCAATGGTGGTGGGGAGGATGCCGCCAGTTTCCAGTGGTTGGCGTTTGGTCAAAGTCCTGTTGGCGCAGGCGGCATGTCGCCCGCCGGTGGTTATAGTCCCAGTTCACCTGGCTATTCGCCTACGTCTCCTGGATTTGTTCCCCAGTCACCTTTTGGAGCGTCGACGTCACCTTTCTCGCCATATGCACCCTCGCCCTTCAATCCACGTGGTCCTACGTCGCCGACGTATTCGCCTACTTCGCCTGGATTTGCGACATCACCTGGATATTCGCCAACGAGTCCTCGTTACTCGCCGACCTCCCCTTCGTTTTCACCAACCTCCCCACGGTATAGTCCGACATCACCTTCATTCAGTCCGACATCTCCGCGATACTCGCCGACCAGCCCTTCGTTCAGTCCGGCGTCGCCACGCTGTAAGTGTAATCAAGTTCTGAGTAATTCACCAGTTCTAACTCCATATCTTGTAGACTCGCCAAGTAAGTTATCTGTTTTGAACGCAGACTCTGCGGTACTGATTCTGTCTTGCCTTCCTTTTTACTTACAGCTTGTGAGTATGGGTGAACTGTTGTGATTTCGTTTCTGACTCGTTTGATCTAGCTCCCGCGCAACTGTCCCCGTCGTCGCCGAAGTATTCGCCGACATCTCCTATGGCTTCGCCATCCTCACCAAAATACTGTATGCCTTTCTGTCTTACTTCGATGGGAGCTCACGCTGATCCTTGTTATAGCACCAACATCACCTACTTATTCCCCCGCCTGTAAGTTTGATGAATATTGCTATCTTCGCTGTGAGACGTCTTACTAACCATGATACTAATCGCACTTTAGCCCCTGCATACTGTGAGTTTTCACCTCTTAAAATGCTCTGTGCATGTGCTAAGAGACCTCGATCAGCACCCGCGTCACCTGCTTACAGTCCAACGTCACCTTCATGGTCACCTTCGTCACCGGCGCACAATATTCAGAATGGTGTTGGTCGCAGTCATTCGTATCAGGCGTCGCCTTCCTGGGATTGATCTCTGCTTGTGTTATGTCGTGTCTTATTTCTCGGGCCGGAGAAGGCCCCAGTCGCATTTATCTAGCGTTTCGAACTCTATACATCATGTAGAATATTGACAATCATTATTGAGTTAGATATATTTATCTAAGATACTCCAAAAAAATCTGGAGCGGAGTGTTTAGCAAAATAGGATGCTTTCTACGATTCCATAATCGACTTGGTAATCCATAACTCATAATCCTTGAACGGCTTGCCCGTGATATTTCCCACTTATGCCATGTCCACCTAGGAACGAACTCCTAGCCGCCGAGTCGGGGGCACGACTTGAAGGATGAGTACCAAAACGTGAAATGCTCCGAAGTGAAGGAATGGAAATCGCCAACTTCTGCATAGACTGCTTTACAATAGCACGTCGGTTTTCGTCATCCATGGCAACCATCGAATCATAGGGATCATCGCCCGTCCTCTCTAAATTCAGTCGTAGATGTGAGAGGCAAGTTGAGGCTGTGGAGAGAGGTCTCCTCCAACAACGACTTCAACGTACATTTCAGCGAGTACAGCATCAAGAGAATAAAGAACTCACTACAACATCGTAGGGATCCCCCCCTTCCAGACGTATCGGTTCAGTTCCTTCGAGAAGCTTCAGATACGGTTGAAGTTTGAGGTATCGAAGAAAAGAGGCAGCGCAGCTTTCAACTTGGTGTGATTTCTCTTGTATGATATGATATGTTCAAGCTTCGAAGATTTGCAGAAGAACCAGAAGCCAATACCAAGTTGGGTGGCAGGATGCTGAAGAAAGGATCACCTGGAAGAGGGCTTGATAGGACGAGAGATCGCAACTGGCTAAGTTGTCGCGGGGTCATTATCTCTGTCAGCGAGGGGAAGCTGTTATCAGTGACGGTTTCGATCTATCGCTTCTGAAGGTGGGTAACTGGCAGCAGGGCACGAGTTGATATATGGTGCAACAGGTCAGACACATATCCAAAGAGGAATAGCTGGTAGTACAGAATGGTGGTTACATGCCAGTAGTACTATGTATGCTTATGCAACTCTATTAGCTTGCCCTGTCCATCATTGCTGTCTACAGCTTTGGCTTCTCATTCAGCTTGGAACAAATCAGAGGCATTTAAAGGCCATCAGTGTGCTAAGGGAAGAGGGAAGAAAAGAAACAAGATGAACACAATCACCCAGTCAACTAGTCAGAGCCCCTCCACCTCCACCAACCAGCCTGATGATAAAGGAGCATAGTTGTGACATTAGTGATGACAGTTGGTAGTGGCACACAAGGACAAATCAAGGACTGGGTTGAAGACACCTCAATTCAGGGGGAAAAGATAAGAAAGACTGGCATAATTCTAGGCATGACCAAGTATTTATACATAGATAAGAGTGGAGTGCATAGATAAGCATAGTTCAAATAAAGTCCAGGTTTATGTTATGAAAAAGGAAGTAGAATGGGCCTGTCCATTACGTAGATGATTCGGAATTGTGTTTCACTCAATCAGAAGGATTGGGTTGCATGTCTTCCTGGAATTGAGTATGCCATTAATATGGCTTGCTCAGATAGCACCAGATACTCACCATTTTTCCTGAATACAGAGTGCACTCCAAGGTCTATGCTATGGGATTCTCCAACTGACAAGACCTATCCCAGAGTCAAAAATTTTGCTCTACATGTGAAGACAGCAATAATGAGTGCTCACAATAGTGTCCTTGCTTTGTGGGTGAAACAGACATGAGATGCAAACAAACATCATTGTGAGGCACCATTCACTAAGGATGATCTGGTTTATATATCAACTCAGAATATCACCTTACTAAAGAGGCTGGCTTGAAAGCTTGCACCAAAGTTTGTAGAACCTTACAAAATTGTGAAGGACTTTGGAAATAATTCATATCAGATGGAACTATCATCCAAATTGAAATAACAGAGACTGCACCCCATCTTTCATGCATCCTTGCTTCATGTTCATATCCCAAACGATGATCATTTGTTCTCTGAGAGACTTCACAGTCAGATTGGCCTCACTGCTGAGACTGATAATGAATGGAAGGTAAAGAGAATAATCTCTCACAGAGGAAGAGGACAGGGTGCCATCTTTGAGGTTGAATGGGCATCTGGAGATAAGACCTGGATGCCCTATAGTGATGCTCAGAGTTACACAGCTGTGCTCCAAGATTATCTGGACATCTTGGATGTCAAGGCCATATCACAATTACCTATATCTCAGATAGAGAACATAGATAAGAGTGTGGAGATGTTCATTGGCTCACTGACCATAGATCTAGTCAGATTGGGATGGTGTGATAAGGATAAATAGCAAGACTTATCTGAAATCTTGCCACACTTCCCTTCCAAGCACTCTGATGCCTCTCATTTGTGCTCATTGTCTCATTGCAGCCTACATAAACACATGATAGCTCCAGAGATCATCATCAGCATTAGACCTTATGACTTCAATGCCATGAAGATGACACTCCAGCAATTGACAATTAAGAATCTTGTGAATAACAATAACATTGTGTTGGACTGCTCTCAGGTCTTATGCTGCTGCATCCTAGCCAATATAGTGATGAAGAAGGGTGGCAATATACCCACCAATCAGCCAATGCCTTTTGGTTATGAGTACTTGGTCAAGACTACTTATCATGAACTGTACTTTACCATACAGGAGAAAAAGGCTTTTTCTTATATCAACAAGATGACTAGCCATTGGAAGATGCCAAACAAAACCATCAAGATCAATAACTTGCTGCCTGTTGCCCCTATGCAAAAGGTCGAACCATTGTCAGCTATAAAAAGGGCTGAACTGGAGAAGTTGAGAAAATGAGAGCTAATAGAGAATAGATAAAGAAGAGAATGAGAGACCAAGTTTCAGAAAAGAAAGATGAACTTGATTTTGACAAAGAAGCTTGACAAGCAGAGGGCTAAGGATATACATGCTATCAATCACCCTTTTCATGATGTCCAAGCCTTGAAGACTGGCTCACATAGCCACCCTGGTCTATCTCACCAGTCAACTATCTCCACACAACCCTTGTCCATTTCTGCACCAATGTCAAATGCTGCATCCACATCCACAGCCTCTAGCATGTCTACCACTGATAAACCCACATTATCTGCTGCCATGAAACCTTTTGTGCTCTAATCGATGGCCTCTACCACTGGCACACTGTTGGCCTCATCATCATCTGATGGTCTTGTAGGCTTGAAGTTTCAGAAGAAGACCAGCAGCTAGGGCAAGGATCAGAAGGAGGTTGTGCAGGATATGGATGTTAATAATCCAGAGGACAACAGCTTGTTGAACTGTAGGGATGTTGCTTGAAGGTGTTGACATAGCTGTTATTAGAAGGAATGCCTTGATCACAAGACATTGGAGAGTGTATGTAACAGACAGACCTGTTCTACTTTCTTTTTTATAATATAAACCTGGACTTTATTTGAACTATGCTTATCTATGCACTCCACTCTTATCTACATATAAATACTTGGTCATGCCTAGAATTATGCCAGTCTTTCTTACCTTTTCCTCCTGAATCAAGGTGTCTTCAATCTGGTCAAAAATATGTGATGTTAGTGATGATAGTCAGTAGCAGCACACAAGGATGAATCAAGGACTGGGTTGAAGACACCTCAATTCAGAGGAAAAAGATAAGGAAGACTGGCATAATTCTAAGCATGATCAAGTATTTATACATAGATAAGAGTGGAGTGCATAGATAAGCATAGTTCAAATAAAGTCCAGGTTTATGTTATGAAAAAGAAAGTAGAACGGGCCCATCCATTACAATAGTAGAAGAGCAAGAAAAGAAAAGAAAGCAAGGCAGATCCACCTCTCTCCACCTTGTGATGTTCTGAAAAAGAAATTTCATCATAAATGAATTTTGGATGCCCTCCTAGATGAGGACTGGTTTGAGGTGGGCATACTTGAAGAACTTTGTAGTGTGGAGTACCTTCATGATGAAGGATATAGGGGTGACATAAGTCACATCGGAGGAATCGGTGGCACCAGAGCTGCCAGTGAGGATGCCAACGATGCGGCAGAAGATGTCGGTGATGCAAGATCCAGAGTCCCCTTTCCTGGAGAATGGGCCTGAGTTCTTGTCAGTGGGAATGATCAGCCACTCCCTCAACTCCCAGTACTTGCCGGCAAAATGGGTGCACATGTACGACGAAACGTTGTTTGCCTTGCTGATGGTGGTCAGAGTATTGGCGCCATTTTTGAAGATGACCAAGCATGGCTCGCACGGATTCATGAGGACGGTCTTGGAGACCTAGTCTTGGAGTGTCATGAGATGATCAGTGGGGAATTTGAAGGATGTAGAGCTGGTGGGGTGCAGATAGACCTTCTCCATGAATTCCTGGCATGTGTACTTGTCGCCAATGTTGATGGTGTTGCCGCAGTAGTTGTTGGCGTCAAGCTTGCCGGCATCGATCTTAATGACGGCAAGGTCCAGGGTATACTCCCCGGGTTCAGTGGAATAGGCGATGGGAGGGGCTCAGGTGAGCTCCCTGAAGACACGCTTCTCCTTCGGTCCCCAGTGAGTGGCAATCTCCCGGGCCCAAGTCCCCGAGTGCTTTCAGCCCCGTCTCCGCCTTCTGCAAATCGTTCCCTGCCTCCTCGCGGTGCCAAGGACGGTCATGTCTTCATGTGCCCTGCTGTTGTTCCTGCGCTCGCATTCCCTGTTGTTGCCCTTGTCATCACCACCAGCACTGAGGTAGAAGCTGCCAGTTCCCTCAGCCCAAGGCCTATCCTTGGTCGAGATCGGGATGCCGAATGTCACTGTGTATGGGTCGCGAGTGGTGAAAGTTGGGTCGGGCAAGGGGACGGGATCAAAGAACCTGTTGCCCTCTTGTCTCATAACGTGACTCCTTGATTTCTACATGGTAGTCGCGGAAACCGTAACGGTTGATGAACGCGTGGCAATTGAAGGCGACGTTGCTGCCCTCCTCGAAGGTGAGTGCCCCGAACTCGACGCCAATCCAGACGATAACAGGTCCGGAGGACTCTCCGTCTTTGACAATGCGGAGCGCTTCGATACTAGTCCAGTTCACGCACGTCATGTTCAGGCTCCTGCGAAGGCGGTCGGCCAAACCGTGGTCCCAAACACTAGCGAGGGGGTGGTTACCCAGCTCCCTAAGCTCTTTGAGGACAGAGTAGGCCTCGAGGCCAGTTGGATCTTCGAAGGGGCTGGGATTGGTTGTAGCGATGAGGAGCGGTTCGGAGGGCAAGCCCTTGTAATAGACCTCAGATAGAGCCTTGGTCACTACGAACCAGGGCGTAGGGGAGGACTGCAGCTCCGCGTCCTCGTCCATGGGCTTGAAGGCAATGGCGAGCTTGGATGGGTCCACTGAAAAAAAGGGCAAACAAACGTTAGTATGGGAAGGCAGTGAAAGAGCGAAAAGGAAACGCACTGGTGATAGATCTTGTGTTCAAAAAACGTGAGAAACGGAGACGGGTTGAGAAGAGTGATATGAGTGAGCAAAGTAACGTTTGGTAGGCCTCCATTTAGTGGTGTTAGGACGTAGAGCTCTGAGATCTTGTTTCTCCGCACCATACCTTGTGTCTAACTTCTGAATCAGAAGAGGAGGGGACAATGGCAGCTGGGAATGAATAGATTAGCTGGGGGTCAGGGGGAGCCAAGTAGGGGCTCTGGGGGTCACGGCCGCCGATTACCCGAAATAGACACCCCCTCATCGATGATCATTAGTCTGGGCAGGACTTGGAATTAGTTATTAACAAGTTCACGATCCACCGCGGCCTCTATCATCAATCGTCAAAGTCGCGAGGACGTAACGGTCCAATAACGGTCGACCTGTATTTTTTCTACGAAAAGGGCCCTGATTAGAGTTGAGGATGAGCCGCAAATTGTTGGATCTCGACGTTGATCTGTTCAGGGCCTCTTTTGCTACAGCCTTCAGTTCGAATGGCTGTGCGCGAATGGAAGAACGGAGCACCGTAGGAAAAATGACGGAGGTTGGCGTAGCGCAAGGAGAAAGCCTGAGAGGAGAAGGCTTCTGTCGTTGACGTCCACGACGCATCGATATCGAGTGATTCCAGGGCTGGGAGCAGAAAGATGGACTCGAGTAGTAACGTATGCCATGGACCTACATGAAGCTCTTTGTCTACACCTACGTCCTCTACTTTACATCGAACTGCGTGAAGAACATGCATTGAGGGAGCTCCTGTGGCCATCATATCTGAGATGACTGCCAAAAGGTCCCCTCGCATCATGTAGATTGCTAGTATGAGTACGATAGTAGTACATCCGCACCCCCGGAGGACTTTGGATTATGATGACAATATCCAGCTCCCTGCATAGTCTAGTTATCATCTATGATTAAGGTGAATATTACATATCGAATGAAACGACATGGACAGCGGTGGAAACAGTGGAACTCAAAAAAATTTTTGAGATGGATCGACCCATGTCCACGTTACCTTTATCCAGCCTCTGTATACGGACCACATCGCCTTGCTCAACGATATGTGAACTCGTGCTAACTTTACATATATATACTTCTTTTACTTCGACGGCAAGTTAGTAATACACGTACAGGTTTACAACCTAAAACTTCTCTTTTGACTTCTCCATCGACCCATTGTGACCTAAAAAGCCTTCTTCACGGTTTCATAGAACGCCTTGCCTTGGATGTTAGCAAGTTCAATCTCGAGGGCGGTAGGCTGTCGGGAACCATCAGCACTAGCGAAAGTTCCGGCGCCCCACGGAGAACCTGTACAGCGCTTCAGAGTTCGTTCAGTGTGGACAATTCCAATAGACCTCACCTCCGTGCACCTCGGAGAGGATGGTGAGCTTAGCGAATGCGTGGGCGTATCCAAAAGGAACGTAGATCATGCCGTGGTGAGAGAGCGTGGACATGGCAGCAATAGCAGTGGACTCTTGGCCTCCTCCCAAGCTGGCTGTAGAGATGAATAGGCCCGCATACTTCCCGGAGAGCGACCCCTTCATCCAGAGGCCGCCGGTGGCGTCCCAAAAGGCCTGGAAACGCGTGAGACACCATTACGTACAAAGACAAAACTAAGGACGGACGCACTTTCCATTGACCCGGGAAGTTTCCGTAACGTGTCGGGATACCAAAAACGAACGCGTCAAAGTTGGGAAGCATATCTGGAGTGAGAACAGGATAGTTTGGCTTGGGGGGTGCATGGAGCTTGCCGAGGATCTCAGCGGAAAGGGTTTCGGGTATTCTGAAAGGTGAGACATGAGTGAGTTGCCAGTGATGATGTATACAAGCAACTGGACACAAACTGGTAAATGGTAGCTTGGCCACCGCCGTTCTGGATACCCGTAAGGATGGCCTCAGCCACTATAGAAGTGCAATTGGTGGGTGATAGACAATGCAATGTGTTCACGTACGCACTTTTCCCGATATGACCGTACATGGTGTAGATGACGATCGCAATCTTGGGAGCCATATTGTAAGATTTGTGAGTGTGCAAGGGTAAGCGCTGATGATGGTGGTTGTGGTAGAAGAGGTGGTTCCCTCCTGAGTGACCTTTATACCCACGGCGTCATCTGAAGGTCATATCTATTTTAGGTCAGGATACAGGCTCAGAATAGGCAGCGCAATTTCTCCCAGGCAGTTCTTGCGATTACCATGAGGGTCTTTTGGTAACCAAAGAGTCAGAGCTACAGTAGACACCGTCAAGGACCCCCTTTTCATGCTGTATTAAAAGTTAGGCCCGTTGTCTAAACGTAATTTCGTAAGTACAGACGGAAATTTCATCCAGAATGGGGAGAACTTGAACCTTGGAGGACTTTGAAATTGCAGATAGAACGGAGTCGGCACCGATAGCACACCTATAGCAAGTTAGCCCTTTTTTTTATTGTCGCATTACGCGTGGGCGCCGCTTGGGCGCTTGCTCGTAGAGCTCCTTCCACGATTTCAAACATTTCGTTTATGAATGCAAGCAGATCCTTCACGGCCATCCATTGATGCAAGCAGGATCTCTGGCAAAAAAAGCGACGGTGTTTGGGAATGTTAGCGTCGGCCATCAAAACGGAAATTGCAGACGGCCCACTTGTTCGGCCCCTACTCCGTCCATCCTCATTCATCAATGTTCAATGATTCGCTGCCACCATCCAAGAAACTTAAGACAAACGGAAATACAACAGTCGCATTCGAGGAAAGCAGGGAGCTCACTCACGCCGAACTTTGGGACGATTCTGTGCTCATTGATGCTTGGGAAGCTGTCCATGAAGAGTATGCCGTACGTTCCTTCTTCTTTTTCGTGCTTTCTCCTTTTGAACCGCCTGCAGGCCTATCACGGAGGCGATATCGCCTTGAAGACAAATCCTACGAAAAGATCACCATTGTGCGCATACATGTCATCTACATCTATGGAGCCCCTTTGATAATAAAGTATTACAGATGGTATAACATCCCCTTCGATGATTCAAAGATCAAAGAAAACGTTACCGAATATTCATCGTCCCTGGAAGAGGATGACGATGAGGCGGCGGACCAAGACTATGACGACGAGGCAGACCATGGCGACTCCAAACCCATCAATTTTGACACTTTCGTTCCGTCCCACGACGCATCCCTCGATGTCGGAGATGACCCTGTCATCGCGCCGTCGTCCAGTAGCCTCCCTGCTCCCCCCGCGGAGACGGTTTCTCAGGACGAAGCGTTTACAAGGGCGGTTAATGCTATGTACTGGGCCGGATACTGGACGGCGATGTACCAGGTACGTCTTGGCTTTTGTTTTCACTTCAACTTTGCTCATGTGTGGTGTGTGCAGTGTCAGAGAAATGATGATGAGGATCAAGTTGAGGGCATGGTCTCTGATATTGTCTCGACTCAGAGATGATGGAGGTTTTCGCTACTTTTCTTGTCAATGTAAAAGGTATGCAGCCAATTATAGTCATTTCAAGTTACCACATATCCATGTCAGGCTGGGTATTCAGATCGACCATGACCGGGAAAAAAAAACGGGCCTAACACCGCTCTGCCTTTAGCCTGTCTTTTTCGGTGGCGCACGTGAATATTTGAAGGCCCCAGAACTTCATTGTTTCCCCCCGATTTCAGCTCTATTCTCTAGCATCTGAGCTTACCCAGTCGACTCCAGCTTGCAGAAGCATGTAATACAGCCTCGACGCACCCTTTCTGTTGTTGAGAGAGCTGTGCCTTTTTGGGCACAGACTTGACTGTCATACACGAGTTCCCACCCATCCTCCTAAATCTCACCTTCGGAGGCTGAAAATCGAGATCGCTTCCAGCAATTCCCCTTCTCCGATTCCCATCACATCGTGCCTGACGCGTCCTCAAATAGCGAAGATGCGACCCTTGACGCTCCCAAATCCACGTCCTGACGGTCCTTTGTTCAGGACGCTGCCGCCAAACCTAGAGCACTTGTCGCTGGTTTCATATCCCGAACCCTTCACGCTCTGGTGACTCCCAAAGATGGAGATTCCTGTCAATATCGTTACTTGTTCTGCGACCAGCACAAGTCTAACCTTGGCTCTTTCGGAAACCCCATAAACCATGGGAGGAGTCAGACTGGACCGAGGTCTTCCTCATTGGACTTATTCCTCGGACGTCACCACGTCACCCTACCTGTAATCTCTTGGGATGAATCGATACGGCTGGAAATGGGAATCATCCGATAATCATATTGATACGGTGTAGGCGTCCAATGAAAGAAGGTATTTCCAAGATATACGGGCTAACACTTTCCGTTTTGGATCTCCGTCTACGACCCAACCTTCATCTGCCCTTCACGTTGAACCAGCGCAGTCCCAGTCTAAATCTATATCCTCCAACGTGCTGGCTCAACTTGGCCACCGTTCTCATGCTTAAACACACGTCTTACATTCAGTATCACATACAAGACCGTTCTTTGCAAAAGCTGAGTAGTTGGTTCCCTAAATAGAGCCGGAAAGTCATCATCTTCGTCCTCATTATCGGAACCGTATTACTCATAAAATAGGCACTTAAGAGTCTGTACATGGATTTGTGGTGGATGAGACATGTGCGTCTTTTAATTTACTAGCCATATCATAGTCACAGCACGAGATGTCAGAAGTGGGCCGAGGTAGGAGTCCGTAGGGGCGATCCTTAAAAACTTTTCATTTTCCTGTGACAGGAACCTATTTTCCAAAAGCGTTTATGGGCTAAAGTATAGTCGGAAGCGCATGTACGGTATCGTCAGTTTTGCAGAATGGAAGGGTTTCATTTGCCTAGGCGATCACTATGAATCAGAATCAATAACCTCCGCTGTGACATCAATTTCTCTCACCTCATGGGAAGCATACTGATGCACTTCCAACAGACGGCGAATCTAAATTCCTGCCGCATCCCCCTTCTGCCCCTTCCTCACACCCACACCACCCTAGCTCACCGATGCGTCTGCCACATCCAGATCATCAGTTCATATGCTTCAATCCATAAGTGGAACACTCACTTATCGTGATTTCTTCTGATCTCACATCCAGACCGCAATCGCTCCCCAACGTCACGGTGTGGACTTTCCCATCAGCATATGTAATGTCACGCACTGAGACAAGAAATGCACGCGCATCATAAGAAGGCCGTAAGGGATGATCGCATACATGCTATTCTGGAGATAGGGGCATAGAAGTGTATCATATACTCTTATGGCCTGTAATTCGAGACGTCCATCCATCCACACAATTTTCCATTGATGCCACACCCACAACGGAGAACGTGCCATGTCCGGGAATATCAAATCGAGCCATGAAACAAAGTCGTAATGAAGAAAGCGAATGTCCTAATTGTCGCATTCCCTGCTTCGTGGTGGTGGGTCTATCCTCTTCGATCTTGGTATCGAACAAATCATGACGGCTTCCCCCCCGATTTCTCCAAATTCAAACGTAGATGTGACAGATACTTGAGCTTCCGGAGTAACATTTCTAATGATGATTGCTCGATGCATAAGTATAGGCTTTGGTGCAAAGGTAGGAAAATCATACTACGATATCAAAAGGACTCCCTTTCCAGCCATACCGATTCAACTCGAGAAATTCCAGGTAGGGTGACGTTCGAGGAATAAGGTCAAGGAGGAAGACCCCTGCTGGGTCTGACTCCCATTGGTATGATATATTCAGGCTCATGAGCTTTTCGAAAGAGCCAGAGGTTAGAATTGAGCTGGTCGCAGAACGAGCAACGATATTGACAGGAATCTCTGATTCTGGGAGCCACTAGAGCATGAAGGGCTCGGGATATGAAATCAGCGATAGGTGTTCTAGATTCGGCGGCAGCATCCCGAACAAAGGATCGTCAGGACGTGCATTTGAAAGCGTCAAGGATCGCACCTTGGCTATCTGAGGATGCATCAAGTGCGATGCAATGGTAATCGGGGAAGGAGAATTGCTGGAAACAAACTCGATTTGCGGCTTCCGAAGTTGAGATTGTGGTGGAAGGGCACGAGCCCATGTATGACAGTCAGGTTCAAGGCCAGCAGATTATGGGTCTCGATGACTCTCTGCCGCTTCAAGAGACCATATAAATCTACGTGTTTTGACAGGTATCGTCAATTTTATTGCTACTAGTACGTATGTATAAGTGTACAACATGTGGACACGCCCAGGTGTTCCGCCATTTTATGGGCGCTTGTTGGTCCAATTTCAGACCCGCTCGTTCAAGTTCATAGAATGAGAGATAATGATGTGAGAAAGACAAGTGCTTATGATACTCTGTTATTCTTAATCAGTGGTTGTTGGCTATCACTTTGGTCTAGCTTGTCTATTTCATCAGTGTCTGACCATGAGCTTCCGTGGGTAATTTCACACACGGCACCACTCAAGAAGAAGGCATCCTTAGGACCTAGAAACGAACTCCGTCCATCAATGATTATTATCTTGACCATTGGCATGCTTGTCCCATGATTTCTTTTGACTTATCAGTGTTTATCTTCCCCAATATTTTAAACCAGCTCAGTCCAGGTCATGAAAAGATGCCTAGATGATTCTGGGAACATCATCAGTTTCCGTTTACCCTGTCCTTGCTACTTGCTCCTCTCATGCATCGTTGCGTATGTGAGGGTGCCAAATCTGATATACTGCCTAGCGGTGAGCTTCTCCATGCGACACCGTGGCCTTCAATAACCGAATCTCAGTCCTCTTTTCCGCCCACTTTCCTTGAACTTTAATTCTCTTTTTGTCGTAACGTGAGGGGATAGGCGATTTAAGGTCCCTCGACCGTACTAGTGGTCGGGCGGTTCAGGAAGAACTCGGTAAATTTGCACATTGAGTAATACCAATGTGTGTCCTAATCCTCAAGCGGCTCTACGGTACTGCCCTGCAGCGTAGGCTCAATCAATCAATTAATTCAGAGTCCAAAGCATCAGAAAGAGTGCTAAGGTCAAGGCGAAAGCGATAAGCGTAACATAGAAATGCTAATCTGTACTAACTGTAACTTTCCCCACAAGTTTCGCTCAACGGGTTTCAGGCCATCGGGTCTAACGAACTGCATTCGCATTCGTCATCAGCGATACTATTGAGCCCTTGTTAGTAGGGGCGGCAAGTGGGGACTCGAAACATGGCAGTTCTTTCCGTGGCAAACTATGCTTCTTGCTACTTTAATACAACTTACGTCAAGACATTGTTACGAATACACATCGCCTTGTATATAGGAAGGAAGCATCTGGAGTATGCAAGCACCTGTAAGTAGGTATCCGAAACATCCAGCTTGGACGTTTAATGAGAAAATTGCTTTACACAAGACTTTAGTATTCTTCCCGATCTATTTCTAATTCGCGGTCTGCGCCTTCCCCATGATAGGAACTATCTTTCTGTTAGCATCCATGAACGCCGAGACGATCTCGTCTGTGACCTTTTCCCGCCTCTCCTGGTAACCTGCAACGAACTTTTGCAAAGCCTCTATGCACTTGGCTTTCAGCTGTCCCGTCATCAATCGTCCCGCCCGATAGTCCTGTACAAGTATTTCATAAACAATCTAAAAACTTGGGAGAAAATGGAAATGGAACTGACCTCTCCGATCTTTGCAAGCTCATCGTCATCCTCCAACAGACATGCCAAGTATTGATAACTGACATCTACATCTGTGTTGCCGCCCAACCGGCGATGCTCCTCTTCCGTCTCCTGGCCACCAGAAAATCCGTGTCTGTTTATCTTGTTTTTGATCTGTGCCGGCTTGTCGCTCATGTAGATCGCCGAGTTGGGATCGCTGGCGCTCATCTTGGTCTGAGATCCTTGTAGCGCGGGGAAGAATTTGGAATACAGCGTCATCGGTTTCGGGTACTTGAGTTTCTGCGCGACGTCTCTTGTAAGACGGAAATACGGATCCTGGTCGATGGCTGAAGGAATAAGACAGGGGATGTTGGAGACGGTGCCATATATATGTGGGAACGAGTTGGAGAAGGCAGGAGCGGATTGGATGGCGGCGAAGTGAATTCGACCGATGTTATCCGAGTCGGTGAACCCGAATGTAGCTTTGGCTTGGCTGTAAGTGATCTGCCGGGAGACTTTTGAGATGTTCTCGTAGAAGGGACCGGAGATGTAATCATAATTGCTAAATATGAATGTTTTTGAAAGGTCGAAGCCAACGGCGATGATATCTCGAGCGTTTTGCCTTCCGAAAGCTTTGGTTTGTTCCGGCTTTAGGGATTGTTTGAATAGGAATTTTTCGTCGTCTACGCGGCAATCAGATGAACGTGCATGTGCATGTAAAACGATGCCAGATGCGTGCCTGTAAGCTGTATCACCAGCGGGACGTCAAAGACATCTTGTAACCATCTGGAAGCAGTTGAGCGAACGAAACCGGGATACCGGCCGAAAGTTCTCACTTTGTAAACACGAAAGGTATCATGTGGCCAAGATGCATGCTGTCGCTACTGGGCCCACGTCCTGTGTACAAAAAGAAGGGTTTTCCCTGCTCATATCGATCTAAAAGCTTGTCAAATTCTCTGTTGCTAGAGATTAGCAGACTCGATCGAGAACGTTATACAGAAGCGACGCACCTATGCGAGAAAAACAATCCACGCCGAAGAAAGATATGCGGTTTCTTCCCAGTCAAATTTTCGAACCTCTCCAATAGTGCGTCGTCTATTTTTCGGGTACCAAACTGGACAATGAGCTTATCGTAATCGATTGCTTGCTGCTTCCCATCGGAAGATACGCTTCCTTGTACGTCCCATGGTGTAACAACTTGCTCGGGCGAGGAAATTTGGGCATTAGGGGCATTTGTGTCTGTCGTTCCTTCTAGTATTGCGCTAGGTGGGAGCTCAAATTAGACTCCTGACACGATATTGGTGGATCACGTACTCTTGGAGAGATGTACCCGCTAGTGAAGATCCCAGCTTCTCAACCGCTGGTTCTGGGACTGGTGAGGCAGACATAGAAGAGAGTGTTCAAAATAGGGGGTATAAATGAATCAGGAAATTATCCCTTGTCGCAGAGCAAAGAAATGATCACACGCGGGAGATCGAGTCAACTTTTTTGAGGAAGCCCGATATAGCCGGGGATGCTGACTAATCACGCACCTGTTAGCAATCCTTTTTCGATGTTCTAGTATGTTTTTTCCTTCTGTTCTTGCACCGAAACCTATGTTTACACATGAAACAGCCGCATCGGAAAGGTCGCTCCAGATCCTCAAGCATCTGTTACATCTACGTGGACAAGTCCGAGGGACACTGTCATGACTTGTTCGATGCCAGGATCCGGGGGATGAAGCAGGTCACCGGACAATTAGGACATTCAACCTCTTCATTATGATATATTTCAGACCTGGATTTGATATTCCCGGACATGACATGGTCTCCGTTGCGGGTGTGGCATTGATGGAAAACCTTGCGGATGGATGGGCATGTAGAATTACAGTGTGCAGGCGTGGGAGATGTAACACTTGCTTTACGAGAAATGATATGCTTGACCTTCCTAGGATTGCTATTATCGTTTCTCGAGGTATGAATTCCCAATAACGTACGTAGCCTGCCTTTGTACGCTTATGATCTACTCAACATGAGGCTCTGGCACCCCTGCAATCTTGTTGATCTGGCAATGGCACAGAGAATAGGGTCGACCTTCTCGCTGATCACAGAATATTGGGTGCAGTGAGTCTCATTCGATCACGGATTTCTGTTGTCCTGATTCCGAAGTCTTGTCCCACACATCCGGAAAATATAAAGTGTGACTGGATAGTGGGGCGTACAAATTGGGCCTACGAGACGGACGTGTTCTTGGGGAAGAAAGGAGAGGAAATATGAGACTTGAGGTGGACTTTTTTTTACTCCCCAAAGCAAAATCAGATAATGCTTAGGTGTGAGAAATTTAGTTTTCTTTATAATAATGCAATGGTGGTGATGGCCCAAACAGCCAAACAGACTCGAAGCTAGTACGATCCCGGTAGGAGGTTGTTCGACGCACGTATCTGTTTCAGTTGAGGTGGACATCTGTCTGTTTCATGACCCACTACATTACAGTCCTACTCTTAGTGGACCGACCTTGTTCCCCGCGATCTTGCGATCCGACGGCTATCCCTGGAGTTGACATTCATTGATGACCAACTGCCCACCCATAGTCTTGGGGATGTGAATGGAGATCATCATTCTGGACTCGGGGATGTGGCGATCCCCAGGTATGCTCTATTTTAACGTCAAACAAGTCCTTTGATAAATATTGCAGGGAAGCATAGCAGCGCGTCCCGCCTTCGGGCGGATTTTAGTTATATTTAGCCCATCTCACGTATGTGTGGGTGCTTTCTAGATGGATTAGTGGACTCGTTCGGGCCTTTCTTGAAAGGTTAAGCGCGTAGCGCTGTCCTCAACATCGGTCACTACATCATTTTACCTGGCTTGCAGCTACATTCCATCATTATTTATGCGTCATTGTTCCTGGCGCTCGCATATATATCTCAGGTGCGATTCTCGCTATGGCAGTGCTGTTTCATGACTGGTGCTGTAAAAAAAAAGATCAATCGGACTGGCGCATCATCGGGATCCGTTGACTCCCTAGTTAAACGCCGTCGTATTATCCAAAAACAATTGAAATTCAAATCAGGGTTAGCTCACGGTAGTTCTGGGATAATCCTCGCTTGACTTCTTCCGTTCAAGTCGCGGATGGGTTAGTGCCTGAGCCTAACAGAGTACCCCTGATCGTACAATCACTATAAAGAGCTTCGGAGGTGAGCTAGTTTTATCTCGTCTTCTACCCTACTGTCCTTTGCTTTGCGGTCCACAGACTAATGGTGTTTAATTTTCTGCTACCTTTTATCTTTCTAATTCGGTCGGTAACGTCGCTCGAAGTACTCCACTCTTCGGGAGATCTGCACATCGTCAACAAAGACCTTACTCCAGATGGAGTTCCTCGTTCGTAGGTGCACGAATCCTGTGTCGAAGCATTTATGCTGACTATCAGTAGGGCAGTCCTAGCAGGTGGAACGTTACCTGGACCATTGATAAGTGGTGTTAAGGTAAGTGAAAAAATTAACATGATGGCATCGTGTTCTAAAGACACTTTCAGGGCGACCGCTTTCAGATCAACGTCATCGATGAATTAGTGGACCACACCATGGCCCTCGATACGAGCATTGTAAGCACGTCTCTCTCCTCCATCTCCTTGTCTCTTATATTCTTCAGCACTGGCACGGTATCCATCAACATGGAACCAACTTCGAAGATGGTTCCGCTTCTGTTACACAGTGTCCAATAGCGCAGAACAACTCGTTCATGTATGATTTCGATGTTCCGGACCAGGCCGGAACATTTTGGTACCATTCACACCTCGCGGTCCAATACTGCGATGGGCTGGTGGGACCTTTCATCGTATATGATGGAGTGGACGGACAGAATGACCCTCACCGGGCGTTGTATGATGTAGATGACGGTTGGTACAACTTTCCCTGATCGATCAGACTATATTGATTTATTCTACAGAAACTACTATTATTGTACTCTCGGATTGGTGAGTACAAGGCCAGGGCTGAGTTTTGTATCTTCTTAATGGGGGTATTTCTAGGTACCATGATACAACGCCAGCACTAATGGCTACCAAATTGAGGCCAACACCCAATTCTACCTTGATTAATGGGATGGGTAGATTCTTTGAAGATGTAAGTCAATTATCCGGGTCCTTTCCTCGCAAGATGTGACTCAAGGGACGTCTCATATATAGCCCACGGCCCCTCTCTCCGTTATTACTGTCGCTCCAAATAAGCGTTACCGACTACGACTAATCTCTGCATCATGCAACGCCGCCTTCAAATTCTCCATTGACGGCCACAACTTCACGCTCATCGAAACGGACGGTATTAACATTCAACCGATCACGGTCAATTCTCTATTCGTACTTGCTGCTCAGAGATTCTCAGTCATCCTGGAGACCAATCAACCCGTCAATAACTATTGGATTCGGTCTGAACCCAACATCGGCAATCTCGGATTCCAAAACGGGATTAACTCTGCAGTGCTGAGATACGAAGGTGCCGACGATTCCGAACCGAGGACTTCGATGCAAACGGACATTATTTCTATACGTGAAGTAGATTTACATCCACTGGAATCTCCTGGGGCCCCTGGAGATCCACTTCCCGGGGGAGCAGATCTCGTCCTCAATATCACTCTTGGCTTTGATGCCAATACTAACGTCTTCCTAATGAATGGCGTCGAATTCGTAGGACCCACCGTTCCTATACTACTTCAGATCTTGAGCGGTGCTCAGCGAGCGCAAGATTTGTTGCCTCCAGGTTCTATATACGGATTACCGCTAAACAAGACTATTGAGATCAATCTCTTCGGTGGAAATGCGATAGATGGACCTGTACGTTCATCTTACATTAACCTGTCATTGAAGCTGAAGTTTTCCAGCATCCGTTCCATCTCCATGGTGTAAGTCCCCGTCAGAAATTTAATACGGGTCTTTCCTGAAGACGTTTCCAGCATAGTTTCGATGTCGTGAAAAGCGCGGACAGCGATACTTACAATTTTAACGATCCGGTCCGTCTCAAGAGCGCGCCCATCATTATGTGTATGCTGATTATCTCGAAATTCCAGGCCCGCAGAGATACCACATCCGTTGCCCAAAACAATTTAACGACCATTCGATTCAGAACTGATAATCCGGGACCTTGGTTCTTGCACTGGTGCGTCTATTCGTCCCCTCATGATTCATACCCTCTTCTGAAACAGTATCGACGATAGCCACATTGAATTCCACCTCGAAGCGCACGTTTCATCTCCTTCTTTGTCCTTATTATCTTCTAAACCTGAATTCTAGTGGTCTGGCTGTCGTTTTTGCTGAAGATATCGGCGATGTGGAACAGGTAAACATAGGCATTCCAGGTGGGGCATCACGTTTTGATTTAGGGTACGGTGGGCGCTGATGTGTACGTTTCTAGCTAGTTGGAATGACCTTTGTCCGACGTACTACAGCCTTCCCTCGGACGTGACAAAGAATGATACCACCTATACAGTTCCTACGTATTAAGATCACGGACTACAGTACTTCTCTCGTTGCATTTATGAACAGTACGTGTTCAAGCTGGTTTGCCAAATGTATTTAGTGGACAGCATAATGTCTTAATTACTGTAATATCAGGTTTTCTGTCGGTTGTTGTTATGCTAAGTATCAGCTGGCGCGCGCCGGCTATTTAAAAAGTTCAACTTTGACTCGAACCATCATCGGCATCGTCTGTGGGATGACTTCCATTTGCGACACTGCCCTATGACGTCGTATCGGCCGTTTTTGGTTGCCTTGACGATGGGGCCCCTGTTTCAATGTGCTTTGGTTAATCGCACTTTCAATGAAACAGCTTTGTTTAGCCTCTACAACTTCCTCAGGGAGTAGGCCAGTCTTTTGGATTTCGACGGGTATCTCGAGAAAGAAGGGATTTCAGTTATCCAAGCCGTAGACCTTCACCAAGGTTATACCAAGATTATACTCTGTTACATATCGATGGGATTGCGTCAGTCTGACAAGGAATCGGCCACGTTGGGCAATAACCTTGTCGCGAATATCGTTCTTTTTGAGGAGTCAGGCCTCTGCCTGATCAGAGTGGGATTTCCATGCCTATCTTTCCAGCTGCGGAATAGAAAGAGCAGCAGCGGGTGGGCTTAAAGGTTTCTCGCACAAATCGATATGGGACCGTCGGTCCGATGACTTTGACATCGTATCGGCGCAACATGATACATAGGCATGCACCGTACCTTCCTTGCGGCAGATTGAAAAGAGTTCGAGGTTTTTATAAGAAATCCTTATTCAATGTGGAACTTCCCATTACAAGCATTCGTCCATGGATCCAATACTTATACCATGCATCGAGATGAAAATATCCAAGTCTGGTCGAGAAGTCTGATGGATGATCGCAATCCTGGAAAGATTAAGGATATCATTGTTCGTGAAGCAAGAGCGTCACATCTTCTACACCTGCAAGCCGTAAGTCCACATGCCCATCCATCCGCAAGATTTTCCATCGATGCCTACACCCACAACGGAGCACGCGCTACGTCCGGAGATATCAAATCCTGGTATGAAATAAATCGCGATGAAGAGACTGAATGCCCTAATCGTCGTATAAGCTGCTTCATAGTAGCGGGCCTGTTATCTCAGATCCTGGCGTCGAACAAATTATGGCGGTGTCCCTCAGATTTCTCCAAATTCAAGCGCAAATGTGACAGATATTTGGGGTTCCGGAGCGATCTTTCTAATGTCGGCTGTTTCGTGTATAAATCCAGGTTTCGGTTCAAGAACGGAAGAAAAAAAAACATGCTACAACATCGAAAGGACTGCTCCTCCTGCCGTATCGATTCAACTCGAGAAATTCCAGGTAGTGTGACAGTCGAGGAATGAGGCTAAGAAGGAAGACCTCCGCTTGGTCTGACTCCCATCGGTATGATATGGTATGTTCAGGCTTATGAGGTTTCCGAAAGAGCCAAAGGTTAGAATCGTGCTGATCGCAGAACAAGGAAAGATACTGACAGGTATCTCTGACTCTGGTCTCCACCAGAGCATGAAGGGCTCAGGATATGAAATCAGCGATAGATGTTCTATGTCTGGCGGTATCATATTGAACAAAGAATCGTCGGGACAAGGGTTCGACAGCGTCAAGGATCGCATCTTGGCTATCTGACGACGCGTCAGGTGCGATGTGATGGGAATCGAGGAAGGGGACCACTGAGAGCGAACTCGATTTGCTGCTTTTGAAGCTGAGATTGTGGTGGTAGGGCGCAAGCTCATGTATGACTCTCTCGGATTCGTACCTAAAAAGGGACAGTTCTCTCAACAACGGAAAGGATGGATCGAGGAGGCCATCAACTAGCTCCCCAGGCAGTTCCAGTATCTCCAGCGTCTCTCGATTGGCATCGAGCAAGAGCCGCAAATTATGGGTCTCGATGGTCAGCTGCCCCGTGCTTCTTCTCCCATATTCTGGTGTTCGAATAGCTTCAAGAGACCATATAAATGGAGCCCGATAGAGGAACCGCTGCAGATTGGTGTGGCGTAAGGTGAATGAAGGGAAAGCTTCATCCCCGGCGAACCACGGAGCTTCTTCCAACTCCAGCGATTCCAGGGCAGAGAGTGAAAAGATTGCTTCAATTAATGTACGCCATGGACCCATGAACAGCTGCTTCCAGATATAATTGACATCGCTGATTTTGATATGTATGGTGTGGAGAGCGTATAACGAAGGTGCCATCGTGGTCATCGCCTCCGAAATGAATTCTATATTTTCCTCAATCTCATATGTCCACGTGAGATTATGGCGGCCAGGCATGGTTGTACGCCTCAGTGTGATAGAGAAATCGAGCTCCCTATAACAATCTCATTGTCAGAGCTTCAAGAGCTTTGGGAGAGTTGTGCACCAAATATAATGTCCTACGGATGGCAGTGGGAATGATAGCAGACATTTAGATGGATTGTACTATCTACGTGACACTTTCTTGAGAGCGACGGAAAAGCATAAATGACTCAAACGGCAAGAGACATTGGCTAAAGAAATAATATCGGAGGGAATGAATCTGAAAGAGGCGGGGAAGTAATAGAAACACCTGATTATCAAAATCCACGTCGTGAATCATCATCCAGGCAGTCGATCAGGGTAAGTAAACGTGCTGCATTGCAAGGTGCTCACGGCAAATTCCATTTTGATTGCCGAAGTTCGAAGATTTACTCGTATGTATTTTCCACAGCGAGCAAAAACTTGTAGGGCAGACAACGTTCGACTATCCACTTTTCCATCGCTTCATTGCCGGAGCCGATACTTCATCTCCTCAGAATGGAGACTGCATGGTAACAAGTTCATTAACGTCGGTGCAAGTTCGAAAAACATGCAATCGTCAGCAAAGAAAGGTAGTAATACATTTTCTGCAATATCCAACTCCAGATAGAAGAGTCTATGATTTGTGCCCACAAGTTTACCGATAATCGACCCATTGTTTATCATATCAACTTAAGCGACCAAAAAGTCAAAGCTTCTTATCGCTCAACTCCGTCACACCTTCCTGGACCTTCTTGCGAGCTCGCAAGGCCGAGAGCTCCATACGAATTTGAGCATTCGAAGAACCGGTTTGGGAATCGAGCAATGGTGGTATGATCACCTTGCGTCTTCGGGAAACGGGACTTGACAAACTGAGTCTACCGACCACGAAGACGCGTTGGAAGGTCCCAGGTTTGGCAGAGGGAGATTGGCGCTTCGCTGCTGGTGAAATAACGCCCTTCGATTTCGCCGACTCTCGAGATTTCGCCTCTGGTGCAGTGAGAGTCGTGACATCGGTACGGTGAGGCTTTGTCTCTGGAGTCGGTGGTGCCTTCATTGGGGAAGGGTCCTCTACAGTTTTCTTGTCGACTACTTCCTCTTCATCAACCCACTCAGATTCCGACTTGGTGCTGAGTTGATTCATAGATGCCGACAACGAAAGAAGCCCCGAATCGTCATGGGTTTGGATAATAACGGTGTCGGTGTATGTTAAAGGCGAGATGGGTGTTCTTGGGGACGGGGATGATAAAGCAGAATAGAGGGAGATGGATGTACAAGGAGTTCGGGAGGGAGTGAGACGAAGAGACGCGGGCCTCGACCTTATTCTCGTGAGAGACTCTCGCTTGGCGTGTTTGCGGACGGGAATCTTTGTGTTGGAGGAGAATGAGCGTGGGATAGATATCTTGAATGGACGATGCACTGATATTGATGTTGGTATAGTGGTAGTATGAGGAACACGAGTCCGTCGCTCGGAATTCTCCTTTCCCAATGTCTTGGGCCTCTTGGGCACCGGTCGTGGTAAGGCTACGCGCTCTGTATCCCGGATCGCCGTCACCTTAAAAATAGGCTTCTTGGTAGGCTCTTTTGCAGGTGGTTTGTCACGACCGAGTGCTGGCCGGGACTTTACTTTCGGTGTTGGTAGAGGTTTGGCGTTGGGCGTTGAGTGTAACGACGACGGCTGTGATCCGTGATACTTCTCCACCAACACCAGCGACCTAAGCCCAGGCGCCTCAGACGTTGCGGATCTCCTTCGCAAAGGTGGGTTGAGCTTGAAGGCGAGCTTGGTTGGTATCTTGGATTCCCTCCTAGACGCGATTAGGGCAGGTGAGTTGAATCCTGTGGGCATCCTGCAGATTTTCTGGTTTAATACCGTCAAATATAAACGGTCAAGATAAGCTCACGTTGGAGGAGGGTACTAGTCCAAGGGGAGACTTGGTCGTGGTGGTAGGAGTGAGGAAGCGTGCTGGACCCTATCCGATGTTGGCAATGTTGATAATGGTCACGGTGTCATCGAGGAGTTCCGTTGAGATGTACCCAAATGCTCTCTTTCGGTAATGCACCCCAATTGATATTCAACCTCGTGTAGGCACGTCGAACTCGCCACTGCCTCATGTTCGGCCGCAGGACATGCCTTTGCCTCATCCTCGGATCCCACTAATTGTACTCTGAACGATTACAAGACATCCTCGCTGGAAGACGCATACAACTCGAATTTAGCCTGTCCTTCGATTCAGGGAATCCATACGGCGCGTTCTGGTAAACTCGGTGTAAACCGTAGGCCTCGTGGCGGCCATGTGTTGTTGAAATGAAAGGCAGATGGAGGAACTGGGGTATGGAACACGGTGGTCATGGGGGTAATTGGTCAAGACGCGGGGTAGCCGTCACCGTCTTGCCACAGCATGACCGCTACCTTACTTTGTTGAGTATATGCGCGACGACAGGCTATAGGGTTGTATAGGTGTATTCACGGGTCTTCACTAATGCCCAACGCCACGGTTGCAGCCTCCGCTACAACTTCGTCCAACCACCACCATCCCACGCTTACCGTTTGCACGGTTCTCGGCTTCAAGAGCTTCAGGCCTCGAGTTACGGTTGCTGTCCAGGAAGAATTATTTTTTTCAGACTCTGGTATTGGACGCGATGAGTACGCGTCGAGAAGGTTTGTCGAGTTACATACCCAGATTGTCGCTCAAGTTGAGTCTCGGTATACCTGCCTCGAAGGATGGACTTGGAAAGGCTGTGGTATCGTAGCAAGTGCGTATACTTTGTGGGACCTTTTTCTGCATCCTGACAATACATTCAGCATCCGAGTGTCGTAAGACATCAATGAACGACAGAATGGCAAATTTGGCTCAAGTGGCCTAGCTGCGCTACGGACACGGTTGATGGTGGCACAAACTCCGAATTCATCTAACTTATTCAATGTCTTCGCCAAGCCGTCTTTTCAGTCCGTATCTCGGATGTTTGATCATCCTGCAAAACAGCCATCAACAGCCACTCTCCCTGGTCCCTTGGAGGTGCGATCTCGCCGTGAAGACGAATCGTTACTTTCGCCTCATTCTTTCTATTACCAAGGGTCCCAGTTATTCTCAGGGTCTTCTTGGGAGCACTGTGAACAAACCATTGAGAAACGAATGGTAGAAAGAGACGACGACTGTCAGGGCGTCTACATGTCATTCGATCCGTATCATATCTAGTTCATCTGGTCAGGCTACCGTTAACAGCATGGAAAGTATCACCAATCCCCAGAAACCAAAGTCGGGCTAGTGTTACAAATTACAATCACGCCTCACCTCGTTTTTGAGACGGATCTCAGTAGATAGACTGTTTTCTGCATATGTATCTGTTTCGGTTGCAAAGGATGAGGTGAGAGCGTGTCTCTTTCATTACTAAGTACTCAAGACTGCTCTAAAATGTAGTGTTACTCTCACAGGACGGTCGTTGTTCCCCGCAATGATGACGAACTTCCCACTTACAGTCTAGGGAATGTGAATGGGACCCACTGAGCAGGATCATTATGGTGATCCTCAGGTACGCTCTATTCAAACATCAAATGAGCATTTACTAAATATTGTATGGGATCTTGAGGAGGATGTGCGTTATATTTATTCCTTCTCACATAATATGTCTTGGTCGCTCTCACGACCTGCAACGTTCTAAATGGACTAGTACTAGTATTATCATTTAGACCTTACTAAAGAGCTTGGCGCTGCTCCCACCATCACGATCATCACGTTGTTTTGACCGGCTTACAGCTATGTTTTCTTGTTTCTGGCGTTTGCGGATACAGGTATTATCAATGTGCTCCATTCACTATAAAGAGCTTCGAGGGTAAGCTGGTTTTTCTTACCTTCTTCCTCTCTTTTCCTTGTTAATCATGGCAGTTTTTCTGCTAGCTCTCATTTTTCTATTTGAGTCGGTAAGATCACTCGAAGTATTCGGCTCTTCGGGAGATCTACAGATTGTCAACAAAGAACTCGCTCCAGATGGTGTTCCTCGTTCGTAGGTGCACCAATCCTGTGTAGGAATATGTACGCTGACTATCAGTAGGACGGTCTTGGCTGGCGGAACATTGCCAGGACCTGTGATAAGTGGTATCAAGGTATGCCAAGAACAACTTAGGATATCTATGTGATAGCCACTAAAGACACTTTCAGGGCGACCGCTTTCAGATCAATGTCATCGATGGATTAATGGACCACACCATGGCCCTCGATACGAGCATTGTAGGCACGTCTCTCTCCTCCATCTCCTTGTCTCTCATATTCTTCAGCACTGGCACGGTATCCACCAACATGGAACCAACTTCGAAGATGGTTCCACTTCTGTTACACAGTGTCCAATAGCGCAAAACAACTCGTTCATGTATGATTTCGATGTTCCGGACCAGGCCGGAACATTTTGGTACCATTCGCACCTCGCGGTCCAATACTGCGATGGGCTGGCGGGGCCTTTCATCGTATATGATGGAGTGGACGGACAGAATGACCCTCACCGGGCGTTGTATGATGTAGATGACGGTTGGTACAACTTTCCCTGATCGATCAGACTATATTGATTTATTCTACAGAAACTACTATTATTGTACTCTCGGATTGGTGAGTACAAGGCCAGGGCTGAGTTTTGTACCCTGTTAATGGAGGTATTTCTAGGTACCATGATCCAACGCCAGCGCTAGTGGCACTGACGCCGACACCCAATTCCACCTTGATCAATGGGATGGGTAGATTCTTTGAAGATGTAAGTCAATTATCCTTTCCCAAAAGACGTGACTCAAGAGATGTGCCATGTATAGCCTACAGCACCTCTCTCCATTATTATCGTCGCTCCAAACAAGCGTTACCGGCTGCGAGTAATTGCTATATCGTGCAACGCCGCCTTTAAATTCTCCATTGACAACCACAACTTCACTATCATCGAAACAGACGGCGTCAACATTCAACCAATCACAGCCAACTCTTTATCTATACTCGCTGCTCAGAGATTCTCACTCATTCTTGAGGCCAATCAACCAGTCGGTAACTACTGGATTCGGTCTGAACCCAACGTCGGCAACCTCGGATTCGAAAACGGGATTAACTCTGCAGTACTGAGATACGAAGGTGCCGACGATTCCGAACCGAGGACTTCGATGCAAACGGACATTATTTCTCCACGCGAAGTAGATTTACATCCACTGGAATCTCCTGGAGCCCCCGGAGAGCCGGTTCCTGGGGGAGCAGATCTCGTCCTCAATATCACTCTTGGCTTTGACGCCAATACTAACGTCTTCCTGATGAATGGCGTCGAATTCGTACCACCCACCGTTCCTGTACTACTTCAGATCTTGAGCGGTGCTCAGCGAGCGCAAGATTTGTTGCCTCCAGGTTCTATATACGGATTACCGCTAAACAAGACTATTGAGATCAATCTCTTCGGTGGACATGCGATAGACGGACCTGTACGTTCATCTTACACCCGTTAGTCAGATGCAGTATTGAAGTTGCACTTTCCCAGCATCCATTCCATCTCCATGGTGTTAGTCTCTTTCACAGATTGAATACGGGTTTGTTTGACTAAATACTATTCTTACAGCATAGTTTCGACGTCGTGAAGAGCGCGGACAGCGATACTTACAACTTCAACGATCCGGTCCGTTTAAAGAGCGCAATGTCGTTATGTGTATACTCATATCACCCAATGACAGGCCCGCAGAGATACCACTGCGGTTGCCGAAAACAATTTAACGACTATTCGATTCAGGACTGACAATCCGGGACCTTGGTTCTTGCACTGGTGCGTCTATCCATGCTATGGTATGCATACTGTTCTGGAATAGTATTCACAGTCACATTGAATTTCATCTCGACGAGTGTGTTTCATTTCCTTCTTTGTGCCAATTTTCATCTGAAACCTGAATACTAGTGGTATGGCTGTGGTTTTTGCTGAAGCTATTAGCGACGTGGCACAGGCGAATCCAGGAGTTCCTTGTGGGTTATCGTGTTGTAATTTCGGATACGGCAAGCGCTGACGCGTACGTTTCCAGCTACATGGTACGACCTTTGCCCAACCTATTATGGTCTCTCTCCAGACGTGACAAAGAACGATACTACACATACGGTTCCTTCGTACTGATATCTCTTGCTCACTGGTCTGACGGAAACTTTCTATCATCCATATATGAACTGTAGCGAGATGTGCCGAATGGACATTTAATGCCATGGGATCCCAAATGCTCCTGAATGTTTTCATAAACATCAACCAAAGCTGTATATCTGTCAGACAATCACAACAGTAAGGTAATCTACGATACAGTTAGCTTATTCTCCATTAACAGCACAAGCTCGCTGGCCAATGGGCGATCGGTGACGTTGAAAGCAACACGGCTTTCCGCTACCTTGCGATACCAATCTGGTGCACCCAAGTTTTGGCGACGTGGTTGCGTCCTTACGACAGAAGGCTGGAACCTCCTCCGATAATGCCCACAGCATGAGCCCTAGGGCAAAAATGTCACGCTCGGCTGTCAGCTCCGCCGGCCAACCTGAATGCAACTCTGGAGACCCATACTCCTCTGTATGACCGCACCCTGTATCGATGTTGATTAGTCGAATGCATCCATCACAACCCAGGACAACATTCTGTAACTTCAAATCTCCTGAGTATGTGCCATTACTATATAGTGCAGCAACTCCACAGACGATCTGATATGCCCACATGAGTTTCAGAGGCCAGTCCAGGAACTTCTGACGATGTACGCCACAGAGATCTTCTGGACACATGGAATCAGCATTAGATCTTTGCTTCGCTCGACTAAGGGTCCTCGCGTGACGAAACTGTGACGTGTCTCGCTTTCGTTACAACGTGACTCGTTCTCAAGTCCGCATTTGGGAGGGGTCGTTTGCCGGTACCGGGGCCGGCAAAAAAAAATCATGGCTACTCTGCTACCACCTCCCAAGCGCGTGAAGCTGTACCATGGCGTCACCGAGCCAGTGCCAGAACCACCAAAACCGTCTTTCAATATCCTTGTTCAGTTCGTATCAGATGATGATGGTCGACCTCTTGCACCGGCCGTGAACTTGCCCGCGAATGTATCGAGAGAAGGATTAGAGGCTCTGGTAAATAAGCTGAATACACAGGTGCGTTGCGTAAAAGCATTCACAGACATTGAAACTGACTTTATGCATAGGATGAAGAACCTGTTCCTTTTTTGTTCCACGTTACACTGCCAAACGACGACAAGGTTTCAGCAAGTGCACCCACTCGGATTGTGATATCAAAATCAATAGAGGCAGATGTCATCGACCACCCTTCAAATTCTTTCACCGAAGAAGATGTGATCGTCGTACGGTGCTCACCTCAGAGCGTGTTCCGAGTGCGACCGGCGACGAGGTGTTCGTCGTCTCTTGGAGGACACACTTCGCCCATTCTTTGTGCTTCATTTTCACCTACGGGAAACTTTCTCGCTACCGGTTCTGGGGACACGAATGCAAGACTGTGGGACTTGAATACGGAGACTCCTTCACATGTACTTTCAGGTCACAAAGGGTGGGTTCTTTGTGTAGAATGGGAGGCGCTGGAGAGGAAACTTGCGACTGGTGGTCATGATGGTCACGTTCGCCTGTGGGACCCGAAAACTGGGAAGCCGATTGGAGATGCGTTTAAAGGACACACGAAATGGGTTACTTCGCTTTCTTGGGAACCTATACATCTCAATGCGGCAGCTCCTCGATTGGCTTCGTCGTCCAAGGATGGGACAGTCCGTATTTGGTCTACTCTAACAAGAAGAGTGGAGTACACCCTTGGTGGCCATACGGCTTCAGTAAACGTCGTCAAGTGGGGCGGTATTGGCAAGGGTGTTTTATACACTGCATCAAGCGATCGCACGGTCCGCGTCTGGGATGCGACGAGTGTGAGTTTGCTGCATTTTTCTTATCCTTGTTACGCATTTCCTTTGTAGGGCCGACCACTTCATACCCTCAAAGATCATGCTCACTGGGTCACGACATTGGCGTTGAATACGGACTTTGTATTGCGCACAGGGCCATTTGATCATACACGAAAAAGATCTCAATCAGATGAAGAGGGTAGGTCTTTCTCTATCCTTTCCTGCCGTGGTGCTAAGGTATGTTTCAGCACAACAGCTAGCCTTGAAGAGATATACAGCCCTGCTTGCCAGCACACCAGAAGTCCTCATTTCCGGCTCCGACGATCATACACTTTTCCTGTGGTCGCTCTTCCCTTCGTCATCCCCCACATCTGAGCCTTCTTTGGGAAAATTGAAACCAGTGGCTCGACTGACAGGACACCAGCGACAGATAAGCCATGTTGCGTTCTCCCCAGATGGTCGGTGGGCGGCTTCGGCAGCGTGGGATAACAGCGTACGTGTTTGGGAAGGCCGGACAGGAAAATACGTTGCCACTCTTCGAGGTCACATCGGTCCGGTGTATAGGGTGACATGGAGTGCGGATAGCAGGCTACTCGTCAGCGCGAGTAAAGATAGCACTCTTAAAGTGGGTTTCTCCGTCTTATCTCATTGCCTTATGCTGACAGTTTTAAAACAGATATGGGACCTTAAGACGTTCAAAATCAAGATGGACCTGCCGGGACATACTGACGAGGTTTACTGTGTCGATTTTGTAGCCGATAAAATTGTTAGCGGAGGGAGAGACCGACTTGTCAAAATGTAAGCACTTGATTGCGCGTCTACATCTATGATTCTAATTGCTTTTCTGCATTGAAGATGGAAGAATTAATCTTAATCTCCCGTGTCCTTAGGGCCTCAAGGGCCGCTAGACTTGGATCTGTAAAATGCTGTAGTTGGCATGTTTGAAGACAACTGTTGACGGAATACTAGTCTTAGCTTTTATAGAAGGAGGTACTTTTACCCGTGTACACCGAACTTGTTCTTGAATTGCGCGCTAACTAATACAGAGGCTCCTGTCGGCTAATCTGTCTTGGCGCGCTGATGGCGTGGGAAAACTCAGGACCGTTTTCCTTCATTTTCCCCTTACCTTCCGATTGCCACCATCTGCCAACCATTTCCTCCGAAAATGCAGGCTACCATCTCTTTCCCCGTTGTTGACAAAGAGAACATAAACAATGTTGCGAGCAAGAAGAACGAGCGAAAGCGTACCATCACGACTGCCGATGGGGGTATGGCGGGAGTATTACTCATGATGGGAGACGCGACTGACTCGCCTTTTTATAGAGGATATTGATCTTACGAAGGAATCCGAGGTAAGTTCGTCGGTAAGTCGAGTTTTCGGTGCATCGACATTGATTTAAGATGATATTGCCGGTATAGGTTGTCGAGGCGATGAAACAGAGGATTTCCAGGTAAGTGGGCGCGTCATTACATTCTCGTCGGGATCCAGCTCAGTGGAAGTAACGATGAAGACAGGTTTGATTATGAACGGGGAATCTTGTCGAGCCAGCAGCAACGCCTAGTTCAACAGCCAGCTATAATCGACATTTGGGTCTGGATCTATACCGTAATGCTTGAAAACGTATGGTTGACCTTGATAGAGTACGTGGCTGACGAAGATCTGCTGGATCACATTCGTGCGTATAAGATCGGATATCATGACGTGGGGTATAGCTAGATGACTCGGGATTGGAACCCACTGTGGTTTTTTTAGCGTCGTCGAGTAATAATAACTCGGTCCTGCTATCGTCCACTGTTTTGAAAGAGAAGTGATTGACATGGGAGAGAAGGGGATGATGTCTGGATAAATGATGGCGGACGAACTCGGGCGGAAGATAGGATACTTCTTGAATAGAAATGTTTTCCTCGTACTGGTACAAGTGGTCGTTGAGCACGCAAGAGACGATGATCACAAATCCTGAGCGAAAACGGGTTTTGTCCGCCATATGTATATACAGTGGTGCCGTCCTCAGGCTCGCCCAGCTTACTGTAGGTGATTGAATAGTTGACAAGGCAGAGGCCGTCACATTCAGTATGAGCAAGTTCAGGAGTGGAACCGTACTTGGTGTGGATGTTGCCAAGTACTAACTCAGTGAGAATGATAAGTAAGTATCAGCAATGACTGTATTTGAATAGATGAACTCACGTTGGGCCTGTCTAAGGGTGTGTTCGTCAGGGAGGATCATTATAGGGAGGCTAACCCAAGCGCAGGACCTGCAATTACGCGAAGGAAAAATTTTGATTTCAGACTGAGAGCCTGCGGACTTCGAAGCTATGTATAGTTACGGCCAAGTAAGAATACTTCACAGAGTGTTACATTACTTTTCACGTTCATGGGTCGTCATTGCGGAGCCGTTCGGTGACTTTCGAGATTCCGAAGCTAAGTAGCTGCTTGAATTTTGAGACTCAAACCGACGAAAGATTCGTTAATGCTCACTTAGGAATAGAGACATCTTTCAGATAAATGTCCTGCTTTCATTCTGAACCTGATAGTACATAAACCAATGTCTGCCACTTCTCCTTATCCCATGGCGCCATCAGCACAGCTTTTTGAGCTTCTCGCAATGCGAGCACACCTGCACCAGACATCGAACGTGCAATGGCTCTCAATCCTATCTCGTTCCTCTGCACGTCGAGCGTTGTCGTCGATGATCCAGCGATGATAGGAAGGACACTTTCATGCAAGCCTCGCTGCATCATCAATTTCGCAAGGTCAATCCTGGCCTCTGACCTCGAAGGCTCAGAAATAATGGCCTGTTGTGCCAGGGATATCAACTTGGCATCCTCTCCCTGAAAGTCACGTTGAATAAATAGAATAGCGCGAAATATTAGAGCAGACGTACCATTCCTTCGTGATGCTTCATGAGCAAATATTCTACATCTTTCCCTGGATCCATGCTCGTTCGCTGCTCTCGAGGCAAAGCAAGGATCTCTGACAGGGCAGCATCAACGAGGCTTTCATCGTCAGTCAGGATGCCCATTGCGGCGAGAGCATTGATTGCAGCGAGGTTTTCAGGGTCTATTGTGATACTAGTAAAGCAATTAGCATTAATCCGTTGTACATTTAAACGAAGAACATACCACTGGAGGAGCATATTCTTGGCCTCATCTCTGGAAGTTTCATCTCCGAGAGCCCACATCGTCTTGGCCATGAGAACACTGACATGGCCAGTCAACAGCAAATCATCCCCAGCACTCGTGAGCGCGCTTTCAAATGAGCCTAAAACGCTCTCGACCTCATGGCCCTTCTTCGACTGGGCCAAGCCTAACCCAAAATGAGCTTGAGTGCGGAGGATCCTCGTTTCCGGGTCATCTGTTTCAGGAAGCAAGCCTACGACAGTCTCGAAGGCTTCGGCAGCACCAGTGTAATCTCCGGTGCTGTTCCTCATGCGTCCTATGTTGGACTGGGCGATAACGTACTGGCGTTCGATTTCGGGAGACTCGGTTTCTTCATAAGCAGCCTCGAGTATGGTTATAGCCTCTGTCAGCAGGGATATGGCCGTATCGAGGTGCCCGAGTGTTTCGTGCACAAGACTTGACAGATGAAGTCCAGGCGCTGATGAGGGATTGAAGGACAGATAGCGTGACAGAAGGGATAATGACGGAAGTAGGGCTTCAGGCGATGCAGATATTGATAGCTTGTTCAAGGCGAAAGATCGAGCGGAAAATTCGAGATCGGCAGCCGGCTGTTTCAACAAAAGGTCAGAGGAAAAGAGGATGGCTCGCTCTCAAGACTTACCACGGACGATGCCAATCCCACTGCATGCTCTAAAAGGGCTCTGGCATCACTTTCGTGGCCGTTAGCAGTGGCTACCAAGGCCTGGCCGACCCACGCCAGCGTATAATCAGGGTCTAGAGTTTGAGCCCTGTACAGAGCTTCATTCGCAAGTTCCACGTCGTTGTGATACAAGTAGAGTAATCCAAGATTCGTCCATGTGGCGGTATTCTGCGACGACTTAGCGACAAGGCCATAAGATGGAAAGACGACATACTTTGGGATCAATCTCCAAGGCCCGAATATAGGCATGCTGTGCGGATTTTGCTTGGGTAAGGAAATACGCGTTCCCAAGGGCAGTCCAATATTCTTCATTCAGTGGACATTGTCGAAGGGCAAATCCCAAAAATTCGATTCTCTTTTTCTCGACATCTTTGGATTTTTCCTCGTCTGTCAATTGAGAAGCATAGGATCCAAGGGCCGTCCCAAGGTCGAACCATGCGCTACCTAGGACCTGGGATTCCGACGACACGACAGATAGTCTGAGATCGTACGCTACAATAGCGTTTTGTAACATGATAGTTCCAGCCAGAGGAGTCGAGTTGGCGGGCAATTGAACGTTAATGTTGAATCCAGTAAGCCGGCTACTGGAATGCGTCGAGAGAAACGGAAAGACGGCCTCGAGCGCATGACGGGCAGCAGACTCGTCTACAAATGTTGATCTTGTTGATAACGAAAACATAGCATCTGCCGCAATCTTCCATACCACACCTCCGAACCCCGAAATTTGCTCGATTGCTGCTAGAGCAACATGAAGGGAAGCAAGGAATGACGTCTCCGCCCTCGCCACATACCCGTCGGACAGTTCACTCCGACCGAGATCAAGATACGTCTGACCTAACAACACAGAAACGCCTATCTCACCTGGTCGTTCTCGTAGAATTCCTGTAAATATATCTATGGCTTCTTGGAATTGACTTGTCTGGCGACGAACGTCTCCGATGAAGTAAAGCGTCATCCAATCGTCCGGATTGAGCTCGTGTGCACGCGCAAGCGCCTTCAGAGCCGCTGCGTGTCGCCCCGACCTGCTGTACGCCTCACCCAATCTCAGCCAGCACACTTGATCCTCCGGTTCGGCCCGCAGCGCGACTTGATAGGCATGTATAGCCAAATCGTACTTCGGACGAGCCTGTTTGTAGAACTGAGAAAAATGTGTCAACTATGTTGATAGAGATGTGCTGACCAATTCCACGGCCCCGACAGCTTTCCATGCCCATGCATTCGTAGGCAGATACACGGTCGATGGTCCTGCTTTAGCCTCTTTGTCCAGCCCAGCGTCCGAGCCGCCTTCCCCGTCTATAGTCCGCCGAGCAACCGTTTCAACCAGGTCCCACTCTTGCTCTTCGGCAAATCCCACTGCCAGCCGCCGGGCAGCGTATACCTCGCGGGAGTCGAGCTCAAAGGCCTTCTGGAAGCATTTTGAAGCTCGATTTGGGTCAGGTGGCGTCGTGTATTCTTCATAATAGATCCCTAGCGAAGTGAACGCCGGTGCATACATAGAATCGCGCTTGAGAGCTGTGATGAAATATTTGTACGCCTCTTCCCGTTTATCACCGTTCATGTCCCAATGACAAGACCCAAGTCGCCACAAGCATCTTGCGCTGTCTTCGACGCGATCGTTCAGAGTGTCCATTGTTTCAAGAACTTCTTTCAGTGCTGCCACAGCGAAGTCAAAGTCACCCAGGCGGCTGCGACACCAAGCATGTTCCTCCTTTGCTCGTAGACCGTTATTCACGTCGTCGGGTAACAATTCGTGCACCCTAGAGAAAAGATCTCCGGCATCTTCCCATTTATTTGCTTGCTCTAGGATGTAGGCACGGCCCATCAGACAGCTGATGTTATTCGGAGATGTAGAGAGGACGTCATCAATTATCGGTAGAGCTCTGGCATGGTGTTTTGGAGGGAATAAATGAACCAAGGAGGTGGCTAGGATCACCTTGAAATCTAGAATGGTACTTTTATTCATTAATACACGAGACCTTCGCAGAGTAGACGGGAGTCGTACTGTGGGAGTATCTTCCCGTGGTTGACCTCGGCTCGCCTTGTGAGCTCCATGCCGCTTTGTGCCGCTTTGATAGCAGCAGAATAGTCTACTTCGTGAAGGTACACATCCGCTAGAACTCGAGCACCGAGAAGGGAATCTGCAAGTTGTGGTTGGGCATCCTAGGCACAGTTAGCTTCAGTCTGAGCTGGTACTGGAAACTTACAAATATCATATCTAGCCCTGTATCTGGGTCAGCTATCTCGGCGTTTTCGTCTTCTTCGTCATCAAACAAAGGTATTCCGTTGTAAATGAAGTAACCTTTGAGCATCGATACCAATGGGAGTGAAGGAAACAGTGCCATGTACTGTCTCAGCAAAGGATAGTCGTAATCGTCTAAAAACGCATGAATACCAGCATTCACGGATAATTGCTACATCTCGTACCTATGGCCTCGACGTCCTTCCTTTCTAGGAACAATGACCAAGCGAGTTCATCAGGTAGCTGCAGTAAGACCGCGCCGTTGATCAAGTCCTCGACCTCTTGGGAAACTTTCCCCTTGTGCTCGCTTGTGCTCGGCAAAGCATACAGATACTGTTGCTTATGCTTTAACAACTTCGTATCTGTTTCACGCCGTAGCTCGTCAGAGGTATTGGGATGATTTAGGATGTCGTTGTACAATGACGGCAGCTGGGTGACGGTCAGCGACAGAATACGATGTGGGATGAGGATAGCCTACACTAGATACGCTCCAAATTTCAACACAGACGTCTCTCTTGATCTGCTCTGGGGATCCAGCACCGAGTCGTGTTCGGCGCTTCTCAAACTCTCTTGTGATCTTTTCGTCTTCGTCTTTCTCCAATATGCGGACGATTTCTTCCAGGATAGGTAGTCCGTTATGTATAGCTTCTTGGGCTTCAAATGTGGTCGAAGATGTTGGGTTCGTAGGGTCTGGTGGGGGTAAAGTCGACAGCAATGCATAGTGAGGTGATGTGGGTAAATAAAGCGATATTGCGTCGACGACCTGTAAACGGTGTCCATGCTCTCGACGATTCTGAACGAATTTTTGAATCGTTTCTGCACATTTGACTGCATCCCCGCTGTAGATAATCAGCATCAACGCGCAGAGCAACAGTTTCGCGCGTACGACTTGGCAAAAAATCCTAACAAATAATGTAGAGTGTCCGCGTGTTTATCCCATACTTGTGTCCTTTCATAGAATCTAGAGAGGCCCTGTAATATCGGATGTAAGATTGACGGAGATAATGAAGTGTGAATTCCCAACCTGCCAGGCGAGCAACTGCTCTGCGTTCAGTTCGATTGCCCTTCGATACGCCTACTCGAGAACATCAGTGTGACAGTCCTAAAGATACCTAAATTCCGAGTTACTTGCTCGCTCTTGTCGAACTCTTTGAGCTCCAGAAATGACAGGCCGAGAAATACGGTCCTGAATACATGTCAGTTTCAGTCGATGGTATATTGAAGGAGCTGCCTACGCGTTGTAGTTGTCCGGCTCGAACTCGAGAACCTTTTCGGCATTATCTCTCGCGGCAGCAAAGTCCTTTTTAGCAATGAAGTCCCTCGCAGCCTTGAGCTTGACCTTTACAAAAGACATTGTGTTGTAAAGGGAAGTGAGTGGCTTGATCAAGAACCACCACGTTCGGCGTCGTATCACTTTAAGCCTGGCTCAAGGGATTGACGGCGGGCGAAAGAAATTGTCGTTCCGGCACCTTCACCGGTCAGGAGGAACGTCTCGTATGTCTGGAGATGTCTCAGTTCTTCTGGGCCACATCACTAACTACCGCATGCTAGTAGAGACTCCAACCCTTTCCCAAGGCCCTCTAGCCTATAGGAATCTCGCTCAGCACTCCGGTCACCCCCAATCCCTTCCCGCTCCACGCAGCGTGATGATGAAGACCAGTCACTTACCCCAAAGTCGAATTAGACGCCAGCGGCAGCGTCACGTCACGTAAGGAAATCTTCAACGTCCACAACCACCCTCTACTTCCATGTCAACGCCCGCAGTGGATTTACCGACACCGAGAAACTTCATAGGAAGAACACCGTGTAACTCCTACCACAGAAAGACGGGGTAGCCACCCGAAATATGACGGCACGATGCCATTGAACAATCTGCAGCCCTCTCACTAGCGAGGACATAGGACCTTCAGAATGCTCTCGAAAGACAACGCCATCCAGGCCGGCTCCCGAGATACCAACTTCACCACTATGTTACAAAGAAGATGAATATTTGCCCTTTGTCCTTACAAAACAAGGACATCCCAAATCACATTAAAAGAGCGTCAGCCGGCCGCAGAGATCCATTCCTCCCTCTCACCCTCCCCACTCGCCAAACTGTCTGCCTCCAATATCGAAGAGCCCCTCCTCCAGACGCCAGGAGGGAATCCTAACAAAAGACAGAGGACCTCCGGAAGGTCAAACGTGCGTTCATACAACCTCTCAAAAACTTAACATCCTTTGACTAAATAACAGGCACCTCCCCCGCCCGAAGACGAGGAAAACAGAGAATCGCGACGAAAGACAAACCTTGCCCACTTGCTCCCGATGCCATGCGAATTCCCTGACCCTCGTGCCACCGCCAACCTGCCTACGGCAGGCGACGAGTTCCCCTATGACAAGTTCACCCGCTCCGGAGAAACGCCTGCGACACTTCCCGCAGGATCCGCAACCCCCTTCACGGACCCTATATACCCCCGCGTCTTCATCCCATGGAACCATATCACTGCTGGCTTCCCAGAAGATATCCGCGAAGCCATTGCCACCTCCCCTGAAAAGTTCATCAGCCATTCCCTTTGGAGCAGGTCCTAAGTTCTATGCCGAAAACCGCAAGGCAGATCTCTTACTGAAAACCTTCCTCGAAGGTCTCGACTTCCCAGACAAGGGAAAGCTCACGGTTTTCTTCCCTATCGAAGCGAAGGAGGACAAGAAAGGTAGGAACAGAGATAAAGGTCGCAGCAGAAAGAGCGCATTCGACAAGCCATGGCCCCTGGTCATTACAGGCTTCTCTGAGGACTTTGGCAAGTTCCTCCTCTGGAACTAATGCTTCGCAACGGCATCACACTCTGTTTGGAACCTCGTCCCATTTAACCCGAAGGCACTAGCATGGGCCATCACAGCTTTCCAGGGCAACGTCGTCAGCAACGACCCTGACCTGATACCTGAAGCTCTCGCCTGCATCAAAGCCGCTACCTGGCGCGACACCTCCATTCAAACCCTAGTCAAACGCATCACCCAGGCACAAGGACGTCCAGGAAACCCCGTCGAGCTCACGGTCAAGATGACCCAATCGTGGCGGCTCTCATACATCGGGACGAAGAACTTTGACGACGATAAGGGACCTGTCTTTCTCTTGACAGAGGAGCCCATTACAGACAACCTTGACCTGCACAAGGTGATCGCTGCCCACATCCGCAAACTGAAAATCCGGGTCAACTACCAACAGCTGATCAACGTCGACAAGATCATTGGCTGCGACTGGTGCAAGAACCAGAACCACCCGAGTCATGCATGCCCGTTCCTAGGAGTTGACTCCACCAGGTATGGTCCCTCCACTGACGAACTCCGTCTGCGAATGATGAAGACGGAAACTCTAAAAGACGCATTCCGGAAACAGAAGGAGGACAGTACGAAACCGGGCGGTAGCTCCAAACGTGGAAAGCACAACGACGATGGCTGGAATGTAGTCAGGCATGGTAAAAAGCAGTAGTCCGCGTACCACTTAAATGCCATGGAATGTATTTCGTTTCAACAGAGATCTTTTACTCCCGCTAAACTAATCTCGATGAGCATCAAGCTTGACATAGCGGAAACAGGGGTGAGATTGGAGCGATGAGAAGTTCGTTAGTTCCAACTAACACTCATCAAAGCATCTCCCCGTTCTGATGTACTGACAGCTTAGTGGAGGTAAGTTGGACTGCTGAGCGGGGAGGGGCGATACAACCGGCTCCGACAAGGCTGATAGAGCCATTACTGTTTGGAAGACTTCCCTCTTACCAAGGATACTCTTTCAAGTGGATCTATCTTAGTATGCTGCAGTTTGGTAAACTTGGTATGTGAATTACTATGCCACTAACTGTCTGGAAAATAGGGATACCTCATACTACGAAATCGGTCATTATGGTACTGGCCTCGCACTACCCCATCGAGGCTCTGACGTACCCACTGGTTATTCCTCCATACAAGATGGTAGTACAAGTAATGACAGTGGGGAACCAGCACCAGATTTCCTGGAGAATGATGTGGTTGACTGAACATCACTCGGTCCTCCAGACAATGATAGGAATGTACCAGCTGCCTCTCAAGCTACATCATGTGTAGACTCAAGAGAAACCATGCAAGCCCACAATGGTAGGTGTCAACAGCAAACACACTGGAGATATCAGTCAAGCTTCTCGACAAACTCATGTGACTTGAGCCCTCTCATAGACAAGGCCCCAACTTGTGAGAGTGGTCATGCCACAAACCAGAGAGGAGTAGTGAGCCATGCTCCCACCAAAATAGACAAGGAGAGGATTCAGCTAGATCTTTCCAACAGGAAAGTAACTCCATGAGCCAAGAAAATCAGCCCAGAGTACACTCAGCTAGTAGGTGGCAATGATGAGAGACTGCCAGGAAAGAATCCAAAGCAGTTATCATGGTCTCATGTCTCAATATCAATGGATTCAGTTCTGCAGGTGCTGGTGATGGAATTCAAAGTAGCAAATGGAGTCACATAAACCAGCTACTACATACATCAAGGACAGGTATTCTGATTGTCCCAGAGGCCCACTTAACAGAATGAAGATGTGATGAACTAGAAAGTCTGTTCTCCTGGAGAATGAAGATACATTTTATGGCAAACCCAGATAACCCTACAGGCAAGGGTAGGGTGGCAATAGTCATTAACAAATAACTGATGAACTGGCACAATATTCAAACTGAGATCATAATCTCTGGCCATGCCATGCTACTAAAACAAGATGGCATGGCAAAAAGGACATAATAATTCTAAGAGTCTATGCATCAAATGTCTCTGCAAGTGACTCAAGAGAGAGTGCAGAATTCTTCTCATCTCTATACAACTTCTTTGTGGAAAACTGAGTGTACTGTGATCACTGCAATGGCAGCCTGGAAGACATGGAACATATGATGGCTGAATGCTCCTTTCCAGGACAGAAAGAGATATGGGAACTCACCAAGATGCTCTTGGGGTGCCATGGTATTCCCCAGCACCCCCCAACAATGTCCAACATTCTTGCATGTGCAAACTCCAGTTTTCAAATCACCAGGTGGAACTAGGGATGTTGGTAAAGAATGCTTCTATTGAATCATCATCTCCTCCATACAAACCATCTGAAACACCCAGTGTGAGAGAGTTATACAGTGAGAGAACTCATCTTTCTCACCAGAGGAAATCTGTAACAGATGACTGAAGAGGATAAACAAGAGGCTTGACCTGGACTGCTTGATGACATGCAAACATTTTTGCAGGAAAGCATTTGGAAAAGACCTAGTATTAAGGACATAGGCAGGCTCTATCTTCAATGAGCAACAACTTCTGAATGATTGGACAGAGGCTGACAGAGTTTTAGTGGGTATAAGGTAGCAATGAAGGCCAGGTAGCATGAGGTAAGTATAGGGGATAGTGCAGAGAGATGATGAGAGTCCCAGCCAAGCTACAAGTCCCAAGTCCCACACTCAGTGCATAAAAGCATTTCCCCATGGTGATATTACATCAATTCTCTTAAATGGTACAGCTGCTTGGTTTCAAACCCTGACTTTGACATCCTGGAAAGGCAAACAGTCTTACTTGCGGTGTTTTGTATTAACTCATTAGTGTCGAGAATGCGGGGCAATAATACCGGCTGCATGTTGGAAGTAACTATGTCGCTGGACTACCTCTGCGATAGCCTCCACCAAAATAAATAAAAATAAATAAATCTTTTTTTAAAAAAGAGAGTGCCTCTTTTTGGTAGCCACTATCTTATCCACTCTCATGACCTTCAGCTTCGCGACATCCTGGACGAATATCTAACGCCCTCTCACGTTCTCTAATCATAATGCCTGCTCGTTCATCGACATCGCGTAGTCTCTCTCTGTTTGCCTTTGAAATGCAATCTCCCCCGACTATCTACTCGCCCACTCCCGATGACGACATGCCATACAAACGATGGTTCCATTATCTACCCCTTGTTGGTGCGCCATAGAGTCCACCATTCGCTTCTCAATATCTCTGACGATGAAAACGCGCATAGGAACTGTCTTTTTCATCCTGGCACCTCAACCATCTCTGCTGATCGTCCTGGTGAACTATCATTTACGAACTCGAGGCCAGCCTATCGTCTTCGGCATCCATCTTTCCGTTACATATACACTCACTTTTCTAATAATCACATCTCTGATCGTCTGCGTCGTTCGCGATCCAGGGCCTGTGCAGATCACTCCATCCGAACGTGGAGGGGCCACGGACGAAGTTGACCTGGCGGAGGCCCTCATGCCACCTGATTTTGATTTTTCTGCACCCGGAAAATGGTGTAGGCAGTGCTGGGTATGTTTCATTGACCTCAATCCTTCTCAGTCGAGGGCTTATCGCATTTTCTTAGGCACCAAAACCGGATCGAACACATCACTGCACCCATTGCGGTAGATGTGTTCTGAAGATGGGCATGTCGTTGATCATCTTGCCCATCGTTTTATGGCTCAAATTGATTTCAGATCACCACTGCCCATGGGTTGGGGCAAAATGTATTGTAGGTACTTTTTCTTTTTGTTATTCGGCTCCCGCTCACGTCCGTGCGCAGGGACATAGAACATACCCTGCTTTTCTTCACTTTCTGTTCTGCATTACTCTACTCGCTACATATATCGCAATAATGTGTATCTTAGCTCTGGTGTATGCTTTCAACAATCCTTATGTGATAGTAAGTTCTCTCCTACCACTGTCTTTCGACGCTGAACCTTCATCGTTTTGTAGGACGAAACTACGCCCATTCATGAAATATTACTCGCCTTTGCAGGCCTAGTGTTTTCCCTCGTTATCGGCTCATTTTTTCTTTACCATGTATACCTTGTCACGTTAGTCTTCTCTCTCATCCTACACATCACACAGCTTACTCATAATCCTAACAGAACGAACCAGACGACCCTAGAAAATCTTTCTCCTTTCCTTCTCTTGCGACACCTCCCGCCTCTCCCAAGAACCGGTCACTCACTCTCTGACCCTCCCCTGGAGCCCGAACTCTCTTACCCCCAGCGCCGGCTCGTGAAAGACGCCCACGGGCACATCAGACTATACGATGTCGGCTGGAAGCAAAACTGGATCCAGGTCATCGGCTGGAATCACAACTACGGCTGGGTGGCTCGTATTCTGAGCGGTGGCGCGATGTGAGTTACGAATTTTTAGTCCGTTCCTTAGTTCTGCTTACGTTTGCCGGGTCGATAGCAAAGGAGACGGACGCACGTTCCCCCGAAATCCAAAATCAGAGGAGCTGCTCGCCCGACTTGCCGTGGAACTGGTTAACGCGGACAAGGACAACTAAAATAGCTCATTCTTCTGTGTCATTCTTTTGGGAACTCTGTATATATTGGCATCATCTATCTATATCTGTATCGATCTACATAACCTAATTAGCTTATTCGGTGTCTTCATAGAGCATTATATCCCTGTGGTCGTCACCTTGCTCACAAATACAGTCATTTCTCACACACCTAGTTCATAAATATCCTCTTGATAGAGTAATGCATACAGTTGGTGATATTAGTGTTATTCTTAACTTACTGACTCCCACTCTGCTGGTGTTGGCCATTTCTCATAAAACCACCCTTGCAACGCATGGTCCACCGCCGGAACATCCGATTCCTCAGTCACGTCGTCGTTGATACATACCAATCTGAGTTTATCATTTTCTCGGAGCTCCTTAACAGTACTGCGAGCTTCGCTGGCATCCGTTATTGACACGAACCTAAACGGTAGCTCCCCTGATGTAACACGTCACTATCAGTCGGGAAAGACGGGAAAGAGGATCCAAGATGACGTACCAACAACATAGCGATACCTCTGCAACACCATCATGGTCCACTCTCTGACATTGATACCTTCCACTGATGCCCAGCCTCGTCGCCTGAAGGCTTCCCGGGCCCATGGAGCCATCACGGTATCCAGCACAAAATCCTTGGCATGATATTCGGTCGTCAACGGGAGATGAGGTGAGCTCAGCCCTGTGTCGTTACGATCCGCCAAGAAGGAGAATTGTAAAGGAATAGTTCGGTTTGGGGACGGGAGAAACTCGGACAGGCCCAGAGGTCCAGAGGCGCTCATGAGCGCTCGGATCACTGTATTGAAAATATTTCAGAAGTCGAGTCTGGAAGTATAGGGAAAGATAAGCTTACTGCAGTCACCGCAACTGACTTCCTCGAAGGCAACATGAACGAAAAATTCACTCGCAGTCGCTATTGGCTCCCCTTTTTTCTCGAAGCACTTGTCCCATCTGACGACGCAATCCGCAGCCTGAGAAGACCCGTAACTGGTGTAATGCGGATCTGAAGAAAGGCCGGGTGGGTGACCGGGTGAGTTGGGATAGGTATACTCCAGCGGACATCCGTCCTGTGAAGAGAACGAGTACTGGCTTTCCATGTGGTCCAATCTCGAATGCACAGTATCTTCAACACGGACGTAACTGAGCGTTTCCCTCTCGGGCTGCGCGACTGACACGGACGCTGCACCAGCTTCACCCCCGATTTCACTCCACGCTCGATAAGCGTGGACGTACGTCCACGCATCTTCATCATCCCAAGCGCGACCTTCGGATGGGGGTGTTCCGTTCCCACCGATACGAGCCACTACCCATGACCATAGGAGCGCTTCCCGTGCGCGATCAATGAGGAAGTTGCCGAACATGAACCCAGGGTGAACGTCGTCGCCATCAGGGACGGGAGAACCTGGAGCGCGACACCATTAGTTTCCTCTGCGATTGACGCGTTTATATATCAACATACTATCACCCCCGGGTGCACCATGCCCGTTCATTCCTCTGAATGGTCGGCGAGCCGTCGCATTGAACTCTTCAGCCCACATTCCGGCAGCCATTTCGTTCATTATGGGCATACTGATCGCCTTTTGGGCGTGTACAATGTACGGTCGCGAACGGTTTCCAAACCGCTTAGATAGCAGATGGCTGCTATACTCGAGAGGTCTCCACTCCCCTTCCGGCGGCTTCTTAGACGGGTTCTGAGGAGGGACGACCAACCAGTATTCGAATCGAAGAACTAGACCATAGAAGTGTGTATAGAAGTCTTCCGTCTCGACGTCACCATGGAAGAAGTAGTCATCGTTCATATAGATGAAATTCTCTGAAACGCCGCATAGGTCGCCTAACTGGGACTCGATGGCAAAGCTGTTGAACGTAGGACCAGAATAGGCACCGGGCACAAAGAATTGAGAATGATGTTGAATGTCTAATGAAACATTTCCATCGTGCCATTGCGAACCAGATAGCCACTGAGGAAGTTGGCCGTACCGTATTTCCTCCGAGCCTTCCCCCGAGACGTCAGCCGCGTTGTCAGACGTCAACAAATGAAAAGAGCCAAGACCATGACGAAAATGCTTGAGGGCGGAGCGCATGGAATATTTTAGTTCATTGTGGTTTCTGTGGTCCAATTAGTTGAAAAAGACAAGAGAAAAATGTTGCCACGCACCGGTAGAGTTTGGGCTTCGAAGTACCGTAACCGTTCACACGCTGAGTCTCTTCTAGTGCTACAATGTGCAACGGATCACTCCCATTCACCCAAGCCCAAACAATATCTATCGGCTCTGCTGTTATGTTCTCATGACCCGTGCAGCTACACGGTTGCCCACTGAAGTAATCCTCTAGACACACGCCGGGGATCGGCGTTACAGGGAGCAGGCTGAACGGTGGGGGACTTGCATTGCGATGGCTTGTAAACTGGTCGTAAGTACTGGAATGTGAGTATGTTAATTCTGGGATTGAGTGTCGGTTTGTGGGCGTGCAAAGAGCGGAAGGGGAGTATTTGGTCTGCCATTGTTGGAGATCAATTGAGGTCCGCCGTGAAATATTGGCATGGCATATAGGGATGGATAGATAGTCATAGTGGTATCTTGAAGAGGGGTAAAAAAGGTATAGCATACCCATGACAGCTACAACGCCTATGGGCACCCATATTAGTGCCAAGACCCGCGGTAGCAATTTCTTCGGCGATATTGATGTTTGGGGAAGAGAGGGGAGTGGAGAGTAATCGTGTCCGCGGAGGGCTTGTATGAATCTTGCATGCCAGCTGTTGGTAGATGCAGAATAAGTATAGGATGCATCGTCATCGAAGTCGGAATAGTGAGCGGGAGAGTCGGGGTAAGGGGAGAGCTGGATGGACCCAGTCGCCATGAAGGAGTGAGAGAAGGAAGAAAGAAGATTATGAACGAAAGTGTCCAATGAAATATCACCGAAGAACTAAGATCGTCTAAGCATTGGTAACAGATTGTTGGACAAGACGTGTGCACAAAATTGATCGTGTGCATAGTCCGGTGCACAGCTGACGACATCAACTATAACCCTGCCAAGCCTAATGGAGCGAAATTTTTAGATGGTTTCCAAGAACATGTACCCAGTCTGTACAGTTAACCATGGTCAAAAAAATTTTCGCCGAATATCAGAAGTATTGAGATCGTCGAGAGGCCAGGAAGAAGGCTTTCAACACGTTCAAAAGCTCAGTACTCAGTTTCCAAGCAATTTCCTGGGCGATAATAGGTGATAAATGGAAATATCAACCCAAGATACGTAATTTGCCGGCTCCACGGGAACGGGACAATAGTTGATAAAGCGCCGAGATCCGTCGGGTTGAAGCAAAGTAGCGGTTGATTAAATTGGCGAAAGCTTCTTCCCCCCAAAGTCTGTAGCAGGATAGGAAAATGAGCCCTGGGCTGTATCAAACCGGTTTGGCTGCTAGGAAAATGAGGAGGCAGGACTACGCAGGAACGTTCTCAGAAACGTGAGAACAAGTCTGAACGACACATGTAGACCGCAGGTACTTCGTCTTCTTTGCATCTGTCGGCCCGGCACTGATGCCAGGGACCAAGGAAGTGGAGGCTGGCTCTTAGCTGCGGAGCATCTCCGACCCCCACTCGTAGGCCGATACCATCGACCCCGTCGGAACCTCTACAATAAAGTGTTCAAAATGGATGACAGTTCGCACGAACTGTGGGTTCGGCGGCAGGTGAAACGGGTCGGCGTCCGAGTGTCTCGTAACACTCGGCGCCCAATAATAAGTTACGATGGTTAATCGTGAACCAACTGTCGGGCTAAGATTTCTTGTCTCATAGCAGTTGTTTATCAGATTATAATCCGGGAGTTGCTTCGGCAACTGGTTCTCTCCTCAAAACAAAGGCAAAATCAAACAGTCATTCCATAATGAAGACATTCGCTTACTGGAACTGGCTTGGCATCGAACGGTTCCTTGCCACGCTGGGACCGCAGCTAAAGGCAGCTAACCAAAACTCGTCCTCAAAGGAACTGCGACGAGATCTGGCCTCGTCCCAGCAAAAGCTAATGATATTGCAGGTTCCACTGAACATCCTATCTGTAGAGGGATATCAAGGGGTTGGACTGGGGTTAGTTCGTTACTGTTTTATAGTACGCAATCGCATCCATTGCGCACCTCGGCAGATTCATTCTGTATTCAAGTATTCGGGTAAACGGCCGCAGATGACAATCAGGTCTTGCGATACACGTATATTGAAAGATCAAACCTAATCGAGTATGAAGAAACCACGTGTTGTATCATAAAGCCTCAGCACGTGCCATAGGAGTGACTTTGGTTGTTGATTCTGTTCAATCATTTCAACCTAGGAGCCACAAAAGATGGAGACTCCATGATCCCTGTGCTATCCTGGACGAAATGTTTCTTCGAGATCACAGCTCTGGAAAGGAAAAATCAGGCGTGCGGTCAAATGATGTTGAGGAACAAATCTTACTAGTGTGGATGACTGTCGGAGCCGACAAAGCGTTCTTGAACTGAGCCTAGATGGAACCTCGGTTGAATCCCTGCGCATAGAATTAGACGACGCAGTGCACCGGGAGCATGCATGTCGATCATTCTAGTAAAGATTGGGGTCGCCACGTTGGCAGAAAAATGGTGCTTATTGAGGTATCTGAGCGCTGAATCACACTTGTATGAGTATCCTCAAAGTCGAGATAAATAGTCACTTAGCTGCGTACCTAGGCTCGTTGTAAAAAATCTATGATGCGCTTGCGAATAACTGGATAATTCGATACGAGACCAGAATCCAACAAGATTCGTCAACTGAGAGATCATTCCGTAATTTCGCCGGAGTTTGATGGTGGCAGCTGGATTGCTTATTACTCGTGTCCTCCTCTTACCATGTCTAGCAGCAGCGTCCTACCGATGTCTCTGTATGAAGGTCTACTCGCCAAGCTAGTGAAGATACTCGAACTCACCCAAAAGCCCGAGGGAACGGCAACGCCTCAGGCGAAACAGGCACTCCTGCACGCAGTATGTGACCCCGCTCGGCCAGTTACAGTACCCGCTCAGTACCATAACAGACGAACGACTTTAAGAGCTCGATAGCACAGGCAAAGGACTTGGCCGCTGAACTTGCTGGGGGTGAACTGAGGATTGATGAGCAGGACGAGGTAATCGAGATGCTCACCCAGCTGCGAGACAGGAAGAGGTACGACAACGACAACGATATACGCGCCAGAAACCTTCACTGAGATAGAACAGGCAGCAACTAGACCAGTTTTCTGCTCAAACGCTGGAGTTGTCGTCATCGTCAGCAGAAATGAGCATGGAAGTTGACTCGATGGCGTCGACACCCAGTTGAGCCACTGACCAAATATCCGGCTACAGTCACGCCTCCCATTCTCTTTTTCTCCCTGCCACCACAACGCAAGCCGTTACATCCTACTCATCGAGGCTGGCCTCATTCACATCATTTTCTATCCTCAACTCCACCACGCGGTATCCAAACTCGCGCGCTGGACGCGCCCTTAGAATCACTCTAGTGTTCATTTTCCTATCCGAACGCGGTCGCGGTGAAGTACAATGGGAAACCGCTGCAGCAGGAGACAAGTTCTGTCCAAAGGACATCGTGGTGGGGAGATGGCAGACAGATTCATCCACCGTTTCACCTTTTTTTTTAAAGTTTGTACCAACTCGCCGCCGTCGCCACAAGTGAACTCCTGGGATAGTGATGACCAGATATCCGATGATGGCGATGGAAGCGGCAGTGGAGAAACAGTTTGGCCTACTATTCGGCGCGGTAACGGGTCTGACTTCGTTTCAATGTGAGTATTTAACACTTGGTTAATCACAATTCTCAAGATTATTAGGGCCATTCCAAATGTCACCTCTGACGAGATTTCTTACCTTCTCATGATGGACGACTTTGGTAGAAAGTATCGCTTGCCTCTGTTTCTGCTTTCGCGTCAGTATATCCTCTACGTTATTGTTCTCGATTGACATACATGTAGCTACATGTTCCTCTGAAACTGTGCAGAATGCCATGTCTGCGCCAGCACTAGCATCAACGCCTAATAGTAATACCGCTCAGTCACCCTTCGTTACTTCTCCTCTGCCAAGCGGCCCTTCGTCTCCAGCTTCATCTCCAGCCGGCAGCACACCTGTAGCTCCACCCGCCGTCGACCCTACGTCTCTACCAGTATCTCCAATAAATATTCTTGCGACACGGCCCCCACCCCCCGTCACTGCGTTTGTCGTGCCCCTCCCTTGTGTAGGCGCCATTCTTCTCGTCGCTGGCTGCATGTCTCCGCATTCGTCACAATCGCCAATTGGACCAAGAACGTACACGTGACGCAGAGAAGCTAGCTGTCATGCAATTCGAGTTTTGGAAGTTTCAGGTCGTATCATAGCGACGTGCTGTCCAAGAGTCAGGACGATATCTGTCACTATGGATCCGCCATGCCAGTTCCGCTTTTCATGCCCGTCGAGATGCCACGAGAAGGAACGAGACAAATGCCTTACTTTGCGCCTCCGATGTACTACCGTGACAGCGGACGGAAATATAGCGAATGTCGCTCGACATTTTCTCGATCATCCAGGCGATGCGATTCCTCTCATTCTTCGCATTCACAGCAGTTGACTAGATCGCCTTCACGAAGGAATTCCGGTCACGCATACCTTCTTCCTTCAATAACGACAAGTTCCCCGGTTGTGGACGTGGAGGAAGGAGATGGTCATCACGGGATCAGCATAACAGACGACGTCCTCTCAGAGTATATGCAGCCTTCACCCCTTCCACCAGATTGCCTGCTACCTGTCCCTCAAATGCTGCATGTACGGAAGGAGGCCACAGGTTTGTTGAAGGTAGACAAATTTGTACGATGCTGTTCAGAATACTCTGCGGAGACCTCACAATACATGAACGATCATACCGATTCGAGGAACGGGGACCTGAATCGAAGTCAACGGGCAGTCAACCATTTGTCTACATGACATCAAGGGTGGTCCTCGGTCGGTGATCGACGGTGTACCGACTGTTTGCACCAAGAAAAATATAAATTTAGCATCGACTGCCGAAGCGCAAGATGAATTGAAGCGCTTGGTGACGAACATTACATGATGTTCTGCACTCACACAAGGCAATTTCTCGGCGGACATAATTTCAATTCCAGAGCTACGCGCTTTCTTATCGCTGCCAATAGGCGAGTTAAAAATCCGTGAACACAATCAGGCTTAACTTTCCCGTGTGTAGATTTTGTGTTGTTCGTCTTCAGTATCTGGGGCGCGATGTGTGGTTGATATGGTCAGCAGCAGATAAGCAACTTTTTATCTTGGGGTCAACCCTTGATATGCTCGTTTGAAAGGATCGACCTAAGTCTCGGTCGGAGAGGGCGGAGCCAAGAAATGCTATGGACCTCGAGCCCCAGATTGTTGAGTTTTTCCGTTACCAGAATAGAGGGCATAATGTACTCTTGAAGTTAGGTCTAGTTCCTGGCCTTACCCGGTTCACATATACGCACTACAGCTATATTTTGATAGCTTCGGTAGATCCTGATATCGACTATGCCCATTGCAGAGAATGTCCCATTAGAAGGATCACATCTTGCATCAATCCAGGAAGCATCAAGATCCTGGTGTAAAGCGGTATCGCTCTGCGTGGAATGTACCCCAATTACAAGCGCTCGATTAAGTTAACATTAGAGTGGCGTCATGGCAGATGAAGATACTGACCCTGGTAAGGTGGTGAACAGCACCACAGTCAGTATAGAATTAGGGTGCCTAACCAAAATGCTGGGATAAGACCGTCGAAAGAAATTGGTATATACATTAAGAACGGCAATAAGCGCCGACTGATGATGATACGGTGCTGTGAGTGCGAGTGGGAGACTTCGCTATATCGTTCTAGCGTCATGCCTGATTGTTCCGTCGTCGTCGCTTATAGCCACCGGTGATGATTTTTTTTACAGACTTGAATTCAACGTCTTCATTCAAAGCAGGAACCGATCACAGAGCAGAGTTCGAATTCCACATGGTTTTGGAATTGAGCGGAATGCCGTTATTAGGCGCACTGGATATGTGAGAGAGACAATCTGTCAGCCATAGGATAACGATTATATGTTCTGTTCATGAAGGAATGGTCGTTCGAATGTTCAAGCTAAGTTCGGTGCAAGTTCAAGCTTTTTTAAGTGTTTACGCGGAATGGGCCCGATTTCGCCGACGTAATTCCCATCGGCTCAGATCTGGACATCTTAATATAATCTTATTTCAATCACCGTGTACATCTCGCAAGAAAATTTCAGGGATATGTCTCTGGATGAATGCTATTTTCTTAGAGCGTGGCCATTTCCCAATCTGTTGAAACCATGGCCTCGAACTTTGCGATTACTATAAATTCCAACCAACACCTTTGACTCAGCTTACTTTTTCCACAACAATGCCCACGGACACCACAAAGCGTTTCTCTGTGCCAACTACTTCAAATGTGCCGGATGCCCTTGACGTCGAGTCTCTAGGCGGAAACGAAGACTTTCAGTACACACCCCTGCAGCGCCAGCTGAAGGACCGACATATTGCGATGATCAGGTAAGGTCAGAGATTTTTTTGGCCTATCGAAATGCTGATCTAGTCATGGTAGCCTTGGTGGTGAGTACCCTTTCTAGTACTCATTGTACACCGGTGGCTTCCAGTATGCAATTTTGTAGGTGTCATTGGAACTGGTCTATTCTTAGGTACCGCTTCTTCCTTACAAACTGGCGGACCTGTCGGTATGTGGATGAATTCGTGAATTTTACTTCCTTACTAACGCGTTACTCAACCATTAGGTCTGTTACTTGGATACGTGACCATTGGGAGTTTATGTTTCAGTGTTATGGTCTGTTAGAGGTACCTTTTACCTCGTTTACTTAATTATGGTGTGGATAGGTATCTCTCGGTGAAATGATTGCCTTCTTGCCACTCCCTGGAGGACACATCAAAATGGCCGAGCGTTTCGTTGGACCCGCATTATCATTTACCATTGGCTGGAATGCGTGGTACAATTGGACCATTGGCATTCCAGTGGAGCTGTCCGCGGCAACCATCCTCATCAACTATTGGAATAAAGATATCAACAACGCGGCTTGGATAACGATGTGTCTTGGGGTCGCTGTTATCATCAATCTGTTCGGAGCAGGTTCTCATTCTAACATTGTGCAATTACTACAACGAATTATTGTTGACGCACATTACTCAGGTACATACGGCGAAGCGGAATTTATCTTTGCTTCCATCAAGGTGATTGCAATCGTTGGCCTCATCATCCTTGGTGTTATCCTTGATCTCGGGGGTACGTCCACAGTATCCGTGTATACAATTGTATTCAAACTTACCCAGGCGGACCAAATCGCGATCGTCTTGGCTTTCGATACTGGAAGAACCCAGGGCCATTCGTTAATTATCAAGGTATCACCGGCGCAAAGGGACAGTTCCTGGGCTTCTGGACAGTCTTAACGCAAGCCGCATTCTCTTTCATTGGTACAGAGGTTGTCGCCGTAGGTATTACTCTTTCCCGTAAAGGACACTAGAAGACCAATCATTACGTGCAGATATCCGCCGGAGAAGCAAAGAATCCCCGACAGACCTTACCCAAAGCTATCAGGAAGGTTTACGTTCGGTGCGATTTGGTCCCTCAGCTCTGCAAATTATTCATACATCAGAAAGGATCATTTTGTTCTATATTCTTGGTACCTTGGTCATTGGCCTATTAGTTCCGTCGAGTGATGCAAGACTAAATTTAAACGATGGAACTGCGGCGTCGTCACCATTTGTAAGTGTGCATGTGTGCATCGCCACAACCAGTTAACCATAGCTCACTAGGTAATTGCTATTGAAAATGCTGGACTCTCTGGTGTGTATTCACTGGTGTCTAGTATCGTCCACTCTCTGAGCCGTTTTGTCAGTGCTTCCTCATGTGAGCCACGCACTAGAATTGCCTGATTCCACGCAAACAGATATTTTCAAAGATCATCAACGCGGCACTATTGACATCGGCATGGTCCGCCGCTGCTAGTGATCTTTACACCAGTTCTCGTGCGCTGTGTAAGATGAATGTTTCGTCCCTTTCGTTTGCAATTCGTTTATGCCCTTTTTCTAGATGGTTTGGCTGCGACTGGAAATGCACCAAGAGTGTTCTTGATTACTTTGAAGAATGGCCTGCCTATCGTCTCCATACTAACTTGCGCTTCTTCTGGACTGCTGGCGTACATGTCTGTGAACGAAACAGCTGGGAAAGTTTTTGGTTGGTTCGCCAGTATTGCAGCTGTCGCAGGTATATGACAATCATGAATTTGATCACCTTAACTACCTTAACTAAGTATTTGTCAGGACTCATGTCGTGGTTTGGTATCAGCATTACATATATACGATTTTACGCTGGGCTCAAGGCACAGGGAATTGACCGAAAGGAATTACCTTATTATAACAGGTTGAATCCATACTTGGCATGGTAAGTCAAGCTCACTTCGTAAAAGTACATCGTTTTCATTACCTTAAAGGTACTCGATGATTTTCTCGATCATCATTGCTTTTGTGGGTTCCACCATACGTAACCAGTTTCGATTACCGTTCTCACGACTGCTGGTACACAGTTCAGTGGTTGGTCCGTATTTCTGAAAGGACAATGGGCAACGGGTTAAGCCTTACCATTTCTTTAGTAACGAATATGATACTGACTGGCCCTACAGATAGCTTCATAACTAAATATCTTCCTTTGGTGATGTTTCCAACGATGTGGATCTGTTCTGCGATTTATCACCGGCAATTTATGATGAAAACGAAAGACATGGACTTTGTTGGCGAAGTTGCAGAGGTGATTTCTGCGACGTAAGTTTCTCTGTCTTTCCGATTTTCACCCCTTCCAAAGTGTAATATACTAGAGAAGATGAGGCGCCTCCAAAGGCCTTTGTCGCATGTTGGTAAGATTCCATTCATCTGTGGCATCCTTGGTTTTTTCAGTGTCTGATTCCTGACTTGCTAGATGTAGCGGCGAATCACGTCTACATTTGGGATCAGTATATTTATTTTGAAGATAAAAACTGTCTTGTTCTAGAGGACGTATTAGCTATAACGGTGTACAGTATGCATATGTGTACGAGATGCAAAATTGAAAGATTATGGGCCGGAATCTTCCGGAAGGAATGCGGAATATCTTTAGTCCGTCCTCTTCTGAGAACACGTTGACGATCGAACCTGGATTCGGGATCCTTCTTAACGAGCATCATCCATGGCGGCGCTGGCTCAAGCATTTGCGTACGCATTGCGTCCCTTTGCTGATGCTCTTACCTTTCTGACAACTACTCGAGTTCATCCTACCTTGTTTCCGTATCCATGGGCTTCTACTCTCCATGCAACAAGGGTCTCCATGGCTTATCAGAATAATATGAGGAGGACAGGAAGTAAACTTTCTTGGGGAACGTACATCACAGGATACCTTATAATGGTAAGGATTTAAAAAGTATTATCGTAAATGCTGTATTGACTAACTGGCTTCCTTCCTAGTGCTGGGGAGGAATGGTTCTTTCGCATACCCTCTTATCCATTCCATCACCAATTTTATTCTGCATCAACCCGTACATCAACTACATCGTTCCTCATCTTGTTGTTACCATTCTCTTTGCTATTTTCCCCAACATCCTCACCAGTCCAAACCTCGATCTCGTGCTATTTCCTCTCGACGGTCTCCTTCGGGCTAATGCTGTAACAAGTACCCTTGCTATGATCTCATCCAACCCCGCCATAGATAGCAAGTTGACTTCATCGGCCCTATTCCACATTATCATCGGTGCGGTCGTTTCCTGTGGAGGCGGCGCGTCAGCCGCTACTCTCAAGACATGGACTCCAGAATGGAGCTTTGGGACTCCCGTGTTTTTACGGAGCGGCGTAGGATTCTGGGGATCACTAGATGTATGGGCTGGCTCTCTTGTGGCCGTCGTGTATAGCGCGATGACGGTTCATCCGGCGTTTGATGAGGTCGTGCCTTTTGAAGTGAGGCCAGCTTTCGCGTTGAGCTCATTGGGGGCCAAGGCCGTCAGCAGCTATATATATACGATTCTCTTTGGGTTGAGAGTGTGGAAGGCCAAACTGTCGTCCTTAGCAGGGGTGAAGAAGGGAAAGGGGAAGACGAAGATACAATAGACACAGAAGGGCAAAGGTCAACATCTTGACCCTCAAGGCCCCCAAACAGGCGCACTTGTATACTCGCGATCTCAATTCTGAATGTAGTAGTCACTGACTGTTGTGTACTAGACGAAATATATGGATAAAGGTACTTGGTTTTGCACGATTTGCGTGTATCTTCGAAATCTGAATCCCATAAACTGGCTGCTGCTGTTAAAAGACAACATCTGTAGATGATGGGTATAAAAAAATCCGTTGCTACGGCTGGCAGAGGTATATCACCTAATGGTTGCCGATGAAAAGCCCAGATCGACACGAAAGCAAATCATTGAATGGTGTGCCTAGAGTAATACGAACTGTCCGGGGTATATCGTAAAAGTCTCTCATCAGGGCCGGCAAATGATTTTGATGTAGTCTTTCCGGAGCTCAACATGAACTAAGCTGGATAGGCCGCAGCTGGATACAAAACCCACCCTATCATCTGAGTCTTTCCTCCCAAAAAACATGAACCACAAAGCAATCATCCGTTGGGTTGTCTTGCTCGTACTTAGCAGCGTGAGTTACTCGTTTTGCCAGGTGCTAGTCACCTGGAGTCTTACAAAGTGTGCTATAGTATCCTGTCATTGAAGCTAGTTTAGTGCGACATGAAGAGAACGAGATTGCCCCCAAATGGATGCTTGTCTTGGGGAGGATAATATGAGCGGTATGTATTCATTATCATGATGAGAGGACATACCTAGTTTGTTCGTGTAGGAAGAATTGAGAGGATAGAATGAAGTAACTAACAGTGAAGCATAGCTAAAATCGAATGAATTCTCTTATGTGTGATGCACCAGAATATGACCATTGGCGAGGCTAGAGATTTGATTCTGTAGCCAAAGAACTGAAAGATATCTCATCTTGTCGCATTAGAGAATTGGGGTACGGGAAATCCAAGACGAAAGTTCAAGGTCACCCAAATCCGATAATCGCCACTGGTTATAATAGCAATGTCAACTAGATACGTAAAAATGGATATCATACAAAACCAATATTCAGTCGTCGAGATCAACCATCACGACATCCTCAGTGCCAGCGTTCCCAGCTCTCTGCGTAGTCAAAGGCAGATCTTTCTCTCCGACCGGCACCGTAACATTAGACCGCACTCTCAGTCCGGGTCGCGGCGCCAAATTGAACTTTCGCTTCGATGACTGCATAGCTGCTAGCACACCGAGCTATAGAGAAACATCAATGACACCGAAGCAATGGCATTTGAGTATCAACAGACCTTTTTCATCAGAAGGGAGTCCTCTCGTTGTTGACCCGTTCTCGCCGCGGGATTGAAGCCCAGCTGCTTGACCATCTCTGCACTATAATGGCTCTTCGGGGTAGTTGCCTTTGCATATGGTTCGGTCTCGAGATCTTCTTCATTGTCCTTTCGTTTCCTCTTCCTCCCTTCCTCTTTTCCTTTCTTATCCTTCTTCTGGGTATACTCCCTAGCTGCAACCACCGCCTTCATGCCCTCCTTATCTCGGTCCAAAAGGGTTTTGAGAGCCTTATCTGCATCTTTGGCGCGTAGTCGCTGTGCCTTTGCTTGCCCCTCTCTCCCAATATTTTCCGAAATCTCTAACGAACTCAGACCTGAGCCCTTTACGACGTGTCCAGAGAGTACATAAGTCGCTGATCCCTCTGCGTCAGCAGGGTTTAAACCCCATTGCCGTGCAGGATCATAAGCAGGTTTTCGTTTCTTTATTGCAGTGTTAGACATGCCAGAAGTCCTGGAAAAGAAGAATGAGCGCGAATCATCTCAGAGCCTATATTACTTACGAGGCGGTGAACTCAGGACGTGCGGCGCGACGACGTTCAACGGCATTCTGAATATGCCATTCACAGACATCGCTGAGACGTTTGTCGCACCATGAACCGCACACCGAACCATCACGCTTAAGGACTGTACACATTCCTAGGTCTTTTGCTCGACCAATTGTAGTGATCGTGCCAGCGGATTCCGGTGTCAGTGCGAGGATATTGCTTGAGGGATGAGGGTTGCTGGTTGAATGCTGCGAACGATCAGACGGTCCACGGTGTAAAGAAAGCATGAATACCTGAAATGGTTTCAAGATTTTGGGATTCATCAAGGCGATGACGTCGCCCTCCTTCAGTCTCGACATTGATTCAAAGGCACCGCGGCTCCCACCCTTATAAATCTTCCCCTTCGAGCCGTTCTCTCGTGTTTCTACGTCAAAACCATCCGACTCGAACAACAACAACGACAGGAAAGCGTCCCCACGTATGACTGCCTTGCCACCGGTCGCGGAAGACGCCGAGCGTGACCTCGAACCAAAGTCGACAAGCTTCATATTAACGTACTTCTTCCCCGATGGTTTGGGTGACTGGTCCTTCTGCTTTCCCTTCCCTTTCGTGTCTGTTTTCTTGCCCTCGTCATCTGCTTCGATGGTCACGGGTGCTTTACTGTACTTGATAGGACCACGTTCGGCGACGACTGCGATAGTAACCCAATCGCTAAACACAGGGACATCATATCCTCTTTTGTCAGGAAGAGGGCGTACGCATGAGTAGAGTCGGGATGGGGAGATATAGAAACGTCCTCTCAAATAATCTTGTAGGTGTTCATGTGGCAGGACGCGGGAGCTAGAACAACAAGTGAGAAGAAAAACATCGACTTAAGCGGAGTACACACGAAAGCCTTATACCCGAATTTGGTTCCAGCTGCTCGAAATTAGGGTCATCGAACGGCGGCTTGTGGTCGTACGGGCCCGGTTCAAGATCTTCAATAAGAGCCAGTCTCTCATCCCGGTGCTGTCCAACCGTTAGTTTCACTTCAGCAGGTTTGTCGGTAAATGCAATCGATCGCAACGGTTCGACTTCTCCGTCGTCGTCGTCACGGCGGCTGAGGGAGCTGCTTTGCGCCAATTTAGCCAAAACGGCCGAGGGCGCGGGCTTTGGAGGCAATGATATCGGAACATTGGAAGATGATGGAATGGGAACTCTGGCCGCTGGACGTGGTTGAGGTGGTATAGCTGAGTCGGTACCAACTTTAGGAATCTGTCGGTTCTTCTCTAACGTAGATAGTTTGAGGCGGCAGACACAAGGTAAACAGCTACTCACTTGGAGATGGTGTTGACGGTGCCAAAGTATTCCCTAGTTGGCGTTTCGTGTTCTTCTTTGGTGAGGCTGGGACGTCGGACTGGAGCTGAGCTTGAAGTCGCGTGATTTCCTTGCGAATAGCATCTTGTATCTGATGGGATTCTTCTGATTTCCGGAATGGCTCCATTGAAGACTCTACGTGATGATGAGCGTGTCGCGACTGTCGTGGTCAAGACAAGTCAACGTTGAACACATAAGATGACACGTGAATGTGACCTCGTTACACGTGACCTGTAATACATGGCGTTCCACTTCCAACGTAGGTATCAAAGAATAATTAAGTCGTATATATCTAGTATCTACATGTTAAATAATAAGTACAAGTCGTCCTAGCATGATCATAAATATTCTTCTAGGGTATCATTATACTGCCTTCTCCCCCTGAGTGGCCTCTAATTCTAGCTGCTTCTCAATTTCAAGATCCTACAGCTTTCGTTAGTTCGTAACCTAGGAGAGCACGCAACTCTGTACTCACGATACATGGCGCGAACTTGCTATGCTTCCTGATCTGTTTGCCGAATTTATAAAAGAGGAAAGGACTGGGCGCTAGCACCACACCAATCAGACCGATCAACGTAGATGCCCAGTTTATGCCCAACTAAGTGGGTACACTATAAGTAAGTTCGACGAAGAGATACGGATGCCTTACATTGTGGTACATCTGGACAGTGAAAAGCGGAAATGAGGCGGCTATGAGAGAACGCATGATAGTGTTGGCGGCAAACGCAGACGCAGCATAGATCCTATAGTGAGTGTCAGCGAGGATGGGCTTTCAAAAAGCAGGCAATGTTAACGTACAAGTACACATCCAGCAGGTAGCTCTGTCAGAGTGTCGCGTTCTTCATCAGTTTCAATTCATCGTGCAGAGAGATAAACGTACCAGGAATGACATGAATATAAGGCTTATACTAACCCCGATGAAGATCGTGCTGATGGCCGGAACGTACCACTTGATGCTCTCGTACTGTCCTGTCCACCCGAGCCAAAAGGCGCCGATTATAAGACACGGTGCACCTATCATCGCACCATAAAGGCGTTCTTCGGGCGGCGGATACCCCTTCCACTTATGCACCAACTCTGGATAGTGCAGGGAGCAGAGGATATTGATTATAGCCCCCAGTGTTGTACCAATCCCGATACCGATGAAGATCAGTCCGTTTTCCCCAAGAGTGAAGCCACGGGTCTCGACAAAGATGATGGGAATAGCCTCAAACACTGTTGTAAGGCACGTTAGAAAACATAAAACCGTTATCAACAGAAAAACGAGGCTTACATGCATACAGAACAGAATATACAACTGAGATGTAGATCGTCACAAGAACAAGAATAGGTTCCAGCATAAGCATCTTGAACGGTCGGTAGAGGGTCCGCTGTGCTATTCCTTTAATTGACCAGTCTTCTATTTCATGCTCGGCGAACAGGTCGGCATTGTTTTCGGGATCTTCCTTTCTTAGACGTTTGACCTATGATCAATGAGTTTCAGTCACAGATGTGAGGCTAGGCTGCTCGCCTTCTTTAATAGAATCACGGACGCATTCGTTTCAGGAAGGAAGATGACAGCGATGGCAGTGCATGCACCAGCAAACATCATCATCACCCAGTATATCCATCTCCATGTCACTGAGCTGCTGGCGATACTGGTATGACGGTTAGATCGTTGGACAGCAAGTCGAGGTCGTACACTTACAAACCACCAACGAGGGGCCCGAGGACAGGTCCAAGGAAGACGCTGGTAGCAAAGAGGCTCGCGGCAGGACCTCGACCAATCGCAGGCCATATATCGGCAAATATACCTTGAGGACATCATACATGCGGTCAGGGCGAGGCAAATGGGCTAGACGGACTTTACTCTACCTCCGTCAACGGCAAGAGGTGCTACACCAAAGAAGCCTGAGAAGAATCGGCAGACTAATAGCGACTGGATATTATGAGCTAGAGCCTGTCCGAGATGGAATAAGATGTACGCGAACATCGCTCCCAATATGACAGGACGTCGACCGTAGAGCTCACTTCCGGGTCCCCAGAATGTTGGCTGAGATTGAAAAATCAGCACAGGCAACTGGAAAGTGAGAGGACACGTACACCGATTGCAAAACCCAGCAAGAAAACAGTTACGATTGTATAGGCGGTTTCACTGTTGATGTTGAATACGCGTACTGTCTCAGCAAAAGCGGATGTGGGAGCGGAGGATGCGAAAGAACTGAAGGGAAAGGACGGTTTAACGGACTCCACGATAAAACGAACGAGAGACTATACGCACACAGATAACGCTAAATTGACGCTAACAACGGTGACAACCCATTTCTTGCTATTTGGCCAGTTTTGAGGATTCATGGGATCGTCTGGACCGTCCCATGTCACCATGTTGGGGTCGGCATGAGCTGTATGAAGAATATGATTAACAACTCTTGGATGACGAGGATGAATCTCCTTACATTCAGAGTCGTTATGAGGAAACTTCCCTCCTTTAGACCCAGTTCCCGTCGCCGACGCATGCGCAGGTGAGGAACGTGTTGCGTCAAGAGTAGTAATGGAGGATCGCGGAGTCAAATCCATTTTTATAGTCATCTGAGGATGACGAATCTCGAGGTTTGTGAACGAGGAGAGTACCACAAGGCATATCCTCGAAGCAAAATTCTTTATATAAGCGTTGTTCGCAGTGCCAAAATGAAAAGCCAAATACAAATGAAACGATGCTCAGAATGGATCTTGATGAAGCGCGTTCTCGAAGGACGGTCTCCGGTTCTAATGAAGCCGGTTGGTCCGATATGGCGGAGGGCAATACTGCAAAGCATGTGAAAACGGTTCTGCTCCTGCCTTGTATGGACACGAGTCAGGCAAGCTCGTAAAATGAGATGACAATCGTCTTCCGTGGGCCCTGCTTAACCGTGCATCCAAGGATGCATGGGCATTGGGGTTACGTCATATTGAGCACGGTTCTATCGACTTCGAGGCCTTGGTGCAAGGCGCCTTGCGTTTGGTATGAATGGGGGTGTGGTGCGGCATCGGACTCGAGTCCTGTTGAGCTAGGAGGAAACATTCATTCAATGCAGCGGTCGACTCCGAAGGCGCGGTGGTCAGAAGATAAGCTTCAGTAGCGCCCTAGACACAGCCTGGACGCCTGAAAATGTGCAAATTTTTGTTGACATAGTATCAGCGCATCACTGACGTTGTAATCCATTTACATCCTTCACATATAGACGTGCAAGGGCACTATTTGACAGTGAGGAACTCGGACAGGAAGACAAGGTGTTGGTGAGAGTCTGGAGCGTTGTCGATTTTATCTAAAGTGTTTGGTATGATAATACATAGTCGTTTACATACCATAAGACAACAGGATCGGTCATCAAATCGTAGTCGCTAGCATGACAGCGACAGCGAAAGGTGCACATATGAGGTTCATGATGGATTGTCAGTTCAATTTTGCCATCGGGGTCGACAACCGCTATCCATGGCTAACAAATGAATTGAGTGACAGGGCCGAGGCTGAATGAAGCCGCTCAGGCTGAGTATTGCACCGAGAAGGATAATCGTCATTGAATAGGGTTTCGCGACATGTAGCTGATATCTCCGAAATCAATGTTAGTTCCTGTTCCACACGTACGGGAGTTAGAACACGGGTAAAGTATTAATAACGCTGTTCCTCTGATCAAAACACAGCAAACACGAAGAAATAGAACGCTTACGTATCAAGCCGACATAATGATTTGTCGCCAAAATCCCCATAATGATATAATCCAACCTTTCAATCCATGTAAGAAAACATATTCCCAAGAGCATAAGGAAGCACGGTCAGCACTTACATCGATAACACCAAGCTTCGATCTTTAAGGATCCAATTCCCCTGGTTTCCAATAGAATCTTCCGATATTCAAGCAATATTAAGTACCTGTGAGTGCGAAATAAATGGTACAGAGGGAGAATTAGTCATAAGCACAGAAACAGTATTGCTAGCAGCAAAGAGCTCGGTGGGGCCATTGACAGTCTGAAGCTCTCGGACAGTGATTTCTATGGCAGCCTGTCTTCCAAGAGCACAAGAGATGTAGCAGAGGATAAAACTCCTGTGATAGTAAATCCAGATGTTAGTAGTAGAAAAGGAAAAAGTACAACAGCCTGACACGTGGAACGGGCGGGCATTACCGGCCCGTGGAACACAGCCATCAGCTGAGGTTCATTTTTTTTTTCTCAGCATTTGATTAACTGCAACAAGTAAGCTAACTACTAAGACGCGGTGGAGGTATGGGGCCTCAGGATCCTCTTTCCCTCTTGTTCCAGTCCCTCTGCTCTTCCTTCTGAGTTCCCCGGGTGTTTTGGCGTGTAATGTGGAGTAGAGCAACGGACATGTATGGTATTTTGCGCCCTCGTAGTGGGCTAATTAGTTCATTTGATTCTGCGGTTGGCTAAAGCCTGGGGCTGCGGTTCATTTACCGTACTGTGCAATCTTCGACATCAAGGTTTAACTACAATTTTACGCGATGTTCCCCAAAAAAATGCTCAGTACTTCCCAATACCTTTCCGTATTATCGATCATAGGCAGATGTCCTCCCTGTGGTATTTCTTGGTAGGCAATGTCGCCGCCTTTCCCTGCCCAGCGCTCCCTGAGTGCTTTCAAACCCTTGCCGACATTTCCGCCGCCATCCAGATCTCCCGCAACAAGCAACGTCTTGATCTTGCAGTCATCTAGCCTATCCACATAGAGATCGTACTCCATCAAAGCACTCGCACCCAACGCGAAACCATCCAAATCCGTGGCCTCTATCATCTCCTCTATCGCTTGTCGCCTGGGGTCTGTTATTGACGATCCTGTTGGGAACCATCGCGGGACGGTGATATACGCGAGCTCCTTCATGCCTTTCTCCTTCGCTGTTGCAATCCGTCCCTCCCACGCCTCTTTGTTTCCAGCAGGCGTTTTCGGAGATGTATCGCATGCGACGACACTCTTCGTGAGATGTGGAAATTGGATGCCAAAACTGAGCGCGACGGCTCCACCTTGGGATACTCCAACAACGCTGTGCACTTGCTTGATTCCGAGAGACGCAAGGATGTGGGCAACATCCTGCGCGAGGATCGGCATGGTGCAAGGATCAGATAATGGAGAGACGGAGGCACCGTGTCCGCGCTGATCGTGCAGGAGGATATTGAACTCACGCGGAGGCGTAAGGAGGTACGTGAGAAGGGGGTTCCAGAGGGTGGTATTGGTCAATAAAGAGTTGCAAAACACGAGCCAAGGCGCAGACGGGGAGACAATATAGGTTTTGGCATAGATATAATATGAAGGAGACGAAGGTAAGGGTATCTTATGCTACAGTTCAAGAAGTGTAAGCATAGAAAGTGAAGGGGTGAAGCTGGGTAGTACCTCTTGTTCATCCACAGGCCAAGGAACGAGATCATCGCTACCTCCACCAACATCAAGTGAAACGAGAAATCGGGAGACCATGTTGTACGTAGCAACTACTGCGGCTGCCTCAACGAAGAGATCATCGTCATTTTGAAGGTTCTTCTTGAGCGCATCGGTCACCTCAGGCGACACCTTGACCTTGGTGGTGCTCTCTTGAGCGAAAGCCAGAGCGCTTTTCTGCAAAGCGCTCAAGACTCCCCCATCTGTCGGTAATCGGGACGTGTCGCGGATTACTAGCAGTTGATCTGTTGTCAGTCCGGCAGATCTTCCTACATGCTCATGGTGAATCCATTCATAAGCCGCATGGTTGTGTGCCGCAACACGGAGAATCTAATTATTTTCTTCAGTACTAAGCCCATACTAGTATGGGAGAAACATGCCATGAGTTCTCTGACATCGTCAGAGAGCTTTCCTTTGGTTCGTATGGCCCCAAGGAGTGAATTCCAACCCTGAGCTACTGGCGGTACATGGAGAAGGGTACCGTCGAGGGCGGTCAGTCCTCTTGAGCCCCGTCTTTCGCGGATTGCATCGGCAATAGGAGAGGTACCCACTGGAGGATAACGACCTGGGACGAGTCGAGAGCTGGGCATGGCAGATAAGTGTGGGGAAGTACCATAAGATGCCCTTTATTACCCGGGACGGAATAATGTTATTCCGCCTCGTTGATAATCGGGTTGACTTTCGAGGACCCAAAGAAGCAAATGGCTGCATTTGTGCGTTGAAGGACAAAGGTGAGAGTGCAAATTGTATAAACCTCTCTCATTAGTTCGGACAGACTCGGCGGACCCTTTTCTTGGACTTGGGCCGCTTGAGCAGTGAGCGTCAGTTTACTCTTGAGTTTTTCACGGTGATGAATTTTCCAGATACCCGACTCCTTATATCGATACGATCTGACCCTGACTTTAGCTCAGATCGACGGCCCTCTGTTTGACCCGGACTGGTGCAGAACGGTCCTACATACTCTTTTTGCAACATCAACTTGCGGTCACCCCAGTAAACAGGTGAAGATGTATCAGGGCAAGCAAAGAATGTTAGAAGCCTTAATGTTCATGCACTAGATGCCTAATCGAGTGAGAGCTGTTTAGAGTACATCTATGGCTACGACTCAGTCGCGCGCGCACGCGGGAATCGTTTAGGCATCACAATCCGGCCATTTGTACCCGAGTTCCAGGTAGGACCTGTAGTTGATGATCAAGGTCTCAGCGCTTCATTCTTGATACGATGTGCAGGTTCTTGGCTAGACACAGGACTCAAATTTAGCTTTGAGAATAATAGCGACAGCCATGTGTTGAGATTATTGTCTGCGCTGAGTCAGATCTCGGCTGGCAGGAAAATCGACCACGAGATCGCGGATCAGTCAAATGGCTATTGTTCTACTCTTTTGTCAAGTTCAACTTCGGTCGACAGTGCCTCTTCTGGCTCCTTATTTCTGAAACACCATTTTGACTATCGTATATCAAGAGGACTCTTGTTCTTCCCCCTTCCTCCGCCCGCCACTTTCGAAACTCTCAGCTCAAGCTTCACGTTCTACAGCTACTTCTCTACACTTTGGTACGAGTTCGAAATTGGTCTGCGTTAATAATGGCCGGGCCACTCATTTCCACTCGTAGACCATTGTCGCTTTGTCCCTACTGCTGTTCTCATATCTGCATCCACTGAAGCGCAGAAGAATTTTTAGGTTGGGTCTTCACCATAATGGTTTCAACATATCTGACGAGACTTATTAGTTTGTTATACGATGCCGAAAAAATCCAGTTCACCTTCTGCACCACCGAAACCATCGTGCCTCAAATGCGGCTTCATATTATCTCACCCTCAGAGTAAACGTGAACCGCCACATCTGCGTCTCAAAGAACTTCTTAAAACCAACGTCCCCCCACTTGAAGCAGAGAAGGCCTTCTTCCGTAAGGCGAAGAAAGATCTCCCCGTCGTTGTATCGGACTTGGACGAACAAATCACGCAAACTCAGGAGTTGCTTCATACTCTCATGGAAGAACGGGCCCAGGCTGCGGAAGAGCTTCGACATGCCAAAGTCGTGCTTCACCCCCTGCGAACCATACCCGACGACGTTCTTCGCGAGATCTTTCTCTTCAACAAGGTGACTTGGGATGATTTCGTCAGGTTAGGTGACCCGAGACGGATTGATTTCTACGATTCTCTCGACCCAAGGAATGCGCCATGGTCGCTAACGCAGGTTTGCCGGAACTGGAGAAGTGTAGCCTTGTCCATGCCGTCGCTGTGGAACTGTATATCCCTCGATTTCAATGTATATCACAGGAAGAGGGATCGCCCTGCGTCTGTGGCCCTGAAACTTGGATTGCATATCCAGCGGGCTCGCAGGTCTCTTCTCTCAATCAGAATCGAGAGCATGGTTGACATACACACGCATAATGCCTTTCCCATCATCCTCACAAGCATGTCGCAATGGAGACGCTTACACATACGCACCCCAATCGCAACTCTCCACTACCTCACCCAATGCAAGGCGTTTCTAGAATCTCTCGAAGAGGTGTACATTATTGGGAGCCTATTTCCTGTTGCTACAATAGCACACAACATCGAAACGTTCCAGATGGCCGCCAACCTTCGCCGGCTGAATGTTTTTGAAAAAGCGGTTTTCCATAGCCATCACATTCGTGTTGCCTGGTCGCAACTCACGCACCTCTCTATCAAAATCGACTCTGATGCGACTTTCCATCATTTCAAGGAATTTAAACGAGTCGAAGAGCTCCGACTCGTTTTTCCCTCAGGCCCGCAGAAGTTGAACGTGTCCCAGCGCATCACTCTACCCAAAGTCGCGTACCTGTCTTTGACGAGATTCGGGGCAATGCACCGGGTGAACACAGTGGCGGGGCTATTTGACATGTTTGAGCTTCCCTCCCTGCTGTCGGTCACATTCGCGTCTACAGGTATCGAGCCAGGATTGAAAGGCATGATTCTCGACTTGCCGGCATCACTGTCCTACCCGGACCGCCGACTCCTCTCGGTCGACGTGGACTACCCAGATTATGATATCGGAATCCCAGAAAATAATACCCGTTTCCTCAATTTCTTGTCCCAGGCCTCCGATGTCGTTGGTATCTTTATGGCGCTGCAAAACATTGGGTCGGATGTAATAAAGAAGCTCAGTCACGGGCCCGACAATGATGTCAACAGTCATAACTTCTTCCCCAGACTTCGAACGCTCGACTTTAACGATTCCACCTTTACGGCGTCTCAGATAGCCATTCTTGATATGCTTGAGTCACGGTTGGAAAGTGCGCATGCAGATGACGAGTCGTATGCGTCCTTGATGCATGTCACCATGCCGGAAGACTTCGAATTTGACGAACCAGGTACGGAGGAACGATGTAATGCGTTGGAAGGTCAAGGACTATATTTGTTTTATCTTAAAGGTACTCCAGAAGAAAGAGAAGAACGCTAAATATGTCTTCATGACTCTCATTACTGGTCAGGGTCATGAACTTTACTCGTTCGTACTGTTGATAGTTGTCAAACAATCATATAGCATCACAGATATCCCTTACGGCATCTTTTATTGCTCATATCCTTATCAAGGTCCTCGTTTTCACGAACGTGTTTGCCGAGAGTTGACGAGGAACCTTTGCTGATCCCTCTAGCGTCTCCAGACCCTTCAGCACGAAGTGAAGGAAAATCCGCCAGAATGGCCTTCATGAAAGTCTCGCCAAGAGCTTGCGCCATTTTGGGTGCAACCTGCGAGATCGGTGAGAATAATAAATTATTATGACGACGAGCACATACAACGTTACCAATCTGTCTGTATTGATCCGTCACTGAGCCAGATATAAAGTATGTGTCTCGAGCTGCATTCAGTTTACTGTATCAATGAGAATATCGAAAGACGTACCAGGGAAGGACTTTATCCTTGCACATTCCCGCAGAACGGTTATTCACTTACTTGGGTGCACGCACGCCCAACGATTGCTACACGAGGTGCGAATTGTACATGCTGGCTCATCCCACTTGGCCACAAGCCAACTGTCTATAGACGTAGTGGAAATGGCATGATGTTCTACACTGTCGGAGGCGTTTATCGATAATGCATAAGGTATGAGCATCTCTCGAGTCAGAAAAAAAAGGGGTTTCCCGAATCGGCGTCTTCTCGAGGGTCAGAAATGTCGAGGTCCTCTATCGCATCATATAGAGTTACTACCTCCATTTTAGAGAACGTAGGTTTAGGGAAATCAGGCATGGTCAGTCCTAGTTTGGCAACAATCAGAAATAGCCATCTGCGAATGGTGGGAACACCATATTCTTTTGCGTTAAGGATGGCCCAACGACTTTGATATCCTGCTTTCATGCAATTGATCATGACTTCATGCAGATGGTGCAAATGTGGCGGAGAAGTTAGCCTGATGCAGGCCCTGTCAGTAGCTGATGTATCATTGGGTAGAGCATCAGACGTACCCAGTAACATTCTCAATTAATCCGTAGTATGCATTGGTGGCCGTCAGGATGCGTGTTGAAATGGATAACGCTTTACGATTGATATTGCCATCTTTGCCATCGGGATTGGCGGCAGAAAAGCCCTGGCAAGGGGGTGAAATCAAGGCCACTATAAGATTTGGACAGGTTATATTAGCCTCTCCTAGCTTGGAGAGAAACGTGTCCATGGTGGCAAAGTGTGCTTTGGCTTGTGGGTGATTGATCTGGTACCATAGTTGCATAATGTGTAACAACATTTACCATGGAGAAACTATACCTTCCTGTCGAGGATTCAGTCCTATGCCCTTTCGTCAGGATATCGGTCCATTCCCTCTAATTTCAGTTGCGCAACAATTGCGCGATCATTTCATACTCCTGCCCAGTTTCTTTTCATTCACACCTCAGTCTTTTACCACTACAATGAGTGAAGACTGTGGTGTGTATCTTACTTACATTGCTACATATTGATTACTTACCTTACTGTTAGATTTGTTGTATTCTAACAGGTTATGCAGCCCCATTGCCTTACTATGTAGATCCAGATCTAAACAACAAGCACTTGTATCTTACCCAAGACTCAAAATTCCCAAATGGCAACCTCTTGGACCTAAACTCGGCCCTCATACCAATTCGCATAATCTTTTGACATACCCCTATAAAATTTTCTGACATGTCATTGAGGAATGCATCTTCAACCCAAGTCTTACCATTCAAGCTTGACAAGAGCAAAAAATTTAATGGAGAAAATTGGACTGCATTTGAAATGATTACGATGGCCAAAGGAGGACCACAAGGACTAATCAACTACTGGGAAAACCATGTAACTGTACCAGGACCAGCCTTATTCCCAACTGTTGTAAGTATAGAGTAGAGTACAGAGGATTAGATTAGCCTCTTGAGAGAGAGATGTCCTGCTTAAATACATTTTGTACTACTTTGAGATCTTTCTATGAAATACTATATAAATCCAGATCATGGTCCAAGTCAGCTGCTGCTGATTGATATAGCATCTTTGAGTATGTTCTTGTACTTGCTCAGGATTGCTAACCCAACACTCTCCCTCAATTCTGAGTTCTTAGAATACCTGCAGATAGATACTCATGTAATGGTCTTGGTAGGCCTTTAGTGAATATATCTGCTAAGTTCTCCTCTGATGCACAGTGCTGAACTTTGACTTTATTTGAAGTCATGTGCTCATGAACAAAGTGGTGCCATATGTCTATATGTTTTGATCATGCATGGAATGTAGGGTTCTCAGTGAATTTGATTGCTGATTGATTGTTGATGAAAATAATAGTTGCTTCATAATATGGCAATCCTAATTCAGTTAAGAGTGCTCACAGCCAAATTACTTCCTGGGTTGTACATGCAAGGGCCATATATTCTGCTTTCATAGTGGATAAGGCTACAGTGGGCTGTTTCTTTGAGCTCCAAGTAACAGCTCCCCCTGCATAGATACAGACATAACAAGATGTTGATCTTCTATCTGTTCTGTCTTCTTCCCAGTCTGAGTCTGAATAAGGTATCAGCTCATCCATAGTCCCTCCCTCCATATGTGATTCCAAAGTCTAGAGTCTCCTTCAGATAGCAGAAAACTTGCTTCAAGGCTGTGACATGCTCAGCAGCTGGATTCTGCATGTACCTGCTCAATTTGGTGATGGCATGTGCAATATCAGGCCAGGATCCATTGGCCACATACATCAGAGATCTGATACTGGTATGGTAATATTGCCTGGTGGCTGTGTCAATGCTTTGTGGGTCTTCTGTCAGAATTTTCTCTAGCCATACATTCAGGTCCATAGGCATTTTGACTGGTTTGCAGTCATTCATGCTCATTTGCTCAAGTACTTTGAGAATATATGTCCTCTGGGATAGAGTGATAGTGCTCTTATCCTAATTCCTGTCTATCTTTGTGCCTAATATATATTGAATCTCTCTTGTGTCTGTGACATTTAGCTTCTTCTTAAGCTCTTCTTTCATTTTAGGCATGATTTTATCATCTGGAGCAAGCAGTGTCATATCATTGACATGTACAGCTATGATTATGGGACCAGAACTCATTTGTCTGATGTATACACATTGATCACTGATCAATCTGGTGTATCCTAGTTCTAAAAATATGTTAGATCTAGCTTGCACATGATCTGGACACATGATAAACTAGTGCTGTATTGTGTTTGTACAGTCATGCTAGAGTTCATCTAATATGTTATTCCAGGCAAATGCTTTAAGGCCAAAGACAAGCTGAGCTCAAGAGAAGATAGTGTGAAGTTAAACTTATAGCTTGAAGCTGGACTATTACAGTAAGAGCTATCCTACTTATATACTATTCTGCTTATAGTAAATATAACTACTGCCTATTGTACTGTCCTAGGCTATGATGCTGATCCTATCTGATCATTAAAGATATGACAATGAGAAATTATTTGTGGATGAGGTGATGGAAGACAATAACATCTCATCTGTTATGATTACTTAAAGTTCCCATGCCCTATGAGAAAGCATTCAAGATAAGATAAGAAAAAGAAAAAATATAGAGAAATCATAACATCACTCTCTTTTAAGACCATCATTCCAATGAATCAATTGAGGAAAATTTCATAGTTGTATATTGTGTCATTGGCATTGAGATTCAGTTTATAAACTCACTGGTTGGATTCTAGTCTATAACCTTTTTATTTAACAAGGTAATAAACAACAGTATGACTGCCACCTCTATAACTGCAAACTTTTTAGAGTTTATGATCCAGAATTTGTTTGACTTTATAGTGTTTCTTATCATTGATCAAGATTGGCTCAGAAGGAGGCAGGACTTCTTGGTTGGGAAAGACAGGCACAATATATAGTATGAGGAGTGTTTCATTAAAAACAGAGTGTATGTGCCAGGTGTCAGATAATTTCAGATAGTATACAGAAGTGTCAATCTTTGCAAGCATGAGAAAGAAACCAGTATATTTGTCAGTGAGTTTATGTTTAGGTCAAGGGAGGTGAAAGTGGCTTATATTGAGTCAGACCTTGTCATTAATAGTGTATTTGTGAGTGAGGCATTGATGTTTGTCATATTGCATCTTCATAGTGGTGGTGGCCTTTTTGAAGACAGTATGGGTTTCAGTGTGAATGGTGAACATGAGTTGAGCAAAATTGGAGGATGTAGAGGATGTGATGTTGTATCTGTTCATGATCATGATGTAGAAGTGATATTTATGGTTTATGAAGAAGGGAGTTTTGTTGGTTGCAGAGTGAATATGGTTATTGTGTTAGAATGCTGTGAGGGCAAGCCATTTAGTCTAATCATCCTGTCAGTGATTAATAGATATCTGAAGGTACTTTTTGATTTTCTGATTGATGTGCTTGGTTTGCCCATCAGTCTAAAGATGATAGGTGGTTGAGGCATTGCTTCAGATGTTAAGAAGGCAATAGAGGTTGTCAAGGAATTTGGAGATAAATTGCAAATTATAGTCTAAAATAATGACCTGAGGCATTCCATGCTTCACATAGACTTTATCATGTAAAACCTTTGCCCATTCTTTGGAAGATAGTTCTATTGAGCATATGACCAGAATAATTGCCTTTAAAAACTGGTTGACAATGATAATGGTATCATAGCCATTGCAGTCTGAGAGTCTGATAATCATATTGACTGAGATATAGATCCACAGTTCAATAAGGATCTCATTTGGATGAAGCAGGACAGCTTATGCCTATGTGCTTGACTTGGTCCACTAATAAGTCTCACACCCTTTAACATACTTCCTGATGTCCTGTCCTATCTTTGACCATGTATTCTCTTAATACCAACTCCTTTGTCTTTGCAATTCCTAGATGTCCTGCAGTGGCATGATCATGAGACATGGCAATGATCTCCTCTCAGAGTGAATGGTCTTGGAAAATATAGATTCGATTGTTGTAGTACAGTTGACTATCTCACAATGCATGATGTCAAAATGCATAATTCTGACAATGCATATGGATTGGGCTGGAACACAGTTGGGGAGCAGAGAAATGGGCTAGAAATACATATCGCATAATGTATATGGTTCTAGTTAGGAATATGCATTGTCAGATTGAAAATTATAGTAAGCTGATATGACATTATGCATATATTAGAACAATAAAGAACATAATTTGTTTGTATGGACTATAACAAACACAAAAAAAATTATTGTAAAGCGACACAGCCTATATCTCTATAAACATGCCTCCTGAACCAACATGAAAACCACGTGCTAAACCTGGAAATCCATATGAGCATACAAAACAGAAGGAGAAAGTCCCAATGTACACATCATCAGCTCAGCCTCCAAAGCAGATCTCCCGCCCACACCTCACAACAGGAGACTGGCTCGTAGTATTCAAACATGTTGATAACCATTCTTCCCATCGACATGCTGACATTGTGGCACATTTCGCAAACTGAAAGGAAGGTGCACTGCTCTTTACCCAATCAACTCTTTCATGGAAACTGGCATCTCGTACAAAAATCGAACAGCATGCAAATGAGAACCCTAATGCACTATCATCCAAAAAGTCTTGTATTGTCACCCGACCTGATGTGGAGCATGCTGTTGCATCCTGGTATCAGAACATGCAGCTGTTAGGAACGTGCCAATCGAGTGGGCTTGAGTGCACACGTGGAGTCCGGCGGAGTGCGTGGGCATTGACAAAGCTATTGGCAACATCACTCTTGAGTCGGAGCCCAAGGATCTGGATGGACAGAACGGAGTTCTGTCAGAGAAGTGAACAGGAGTATCCTTCGGAGCAGAATCCGACAGATGAGATAGGGAGGGGTGAGTACGAAGTGTAGATGGCTTATCCAAGTTGATATTCGAACTGAGTAGCTACGATGATGTACATGGCTTTATATACTAATGGTAGCTAATTCCAAGTCAGGTTCCATTGGGTTCCGGTGTTGGTATTTGTTACTGAGTTCGGGGTCTAGATATTACAATGTGAAATACGGATGTGAAATGATACTGGTGAAATGAAATGAGTAGGTAATGGGAAGTGGTCGGAGTCTGGTGGGTAGTGATTGGATTCACGGTTGGTTGAGGTGACACAGAGGCCAGTGGCATGCGTGTAACAGTATCCCCCTCTTAGCGTTCTTGCCCTCAAGAGTGCAGATCCCGATGGCCAGTGAGACCACATGGAAGATTGTTGGTGGCTGTAGGAGTTTTTTCAGCTTGATCTG